CCGCCACTAGAAGCGCCCTTGGTGCTTGAAGAAGAGCCAGCGGATCGTGTACCACTGCCTCCAGAGCCACCTTCACTGTCGGAACCACCTTGAGCTCCACCCTGGGTTCCTCCCTTACCACCGCTGCCTGTGTTTCCACCACCAGAACTTGATGATCCGCCATTGCTAGATCCGTTGCCGTTGTTTGAGCCTGAGGATCCTCCGTTCCCTGATGCACTATCTTCATCATCGCCTTCAGATCCAGAGCCGGAGCCCTGAACACCGCCTTGTACGGGGTCATCGTCGCCACCAGCGGACCCTCCGTTGCTGGAGCTGCCCCCTTGACCTGGTCGGCCAGATGAGCTACCGCTGCCGCTGTTGGAGCCACCTCCAGATCCGCCATTGTTAGAGCTCTCTCCGCCTCCATTCTGACCATTTCCGCCACTCGATGAGTCTGAACCACCACCTGAACCACCTTGGCTCCCACCACTGGATCCTCCAGTAGCCTGGGCACCATTGTCGCCTTCGCCGTTGTTACCAGTTTGCGGGTTGTTGGGGTCTTCAGGTGTCAGAACAAGGACAGTACCGGGATTTCCGGCCTCAGGAGGAATGGTGAGAGTCTGTCGCGGTCCTGATTCATCGTCGCCACCTTGACCTGGTCTGCCCTGGGCACTCCCAGAACCGTCATCTTCGTCATCTTCTCCACCAGATCCTGATCCTCCATTTGAGCCACCATCAGAGCCGCTTCCCGAGCCACCAAAGTCCATTGGTACACCACGAGTAATAGTCGTATAAGATACCGAGCCTTGTGGGCGGGTTCGCGTCGGTTGAAACGCCGTGCCATCTCCTCCATCGTTCCATCCAGGTGGTGTTTGGATGAGTACGGTTCCCGGCTTAGTACCAGTCGGTGGAATGGTAGTTCGGATAGGTGCTGTCGGCGTGACACTCCCTTCGGCTGGCTCGATTATGGTCACATAGCCAGTCGCATCCGCAGGCTGGAGGGTGATGGTTTGACCAGCTAGTCCCAGAGCGCCCAAGGTATTGGGAGTCAAAGGCTCAAGAACCAACGGCCTCAGAGTTCCTGGCACAGGCGTTTGGATGATGACAGTACCAGGGTTTCCGTTACTCGGTGGTACTGTAAGTCGAATTGGCACAGTTCCTCTGAAGGATGTGCCCGCTGGTTCAATGACAGTGATATAATCGCCATCCTGTGCAGGTTCAAGAGTAAGACCTTGGAGGCTTCCCCCATTGAGTGCTGACGTCGGGACATTAATGATGACCGATCCACGGTTCGTCCCAGTTGGTGAGATGGTAATTAGTTGCAGCGACGCCAATGTTCCGGTCAATGGTTGAAGAACTGTTACATAACCAGTCATCTCCTTCGGCTCAAGCGTAAGAGGCTGCAACACCCCCGGCGTCGCATCACCAACCTGCGTCTCCGGCGTCTCAATAATAATCTGTCCCGGCTGTCCACTCCTCGGCGGAACAACCTGTGTAATCGGCGCAGAAATCGGATTCGGTCCTGAATGGGGTCTAATGATAATAACATAAGACCTATCATCCGTCGCAGGAATGACTACATTCTCCGGCGCCGATGCACCACCCGGCTGTTCAACAATAACAATACCAGGCTCATCGCCCTGCGGTGGAACAGTATACTGCGTTGTCACTGAGCCTCTGTAGGGCTTTGTGATGGTGATATAATCGGGATCGGCAAGGACTGGATAAACCGAAACATATGTGTAACAAACACCTGAAAATTCATTGTTAATACCGAGAACTGACCTATCATTCTGAACTCCAAACTGGGCACGCGTTAGGCTGGCGAAGAGTAGGTGCTTGAGCACCTGGTACAAAGGCCGCATTGTAAGCGGTTTATTAATCATGCATTAAAGAAAATGAGAGATAAGAATCGTATACACGCAAGTTATCTATGTTGAAGCAACACGCGCGAAAGGATCGCGGGTGAGAGCTACCAGAGGATTATAAAACTGCTGATCAGTCACCCATATCCGCATACAGAACAGACAGAGACTGTGCATTGAGGTGTAATCATGATGCAGAACTCGTGCGTATAAAGACATTGTCAGGCCGAATTTGGGTTGCTGAGGCGGAAGCCTTCATGCCAGGGCTGCCACACCCGCAGCGGATCGATGCCGTTTTCCATCCTGGCAAGCACGTTCCTGCAGATGCATTGTGTAAGAGATACTCCGGTTCAAGACCCTGTTGGTTCAGGGTGTTATGCTTGGAATGCTGTTCTTGAAAAGATGACCAACTGCCATTGTTTCTGTGGAGTGAAAGCAACGCAGCCAGTCAGAATTGTGTAAGTGTTTATGAAATGGAATTTGTGCCTTTGTGCCTGGGCGTGTATGCAAGGTCCCGTTCAGCACTTCCACCAACGTTGAAGCTTATGCAGATGTGCAGATCTTATGTAAGTGGCAATGGAATGGACGGATATAGCAAGTTGTCTCTGTGTATCCGTACATCATCAAACCAAATATAATATATCGTTTATTTCATCTACGGAACAAGTCATTATAAGAATGCCACCTAGATCCGATCAATGAAAGTCGAGACTTGAGATTGATTCAGATGCTGGCAGGTGGATATAATGTCTCACACAGCTTACGGACTTCTAACGTTACATTAACAATACTCCACCACGGAAGCCAGATCCTAGTCCACCAAGCTACGATTTTGGCAGAAGCTTATCTAACATGTCAACTACTAGCCCAAAGCCCTAAACACATTATGGCCCTTGCTTACCCTGCTTAATAAACCAAATCAAAGGGCAGCTGAAGTCTGGCGGCCGCCAGAATGCATAACTTTATTAACCAGCACATTCCAGCCTGTCTTGTCTGACTGTGACTTTAAGATGAGGTTACACAAAGGGGAGTCAAAGCTCCACCGCCGCGCCAACGGACGTTTTTGTTTGGCTAGTCGCGGAGAGATTTGGCCGCGTCCGTCTAGTCGATCTGTGGCTGATCTCAATAGGAATCGAGACTGTGACGTTGAAGATTGTGATAAATGACCGGAAATAACCAATGGCTCTTCAGATCTGATGAGTTTGTGTTACACAAGATTCCATATTCGGAGTATATTACCATGATGTGCTAAATATTGCCCTCTCCTTAAGACATCTTATGTATCAGGTCTGCAAACTGATTTCTGCTGCATGACAGAGCATCCATCACCCCGGGATTCTCGGCTGCTCCCGAATCTCTTGGACGTGACCAACGTCTTTCTGCGCATGGAAACAACACGGGGAGCGGACTAAATGCTCCTCTCCCGATCCATAATCTATATCATCCTATACTCAGTTAAGACTCTAGGCCTATACTAGGTCTCATCCGTATTATACATTCTTGGCAATCACATCTCGCGTCCGAGTTGCCCGGATCAGCGTCGAGCTTTTGTCTCAGTCTTGGCAGATGAGCTTCTTCTGGCCCAAATGGTATATGCCAAGCCTAGTTGCTATGGAACAAGAGCAGGATCAGCTTATATGAGACTTTTTTGCAATCGTTGGTATAACAATTATTTAGTTCAATGAACGATTTCATACAAAGACTTATCGAGGACAATGTCATTCTCTCTGACACTGAAGCTTTGAGGCTTGGACTCCAAGTACCTGGCTCTTGTTGAAATTCCCCTGTCAGATTTACACTGCGCCGTACACTTTCTGATTTTTCATCTAAACCTTATTCCCCGTCCCTGTAATCTGATCTGGGCTACTGCCAATAGGAACTCTCTTGGCTTCACATCTCGTGGAATCACATATCACAGATCTTGTTTAAGCTCAGCCTGCAAGTCCAGGAACAGAGAAAACTTCTCACGATCAAAGGGTTCCTCAAGGGCATAGAAAAGCATTTTCAGTTGAGTAGAAAGGCCTGGACTTCAAGACCTAGGACGTTTGTGAGTAAATCTCCTCGGTGGCGCGTTGATTCAACGTTGAAGGGACCAACTGCTCTCAGAGGTATCAACAGCAGAGACCAGTACCAGCTTAACCCGGGCAGCAGATCAGGCACTCGACGCCACCTCAGCTAAGGTAAGTGAGTAGATCCGGGCCTTAGGTTTGAGATAAGGTTATGTTACATGTCAAATGAGGCTCATTACGGAGATCTCGCTCGGGAATGCGACAAGATTGACGCTAAAACGTTCTTGTCGGGGATTGAACGGAATCATACCGCACTTTAAAATGGTGGCTTGAGGCGTGCATTACGGATCGCAAAACCCATTCGCTTGCTCAACCAATCGATGGTAGTGACTGGTCTGTAGTGAAGTAAGTTTGAATTCTTCAGTGGGAGCATGGGTCGAAGGTGTGAAGGCGGTGGTATTCATTCGAGCCTCGAGACGCCCAGGGCTGCTACAGGGTAAACTCTGTTAATTTGACATCCATTTTGGTAACGTGATGTTTCTCAGTGAACAGTTGATTAAGCAGGCAACATTGTAACGAGACTTACTGATATAGAATTCGATTGGGGCTTGAGAGACACAGAAAATCTGAAACCTGTAACTTGAACCCTTTGGCTTTCGTTGATTATGTTGCAGCGATCTTCCCGTTCCACGCCGTTGTTTGCTGGAGGTGGCCTCCCTAAACCTATAACCATCATTTCAAGTACACCCGGGGAACTCCTGCAAAGCCGATATAATTAAATGAATTTGCAACAGCTATCCAGGTACACAAGTACACTTCCCCGCCGCCCGAGTTACAGCACGACTCTGGATTGCCATGATCTTGTGTCTAAATTCTAGCAGCGGCTTCCAACCAATCAGAGCCACGCCCGGTTAGCTCAATCGGTAGAGCGTGAGACTCTTACGAGTACGCGATCTCAAGGTTGCGGGTTCGACCCCCGCATCGGGCTGTTCCTATAAAACGATTGCGAGCAATAGCGAGGCATCTCTTTTTTGTCTTTCCCTTTGCCAAACGACTGATATTTTCATTTGATGTTGGAAGTAGGCTCTCGTTGTAGAGATGATAATCGTAGTCCTTCTGTATCCTAAAGCCAATAGGATATGCTGTTAATTGCTGACTTCGAGTGTGACCTTCCTTTTGTAGCACAAACCATAAGCCCCCTCTTCCACATCTCATATCAGTCTTATCTCACTCAAAGCTATCCCAAACATATCTTCCAGACACCGTCATTGCAAGATGGAAAGCCATATCTCTTTGAAGTCACTAATCACTCCCGATCTGCTAATGCAGATCACGGATGCCTATCTCCCTTATTCCAAAACCGAAGATCTTGACTTCTCCATTGCCCAGTCAGACGCCTTCAGCGCAAACTTCAAGAAAGTATGCCAAGAAAGCAAAGCAAGAGATGCCCTCATAGCTCTCAGTCACCTCAGTGACAATGGAATACTCCCTTCCCCTGAAGAACTCGACCTTATGTCTTTTCTCCCCAAACCGTCCTCCCCCGAATTCCCGCAACAATGCTTTGGACTCCAACTGCTTCTTGACCAAGCATCTAGAATCCTTCTAACTGGAATCGAAGCCCGTTGGCAAGTTGCGTACTTTGGACCTTTGGCAAGACGTCTCGCCGGACAATGGTATGCACTACCGCATCATCTACGTCCGCATACATGGCAGAGATGGAAAGACGATGTAGGCGTCACTAGCTTCAGTTATTGGGTTTCAACGCAAGTCATGTGGGCTGCTCCTTTTCTGCATGCCGAAGATCTAGGGAGTCAAGACATCGGATTAGAGTTGTCAAACGATTTACGTCAAGGTGTCGAAGAATACACGGGAACACAAGATCCGCACCGGGAGACAAGAGGCAAGACGCTGAAAGATGAACTTTTATTTATAAGAGAGGTTGTAAAAAGCCCGCCAAGAGACGATGATAACTCTATTAGTATGGAAGCCTGGACGTACTGGTGGTGCATGATTCTAGACGCTCACTGGCCTATTATTGCGCGATTTGGTCGCTATCCTTATCGAAATGCAGCTTTTGGCCGAGTTAGTACAAAAGAGGAGGGGAAATGGTTGGATGACATTAATCATTTCTCCGAAGCCTCTCCTGAAGTCGCTAAGCGCATTCAAGAAGATGTAGAGAATGGTCGATGGACTCCCATTGGAGAGAGTTGATCTGCGGTATTAGATATTTAGGCTGGGCTTTATGTATCGAGAAGCAGATGAAGCTGTCCCGTGCGAGTCACCTTCAGATGAGCTGAGATTCGCCTACCTCTTCAGAGCTGATGCCAGAGACTTAATTAGGGTAACAGCACTCAAAAACAGAGAGCTATAGATCACTGAATTTTGCAAGTTCAACGCGGCGTGAGGTTGTATATCTCAACTTTTTGCCCTGGTTACTTGAATATAACCGCTTCCCTCAGCCTAAGTATATAACAAGTGAGAACTAGTAGAGTGAAACATACTTCTGTAATACTTGAGGATGAAACCAACACAGAAATGGTGCTTAAGCTTAGATACCTCGGCAGTACCGAGGCTTCTGGTCTCTTCCCCTTGAACATGCACGAACTCAACACCGAACCACGGCCTCGATCTCCCTCAAACATACACCACAAAAAGCCTCTGCGGCATTTCAAAAGATTGTGTAATCAAGCTGTGCGTAATCTAAGTGGAGCGATCGAGTCAACAATTCCAACTCGTATTCGTCCGTAACGGTGTACCACATCATGGCCACGATTGGCAGCTTCGCAAATAAAGGTATCTTTCAAATTCTCCTATGACGAATCTTCCCCTGAGCGCGATTAAATCATAGCATTGCCACGTTTTGCAAAACCAGCTTTATTAATCTTTCCTCACCCGTAAGAATCCAATCGGACCCGGGAAAAGTGGAGAAACGGGCCCGAGACGGACTCCGATAACTTGATGTGGGGCAAAACAGTGATCTTGATTTAAGCTGCGAGATCACAATTAGAGTGGGCGGAACCAAGCTACTGGGTTTTTAATGACATTAAGGAGTCTTCTATGCAGATTCTCGAAATAGATGGAATTACTTCGTAGGATTAATGCGATGTAAAGTCGTGTCATGTTTTCATATCGGTTAGGGGCAAGACGGGTTGTTCGATGGGCCCGGCAGGGAGTTGCATCAACAAATGGTTGACCAATTGGAGCGCCAGCCCTGTGATGTGGGCTAAGCTATCCCTGGCTTAGAGGCTCCAGTTGTCAATGGAAGTGGAGCTCGAAATTTACCGAAGACTCTTGATCCCCCAGCTTTTTTACAACGACATGTCTGGTGTAACTCTCTTTTCTTAGTGAGTCGAATGAGAGCTACCGTATTTTACCATATCCTTTTGCTATAAGGCCTCAATCTAAAGACAAAAGGGATGGATATTAATGCTTGTGGCCCCAGCTATATACTAACAATGAGATGTTTTCCTGAACGCCGTCCTCCAGTTCACTTATACCATTCCAATAGTATACCGTCCATGAAGCCATGAACTCCCCAATAACCCAATCCCCCAAACGCCAAACGCCAAACGCATCAAACAGTCAACCATACACAGCCTGATACCTCCCATCAGAACTCGACGTCTTCTCACTCTCAGGCGGCGGGCTCGAATTGCTATCAGCAGGACTGCTCGACTCGCTCCCTGTCCCCGTAGCCAGCGCATCGTACATCAAACTCTTCTGCACACAAGTACATCTCTTCAACAGCTCTTCACATCTCTCCAGTCGCGCAAGTAACTCCTTAGTAGGTTTGCGACGAGTACGCTTAGGAGCAGGTGTACTCGGAATACATTCTATTTTCGCCTACTGTCATTAGTTCCCGACTTATAAAAGTGTCGTGTAAGCTTACCTTGATGCAAAAAGAACATGGACTTTTTCGGTCACATTTCTTCTTGCGCTGTTGACACAGCACACAAGCTAGAATTCTCGGTGGTCGTTGTTGTTCAGGTGCCATTGTATATCTGATAAGCACTAGCCGTCTCGAATCGAAATGCAGAGAAAGATGAAGGTATTCCCAAAAATGGTTTGTATCTCGGTCTAGGAACGAAATTCTGTCCGAGGCGGACGAACTGGGGTATTTGCTGCATACGCTTGACCCGCCCGATTCTGGTGCACTCGTAGAAGCGGACTCTTGCCACGACCCGAGTGGGTATCGGGGTCGGAGAGTCGACGGGATCCGTGTATCAACAACTCGGATCCACAACACCCTTCGGTGCAACGGGCACGAAAGCACCCCCGTCACAATGGTATTAAGACCCTGCGAGGAACCTACAGTCTCATTATGGTATCACCTTTTTTATTCTATACTACGTTTTATCTTTGTTGTATCCCTTCCTTTATACAAACTTTAATAATTCTCCTAATTCGAACCAGAAACTGTATGTAACCGTCCCATGCTCAGAGTTTACAAGAGCTGACAAGGTACAGATTTAAGCTTATACGGCTAGACTTTTCGTCTTGCTAGTATGGCTGCTTCTCATCTTCCAGGTGAGGCACGCTCAGAGCACAGCAGCCACGACACCATCGTCGACATGGACACCACTCCGAACGAGAAACCCCCTGCTCCCAAGGACGACAAGACAAGCTCCAGCGATGATGAGATCGAGCAGGATCAGAGCGAGGAGATGGTCCGTCGACACTCCATCGTCCGCGACCTAGCCCGTCAATACACCAACACATCAGCGCACTTCCAAGGCAGCCACGCAGATCTCTTCAACGCAGGCGATGCCGACTCACCCCTTAACCCGCACAGCGAGAACTTCAACGCCCGAGCCTGGGCAAAAGCCATGTCAAAGTCAATGCGCGAGAATGGCTCTGGCTTCCGACAGAGCGGTATTTGCTTCCAGGACATGAACGTCTTTGGATACGGCGCTGAGACAGATTACCAAAAGGACGTTGGTAACATCTGGCTCAGTCTCCCAGGCATGGTTCGCAATGTCTTTTCTCCTACAGCTGGTAAGCGCCGCATCGACATCCTTCGTGGTTTCGACGGTGTCGTCAACGCTGGAGAGATGCTCGTTGTTCTCGGCCCCCCTGGTTCAGGATGCTCTACATTCCTCAAGTCAGTGTCCGGCGAGACAAACGGCATTTACATCGACGACAGCACATACTTCAACTACAACGGTGTTCCAGCTCACGAGATGCACAAGCATCACAAGGGTGAAACTATTTACACCGCTGAGGTCGACGTTCACTTCCCCATGCTTTCAGTCGGCGACACACTCACCTTCGCCGCGCGCGCAAGATGTCCTCAGAACCTACCGCCCAGCATCAACCACAACCAGTACAGCGACCACATGCGCGATGTCGTTATGGCGATGTACGGTATCAGCCATACCATCAACACGCAAGTTGGCGATAACTACATCCGCGGTGTTTCAGGCGGTGAACGAAAGCGTGTGACAATCGCAGAGGCTACACTCTCAAACGCACCCTTTCAATGCTGGGATAACTCAACCCGTGGTCTAGATTCGGCCAACGCGATTGAGTTCTGCAAAACCCTGCGCTTACAATCTGAACTCTTCGGTCAGACGTGTGCTGTCTCGATCTATCAAGCTCCCCAGTCTGCATACGATCTCTTCGATAAAGCACTTGTTCTCTACGAAGGACGCCAGATCTTCTTCGGCCCCGCAGATGAAGCGAGGCAATACTTCATCAATCTCGGCTTCGAATGTCCCGATCGTCAAACAACGCCCGACTTCCTCACCTCTATGACCGCACCAGCCGAGCGCGTCATCCGTCCAGGCTTCGAGAACAAGGTCCCCCGCACCCCCGATGAGTTCGCCGCCCGCTGGAAAGAGTCCCGCGAGTACCAGATCGTCCGCGCTGAGATCGAGACCTACAAGAGTCTCTACCCGCTCAACGGTTCCAGCGCCGAAGCTTTCCGCGAGAACAAGAAGTCCGCACAGGCTAAAGGTCAACGTCTCAAGTCCCCCTTCACGCTTTCCTACATGCAACAAGTCGATCTATGCCTCTGGCGCGGCTGGAAGCGTCTCAAGGGCTCACCAGGCGTTACCATCTTCTCCCTCATAGCAAACACCTGTACCGCGCTCATCGCCTCGTCACTGTTCTACAACATGAAGCCCACGACGAATGACTTCTTCAAGCGCGGTGCTGTTCTCTTCCTTGCCGTGTTGATGAATGCCTTCGCTTCTGCCCTTGAGATCTTGACGCAGTATTCCCAACGACCTATTGTTGAGAAACATTCGCGGTACGCTTTCTACCATGCTTCTGCTGAGGCGTTTGCTTCGATCTTGGTTGATATGCCGTATAAGATCAGTAATAGTATTCTGTTCAATGTCACTCTTTATTTCATGACGAATCTTAACAGGGATGCGGGAGCATTCTTTTTCTACCTCCTTGTTTCGTTCATCATGGTCCTCGCCATGTCTGGTATTTTCCGATCTATGTAAGTCTCATCACTCACGCTTACTGCGCACCACCGCTAACATCTCAGTGCTTCACTCTCTCGTACACTCTCACAGGCCATGGTTCCCGCTTCGCTCCTGATCCTCGCCCTCGTCATCTTCGCCGGCTTCGTCATCCCAACAGACTACATGCTCGGCTGGTGTCGATGGATCAATTACCTCGATCCAGTAGCCTACGCCTTCGAATCCCTCATGGTCAACGAATTCTCCGGTCGCAATTTCACCTGCACCGCCTTCATCCCCAGCAACTCTATCTCCGGCTACGAAGACGTCCGCGGTCTTAACCGAGCTTGTTCCACGGTCGGCAGCATTCCAGGCGAGAGCTTTATCAATGGCGATCGCTACCTCAACCTTCAGTACAAGTACTACCACGCTCACAAGTGGCGCAACGTGGGTATTCTCATCGCCATGACCATCTTCAACCACGTCGTCTACATCGTCGCTACCGAGTACATCTCCGCCAAGAAGTCAAAGGGTGAAGTCCTCGTCTTCCGTCACGGCCACCTGCCCGCTTCCACCAAAGGCAAAGCCGATCCCGAATCCGCTGTTTCCGGCCCCGTTCCCACCGCTGAGAAGTTCAACAACGAGGTTGCCAACATTCAAGGGTCTACTAGCGTCTTCCACTGGAATAATGTGTGCTACGACATCAAGATCAAGGGCGAACCTCGACGTATTCTCGACAACGTTGACGGATGGGTCAAGCCAGGAACTCTAACTGCTCTCATGGGTGTCTCGGGTGCCGGAAAGACTACTCTCCTCGACTGTCTCGCTGATCGAATCTCAATGGGCGTCATCACAGGTGAAATGCTTGTCGATGGCAAAATCCGCGACTCATCCTTCCAGCGAAAAACCGGCTACGTGCAGCAGCAAGATCTTCATCTCGAGACCAGCACCGTTCGTGAAGCTCTTACTTTCTCCGCCCTTCTCCGCCAGCCCGCCTCTACCCCCCGCGCCGAAAAGATCGCCTACGTCGACGAAGTCATCAAGCTGCTAGACATGCAAGAGTACGCCGACGCAGTCGTCGGCGTCCTCGGCGAGGGTCTCAACGTAGAACAGCGCAAGCGCCTCACCATCGGCGTTGAACTCGCCGCGAAGCCTCCCCTGCTCCTCTTCGTCGACGAACCTACTTCCGGTCTTGACTCGCAGACATCCTGGGCCATTCTCGATCTTCTCGAGAAGCTCTCCAAGGCAGGCCAGTCTATCCTGTGTACCATCCACCAACCGTCCGCGATGCTTTTCCAGCGCTTTGACCGTCTTCTCTTCCTCGCCAAGGGCGGACGCACCATCTACTTTGGCGACATCGGCGAGAACTCTGAAGCCCTAACCAATTACTTCGTCAGGAACGGTTCTGATCCTTGTCCCAAGGGCGACAACCCTGCTGAGTGGATGCTTGAGGTCATTGGCGCGGCACCTGGCTCACATACTGAGATCGACTGGCATCAGACTTGGCGACAGAGCCCTGAGTATCAGGAGGTTCAGACTGAGCTTCAGCGTCTCAAGGTTGAGGGTAGTGCTCACAATGAACCTCACGATACCAACTCTGAGTCGTACCGGGAATTCGCTGCGCCTTTCTGGGAGCAGCTTCGCATTGCTAGTCTCCGAGTCTTCCAGCAGTACTGGCGCACTCCTTCATACATCTACTCCAAGGCTGCTCTGTGTATCCAAGTGGGCCTCTTCATCGGTCTCGTCTTCCTCAACGCTCCTCTGTCAATTCAGGGCTTGCAGAACCAGATGTTTGCCATCTTCCAGGTCCTCACAGTCTTTGGTCAACTCGTCCAGATGCAGGTAAGTCTTCCTACACTCCCACCATCCCCAACACTCACTAACTTCCCTAGATGCCTCACTTCGTCACCCAACGCTCCCTCTACGAAGTCCGTGAACGCCCCTCCAAGACATACAGCTGGAAGGTCTTCATGCTCTCCCAAGTCTTCGCCGAGATCCCCTGGAACAGTCTCATGTCCGTCTTCATGTTCGTCTGCATCTACTACCCGGTCGGCTTCCAGAAGAACGCCGAAGCAGCCGGCCAGACCGCCGAGCGCGGTGCCCTCATGTGGCTTCTCTTCTGGCAGTTCCTCGTCTTCACTTGTACCTTTGCTCACATGTGTATCGCCATCACCGATACTGCTGAGGCAGGTGGTAACCTTGCCAACGTTATCTTCATGATGTGCCTTTTCTTCTGTGGTGTCTTGGCCTCGCCCGATAACATGCCTGGCTTCTGGATCTGGATGTACCGAGTATCGCCGTTTACGTATCTCGTCTCGGCGATTTTATCGACTGGTATAGCCAACACACATGTTACCTGCGCGTCCAACGAGTACACAACCATGCAGCCACTCAACGGCACAACATGCGGGGAATATCTCCAGAACTTCGCCGACAAAGCTGGTGGCTACGTCTTCAACCCCGACGCGACATCCGAGTGCCAATTCTGCCCCATCAAAGACACCAACACGTTCCTCAAGGCCCTCAGCGCCAGCTACGAGCACCGATGGAGAGACTTTGGTATCGGAATGGTGTACATTGTCGTCAACATTGCAGGCGCTCTGTTCCTGTACTGGCTTGTTCGCATGCCCAAGAACAAGAACAAGAAGAAGCAACAGTAAATGCACACTTGAGCTTCGGCTCTTTTTTATTTTATTTTTGGTACAAGGATTTGTTTTAGAGAAGTACTATAGACTGGATTGGGTTTTTTACTTTTACTTAGAATAGCAATCATCGAGTGTCGATATTAGACTTGTTGGAAGCTCAATAGCACATCGTCAATACATTACGCTCTCTACCCGCCACTCGAGTGCCTCGATGATTACCAGATAACATTTGAGTCACTTTCGATGTGAATAGATATTTTGTTCTTATATCGACTCATTGACTGCTTCTTGACTCTCGATGGATCCTCCATTGTCCCGTTATTTCCTTAACTCCCGGCATTTCCTACGTTGCCGATATTACCGACATAACCACCAAAATCCACTGTTTGAGATTGAGAAATGTGTCATTTCTAAGCCATACCGCGGCAAGCTACGCCGATCACGCCTGAATCAGTTGCATGTGTAACTTGTAGGGCTGAGATGGGGGAGTTTTGGGTGGCATTGGCTGGTAACGCTGTGGTCGACTTAAATATTCACACACCTCAAAATGCAGTGCCATCATTGAACTAACTGGCACGAGAGCAATTGTTTCCAGTGCTATTATGGCGCAATTGAAACTGATTCATGCCACTGATGAATCTCACATACTCTACTTATGACAACGGTATACAAATTGATTGGGATTGCTTCCTGAGCCCCGGTCCAATGGAGGAGACTGATCATGCAATCTGCTTCACAATACGATACTTATATTCAAGCAGCAGCAACAGCACCACATGAACCGAACATGTATTGACGAACTAATGCATGGTCTTGATTTATAACCACATATCCGTATCACGTCTTACAAGACCTCCATCCATAGTAATTTGTCTATCCCCCTCCAATCATCTCCCCCACAACCGTCCGGCCGAGTATCCAGATGCCGGGAAGATCTGCTCCATCGGAGGATGAACCCCGCGGGCCGCAAACATTCCCGCCTCAACCCCGACCCCAGCATCACCAATACATAAACTCCATCATATCCTTCATCACTGCTCACTATGATCAGCTCTTCATTATTGCGACAAAATGGCCGTTGACGCTTCAGATAGCGTCTGTCCCACGCTCCGCGATGAACCCCTCACCGATGAACCCCTCACCGATGAAAAACCCCCAGACGATGCTGCTTCAACCCCAAGCCAAGGCGATGAAGAGAACCAAGCTTGCACAACAGATGATCCCGGTGAACCTCCAGATGGTGGATTGCAAGCCTGGCTCCAAGTCGTAACAGGCCATCTCGTCGCTTTCAACTCGTGGGGATATCTCATTAGCTTCGGTATATTCCAACCCTACTACGAATCCCAATTCTCCCTCCCGCCCTCAACAATCTCATGGATCGGAAGCTTAGAAGTCTGTCTCATTTTCTTCATCGGTACATTCTCCGGTCGAGCTTTCGACGCAGGGTATTACCGCACTGCCCTAGCAGTAGGCCTGTTCCTCCAAATATTAGCCATCTTCATGACGAGTATCGCATCATCATACTGGCAAGTCCTTCTCGCGCAAGGAATCTGCCAAGGTTTGGGGAACGGCATAATTTTCGCACCGACTATAGCGAATATGTCGACGTATTTTACTAGCAAGAAGACTATTGCTATATCAGCTGGTGCGTGTGGTGCTGGCACGGGAGGGATTGTGTTTCCGTTGATTGCGCAGCAACTTCTTCCCAAGATTGGGTTCCGATGGACGGTGAGGGTTATGGGATTGGTAGTTGCTGTGTCGTCGATGATTATCATGATCATTGCGAAGACGCGACTCAAGGCGAGAAAGGCTGGGCCGCTTGTTGAATGGGCTGCGTTCAAGGAGCCAGCATATGTCCTCTTTGCGGCGGCTATGTTTTTCACCTTGTGGCCGACTTGGATCTCCTACAACTATGTGAGTCTTCACTCAACTGACCTCTATGACGGGTACTAATGATGTCCAGGCTCGTCAATACACAACCGACAAACTCTCCGGCTCAGCCTCAGACTCATTCCTCATCCTCATCGTAATCAACGCCGTCGGTATCCCAGGCCGCATGATATCCGCCTTTCTCGCCGACCGTCTCTTCGGCGCCATCCCCGTTTTCATCCCTACAATCTTCTCCGCCTCACTCTGTCTCTACCTCTGGTCGCAGGTCTCCTCTCTAACCGGAATGTTTATCTGGGTCAGCATATTTGGCTACTTCGGCGCAGCGATACAGAGTCTCTTCCCGTCATGCTGTGCAAGTCTAACACCTGATTTAAGTAAAGCTGGAACAAGAATTGGAATGATATTCTCGATTATTAGTTTTGCCGCGTTGACGGGGTCGCCTTTGGCTGGGAAGTTGATGCAAGCTACGGGCGGGAGTTATTTGGCGGCGCAGATTTGGGGAGGGTCAAGTATGATTTTGGGAATGGCGTTGTTGTATGCTGCGAAAAGAGCTGAGGCTAGACAAAAGTAATGATTTAGAACACCATAGATATTATCATTTAATATAGACATCGAATTGAACCAATATTGAAATGAGGTGTTGTGTTGCACTCCGCACAATTGTATGCCCGCTAGATCCCGGCATCCAATGATTGCTTCTAAAATTTCACCACCACCAAATTCCTCCAGAAACCAACATCACCACCCCTCTTCTTCCTCAGCATGTCCCCAACACCATGGATATGCCGAACCTGCACAAGAGCATTAACACGCTCTCACATGCGCCAATTCGTGCGCTTCGCAACCAATGGTCCGCCCTCCTTCAATCTCCTACAGTGCTCCCGCTAACCATCACAGATGCCTCACCACTCCTCGCACCCGCCCTCCTTCAACGCGCCCAATCCCTCACAACCGAACACGACGACCTGCAAAAAACCCTCAACAACTCCTTCGATTCCACCATAGCCAAGCGCGTCGGCGAATTATCCCGTGTAGCTGGAGCGCTGAAAGCATGGCAGATCTCTCAAGCCTCCGTCGCCGAATTAACTTCCATGATCGACGACCCCGATCAAGATGCCGATCTCGCTGCCATCGCCCGCGATGAACTCAGCTCCGAAACAGGAAAACTCGAATCCCTCGCCCGCAGACTCTCCGCCAGTTTAACGCCCCGCCATCCTTTCGCAGATTTTCCATGCATGCTGGAATTCCGTCCTGGGCCTGGTGGTCTTGAAGGACGGTACTTTATGGATACTTTATTCAAGATGTACAAAGCGCTGTGTATGCGACGCGGTTATCGCCATACAGTAGTAAAATACGAATTCGCCGATACCGCAGGTGATTCCTCCTCATCGGCCGGCGAAAACCCCCTCCAAGAAGCCATTCTCGAAGTCCACGACCAAGGCGCCTTCGACATCTTCCGCAGCGAAGCAGGCATGCATCGCGTCCAACGCATTCCCAGCACCGAGACCAAAGGCCGCGTACACACCAGCGCCGTAGCAGTCTGGGTTCTTCCCTCGTTCCCCGAGAACGGCGCAAGCAACATCGACTTTGACGATCCAGAGAGTGACTTCTACGTTAATCCCCAAGAAGTCAAGATCGAAACGATGCGAGCTAGAGGTGCAGGAGGACAACACGTTAATAAGACGGAGTCTGCTATTCGAATGACGCATTTGCCGACTGGTACGACTGTATCGATGCAGGATCATCGTTCGCAGCAGCGAAATCGTGAAGAAGCATGGAAATTGCTTCGTTCGCGAATTGCTGATCAGCGACGAGAAGCTCGTGAAGAAGAAGCTTCAAAGCTGAGAAACAGCGTACTCTCCAAGACGCAGATCACACGAGGTGATAAGATCCGCACATACAACTATAACCAAGACCGATGTACCGACCATCGCGCAGGCGTTGACGTGCACGACTTACCAAATGTGCTTGAAGGTGGTGAAAAGCTAGATCGAATCATGGATGGCGCAAAAGATTGGCTTGTCAACAAGGACATTGAACTTCTCATGGCTGAAGAAGAAGCCAAAGAGAAGCTCAACAGCAAGAAATAGAAGTGTACAACACTGTAGCATAGACCTTGTATTATCATGTACAGAACCCGCTGTAGGGAACCCAAAAACTCTGTTGAATAGATGACGATATCCCACGCTTCATATCTTCGTGCCATTATACGTATCAAGAACGAACCAAACTCCAGCATGCATCCGATGAGGATACTGCACTCCCAGCCAACTCCTTGCATCAAAGTCCATTTCACATTAATCCTCCCAGAACCACCTTTCCAATATTAGCCACCTCCGTCTTGACATGACTTCGGCTCTGCTCCTCGAAATCGCGTACTATGCCTTGCACGATTATCTTGCGCACGCGCGAATCCGCTTTCGTGAAGAGTTCAGCGACAGGTGCAGAACACTCTCTAGGTGAAGGTACCAACGCCAGAAATCTCGTGTAGCAATCGATCAACACATCGCACAGTGTCGCGAACGTCTCAAAGTAATCCGGATCAAATGGTAGCGATGGCGTAAGAAGAAAAGTATACTCCTCGCCGGGAAGAAGATCTGTTTCCGAAGCTGCAAAGTTCATCACAGATGGCGCTGGGCCACCTGCAGCAGGCAGGGAAGCCATTTCGTCGACCATGGGGTGCATATCAGCTGCTGATGTTGAACGGCGAGATTTACCGCCTGGGCGACGGAACATGCTTGGGAGACGCGCGCGGGTAAGCGATGCAGCGGTGGATGATTCGCCGTGGAGTTGCTGGAACGAGTCGAATTCGGAGAGGAGAGAGTTTAAACTTCGGAGGAATTCGATCGATGTGGAGGAGTAGAGGTCGATGATTGTCGGAAGGGAGAGGCCGAGAAGGAGATGGTTTGTTGCTTTGCGACCAAGTTTTCGAGCGTCGAGGGAGGGCATACGACTAAGGTCTGTCTTCTCGAAGAGGTATGTCTTGAACCAATAAATCCGTCCTTCATGCCTATTTCACTGTTAGCTAACACCCAAGACTCTGCGCCAGATTGCGACATACGCTTTCCGCAAATACTCCAACGTCGCGATGCGCTTATTCGCAAGCTCCGTAACATGATGATGCATGATACCCGCTTCATTCTGCTGCCACATTCCCGATGTCCCAACCGCCCCATTCGGCATTATCCCCATCGGCGTATTCGGCACGATCCCCCCATAAAGGGTCGTCGACCCCGTCGCACTCCGACTCAACATCTGAGCTTCCACGGGCGCCGAACTATCCACACCGTCTGGTCTAGGCGCTACCTTCGCAGCAGCAGAAAGAGCGTAATCCGGCAGCGCAGGAGGCGCCGTAGCATCCGTGACAAAAGCGTTAGGTCCGTTCCCGAACGAACTCCCGCGTCTACTTGACAGCGACGCTTTTCGCGAGAACGACGCTTTGCGGTCTTTGGAGAGGATGTTGGGGATGTTCGTATTCAAAGGATCAACGGTGTGGCCGTCGCGCGTGGTTGGACGAGAAGCGGCGTTGGAGGAGAAGATGGAAGTCGAGAAGATGGGCGTGCCCGTGTTATTCGGTGTTTTGGGAGGCATGTTTTGACGATCTAGCCCTGGGGGACAGATAGACGACGGAGTAGGTAACTGTGTTTGTCTCTTTTCGTGGTAGCCGTGCGTTAAGGAGGGCGAGGGGTGTGGGATGATCGGCAGTCGAAGTAGCCAACAGCTGGCGTTTTCCCAGAGCCGCACGCGGATTGCAGCGTCGTAGTGAATCCACGAGGGGGTTTGAGGGATGAGGTTAGGTGTTTCGCTTGCGATACGCCTATAGGCGCTCAGCGCCGCTTTTTCGCTCGTTTCTTCGATTGCCTAACTCTCGTGAATCTCAATATCGATTGATCGTCGTGCTCATCAGTACTGTAAAGAAAATGGTGAAGGGTATGTCCTGAACTTGAACTTGAACCCCTGGTTTGTGGTGCCGAATGTGGATTGGGCGGGAATTGCTTTTGGAATGGAAGGAAAATAAAAGATCCCTCTCACGCCAGAGCGCATGGGTAAGGTAAGGGTTAAAATTGAAGATCCGCTAACTACCTCCAGCGAAAACTGACCATCTACGGAATAACCACCATTCTTGGCAAGACTCGCATATAGGATCGGTTTCGTGATTTTATTGTGAAAAATAAGGGCCGATTGTGGATGATCGTTTATTTAGCTGGTTACAGGCTCAAATACGTTGCAGCAAAAAGGGACGCCGTTGTGAGGTTCCCCAGCCTTGCCAGTTAATAGACGTCAGCCTTTAACGCAGGGAGACAAAAATGTTAGGACAAGCCTGTGAGTTTGAGGAGCAAACTCAGCAGGCTCTTTAATAGATCATTTTTTGTTATTTTTATTATAGTATCTGTGCCTCTTGACCCATAAAGGAATTAAGCATGCAACCCCTCACAGTTAGGGATTAGATACCATCACTGAGAATCGCATTACCCTACAGCAACAACAGTGCTTTCATGGCGATGGGCGAGCCCCAAGAACCATAAGACTCTCTATAACTATTCCCGCGCTTTTGTCCTTGAGTGAGTACTTATGAGAAACCGTATTACGCAATGTTGTCGAGGGAATGACCTTCTATCTGGCTGATATTTATGCTGGGTGAGGATTGCCTTTGATTAGGCGCTGTCGGTGTCAGTGGGCAGAGGCTCTATTGTTGCTGTCCGTTACCTGTAATCATATGTAATTTATTTTCTTTACCAAACATGTTCTAGTATCTAGCCCTATCTATGGTCAACATTTACACAGAGAAAAGGTCCCAAGGTCTCGATTTAAGCTCAACAGCACGCTAACACCGTGACGTCTTTGTGAAACTCCAAAGACCCCTCATTGCTCACTCACCTCAACACCATCGCAACCCATTTTCAATAAGAGCAGCCAACGCATGCATACCATATAAACACCCAAAATGACAACAATTCATATCTTACGCCATGGCCAAGCTCTACACAAGTAATCAACCCTCCTACCCATCTTTCGCCTCGCTGACAATCCAGCGTCGAAAGAGGCTATCCCCACCGCGACCCTCCACTCACAGATCTAGGCACACGTCAAGCACGCAACGTCCAACAGACCATTAAAATCCAACCAGACCTAATAATCGTATCGCCCATGACAAGGACCATACAAACAATGTACATCGTCTTCCGCTATCTCCTCCACAGTGACAAGACCAAAGTCCAAGTATGGCCCGACCTGCGCGAAGCACACGACGCAACATGCAACAAAGGCGTTTCACGAAAAGACTTGGAGAATAAATTTCCGAATCTTGACTTTTCAGCTTGTCCGGAGAAGTGGGACTTTCCGACGCACACCCCGGATGATGCGACGGTACGAGCCGAAAGAGTTCGGCGGCGGTTGAGAGATGTTGCTAGGATTGGGGGCTATAAGAACATCATGCTCGTCACGCATCGAGGCTTTGCAGCTTTTCTCGTGCAGGGTGATAGGTTCAGTGTTTGTGGTAAGAGTACCAACGTGTGAAGAGATCTTGGCTGATGATGTAGAACACCGATCATATCGCTTCGCTACGAGCGAAGAAGTGGAAAAAACAAGACATGGAGTTAACATAGATACAGGCCTTGAGCAAAATTTTGGTCCAACAGTATTGATACCAGCTGAGAAGCCGAAAACTCGCCAGGGGCCATCGAGCTGACGGGTACTATCAATAGATGTAAAACCCCTGGTCTGAAAGCATCATCTCTAGGCTTGGACGATCATGAGGTTTGAGGAGAATACAATCTTAGACTACAGTGCTGACCTCGTCTCACTAAGCAAATATTGATCAACTGAAAATATTGCTAGAAGAGTCCAAATGGTGGCCACGTCAACATAAGCGGAATACCACCCTTCCTGTCAGCAGTCATCATCGCAATCACCGAGCCCACTTCCCTTCATATCAATTCTCACATTTTGGGGTCCATGACAACTCGAAGTAAGCCGGAACAAACACATAAATCTCCCACCGGTTCAAAATAAGACCTTAAAATCTAATTGGATGAACAAGTACCAGTGGCGGAGATATCCAGTGTTAACTAGAGATAGTTTAAAATAAAGAAGCGCTTCAGACCAAAATCAGCTAAGCCTCACAAGTATATTTACAGCACCAACCCTCATCTTTGCATCAGTGGCGGTGTAAACCAATGTGCATCCTGCAACTCCACGCTTACAGCTATTTACGCTATTTCGTAAGCCAAGCCACTGCAGGGCTGGCCAGTAAACATCTCTGCTGATGCTGAACCACAGTGGATCTTGGGATGAGAAATGTCAGCACTAGTAGGGCTGAGCTCGGCATCACGGCAGTTTAAATAATCTCCCAGTCCCAATCCCAATTTCAAGTAAAAAATAATAATAATAATCAGCGTGCTTATTTTCTCCTTTCTTTTTATTTCTCAGAGAAATTTTCCTCACTGGGAAATCATGACTTTTGTACGACCATTGCTGTACGTTGCCCTCGGGCTTCTCATGGTGGTTTCCATCATCGAACTCTCCTTCATCTCAAGTATGGTCGGTTGGCTACACGGCAACGCCAGCGGAACCTTTTCTTTCGAGTATCGCGGTACAAGACACAATCTCAAAGGCGAGCCTGCAAACTTGATCGTTGATCAGGGACATACCAGCAACGGCGCAGCTGGAACAGCATTTGTCCTCATCGGCTGTGGAGGAATTCTCGCTTTGATTCTTCGCAACAGACAAAACCCCGGGAAATTCAGTCGATTCTTTTATAACCTATGGCTGGTTTTCAACGTCCTCAGCTTGTTACTCATTCTCACGGCTCTAATTTATACATTCGTTGTTACGAATAATCATAACGGACAACGTATCAACCCTGGTGTTGCGGCGGGTCTTGATGATGATGAGAAATACCCTCTTCAGTCATGGACACCTCAGAATTGGTTCTCAGCATTCCTGAAACTCGATCTGACCAACTCGAATGAGAGAAATGACATTGAACATCATCTGCGTCTCATGAGAGGCTGGCAGTACAACCTCATCCCCTTCTTCATCATCCACCTTGCCGAAACAGTCCTTGCACTCTGGGACGCCATGCTACGACGAAACGAACCTGTACCAGCGTATGCGCCACCCAAGCACACTGTCTAAGTCAATTACATATACGAAAAGGATCCGAATCCTTGCAAGGATGGAACAGTATTTTTATTGGCTACATAAACGAAGAATCATGGCATCTACCTCGGCATAAAATGTATAGAGGACAAATCTTTAATGATATAATAGCATAATGCTAAATAATTTACTCACCTGCTTCATTCGTGATAGAGTCCAGTAACTCAAATGTGATTACAAATCCTGTATACGAAAGGGCGCGCCAATGACTCACTAGAACACGCAGCGGGGCTTTCTCAACACATAAAAGCCGTCTCTAAGCACACGATACTCACCCTTGTCTAATCATCCACAAACCAGATCAAAATGACATATACACTCTTCATCGGCAACAAGCGCTACTCCTCCTGGTCAATGCGACCCTGGGTTCTTCTCAAAGCCCTAGAAATCCCCTTCGACGAGAAACTCAACCTCTTCAAGCCTGGTCTTCGTCAACCCGACTTCCTCGCCTTTTCACCAACCGGAAAAGTCCCCTGTCTTCACGATGACGAAACATCAATTGTGGTTTGGGACTCATTAGCTATCTGCGAATACATCGCTGAGAAATACCCCGCTGCTTGGCCAACCGACGCAGCAGCACGCGCCTTTGCACGCAGCGCCGCTGCAGAAATGCACTCTGGATTCGATGCCATTCGTGACGAGTGCTCTATGAACGTTGTTTTGAGAATTGAACTTGGAACACCGAGTGAAGCGCTTCAGAAGGATATTGATCGCTTCAATGCGCTTTTCAAGGAGGGGCTGGAGAAGTTTGGTGGTCCGTGGTTGGCGGGTGATAAGTTTACAATTGTGGATGCTATGTATGCTCCTATTGCTTCGAGAGTCAAGACCTATGGTATTGAGTTGGATGGTGCGGCGAAGGAATATGCTGATCGGTTGTTTGAGCATGGGTCTGTTCAGGAATGGATTCAGGGTGGGATTAAGGAGACGAGTAGAGAGCCTTTTCACGAGGAGGACTGTGTGAGGGGACGCAAGGTTCTGAAGGACTTGGCTAAGGAGTAAGAGTCTGAACAAGTATTGGAGACATGTATTCGATCAAAAGTGCGGCTATTTAATAAAGAAAACCCTAGGTATTTGGGAAGTGCATTAACTCGAAAAGCGTCCTACGGCTAGTTTTGCTCCGAGGAGGTTCCTGCGAAGCTCAGATATGCCAACTTGGTGAGAAGGCGAAACTTCTTTCCCCACATGATAAATGCACCTGCAAATACGGTGATGATAAATGACAAGAAACAGACCAGAATGAAGGTATCCTGCACGCCCATGCTGTCAATCCAAGGCTGAATTCCAAAGGTCATGGCACAACCGATGATGTTCCTAATCAAGATAACTGTCGTGATAGCCTCGCCATCTACTTCCTTGTAGCAGTCAACCACGTAGGCCATTGTGAGAGCAGCTGCAACAGTCAACCCAAAGCCGACGAGTCCCATACCGACGACAGGCCCGATCCAAGGTAAAGCATTGGCTGCACCGACGCCGTAGAGTAATAGGCCTCCTGACATCAGGAATGCCATGGGGATGAAGACCCAGAGACGGAACTCTGGTTCTAACCAGCCACGGTTCCGACGCGTGAGAAAAAGCACGAGTTTATCGTTTAGGGGTCCGGCCATCAAGGCTCTAACGAAAAGTTAGCATATATAGTTATAGTACTGTATTGTTGGGGGCTTACCCAAAGAGACCACCGATGAGAGGGGAAAGCCAGATAAGACCCAAAGCCTCATTGCTCATATTATATGGCGGAGAACCTAAGATAGAAGCTGTAGTGGTTCCCAAGACGGTGATCCAAGAGACACAAGCTCCATATTCAAGTCCACTCTGCATTAATGTAAGTATGTTGTCAGTTTGAGTAAGGGATACTGTAACTTACCCAGACAATGGCTGGAAACCAGGCCAACTGCAAAGGACGATAGACCTGCCTAACGAACTCTCCCCAAGTTCCTGGGAGGACAACCCAAGGGCGGTATTGGAGTCGAAACGAACCTGTCTCCAGAACTTGACCGACTCTGTAAACACTGGTATTGGTGAGTGCAGAATGAAGATGCTTTCCTTCTTTATCATCATGTCGAATAGCCTCTAAAGCAGACTCTTGAGCTTCGTGAACCGGCTCATGAGGGAGCTCCGACTCTCTGGTGAAGTTACTTTCCTCCAAAGTGAAGAAGATAGCAACAAGGAGTATACCACAAAGGATAGCTCCCCACCAATATACCCAACGCCAACCAAGAGTTTCGATCATGTATCCAGAACATATGGGTCCGACTGAAGATCCAGCTGATAGACCAAAGGCGTAAATACCCAAGGCGAAACCTCGTTCATGAGCAAAGAAAATATCAGCGATCGAGATAGGAACAAGAGCTTCATAAGGTGCACGGCCCAGTCCAAAGAGGACGTGAGCGCCGATGAAGTCACCAGAGTTTCTTGAAGTTGCTAGCCAAACGTGACAACAGATCACGACAGTTAAGCTTGACAGGTACGCGATACGCCGACCAAACTCTGCAAGTTATCAGCAAGTGCAATATCTTTACCAAGCCGCGACACTTACTATGAGAAAGAGGCGTAAAGAAGATATTTCCAACCCCAAGCATCAGCAAAGTCAAAGCCGTGCCGATATTCAGTTGATTAATCGATGTACCAAGCGCATCCTGAATATCAACATAGACAGAACTTTCCCAGTTGCCCAGGGCAGTCATGACAGTGCTGTATATGACAAGCAAGAACAGGTGATATCTCTTTCGCCAGACGGACCACCGAAGTGGATCACCCAAACTGTCAGACGGAGTGGGAACAAGGATGATGTCTCCATGTTCGTTGGTGTTGTGGGATGGTCTAGTGACGAGGTAGACTGTTCCAGGGACGACTTGATAGTCGGAATGTGAAGAGTTATTCTCCTCCATGATGATTCAGAAGTGGTTGTTAGAGAGATGTGATGGTGGGTTTGATGCCGGAGTCATTGTTCAAGACGACGAGGTGATTTTATAGACTTGTAGACTTGACTGTTAGTAAGGAGTTCAGCGATAATGATCAACCTGCCGATGGTAATGCCGGTCGTTCATGGTGGGAGGAAAACCTGGGGTTGAACCAAACCCAAATAAGTCTTCCGACGCACTAAAGTCGAGGCTGAAAGCGATAACGGCCTCGGATGATCTGATGACTAGCAAAACAATCATTTCAGATGAAAAAGGGAAGTTGAAGATGCGAGAGAGGTCATGGCGATTTGAGTTTCGTTCGAGACTAAACTGCATTGGGTCTTCCGACAGACTAAGACTGGCCCTTGTCTAACCGTTGACCAATGAATCGGCTGGGGATTCAAGTCCAACTTCAATATCCGGAAGTATACCCGTGGGCTGAGGAGTTGGGCTAGACTGGATTGGCTCTTCCGACACACTAACTTGCTTGTTCTTGAACTCCTTGATCGTAATCAGTGGTATAAATTCCGATACCGTTATCTTCCTTTCCATGCTGGATTATCATTCAGACTGGCTAACATCCTTGACCTATCCTTGGCCTTCGTTATGACGCTTCTATCTAAACCAAGCTTCTCACTGGAAGATGTACGAAACACCATCGAAACTTACATCAAAGGACTTGCAGATGAGCTTTATACTTTGAACAAGCTGGTGAGAATCTGGCCAACATTCGCCATTCAATACGTTAACACCCTCACCCAGATCCATGACGAACCAGAAATAGCCTTCCAAGAAATCAAAGCCCAAACTCGGATCTCCGATTTCCTCGAGAAACAAGGCCACTCCGTCCAACGAGGCGCTTACGATCTTCCTACATCCTTTGAGTCTACATATGGCTCCAAAGGCAGACATGTAAACTTCAACGCAGAATACGATGCTCTTCCTGGCCTCGGTCATGCTTGTGGTCATAACTTGATCGCAACGGCGAGCATTGCTGCGTATCTAGCTTTAACACATGCTTTAGCAAAGTATGGTGTTGATGGGAGAGCGCAGTTACTTGGTACGCCAGCTGAGGAAGATGGTGGAGGAAAGATTCTTCTTCTCAATGCAAAGGCTTATGATAAGGCCGATCTATCTTTGATGATGTGAGTTACAACAACAAGTACAAGTGGCCTTTCGAGCTCTCTAACACCATCAGTCATCCTTTTGTAGAAGACCAATTTCGCCCAAGCGGTACAATAGGATCAGCCGGCCAAAGCAGCATCGCAATCGTTGACCTAATCGCCGAATTCCGCGGCATAAGCGCCCACGCTTCTGGAAATCCGTGGGACGGAATAAACGCCCTCGATGCATTAGTAGCCTCATACAATAATATCTCAATGCTACGACAGCAGATAAAGCCAGATGAGCGTATCCACGGATGCATTCTTCAAGCACCAAAGATCACCAATGCGATACCAGAATATACAAAGGTCAAGTTCTCGATTCGAAGTCCCAAAATGAACTCTTTGAAGAAGTTGAGTCAACGCGTGCGGCATTGTCTCGAAGCTGGTGGTTTGGCGACAGGTTGTGAGGTTGAGATAACTGAGGATTTGGCGTATGCTGATCTTTGGGTCAATGATCCTCTCTGCTCCCTTTTCAAGAACCACATGGATTCACTCGGCGTTCTGCTGTCTCAAGGAAGTCAAACCGAGAATATCGGTGGTTCGACAGATATGGGGAATGTTAGCCAGGTTATCCCTGGTTTGCATGCTATTATCGGGATCAAAGCACCAAAGGGCACGTTCCCTCACAATCATGCTTTCGCTGAGGCTGCTGGTACTAAGGAGGCTCATTTGAGGATTCTTGAAGCTGCGAAGGGAATGGCTTTGACGGCATGGTCTGCTATTGTTGATGATAAGGTATTTGCTGAGATTCAGGACCATTTTGACAAGATGAAGAAGACAAATGAGCATTTGAATCTATGAACAAATTAAGTAGGCTCCAGTAGTACAGAAAGGCGCAATTAACCATGATTTTCCCAATAGTTATATTCGTACAAATGATGAGTAGACTGCTCGTACCGAGCAGACTTCCTTGTCTTACAGAATCACAGTTTTTAGTAGAGACTCTTCGAACAGAATGTCCAGTCCCAGCGAGCAATTATTCTCTCCCTCAGCCTCTGCAGCGGCCTGTTCTGTCAAAATTCCAGCAATAGGCGTACAATGATCCGTAGGTCTTGGTCTCCAGGCACATGAAAGGAACTCTACGACAGATCGCACTGCCCTGCCACCTGCAAAGTGATTCATGGCCTCAACATGTAGGAAGATAAGATCTTGGCTTTTGGTCGTTGTCATACCGGTGCCAAGAACAGTAATAGCCCACAGTAGGCTTGTGAAGTCGGATCGCACTCTAGAGAGATGATGAAGTGCTGCTTCGCAAAGGCTTACGACTAAAGTCTCTTCAGCCCTCAGTGACGGGTTTTCTAGTTTGGTGATGAGGAGTTCAATAGCCAGTGAGTAGACCCTTCTTATGTGGAAGCTCTCCGTATCATGGTCGGTAATGGTTAGTCCCCTATTCGGAACCGCTGCCACTGGTTCTAGTTGTTCGATGTCCTCGCCGTATCCAAGTTGGCACTCGTGTAATCTGCTCCTCAGCTCTCGTAGTCTGGCTTGCATATAATCCGGTGCTACGCTGAGTCGATGATGCAGAAGATGGGATACTTTGAATAAGATGTCGAAAAGCTCGATGGGAAGCCATGCCGATAACCCTGCCTTCACAAAGCCACGAAAGTTGGCGTCTGACTCCAGAACAGGTGATCTTGACCATAGGTTTATGATCTTCGAAAGATCGTGGTAATTGCGTAAATAGCTTGGGCGAAAGACGCTGTTGATGGCGACATGATAAACCAAGGTCTCCAGCACCAAAGCTTGATGGGTATTTTGAGGCGGTTGGTCAAGTGCCAGGCACAGAGGCGCCGTGACTGAGAGATAGGTTAGAGAATCGGTAGTGGAGTTTTCGAATCTCTAGACGTTAATCAGTTTTGGAAGAAGCTAGGTTTCATTAAAGGTGTGAACTCACCTCAAATACATGAAGCAACAGCACAGTCGCGATATTGGAATCCTGTGTAAGGCCCCTCTCACTCCTTGTACTTAAGCGCAGTTGCTTCAGGGCATCGCTGTGTTGTTGGAGGGCGTGTATACGCCAGGTTGGTTGGAACTGGGAGATTATAATTGCTGAACACGCCAGCCATGCATGAAGCATGCTGCGAGAATTGGCTAAGGCTTCAAAGCCCTCAGCAAGCATTGAAAACTCTCGTCCTCGATCAAGTCTTGATGTAGCTTGGTCGAGAACCTCTAGCAATCCTGTCATGGAGCATGATGGTAGGCCTTGGAAGCAGTCGTTGAAGGCTCCCGTCTTGCCAACAAGAGCTTGGTCTTGGATCGGAGAAGAGATTCGGTATCCATTTCGCAATATTAACTCATCAAAAGAGGACTCGGGTGTACTAGGTCCGCTGGTCTCATCGTTAGAGCTGCCATCCAGCCGAGGACTCGCGCTCCTTTCACCAGCCCGAACATCGAGCTTCTGGTTACGACGCTCATTACTGCTGCGCCAGCTACAAGCCACTCGACGACTCGAACAGCTGCCGCATATTGGGCGACATTCATCGCATTTCTTCCGTCGACTTCGGCCTAAGAGCAGAGTCAGTGATTTCGCCACTATGGTGAGACTGCAGCCCTACATGGAATGCAACCACCTTGAGACCGGCGATGCTTTGCGCGCTTCTCTGCATGAACCCAGCCTCCCGAGTAAAGTTCGAATTGCGCAAACATTGGTCTTGCGGAAGTATACTGAAGATAACCATGTATCGATGTGGTAGGTGAATGAGTAGTTGGAGCTGTAAAATCTGGGGATGCGGGGTTTTATGTTCTACCTACCTACCTCAGGATAGCTTCACACTCCCAGAAGGCGTTGACTCTAAACAAACGAGGAGTATTTCATATTTTTAATTACCATATGACTCAACTGACACACTCTGGCTTATCTATCAAAATACTTTCCATACCTGGGGTAGTCCTTTTACCATCTAGTGCCTGAATCTAGTATCTAACAAAAGAGAAACAAATTAATTTCTGTGTTAACTTCATGGAGAAACTGGTAAGCAGGTATATATATGCATAAACAAAGACTCTCAATTACACCTCTCTGTCGAAAAGGGGCTCTCTGTCCGACTCTGAACTTGATATCTCGCACGTGATAGATTGTTGCCTAATGCAAATGCTCAACCAACAACCTTGAGAATTCATCCTCGATTTACTTCATCAGCCCTACGCCTTTTTCTAACTCTAGCGAAACCTCACTATTGAACTAAAGGTTGAGAAAAGACGCCTAAATATGTCTCCTTCCACTGGTAAAAGTACCAGCAATGCATCAGTCGCCTCTGACGAGTCCTGTCGTTTTGAAACCATCCAGATTAGCGACACAGAGGAGCCTGAGTTTTATCGAAAAGGAGGCTTTCACCCAGTTCATATCGGTGAACACTTTGACGGGAGACGGTACAGAATTGCCCATAAGCTTGGTCATGGCGGCTTTTCCGTCGTGTGGCTAGCTTACGACTCCTTGGAGTCTATCTGGGTGGCCCTCAAGATTGTGGCTGCTGAGGACTCCCCCATGACGGAAGAAAAAGCAGTCATGTGCCACAATATCATTTCGCAAATGAAAGACGAAAGATTCATCACTTATAAGCGCTTCTTTCGCATCGAAGGACCGAATGGCCGTCATCTATGTCTAGTCTTGCCACCTTGTGGCCCTTCTTGCAACACCCTGTCCCAATACCTACAGAGTAGGATTCATCCCTGGCTGGCGCGTCGCGTGGCTTCTCAAGCTACGCAAGCTATCGCAGATCTTCATGCTCAGGGCCTCTATCACGGAGGTAAGCAATGTTTCTCCTTCCTACTTTCACTTCACTCATTTTCTGTAGATTTTACTCCAAGCAACATCGTCTTTCGCATTCGTAACCTCGATCATGTTGATGATGAAGGAATCTATCACCTTTTGGTGAACCCCAACGCGATGGTTTGAGAACGATATCTGATGAACCTACAGGCGCAGATGCCCCTCGATATATCGTTGGCAACCTCGACTTCACATCGGCAGAAGACCTCATACTTGACGATATTTGTTTGATCGATTGTGATCAAGCGTTCCTAGTCTCTGCGCCCCCCAAGAAGACACTTGGGACACCTCCAGGCTTTCTGGCGCCTGAGGTGGCAGTTGGAAAACCAGCCAGCCCAGCGGGTGATGTTTGGGCTCTGGGCTGTACCATCCTACAGATCAGGTCAGGCTCATCCCCTTTCTCGATTCCCAACGTCGATAGCCCAGCGAACTTGCTTGGATGGGTCAGCGAGTACATTGGCCGCATGCCGACATCATGGGGGAAGCCAGTATTCGACGATGATGGCCAGCCAACGACGGACACGGCTAATGGCGAGCACCTAGGTGAAATGCTTGAAAACACAAGATCGTTAAGGCAATGGATCAGCGAGATCTGGGATCAACCAGAAAATCTCGAGGAGCTCCAGCCAACATCAACTGCGCCAGACAGAGTAAAGGATGAGAACAAACCATATCTGAAATGTTACAGCAACAAATTTTGGAAACCTACCGCATTCAGAATTGACGATGTCTACCTTGGAGCATACTCCGACAAAGTTGATAAGATCATTGAGTCACTGCCGAAAATATCTACGCAAGAGGTTGAATTACTATATGATCTAATATCTAAAAATTTCGTTTATGAGCCTGCACAGCGAGTGTCTGCAAGAGATATCTTGGCTCATCCATGGTTTCATATAGATGATACAACATGAAAGCTTTGCCACCAATTCGTTCAAGGAAAGCGACGATATAACACTTAGAGTAGCTGATAGACAAAAATAAAAGTACAGATTCAGGGTTACGCATTGTTTCTCCTTAAATGCTGGAATAACACCCGGTGATTATTTCCGAATTGTCGTGGTCTGGAAGCCGGCTCTGAGCCGGCGGGTAAGCTTCCGGCCTGGTCTGGGGTTGCCACGCCGGGATATCCAAGATCTTATTCATGCAATCGTCATCAGAATAAGGCGACTATTGACCGATATACGGATGCTCTCCGTTTTCGGTGTGGCTCATCAGTGAAAATTATCAACATCATTCTCCAGGATGGGAATGTTGTTCTCACAATGTTCAAAGCTCCTCCGGCTTCGCTATTGGTGGGGTGACAGTAAGACGATGGTAACGGAATGAGCGGGTTGCCCCTGAGATCGGTGCGATTGAGTAAAATTAAGAAATACTTTGGATTATACACAAACAATTGAATGCATAAAGTATTCGTCCCCTTCCAAATGATCGGTCAAGAGTCAGCGGTGGCATTCGTGGAATGTTGGCCATCCTGTCACACGATAAGGTCACGTGCTTTTACGAAGATCCTGAGTCATCAGAATCACCCCGCCAAAATCTTTGACCCCTCCAAAATCTCGGGCTCAAATTGGGGCAAAGAGACCTACTTCTACCAGACGCTTCCCACTCCGTTCCTGCATAGACGAAGACGATATCGAAAACGAGACCGATAGACGCATACAAGCGAGACGAAACTACAGTACACGATTGACACAGCAATCCCTTCACCCGACAAACCTTACCCTCCTCCAACCCCGCCATCATGAGCTTCGACGCTGAGAGCGCGGCTCCAGTGCTCGCCACAGCCGACTTCAAGACTCTCGGTCCCCTGGCCGCTGAGCTTGACAAGCACCTCACTCTCCGAACCTACCTTGGAGGTTACAGTCTGAGCGAGGCCGACGAGAAGGTCTGGACTGCTCTCCGCACCAACAAGGTCGCCATTGGCCTCGTCCGAAAGGGCGCCTACGCCAACATCACCCGATGGTTCAAGTTTATCGAGGATGCTCACCCTGAGCTGAAGGAGAAACTCAACGCCGGCAAGGAGAAGCGCGCTGGTGGTGCCAACTACAACATTGGCCTCCAGAACACCGAGAACGGTGTCGTTACCCGTTTCCCTCCCGAGCCCAGGTATGTTCTTCACCAACACACGCATCGCGGGACTTTACTGACTCTTCACAAGTGGTTACCTTCACATCGGTCACGCCAAGGCCGCTCTCCTCAACGATTACTTCGCCAAGACTGCCCCCGATGGCAATGGCAAGCTCCTCGTCCGATTCGATGACACAAACCCCTCCAAGGAGAAGCAGGAGTTCGAGGACTCTATTCTCCACGATCTCGAGCTGATGGACATCAAGTATGTCTCCGTCACTCACACCAGCGACTACTTCAAGGAGCTCTACGAGATTGCCGAGCAGATGATCCTCGACGGTAACGCATACGCCGATGATACCGACCCCGAGATCCAGAAGGACGACCGCAAGAACCGTCTTGCCAGCAAGCGACGTGACCGTCCTGCTGAGGAGAGTTTGGCCATGTTCAGAGAGATGAAGAATGGCACCGACCTGGGCCGAAAACACTGCATTCGCGCTCGCATTGCCTTCGACTCAAGCAACGGCTCCATGCGAGACCCCGTCATCTACCGATTCCCCAACTGGAAGGGCGCCGAGCCCGCTCCTCATCACCGAACTGGCTGGGACTGGAACATCTACCCTACCTACGATTTTGCCTGCCCCGTCGTCGACAGTCTCGAGGGTGTTACCCACGCGCTCCGAACGACAGAGTATGCCGACCGTAACGAGCAATACCACTGGTTCATCGACAACCTCAAGCTCCGCAAGGTTAACCTCTGGGAGTTTGCCCGTATCAACTTTATCCGAACATTCCTTTCCAAGCGAAAGCTTACCAAGGTTGTTGACACCGGACGTGTCAGCGGCTGGGATGACCCTCGCCTGCCTACCGTTCGCGGTATTCTCCGTCGCGGTTTGACCGTTCCCGCTCTCCGTGAGTTTATGTTGAAGCAAGGACCTAGCCGAAATATCGTCACCATGGACTGGACAACCATCTGGGCCATCAACAAGCGAATGCTCGACCCTGTTGTGCCCCGATACATGGCCATTGAGGAGAAGGACGCCGTTACTGTTACCGTGGCTGGCGGCCCCGAGAAGTCATACAAGGAGGATAGACCCAAGCACGTCAAGAACCCCGACGTCGGTACAAAGCAGGTTACATTCGGACCCAAGCTCCTCCTCGACCAAGCCGATGTTGCTGAATTCGCCGACAACGAGGAGATCACCCTGATGAGCTGGGGTAACGCCATTGTCCGAGGCCTCGACAAGTCCGCCTTACCCATCAAGGAGCTCAACCTTGAGCTGCATCTTGCCGGTGACTTCAAGACCACCAGCAAGAAGGTCCACTGGCTAGCGGCCGACCCCGAGAACCTAGTCAAGGCTGAGCTCTGGGACTTTGGCTACCTCATCACCAAGGACACACTAGAGAAGGATGACAACCTTGACGACTACTTGGCCGATGTCACCGCCTGGAAGGTCGATGCGCTGGTCGACGCTAGCATCGCCGACCTCAAGGAGAACGACTTTATCCAGCTCGAGCGCAAGGGATACTACCGTGTGGATAAGGCTCTTGGCCAAGGACCCGACGGCCGAGCTGTCCTGTTCAAGGTCCCCACAGGTGGCCAGAAGGGTTAAGTAAATAAAAGAGGCGGGGAGATGACGTCTTGTGATTTGACGACGGACATGTAGTTATGAAAGACAAAGTAGTAGAAATGCGAAAAAGAGAAATAGATCCGGACTATGATGAATTCCCTTGCACATCAACATTCAGCTTTGCATACAGCGTATGTCACGCTGTTCTTTTGCCCTCGATGATTCGCTCTGTTGCGCGGGTTTGATGTCAGCGCTGATGCAGATCCGCCAAATTCGGTATACTGTTGAACACGACGGGAAAATCCCTGCAGAAAAAGGTGCTTCACAATGCGCATATCAGACCTATACGGCAAGTAAGATTTAAACTGCAGGTCTGAGGATACGAGAGGGGGCCATTGATCGACCCTGTAATCAGCTACACGAGAAGGGAAATGATGGTGTGGTTTTTTCTCCACATTAGGCGGAGATTTTCTAGAAGATGATCGATTGTGACGTTTATGACGTTGGGTATGGGCTTGGGATGTGATGAAGTGAAGTGATTTGGACGTGATTGTGAGAATTGTTGAGAATGGATGTTGGATGCACGGGGTAAACCGTGGACCTTCAGGTCCCGAAAAGCGCTAGAACGGTTCTATATTCTATTCTTAGGGGCACTAACCCCGCTGTAGCAGCCTTGATGTCAGCCCAGAAGGGCTGCTCCCGCATCGTGGCGTAGAAACGGCCTATTCGAGCCTCGATCTTCTATATTGCGGTGAAGGATTCATTCTAGAGTAATGGCAAAGGATCATGACTGAAGGTAACGTGAGATTCGAGTAATACGAGATGCTGCATCGAGCGATGGATCATGTTAAGAAGGGGCATCTCCACAGTTCTGACGTAGAACAAGACGGAAGATCGGAAATACTAACGGAAGAATTTATCTGATCTGCTATTTTGGTCTCTTGCTCTGGTCCGAATGTGCCGCGGTTTGCGGGGATGGCCCGACTTGGCGATGGTTCCGGTACTCACAGCCCAAATACAGCAACGAGCTTTACAATACGAGAGATTCTGCTTCAATTATGTCCAAATACAATGAATCACGAGGTAGCGTTTAAGAAATAGTACTACCGTTTTATGCTTGTTCTACGCCGCTTTTTTATGCTTATGCATAGCTCTACGCCTCCCGCTATGGTGCGGTTCATCGGCTGATGTCGGTGGATGGGTTGAATACGAGATCCAGCTTCGGCCTGTCGATCACCTCGTGTTGCTGAACCCACGAGGTCCTTACTGCAAGGGAAGCTCAAGTTCAAGTTCAAGTTCACGGTGAGCTATAGCACGGATCAGTATAGCTTGTGGGACTGAGCTTAGAATAGTTGTCATGGGTAAGTCCACTGATGTAGAACATCTATATAAACAGCCTCATCCTCTCCCTTCTCATCTCGTCTCATCATCACACACACTCACATCTCATCTTCACAAAACACAAACACTTCCACTACAAACACATTCAAAATGAAGTTCTCCGCCGCAGTCTTCACCCTCCTCGCCGCCACCGGCGTCACAGCCGCACCCGCCGCTGAGTCCGTCAACATGATGGCCGCAACCCCCCAATGGACCATCCGCGACGCCAAGCGCTACTGCCGCTCTGATGACTCCATCTGCAACTGGAAGTTCGGCATCGACACCGGCAACGGCAAGCCCTACGAGTGCCGCTACGACGTCAAGGGTCCCGGCGCCAGCAAGAAGCGCAGCGCTGGCCCCAGCACCTGCGGTGACTTCACCATCACCTCTGGCTGGAGCGACCAGTTCGGCGCCGACAACGGCTTCACTACTCTCTCTGTTGTTTCCAAGTCGAAGCGCCAGATCATCTGGCCTGCTTATACCGATAAGCAACTTGCTGGTGCCAAGATTGTTAAGCCTGATCAGTCTTATGCTCCTGCTTCTCTCCCCAAATAAGCGAGCGGCTTTAAGTTGAGGTGGAATGAAGGATTGGGGATTGGGGATTGACGTATAATAATTGCTTGTACATATTTGAAGTAATGAAGGCTTGGGGTCACAATACATGAGCACATCAACACCGTTTGTCAATCATTGGTCAATTATTCCCGAAGTGAAAGTGTGACATCGCTTCGTCGGCCGAGTGCCGACGGGCTTTCGGCCGGACGGTTCGGCACCTTGTAACGCAATCATCATTGCACCACCAGGGCATGCGCAATAATAACAGCTCTAGTACGGAGTAAAGATTTGTAGCTTTCGCAACAGGTAATGATGATAACGAGCCGTTGATTCTCGGATATTTAACCGTTAGCCGAAAACCGTATCTTCAGCACCTGCAAGCGATGCGCTCGTAGACAGAGATCAGATCGACGTCTTTCATTGGCACGCTCAATCAGATTACCTGGACAATTTTTATCGGATGATTCTTTCCTTAAATTCTATGATGGAGCAATCGTCAAGTATCTCGGCAATTTCTCATGGTTAACTATAAATGACAGCGTCCGGTTACCCAACTTTGGCTTTCGCTGAGAACCATGGTTACCCTGTAGACGGCGCATTCTGAAGTAAAAACTCCTTCTGGCTACGTATCTTCTCATTGGTACATGGTTATTTGATGACCAGCGGCCTCTTAATTACGTATTCGCATTGGATTAAACTTGGGACGGTAGTTTTCATATCCTCTCGGAGGTTTTGCTATTACTTTAATCTACACCCTTTCTCCATTGATCGATGGTGTTGTACAGGATTAGCGCGTAGATGGTGCACTCTCAGTGAAGAAATAGCGATTTTCTATCGTGGATCAAGATTTACGCTTTGTAGCGATCCATTTGGACAGCGCTCTTATTCACCTTTGTTGATGATGAAACCCAGCGGTTCATTGTATACCGATCATTCGCCGCAACAACAGAGGATTGAAGGCGCAAGAAGAACCCCGCCTAAAATTTAGCTTCCTCAGTGGAAAAACACAGAACTCAAACGCATCACCACATCTCAAATCACGATACCGCCCGGAAAATGTCAGTTCGCGATACATGAGAGTACCAGACAGGTAAGGTCAGTGTAGCACACTTTGCATCCCGACAGGTCGCAGACCGTTCTCGCCGTTTCCACAATTGATGCACGTCCAGCCGTCGGGAAGCAGATCACTAGCCTCGCAGATTCCATTCTAGAAGCCTGTGCTCGGATGCTGGAACTCACAACGACGATTTGTGTGGATGCTGCAGTAAAGTTACCCAACCTCCAAAATGCTGCGATACGTCAATGGGGCTAGAGAAGCGCCGCGATGTTAACGCCGTGGAGGGAAGTCAACATCTCACTCACTCTGTGCTCTCGCAACAAAAGCACCCAATTGCAGCAAGCGCCATCTTCACAGTCAATTAACACCAAGAGGCCTCACTCCGCACCACCAAAAGACGCGCCGACACGATTTATAACCACCAGAAATGCAAATTAAGATCGTCGAAATAAAGTCAATTGAGGCGTCGCCAAGCTGAAACAAGATGATGTCGGCTCACATTTCCCAACACTCAGAAACGTTAGTAAAACCCAAGACCGGCGACACGCGTATGTCTTGGGCTTGGCGCGTACCAATTGACTTTCTTTCTTCTACGACAAAGTTACACAATGAGCCCGTTGCCGGGATACCTTTTGGCATAGCCACACGGGTATTTTATACGAGCGCGAGTGACAGTCCGGTGAGTGTTTGGCATGTGAGGTGGATGAGCCGGGACGCTCGGGGAAATGTCATGCTTTTGCTGTTCTGTTTACCTACGCCAAGTAATGACGGTCTGCCAAGAAGCCCCTTGATCAAAATGGGCATTAGCATCACGAGGTCTTAGCACCAGCCATGCACGAAACCAGTTTTTTCTCAAGCAATAAACGGCATGTCTATGACTCTATCCTCAATAAAGAACTCATGCCCATTCCTCACAAACCACGGTGTCCAAATATGTCTCGCTTGAGAAGACAAAGACAGACTTCAAACCTTGATTCCTTGCAGCCCATGTTTCAGTGGTCGCGGAGGAAGAATAAGGTAATATTTAAGCATACCAGGGGCTGGACCAATAAACCCAGTGGAGTGGTGGAGAAGCAGGGCACTTTGGCGCATTAAAGTTTAGCGCCCTCCCTCTGTGAAAGGGGGCATATTTTGAAGAGTACTTTCTTGCTGTCATAGATTTGAGTGGAGGGGAAAGTATATTGTTATCTTGCAAGGGCTTGCGTGGCCCGGTCAATCTCGCTCTAGCAAAGGAGATCTTGGCTTTCTTTGTTATTGCGATGGACCTCACTTTGTCTCATCCCCGACTCGTGATGGACCTCTCTTACAATTGTCGTCTAGAAAGTCACTTCTATTCTATGCATTCATCATGCACTGCAAATCAAGTTTACACCCCATCTTGGCCCTTTCGAATGTCAATAACGTGGCAACAAATTCCCCCCCTTTCGCCAAGACTTGGCCTTTGCCAATAAGTCATGAACAACCCCCATGTCACTGGCGTCTTGGCCTTTAACCTTTGTGTCTCGTCCATAGGTCAAACCCCGCCAAGAAAATAACCTCGTCGCAGCGCCTGCACTGCCCCGATGCCCAGACACTTGGCTCGTACCAATAAACTGGCGGTGCCATTTTATTTCCCCCCTTGTTTTTGTGTGTCTGGTGTTTTGTATGTAGTAAAGAAAGATCCCCGGCTTTCCGTCCCACCTTTGATCTACCCAGATCTCTTTCTGTCTCTTTTTGACGGGTTTCTTTCTTACTTTTGCATTTACTTTTTGCCGTAAACTTTGACATCTCAAACGCTCGTTTTTCCCATTTGGACTTTTATTTCCCGGTCCTGTCTTCTTTTGGCTGGAGGGTCAGTTCACACGCTTTGAGGTCTGGTGCTTGTGTCGCTCGCTTACAAGCTACCTCGATTGACCAACATATCACGACGTCGTCTCATCAATACCCATTTCTTATAGAGGACTCATATCTGATCTCGGTGACATCATGTTTTCTTCACCGGCAGCCTTTGTGGCTCAGGCCGCGCTTCTGGGAGGTCTTCTAGTTCAATCGGTCGATGCACAGTATTACAAGATTGGAACAAAGGGTAAGCGATGCCGACGACTGCACTGTATGAGAGAGGAGTACTAACTGCAGTGCAGAGGAGATCAAGCAATCAGCACGAACACTTGCGTATGATCTCATGTTGCAATATGACGGTAATCAGACTGGCATGATTCCCGGTATCTTGCCAGGTCCCCCGACAGAATACAAGGGCGACTACTACTGGTGGGAAGGTGGAGCGATGATGGGAACATATATCGGTGCGTCGGCCATTCAATAGCTCAGAAAAAATGGACTGAAGGCTAAATGGAGACAGATTACTGGAAGCTCACCGGCGACGAGAGCTACAACCACATAGTGATGGAGGGCATGCTTCACCAGACAGGAGACGGCCACGATTACATGCCCAGCAACCACAGTGCATCCCTCGGAAACGACGATCAAGGCTTCTGGGGCATGTCCGCTATGCTCGCAGCAGAGAACAAATTCCCCAATCCTCCGGATGACCAACCCCAATGGCTCGCCCTTGCACAGGCCGTATGGACGACACAGGCTAAGCCCGAGCGACACGATGACGAGTGTAATGGTGGAATGCGATGGCAGATTCCCTTCACCAACTCTGGATACGATTACAAGAACAGTGCGTTTGTCCGAAGCTTGATTGTGGGTGAGATGACTGACTTTTGCAGCTATTGCCAACGGTTGCTTCTTCAATATCGGTGCTCGTCTTGCGCGATACACAGGAAACGAAACTTATGCGAAACACGCCGAAGAGACTTGGGAGTGGCTCTGGAACGTCAACTACATCGATCACGACAAGTGGCTAGTCTACGATGGCGGACACGTTGGAAAGAACTGTACCGACATCAACAAGGCCACCTTTTCCTACAACGCCGCTATTCTCATCCAAGGCGCTGCCTTTATGTACAACTTTGTAAGTCAACCCACCTGTCCACCAAACATTCACTTACAATTGCAGACCAACGGATCTGACGTATGGGGTGACCGTATCGACAAGCTCCTCGACGCCACACTAAAGAACTTCTTCCCCAAAGACATCATGTACGAAGTCCCCTGCGAAGGCCGCAAAGGCGCCTGCTCCACCGACATGTTATCCTTCAAAGGCTACGTCCACCGGTGGCTCGCCGTAACAACACAAGTCGCCCCCTTCACCGCCAAGAAGATCCTCCCCGTGCTGCAAAAATCCACCGAAGCAGCCGTTAAGCAATGCACCGGCGGAGATTCCGGTCGCGTGTGCGGTTTCTACTGGAGCGACGGGACATTCGTCGATCCCGCCGTCGACGAGACCAGCGGTGCGGGCGAACAGATGAACGTGCTAGCTGCGGTGTCGATGTTGTTGATTGAGGACGCTGAACCGCCTGCGACGAATAAGACGGGTGGTATTTCGAAGGGTGATCCGAAGGCCGGTGAGGATTCGCATGATAATCCTGAGCCGGAACCTATTACGACTGCGGATCGGGCGGGAGCGGGTATCCTGACGTTCTTGGTCCTAGCGGGTGCGGTTGGAACGTTTGGATGGATGTGTTTTGATTGAGCGATTTGAAGTTTGGCGTTGGTTAAACATACAAACTCGACTGGCGAGCGAGGCATACTTCTGTTTGTTATTTGCTGTTTGTTCTTTTGTTGGAGAATGGAGTTGCGTGTCCCCAGGATTGAAGGGATTGTAAGACCTTGATGGGAGATACCCACTGATAGGCAGCATTCTGATAGATTTGTTTAAATACAGATGCTTGATAAGTTAGTCTCAACTTCTGCCCTCATCTTGATGTTTGGACCTGTCTCAATTGAACGTCGCGCTCGGGCATTGCGCGAACATGCTGGACACAGACGAACCTAACATCCACAAACATCAACCCTCAATCACATATCGATATATCACAGGGAAGAGATAAGGATTAATAGTGATGATCAAAACGAGCTGCGATGATGCTTTGGTGTTGCGCTGGAGCTTTCGCTGAGGCACGCAACTTGGTCTTGGACGTGATTGACAGAAGAGCGCGGGGTCTTGGTGAATCTGAGACGCATTGTCGCTTGGATGAGCGACCATTGACCGTGCGTTATACAATGCTAACGATTTCCGAGGATTAACGGGGGGCGAGCACGTCAGTTAGACGAAGTGTTATGTCGCGATGGATTCACTACGAGGGACGCGTGCGAAGGCTCATTTCGGAAGCGACTATGGTCGACTCATCGCAATTATGGAGCCAACTTTCAGCCTTGCTCAAACAACCACGCAGTGAATTTACTCTTCTCATAGCCATAAAGCGAAGCGCTTGTTTTATTTAGCACGGGCACCGTTATAATAGTTGAGGTAATATCTATAGAAACACCAGCTCCCGGACCCATCACCTTCAAACAGTGAGCGCGGCGCAACAAAGAGGATCGAAGAAAACGCCCAGCGAGTCCAACAGCAGCACCCACAAACCATAACTCCTTGTCGTCAAGTGACGCAAATGATAAGCTACAAGACTGTAAAATCAAGCGCAGCAAAAAGGGTGGAGTATCGACCTCAACAACCACCAAACTCGTAAAAGAACACCAAGGCCCAACAACCTTCTAAGCGGATCGCTCAATACCACTATCAAACATCAATGAGGCAACTAAGCCAAAAGACTGGCACGGCCAACCCTCCACAAGAGGTCCTACCTGCACTGCTTCAAACGTCCGCATAACTACAACAACCGTAGACTTCGCACCAGGTGTCGGCAGATGTTACAAAAAGACACGATGTGGTGTGGCTTCGGCAATGCATGTGTGTTTTTAATAGGGCGTCGAAACAGGAGAGGGTATTACGGAGTAAGAAGGAAGAGCAAGAGAAGGGAGGTAAAAAGGCATCGCTGTTGAAAGAACCTCTTATTCCAATTATTCAGACGAAAGCAATCGCAGACTGAAGCTCTGATTGACTGCCGCATTATTGCAATATAAGTTCAATGTCGTATGAGTTATTAACATGAGGTAAGACCTCTGTTACTCTATGAGAATCCGGATTGTTGAAACGTAAATCTGTCCTCAGGACACTATTACGAGACGAGTGGTAGTCTCATATATGGCCAGCAGCAAGCTGGTCGGCTGGAGCTCGTAACAGCAAAAGTTAGCATCTCTCGTCAAGTAGAAAGCAACTGCACTTGTCGGATTGAGAATAGCCTCGTGAGTTGGAACAGCATCTTTGGGAAACTATCATGATAAGAGTCTGAGAGTTCCTGTTCAGAGTAGGGGCAAATTGCCTAGGCTGCTTCCGTCAAAGCCTTTTCCCAAGGTAATCTTGTATATCTGTAAGAACTCAGCCGTAGACATCGGATGAGGTCTCAGAAGTATAGCACACATTTGCGTAGGTTCAAGCATGTAAACTGGAAGTCATCTGTCGATAACATCAAGTGTGACTCAAAAAGCACATAGTATTCCGTATTTACACTACTAATATTCCAACAAGCTTACTAACCTGCCCTGAGCCTTTTGTACTGCCGTTAATGTCTCCAACTGGTGATTTGCAATTGAGACTCTCGGCTTAGCCGTTGACTTCCAAGCCACTCCCTCGAGGCTAGGCCAATCAGTCACTTCAATCTAACTGCACTGAAGCCATGCATGACTTACCGCGTCGTCATATTGAATGGAACTTACCAAAAAGCGTATTGGGTGAGTCGTAAAAACCGCCCAGTACCCTTTTGTGGCGCATTGCGATTTCTCCTCTTGTCAACCGCTCGTTCCAAGCTGCAAGATTCACCATGGCATCTACAGCAGATAACGTATACGAATTCTACCGGCCCTCCAGAACGTTGGCGATTGTTGTTTGCGTAGTCTTCGCAGTTCTTACTCTTGTTCACATATGGAATGTTTTTTGCTATCGCAAATGGTTCTGTTTGACTCTCGTCCTTGGAGGGCTCTGTATGTCATCACCCAACCCTCGCGACTCATCCTTCTAACACTCCTACTACAGTTGAAATAGCAGGTCTTGCCGCACGAATATACTCGACCGACCACCTGCGCGATCAAGGATCATACGGCACGCAAACACTCCTAATTCTCCTAGCGCCCATCTTCTTCTCTGCAGCAATCTACTTGTTTCTCGGCCGCATTATCCGCGCTTCCGACCATGCTGATCTTTCTATCATTCGAACATCATGTCTTTCCAAGTTCTTCGTGACGAGCGATGTCTTATGCTTTGTCGTTCAGGCGTGTGGTGCAGGAATGCTCGTCAACGCCAACAATACTGTGGATCAGAACAGTGGAGAGAATGTCATACTCGCAGGACTAGCTCTTCAGGTTGTCATATTGGTTACATTCCTGCTTTGTGCTGGAATATTTCATGCTCGACTTGCGAGAAGAGGACTCATTGGGGCGATTAATCCAAACCTGCTTCTGGTTGTAATGCTCAGTGAGCTCTACGCTTGCGCCATGCTGATTCTTTTCCGAAATGTTTTTCGACTGGTTGAGTTTGGACTCGGGGATGATGGTTACCTACAGGCGCATGAGTGGCCGATTTACGTGCTTGATATTCTCTTCATGGCTATCGTTATGGTGTTGTCATTGAATTGGTACGCCGCTGATTTGACGGTTGATCATAATCCTTATAGACAACAACAAACGTCCAGTACAGCTTAGATCAATTTTATAGAGCTGCGAGCGTTTAGAGAACAGTATAAGAGGAGATGAAGGCCTCACCACATTGTACTTCAACTTCGATGGGAGGAATTGTGCATGAGATGGAGTTTACAGAATCGCCGTTATAGCGTGGCTGACAAACATCAAAGATGAGACATGCTACAGTACTTTAGATTGATAGACGAGCCAATAGATCTCGAGATATTCTCGTGTCCTTCTGGTCAGCAGCTACTGCATGTCCAAGGATATCCCGGTCATCGGGGATAGCAGGAAGAATTAGAGTTTGTCTATAACAGCCTTAACAAGCACGGAGAAATTCCCGCGTTTCGGTGTAATATCCACAACATCGTATCACCAAACTCTAATAACCGCTCACAATACCCCCCTTCATCTAAACATGACTCTCTTCAATTCTACGTATCGTTTCACTGCTACATCTTCATCCCGAAAACTCATCGCCAAGAGATGATAGTCACACAAATTGACAGCGGGCGGCTTAGCGCCGTCGAACCTTCAACCACTGCACAAACATGTGGGGAGAAGATCAGCAACACCAACTACAAGCTAGCCAGGGGTAAACACAGAAAATCAGACGGTTCCCCACGTTCTCCAGACGCTGGGATGCCAAGATATGGGGGCACTGACGTTGAAAACGACGACATTCCAATTTGGCTGTAACGTCTCCATGAAGATTTGAAGTTACATTGGAGATAGAGTACCGAAGCCAATCGCTCGGCGATAGCACGTTAGCATCGGAGGAAACAGGTGAAATCGGAAATTGATCGTATTCTATGCTTATGCTTGCGTTTATATCGCCTTCTAATATTGATACATCTAAATAATCGCTCACTTTGCCTCCCATACGTTACTTTGCTAGCTACATGAAAATGACTCCTCTACTCCAAACAGACAACCGCCGTGGTATACGCAGCTTGACTTAGTCATCGTGATGATTAATCTCATCGGCGGCCAAGCTCAAAATATTCTCCTCCCCTGGAACGTTTTGCGGGAAGCGAGCGTTGTAACCGATGACAGATCGGGCCTTCAAATAAGTTCGCGTAGGAATAGACACCTTCTGAGTGGAGACGAGCCACTTGACATCCTCACTACAGGGCGGTGTAGTAAGCGAGCCAGAGTATCTAAGACAAAAAACCGTCAGCGGGCATTACTTTTCTTGGCATGCTTAGTAGACTTACGATTGGAAGTCACCCTCGTTAAGAAGAGATACAATCTCGGACATCTTGAGAGACTTGATGTGAGTGGTTTGTCCCAGGGTTGCAATCTTATCCACCGAGTTGAGAACCGTCGTAACGACAGTGGATTTCTTAGCAGGGGTGCCCGTCTTCCCCTTGCGCGTCTCCCTGGCCTTGAATTTATACGAATCGGCCGCTCCATCGTCAAGATCGATGAAAACACCGATGACAGCGAGTTTCTTATCCTCACTTGCGTGAACCATGTGCATCTCCATGGCCAAGCTAGTGCCATTGTCGATGTGCTCGCTGGGAAGATGGAAGTGAAATTGCTTAAGATGATATGTTGTGTTTTCGATGGTGATTTTACCGCCGAGTCCTTCGGTGACTACTTCAACGGTGCTTCCCAAGTTCTCGAACTCAGCGCCCTTGGTGAAGTTGGGGATCTCAATGTTTAGATCTGAAGCGGGGATGATGTTGAATGAACCGTCCGCGAGGTTAATGGGAGATTGGTTGTGGCCAGTTGCGCATAGTTCGTTGGCCTTGGGATCTAAGTTGTACCAGTTTGCTGGGCCCTATTTTGCTCGGTTAGTTACCTGTAGCTTATTGAGACATCTGTAGCTCTCAGTGGATGAGAGGAACTGCACATGGGGATGAAGTGGCGTACATTGGCAGCAGAGTATCCAAACTTGGGAGCATGAATAACATCAGCTCTCCGATGAAGATGCGTTCCATACGCACACGACGCATGAACCTGCGGCGCACACGCAGCAAGAACGGCCAAAAGACCTATCCAAGAATGCATATTTGAAGAAGTTGTTTACGTCAAGACACGCTGAAAGCTGGGGAAACCGTTGAAAAAAGTTACAAACAAGCTTCTACAGATCCCAAACGCTTGAAACCGAGAAACACTCTCCATTTAAGTATTCTTCATCCTCATCCCTACATCCCCCGACAGGTTATATGAAGCCAGGGTTATAATCCAGGGGTCTACAGGCTGGGGCTTACATCAAAGTCACGCCACAATGCTCTTACCGGACAGGCTGGGGGGAGAGGGCGGTGGATCTAAAACGGGTGTGTTTATTGCTCGACGGAGTAATCGTAATGTTACTGAAGAAATGAAATAAGCGTCGCCGGGTATACCCTGTTCATTATGTCCGAGTGTCCCGTTGAAACTTGGGGATTTTTTAGTCTTGCGCGTTTGGGTTAGAGTAGACCCTGAACTTAACATTAGTCTGCATGATTACTTTATGCTTTTGGCCAACACTTTGCCAGTACTGCCATAGTTACACATGAACTTGTGAGGCTTCATGATGTTACAGTCGTAAATCTTGCTATTTATCGGTCTTCACCCCGAGTATCCTCTTAAAACGCAACTCTACACTATAAAATGACGTGTGCCATGTTGTTATTTACGCCCGCAAAACCCCGCGGATTATAACGCATTAAAACTGGACACTTTCCATGGAGATGAACAGCGAAACATCACTGGCTGGAACAAAGCCTCCAGGACTCCTTCACAAAAACCGTTGCCAAGCGCCAGGGGTGCAACCGTTCAAGGGTCCGGGTGGGGGCTCAGACGGGGCAGAGGTTCTGGACTCCTTGGCAGTGCATTGGCTGTAATCTGACACACGGCCTCGACCTGTGGCTTGAGAATGACTCGAGGGCGTGGAGATGGTAATTTCATTTCTAGGCTGGTAAATCTCTCAATTATGGGGTTTTGGTGAATAAGCTTAAGTCTTGAATGATGCTACGTTGTACTCCATACGATTGTGACTTGCTTGAGTCAGGTGACTTGGCGATAGTGGATTCGTGATAACAGAATCCTATGGAATCATGCTCTGTATGACGACGACAAAATCCGCTCAACTTCACTCCCGTCTCAAAGTCTCTCACAACTGCCAAGACTTCAAATATTAAGCTCTCTTCTAGTCTCCTTCCTATCCTGCATAACACAGTCTAGCTTTAACTTACCAACAATTTGGCTTCCATCCCACTTTACCCCTCTCCACCAAGTCAAGCATACCCAACCCAGTCACGATACCACGGCAGTTGATACGACATACGCAAGCTTCTCCCTGTCATTTCCTGCGATTTCATCTCGCGATCCTTTGAAACTCAATCTTGCACTTATAGACATGGCACCCTTGTACCAAAAGACCCTCGTACTCGGTGCTTCTTCCGGTATTGGAGAGGCCCTTGCCGCCAAGCTCATAGCCACAGGGACAAAGGTTATTGTCGTCGGTAGACGGCGCGATAAGCTTGAAAAGTTTGTGAGGAAGCATGGGGAGGATAATGCAAGGGCCGTGGTGTTCGACGTCACGGACCTGAATGAAATCAAAGACTTTGCTGAAACTATCACCCAGTCCGACCCGGATCTTGACTCTATCGTGTTTAGTTCAGGCATCCAGCGAGGATTTGACTTTTCCAACCCTGAAAGTCTGGATCTATCTGTTCTTGGCAACGAATTTACCACCAATTACACATCTGCCGTCCATCTCACCGCAGCATTCCTCCCTCATCTCAAGAAACAACCCCAAGGCCATCTAATCTACATCAGCGCCACGCTTGGCCTAATCCCCTCCATGATCCGAACACCCAACTACAATGCATCCAAGTCTGCCCTCCACACCTTCATCCTAAACGTTCGAGAACAACTTAAAGCCGGTGGAGCTTCTCATATCCGTATGGTTGAAGTTTTCCCACCGGCTGTTCAGACGGAGTTGCATGATGAGAAACATCAGCCTGATTTGGTGAATGGTGGGGAAATTGGAATGCCGCTTGATGAGTTTACGGAGAAGATGTTTGATGGGCTTGTTAAGGGTGATGAGCAGTTTGCTGTTGGGCCGGGGGAGAGTTTATTCAAGGAGGATGGGTTTGAGACGCAGAGGATGAAGCTTTATGAGGCGGGACGAGAGTTTATTAACAAGTCTTTGGCCAAGTACTTGAAGAAATAGGTGCAAGATAGTATACCAGACCGTAAGAAATCAAATTTGAACTATGTAGCTTCTGATGCGCTGTGGTATAGGAGAGGCTGTCCTGAATTTCGATATCGTAGGAATACCAGTAGGAATCCCTGTTTCTCTGGAAAGTCGCTTACAGATCACCGATAAACCTAGTTCTTTTCCCTTCTTGTTTTCGACACAAAGTTCTACCATGGTTCTGAGTAGGTGAAATCTCAAACTTGAAGTCTAAAGTCCCGGCTAAACCGAACTCATCAATATCCTCCCTCTGATACAACAATCCCCAAAACTGATGCGCACTCCCCTCCATCTAGTCCCATGTAGTAGTCTAAGTGAAATTTAACACAAATTTCGGATGAAGCCGGATCTCTATGAAACGCACCTGCATAATCTGCAATTCGCGCATCCTCAGCTGGCCATTCTCGTATCATATTCAAGCCACATCAGCATAGCCTCAAATCCCTGTCCTGGCTTACCTCTCAACTACCTGACCGTCATGCTACTATTCTGAAAAGGTTATGTAAGAAGCTAAAGAAGGAAGGTAAGCATGCGGATGGTGTGGCGAGGATTACTTCAGCTATACGCAAGTTCCTGAATTTGGAAATGCGCAGCGCCTGGTGTCAGAGCTGAAATCACCTGCGAGAAAGCCACAATTGTATTCATTCGTGATCAAGAGTCGCATTCTAATTGTGTCTTGAGGCACTTTTGATAGGGCCAGCTTTGGTGTTTTTCATGGGGCCCAACTGAAATGATCCTTTATCGTATTCTTCATCAACTATCATAGCTACATAACTCTGATTTTAATGGCCTGTAATTCCCGATAGTCAAAAGATCATCGCGACACCTATGCATATGAAACAGTCTCACATGACTACAGCGACGTGATCATCCATGTACTTCCCAATATCTCCTAGAAACAGAGCAGCGAGGACAGAAACTCCACCAAACGCAATGCTCACATAATAAACCCACTTGTACGCCTCGGCAAAGGCAAGCTGGCCAGCCTGGATGACAATCTTATACAAGGCCTGATTTCCCGCGATACCTGGTACCTCGGCGATGTCGTCCAGCAAAGAAAGACCAGTCAACTGGATGACCTCCCCGATGACGGCAGTTGAGGTGATGTTGCCATACTGAACCATCGCGCCACCAATGTAGTGTATAGCAGCAGGTGTGAATTTGCTCACAAACACATTGTAGTAGATGGTGTAACCGATGCTACCGCCAATGACGCGGATGCTCAGAGTCAGTGCTGCTATAGTCGCGATGAGGTCGTCGGGACAAATAATTGTCGTGATGATACTTGCTGGGACGACAATTCCTCCAATACCCAGACCAGCCAGGACAAGGATTCCCCACAGGGTGGAGATGTTGTCGGGCCTTGCAACAGACATGGCGCCGCACCCAGCAGTCATCAATATACTCGAGATGACCATCAGTGATCTGTTTGCACCTTTAAACACAGACAGAAGCCAGAGAACAATGCATGCACCAGCCATGATGCTGAAGCCAACAGGGATACCTCGGATTCCAACCTGAACAGGGTCATGGCCATACATGTTGAAAGCCTGCGTAGGCCAAAACATGAGGATAGAAAAGAAGTTTGCGCCAGATATGAAGGTGATGACGAGTGTCAGGGTAAGAATTCGAGGTGCTTGGTTGATACGGCGGGGAAACATGGGATACGGCGCAAAGAAGCCTTCCCAGATAACAAAGAGGATCACCAGGACTGCACCAAGAATCAGAGGAACGAGAACATGTGCCGTCTTCCAAGAATACATATAGCCACCCCACTGCAGTCCAGCCATGAACAAGATCATGCCAGAAATGCTAAGACCACCACCGACAAAATCAATGCGCTTGACGATTTCTCCTCGCGTCAAGCCCTCTGAGTTGGTGCGAGGTGGTGGGAAGTAAAACAAAGCGGTCAAGACAAGACCGACAAAGGCCCAAAGAGCACAAAACAGGCCGATGTATCTCCACGTTGAGTACGCAGCGATGAGTTGTGCCCAGAGCACAGATGGGCAGAAGGGCACGATTGTGAAGATCAGGATGGAGACATACTTGCCCCGCTGGGCCGTCGGTGCCATTTCAGATGTTGCTGCTAGGGCAGTGAGTTCGTTGATACCAGCTCCGACTCCAGCCAAGACCATACCGCCTGAATAATTCACTGTTTAGCTTTTGATCTGCTAGATGCGAAGGGGTTGAGGGCATACCGATAAAGACATTCATCGTGTGGGCAGTAGAACAGACGATCATTCCAAGGACGATAAAAGACGCCCCGCTGAGCGCAACATATCGACGCCCAAACATATCCGAAAGGGATCCGACAAACGGGCAGACAGCTGCTAACGAGAGCAGGTTGGCCAGAATAAACCAGGTCCAACGGTCGTGTCCTCCAATATCTGAATAGATATACGGCGGAACACCTCCGAATAGATAAACCGGGATTTGGGAGCCTGTCCAGAGAAAGGCTTGAGAAACGAGGGCCATGAATCGTCTCTTTGTCATCTAAGCGATCATTGTTAGTACTATCGAAATGCTGGGCTCGTATTCTGTATACCTTTGCCGTTTGGCCCTCACCAGACTCATCCGCATGAGCCGGGAAGACATCCTTATCCTGACCATAATTGACTGTAGCATGCTCAGTCTCCACGTGAGTAGGCTTCTCGTTTTCAGAGTTCTGCCCACTGCCTTCGTGGGCGTCCAATTGCTTCGGGCCCATGGCAGTGTCTTTAATGGGATACCGCGATAGGATTTCAAGCGGTTAGGAAGGCTGGTTTTTTCAGTGAGTATGAATTGGTGAGAGGATTGCGTTGAATGTAAATTGAATGTTACAATGATCGATTGGTTATCGTACTTACAAGGCCACTGCCCCGATGCTTAAATAATTGATAACTCTGAGGTGCCGAGGCACCGTTTCATAAAACGAGGGGTCAGGATTGCTAGTCATACGCTATTGAGAGTCTAGACTTGATTCAAAGGGCAGGAATTGATAAGTAGCCACGGAGAGCGATAGAATGGGATAGTATCCAGAGTTTCTGTGATAACAAATGACCCTTACAAGCCATTTGTGATCGGCTCTTCGGCACCTTTAACACCAAACAAGTCTAGCATCGGGATATGGAACCCACTCTGAAGGACAGCCACGTAGTCCGACCTAACAACCAACACTTGTTTCTTATTTTAAATCATGCTTAATATCGAGCAGAGATAAACAAGCACAGTTGACTTCAATGTCCAGTACGCGGGCAGGTCTTCAACGAGTAGAGCGAGTCTGTAACCTGGATATCATCCTTCTTTTCGCTCTCCTTGATCTATCCAGTCTTTCAGGTACTTTCAAGAGCAGCAAGAGTCTTAAGATTCCAGCAGAAGTAGCGGGTTGCGACCACGGAGAATATACCCGTTTCAGTCTTGGCGCGTTAATGCGACCTCGGCCCCGCGGACTAACCTGCTAACCCACGGGGTCGAGCGCGGGGAACCCTGCTTAGTTTCAATTATCGTAAAGATTTGCCACGTTCCTAAGCAGGGTTCCCCGTACTCGACGTCTCGCGGGGCCTACGCGGTCTGAAAGGTATAGAAAATAAGATGCTATTGATGGGTTGCCTAGATCTATCTTAACGAGACATCGATAAGGTTTGCGCAGGCTTGAACTTGCCTCATTCACTAAGTATAGTAGTAGATGTTAGATCGTGTAATTAGGAATAGTCAATATGCAGCATTCTGACAGTTCTTTGGCCCCAGCTGTCGTGGGGCTTATTGAAGTGTGTAGCCAGCAATTCTAGTCAACAATGAATCCTTTCCATGAGGAACAATGGCCAGCGCATCATTAGTTATACTCGGGGACAATATTCTCAACCAGGCATGCTTCCAACGCACTTCCATATTTACTCTTCACGTCTCTCCACTCTGGTCCTCCACGTTCCTGGCTGATGACACGATATCTCCTCTCAACCCCTACCGCTCTGCATATCAAGGCGTTGTTGTCAGAGTACCTTTTCCCATGAGAGAGGTCCCCAGTCACGATGTATTCCAAAGACTTGATTCCATCTTGACCAAAAGCCCAGTTTGCGAAATCTCGGAAACTTTGTTGCAGAGGTGGTGTTTTCCACTCTGTTCTCTCTTTCACGGCTGCTGAGAGCTCTGAGAGCTCTTCAAGACAGAGAGGTTTACTCCCTTCGACCTCATCGTTGAGTGAGTTGCCTGCCTTTGTTGTGTCGTCGATGGGAACGGCCTCATTTTCACATTCAGTAATCTTGAGTTCTAAAGCGCGATTGAAGACCCAGGATGTACTGGGGCCTGAATTCATTCCCGTATGTCGAATGTGAAGCACTTTCAGTGACCGCTTGGCTACGAAGGGAAGCAGAATGTCCTTCTGTAGTTATTGTTTAGCAGTCGCGTCGCAATAGTAATTACGATCACTTACAAGGTCCTTCGGTGCACACGTCAACCCAATGAACTCGAGGTTAACCCTGGACAGGGGATTCAGCGAAGGATCCTGCCGAATACGGCCCCGATCCTCAGACGATATCCCCAATTCCGATGAATCTCTGCCCAAGCGCGAAGTCAAGAGCTCCTCGTCCTGGTCTGTGATCCTCAGATGATACACAAATCTTTTCAGAGTTGACGCATGGCCTGCGACATGTTCCCAGAATTCAAGAGATGGCGTTGGGCCGCAAATACTAACGGAAAGCTCTTCAAGTCCTTTGAAGGAGTCGATGAAGTCTGCAATGGCTGCTATCTTGCGAACTGCGGTATCGTGAGGAGTATTCAAGTAGAAGTCCAGTATTTCGAGAGTCTTGAGTTGTAGTGGTATCTGGGATTCGATGATGTTTGTCAAGAGCGGGATCAAGTACGCGCACATCCTCAAGGTCAGATGCCTGAGGCTATCAAGGCTTATCATCCCCGGAGTAACTGCTTTTCCCGTGAAATCGTCTCTCAAAGGAACTCTGGTTAATTTTAAGCTCCGCAACTTCGGAAAGCATGTTAGCTCAGTTGTTTCAGAAGTAGCCTCTTGCAAACCAAACATCTGCCGAGCAAGCATAGTACTTGCAGGTATCTTGTCCCACGCTTCAGGGTTCTCTCCATGATGAATCACCGTCGCCTCTCGATCCTCTCGGTCTGGCGACCAGCCCTGCAGCTCTAATTCCAGTTCCTCCAATTGCCTTGCATTATTCTTGACCAATCTGGCAATTTCATCGAAGTGGCAACCCATGGGAGCTTTCCAGCTCAACCGTCGCAGAATACGAAATGAGGAGAGGTCTAGATCGGCAGTTCTGCTCCAGCGATTGAATCGACTGCAGAAAGGGTCTGTGACGAGGCTAAGACTCTGGATAGAGGGATGCTTGAAACTAAGAATCTCCAGAATCTCAGAGGGGATGCACGCGGTGTAGTTCCAACTGGGAGCTGTCAGAAATGCCATCTCACAATGTGCCTCATACCTGAACGATTCAAGCTGCTTATCTTTAAAACGGTTAAGCAAGATCACAGCCCTCTGCGCAAGACATTCAAACTTCACCCTCACAAGCTTTCCACCCTCCAACCCAAAACTATCTCCCCTAACCTCCCAAGTATAGTGATGCTGGGGAACTTTCTCCGTCCAATTTCCCATGTAGCCAAGCCAGTCGTGAGCATGGATACATCGTCTCGGGTCTGCGTCGACACCAGGGTCAAAGCGAAGTTCTCTTGTATACTGCAGACAAGGTTGCGGTGGACCATAAGGGCTTATGCAATGGCGCTCGCTCTCGGGATATGGCTGGATGGTGACGGAGCGCCAGAGTTGGCGGAATGCTACTTTGTATAGCCATTTTGCTGTCAACGAGAGTCGTTGGAGGTCGATACCGTTCAGCTATCAATGTCACCTCAAGCTCTTGAAGAATGTCTTGGGTAAATACATACCTTCTCGCAAATGGATTCCAGAACTTCCGGTGGTAGAGAAGTCAGCATTTTTGCATTCATATTCTGTACGGCACAAAGAAGACGGATTCGAGGTCCATGGTGGACGGCGAGAGAGGATATATGTCCTAATATCTCACGAGATAACTAACCACCAACTTCATTCTCACGCATCCTTCTCATACTAAGGGATGACGTGCGTCAGCATGATCTCATCTCAGCACTTGAAACCCCTCAGAATCAATCGTTTTGACTGGATACCATAAGAGGCTATAGCACAGCAACCCCCATTTGTCTAGCCTGCCAAGTGGCACGAATGGTGCAAGGAAAAATGATTGAAATTAATTGCAAGAAATGACAGATGACAACAAGGTGGATGAATGGATATAAAAGTGCTGGGGGGAAGGGGTGGCGGTTGAAAAATGCAAAAAAGAATCTGCGTTCCCCGAAGCCTGGATCGAACAAGCGACCTTTCGGTGTCAATGGTATCAGTTACAGCCGAACGCTCTTCCAGCTGAGCTATTCGGGGAGATCTCCGGAGCGGAGGAATAGCTATTGGTGACAGCAGAGCAACAAAATTCAGTATATATACCTACAATCTGGATACGCTTTCATAGCTGCCGCTGCATTCTCATCAATGAAGATCTTCATAGGCACAATTGACTTCGCGACGGAAAATGTCATGAAATTCGGATTTATAAGTCTGTTAGATTTACACAATTAAATATTTCTAATTTATTTCTTCCATTATGACTAATTGATCCAGAAGCACTGGGAATAATTACTTTTCGGTCTGAGTATCTAACTACCCTGGGTATCATTACGAATTATTTTTTATCACTCCAGTGACTTTTGATCGCTTCTAAATGCTCCTTGATGGAAGGACTGTCTTCGCTCTCCCCGCCGACATCCATCTTTGACCTTATCCTCCCAACAAGCAAGTCGCGTGCAATCTTTGGTGAGGCAAGTGATAACTCTTCATCCAGCTTTGCCTGACTGATGACCTTTCCATTGCAAAGTTCCTTGACGAGACTGTCTACCAAATGCTGACAATTATTCGATAGTAGTTTGTACCGAGGATTCAGTCCGATATGATGCTGTCCTACTCCAAAATCAGTAAACGCTCCCTCTCTGTGCATATCAACTCACCTATTGCCTGAATCTCCTCATGCGTCTTAGTCGTCTCGCCAATATAATAGCACGAACTCCACGTCTCAACAAACTCCTCCGTAATAACAGCCACCCTGAAGTAATTCTTCCCCAACATCGTCAACTCTAGTCGATCGCTCATCAAATCATAGCAATAGCACTTTCCAAGCCCTCTATCAATAACGCACACCGCCCAATGACTCACGCTGTTCAAACTCATGCCAACATGTCTTGCTAAAAGTTTATAGCTTGACTGTGAGACTTCAAGCACTCCAAAGGAGATGGGCGTGGTGACAAGGAATACTGCTCTTTGGGTTTCGCGCGGGTTGCATTGGAGAGGTGCCATTTCGAGTTCCGAATCGCCTGTGATTTTAGATGTGACGAGAGCAAGGAATTCATTTCGTTGACGGATTTCTTCAGCGTGTTTCGCAAGCCAAGCTTCTTCCGCCTGTCGTCTCTTCCTCTCATCCCTTTTTACAATCAGTAACTCATCCCATCAGTGGGGCTTAAAACAATCACCATTTTTTAGAGAGGTTCTGATAAACAGCCTCACCAGCTGAGGCGAGCTTACTCAGGGCCTCTAGTCCCATTTTTTGCTATAACACTACCATGCCGTAGCAATACGTCGAATGATGGCGCGAAAAAGTCGGAAATATTGAAGATGAGGTTACTGGGCTGAGGTGCACGATGTTTTTAGTAGAAAAAATATCGGGGCGGTAAATTTCACAGCCACGCGGATATGCCGGCGAACTACAGCGGTACCCACGCCATAGTCACGCTTGGCATTATGCGCCTCTTTTGCGATGGAGATGATGACGTGTGACCTTTTGAGGATGGGCTGAAAGTCCCTTGTGACAATATAACATTGAACATAGGGCTGTCTTTATTTGAGGCGCAGTTATGATCTGCATTCTTTGTGGCTTCTATTTATTCTTTGTATAGATTATAAATAATGACCGATCGCCATTCTATTGCAACAAGAGAGGAATCACGCGCCCGATGTCGCCTTGAATACAGGTACTCAGACCATCATCTTCCTGCTCCCACGGCACCATCGCCTCAGGCCCCATACCAACGCGAACCAGCTTGACTCGCCCTTCGCTTCTCATCACCAAATCTTCATTTGGCCATCTCAAAACCCCAGGCGTATTCATTCCGACACCAAGCTCCAGAATTACCAGCTTCTTCTTTTCTCTCAGGATCCTCGACTTCCTTGCTTTCCACTGCGCTTCACCTTCTTGGAAAGGTGCTTGATTGAACCATGATCCCGCTCGAACACAGATGCTCATCTTGGAGCCGCAGAACCGGCAAAGAGGAATTTTGCTCGAATCCATCAGCTTTTGCGTCGCCTTGTCGATATGTGGCATCGCATCAGCTACAAGAGGAGCAGATGGCACAACAGCGTCGACTCTGCAGTTATTCAGACACTGCAAATAACCATATGATCCTTGCGGCGTAGAAAGTTGCTCCTTTGGCCAGCCATTTGCGAGGAATAGTCCATCAGCATTTGACGTGCGCACAAATGCATCTTGCCCAAAATTCCTCAGCCATGGTATCAAAGTCTGGTAAGTCGGCGTGTTTGGCCAGTTTGCCACCATGTTCAGATGAGTGAAGAAATATCCCCAGCGATGTTCCTCTGAAGGCCAGTCGTTGAAGCCAAAGACGCTGTATAGCGATGTTAATCCGAATTTGAGGCAGCCTGGGAAATTCTTTTTGAAGAGATCCCGAGAGTGATAGTCCAGGCCTTCAGCGGCTGACAAGCCTGCGCCGGCAGTGACGAGGACAGCGTCTGCTGAGGCGAGCCAGTCGCGTGCTAAGTCGAGAGAACCTTGCGGTGAACTCTTCACCGCAGAGATAGAATTTTCTTGTGAAGGTCCAAGGAGGTTTGAGTAGATCTTGGTATCTGATTCAGTGAACGTGTTAAATATGACATTCGTAATTGTCGTTGACGGGTGATTCTGAAGCCAGGAAACGACGGTAGACACTGCAATCTGAGCTGCTTCATCGGCTGGAAATGCAAATAAGCCGGTCGAAATGCAACAAAGAGCGACTGACTTGCTACCGTCTTCCTCACACGGCAAAAGTTCCAACGCTTCAAGAATCGACTCATAGCATTTCGCCAGTTGCCGCCTCTCAGTCTCAGTAGGTGTAGCACCTCTCTTCAGCTGCGGCCCGACGGTATGCATCACTGAAGAAGCAAAAAGCGCATGACCATCAGTGACAAGTACTTCTCCAGGGTCGAGCTCTTTTCCTCTTGCCTGCATCCGCCGAAAGCATTCTTCCCGTAGCCGTGGTCCTGCTTCTGAATGAATAACGTTATCGATACATCGATGAGTTGGTTGAAAACATCCTAGGCCTTGGCTATTCGCAGCATTGGTAATGGCTGTCAAGCCAGTCAAAGTCGTGATATCGCCTCTCCACAGATGAATTCTCGTTGCTCGACGCTCATCATGCTGAAGTATCTGCGAAGGCAAGAGTGAGGAAACTGCAGTAAGTATCTTGTGCTGCCGAACGCGCGTGAGAATAGATTCAATGTTTTGCAGGAGATCGTCTGGCAGAAGCGGTAAAGGCGGCCGCACGCATAGACATTCTCGAAGAAGTGCCATCTTTGATGCTGTCTCAAGATGGCACAGATGTTGTTTGTAATGTTGCAAGTTCTCGTCGTCTGCAAGGAAACTGGATCCATTCTCTATAACATCGTCTATGAGGCGTGTAAGAGTTGTGTCTAAGACAGTGGCGGTTCCTGTACTGGTTGTTCTCATGGTGATTGTGTTCGACTATAGCTGATCTAGACTGCAGGCAAATTCAACTCAAAATAAGTAAGTAACAGATTCAATATATATATCACAATCGTATGATGGAAAAGAGTCTCAGCACTGACAAATTTGATCCTTCGACGAGGTTTGACTATCCCACTCGGATAAAGTGGGATACCCGAGTGGGATACGGAGTAGATTGCGAATCTTGAGACTGATCTCCCCCTGTATGCTATTCTAACCTCAGGGGGCGATAAAAACCTTTAACCCTAAACCCAAGTGCCAAAAATAACTGGCCTAAAGGCCGGCTATATTATACTAGACTTACCCAAGTCTTTTGTCCCTTAGGATAAAGGTCCTAAGTTTTGCCTCCCTTAGTCTAACTACTTGGATATTGAATACGGCAACGAACCAGCGTTAAACAATACAACAGATATTGACCTGCTAGCTAACCATTACCAAAACGCCCCAGTCTCCCACTCTATGGGATGCACGTCGTGAGTCCACATCAAAGCTCCGCTTTCACCATGAACAGCCCTTCGATAACCGGCAGGATGCGACTTCTGCTTTCTACCATCAATCTTCCAAATAGGCAGCCCTGTATAAAACTCCCTGGAGTACGGCGTGAGCCCTCCCACACTAAAATGCGCCGCAAACTCTCCCTGGCATCGTCTCCAACCCTGTGCCAAGAATCGGTAGAGCCCATATCGTAGGCTGCACGAGCTTCCCTCGATGGGAATCGCCAAACAGTCAACTGGGCATGCTTCATCCTTGAGGTCCTCGAGTCTGTATGCTTTGAATTGCAGGAGAACAAGTAGACTGCCGTCAAAGCAAAATATCTGAGGGCATCGATATTTATATGCATATCTGTAATTGTTGATTAACTCAGTGACCTGATTTAAACGAATCGAGAGGAATTGGCTCAACAAAGCGCAGGGGATGCGCTTTTTAACGCATGATCTAGTAGACATACCCTCTTAGCTCTTGCGAGAGTTTCTTTTGAGAAGCAGACACGATCGTGCCATCTTGCCAGTCGTCTTCTAGAAGATTGCGTTTCATCTCTCCTATAGCTACAGTGCGCCTCGTGTTGCCCACTTTGACAGAAAAGACGCAATCAACATTCTCAGCGATGTTTTCCTCTGCAATAGGCTTTGTGTGAGATGTCTGAGTCACTGCTGGATACGCGTGCCACGCAGAGAGCACAACATTGACTACCTCTGTGTGAAACCAGTTCTCACAGTCTGCCTCGGTTTCGAGTCTCCAATGCCGATTATTCGGTGGGACAGCGCTTTGACGGAACCGCAGTTCGTCATCGTCCTGTAGAGGGAGAAAGGCGTCTTCAAAATTGGCATAAGTGATGCCATCTGCGCCAATCATAGTGTGCGAAGTGACTTTCTTAATGGGCTTGTAGTCACGTGCCCAGGCTTTATCAGTCTTGGTTTCATAACCTGGGTTATTGACTGGATTTGTTGAATGCTGTAAGATGAGCTCTTGAGCTGTGTTGGTGGACATGGTATGATTGATGAAAGAGAGACTGTTCAAAGAATGTATTGCTTTGGATAGAATGATTAATGATCAGTTTTAGCTGAGACTACGAGGCATATATACTCCAGAAACGGCAAAAATCCAGGCACCAACTCTGGCTGTTGGATTGACTGCCCTTTACCACTCGGCGGTTAAGTATTCACACTTCAATTTGAAGCCCTAGAAGAGTACCAATAACCATGTCTCGTCTGACGCTTGAAATACTCAACCCCATGATAGTGGAACGCTACAAAACAAAAAGTCGACCAACATACATAGAAAACGCCCAGTGAACCAATGAATCACGACATGTGACTAATAATCCTTGTAGTAGTTGGTGTTGGTCGACACCATTGCTAGTAACGCGAGGAATAGGCAGAATTTCACTTTATTTTTGCATGAACATCGGGCCACGTCTATTGATATCATTCAAGTCAAAGATGTCCATTTCTATTTTTGAACCATTACTTAACATTCTGTGTTCTATGAATATCGAATTTCGGGTTACTTGGAGGTTCTTGGTGTTTTGTTAGGTCGCTGACTAAGCTACGCAGCTCATCAATTTCCCAAGTGGAAATCTTGCCTTTTCGCCCATAGTTAGGTTGTTGCTTGACGCGTCGCGATATTATTAGTACTCACGCGCCGAATCATCAGAACATCTACTTTTTTTCTGCCATCCAAACCTAATCTCAAAATGCAATACTCCGATGGTAGCCTCATGACGAAGTCGGGCGATCGCATGGTAAGCTACATCGTCAGCCCAACGCATCCTTAAATGGCTAACCAGCTTGGATACAAGCACTTCCGATTTGGTATCCGAAACATCCAAGCCTCCGGAGCTATATCGGATCATGAACATCCCAACGTTCTACGACTGAGAATCCAGAAGACCTTCATTGGGAGAATAATCGAAGCCTTATTCAGGATTATATCGAAAGCCACCGGTACATGGCTGCAAAACAGATTCCCTGAGTGGTTCTTACCAGAGAGAATAGTCTTAAAACGTCAGAAAGAGAACTGGGAAGAAGAATTTGACCATGAAGTCGTCGCGTACAACAGACTACGACCCATCCAAGGCCTCACCATCCCCAAGCTCTATGGCATGACCCAGTATGCAAACACGCGCGCGCTGATTCTCTCAGACATAGGAGGATCATGCGTCGCAACGCCTGAGGGTGCCGTACTCGATGAGCAAGACATTGAGCCCCTGTTTCATCAAGCCTTGACTTCACTCAATGAATATGGCATCTGCCATGATGACACGAAACTGGACAACTTTCATCTTGTGACTGATGAGGGAAGGGATAAAATCATGATAGTTGATCTGGAATCAGCAGACTTTGAGCAAACTGAAGAAGAGCTTGCTTATACAGCGAAGAACAAAACAAAAGCGCTGCTGCGTCAATATCGGAATCATTTAAAGTGTTTGGAACATGACGGCGTTCTGCTACCGAGGCGGCCTGTTAGAAGATGAGAACAAAGGCCTGCCTGTTTACCATGATGGTGTTGGAGTTGCTGAGCTGTCGGATACATTACTTCGAAGGCCTTGATATTACCCTTCGCGCAGCAATTACATATCTGACGATATTGCCTTGGACAAGCATATTTGAAACTCTGAACAAACTTCCTGAATATAACACTCTCGGTTGAGAGGCTTGAACCTTCACATTCGACGATGCCTAAGCTTTTCTTGATACTTTGACGCCGAAGCAAGTCATAGCATCTGATAAATGCTGTAACAGCCCTCTTGAGTCTTGTCCCAAATTATGCCATGTCGTTCTAGCACAAAGCGTTAGGCGTAGTTTGTGAGAAGAGTCGAAGTACTGAGATATTACCAGTCTATATCAGAAGACGACCATCAACTTGATTGTCAGAAAGGAGCGAAGAGGGATATCCGCACCCTCTAAAGCCCCAAGGAATTGGCATACAAGCATGATAATGCTTGTTTATATGTTCAATATCATACGAGACTTTTAAAAGCCAAATGGCTCTCATATCAAAGCGGCTGCCTGTAACCTGCAACTAGGAGATAGATGCAGCACACCCGAACAATTCCAAGCATGAATGACTCACAACGGATACTGATTTCCGTGAGTACGACCTCTTTACGCCCGTTACACGAAGCTATCAAACACTCACAACGTCGGTTCGACGATATCCCCGTGGGGTAATTCCTTTAAACGCCGATCCTCCGAAGTTATCTCCACAGACTCAGCCAGGTTGTTGACCTTCACCGGAGTGTTTACTGGCGCCAAGTAATTTAAGCTTATTTTGGATATGGGGCCTTGAGTGTGGGGATGCAACAACAACGTGATTATCCTGGGTTCGGTTACAGATCTACGTTGCAATCATGATGGGTTCAGAAGACAGAATCCGAGTTGTCCCGAGTAATGAGCCCTCACGCGAGCAGACAGAGGGTGGCTGTGTAGCGAATAGATAGCTTGGTGCGTAAAACTAGCCAGTCGTACAACACGAAGGCCAGGCTGGAGCCTGGGAATAACAAGACTCTCCCACGATAAGCAACAGCCAAGATCGGCAGTCGTTGTAACATTGCTAACGCGCCGAGGCAATTAGGTAACTTAGTTCACATAACACCTCATATACGAAGCCCTTCACTGGCGCCAAGTGAACGCTTGTAGAAGTCCCTGTAAGAAAATAAAGCACAGGGTAGTATTCGCCATAAGCAATCGACTGATTCAAGCGGGGAAGAAGCGTCTCGGAGCATAGTTCTGTTCGCCGATGACCAATGGTGTTGGAGCGGAGCCTGCAACGCTTAATTTTATGCTTGAAGCTTGTATCGGGAGCTAAACTCTGAATGGCGGGCCGGTTGGTAGATCTCCAAGAGACGGCAATTAGACCCTTATGTTTGAGGGACTTGGCGACGAGAGGACTTTGAGAAAGGGTATTGAATAGAGAGATATTGTGACCTTTCGACAAGGAAGCGCTCGACATTCGAACTCTGTGAAAAGTCTGTTCCTGGGTGTATCGATTGGGGCTGTTCCACGTACGTCATTGACAATAGTGAGATGTATCAACGACCGCAACCCATAACAATAAGTATGCACGGAAATGCAATTTCTAGCCCTCCTCACCACGGAAAAGTGCACCCTCAAACTTCCCCTCATCCAATCTTGGCAACTCCACACTCACACTCATGATCCCAACCCATCCATGCTCACCTTGTTTTCTTACCCCACGGGGAAACCAGTGGAGCAAACGAACCCCGAGCTTCCAACGGCCGAAGATCTTAGCCATTCACGTAGGAGGATGTTTTCCATCGTCATTCTGTAAGATAAAAGGCCGCAAAGCCCCCGTGTTGAGAAGAGGGGGACAGAGACTTTCGCAGTATCTACTCGCTTCTTTGTCTTTGAGAGAAATCTTATCATCCTCATATCTTTACTATTAAAACCTCGTTTATTTCGATAATCTATGGGCTGGAATACTCATGCGTCGGGCACCAATGATCCGCCTGAGGTGCGGAACTGGCGAATCCACCTGATTGCCACGGTGGCTAGCATGTCCGCCCTCGCCAGTGAGTTCTGAAGCTGTGATGACGATGTTGATATACTGACATGGACAGTCGGATATGACACTTCTGTTATTGGAGGTTTGTACTACCAGCTAAGTTGTGATAGCACCGTATTGACCATAGACAGGTACCATGGCATTGACCTCTTTCATGAGGGACTTTGGCCTTGACCTCGTCGAAAAGACCCAACGCGATACCATCCAGGGAAACATCGTCTCCACCTTCCAGGTACATCTGTCTTCTCTTCTCATCCTCTCCAAGCCCATCTGACAAGTCTAGGCTGGCTGTTTCTTCGGTGCGCTGTTCACCTTCCCCATTGCCGAGAAATGGGGTCGTAGAAAGACCATCATGGGCGCAGCCCTAGTCTTCCTCCTCGGCGGCGCTCTCATGACCGCCGCCAACGGCAACCTAAACATGATCTACGGCGGAAGAGCCGTAGCTGGTCTCGGTCTCGGAGCTTCGTCCCTCACTGTCCCCGTGTACATCAGTGAAACTGCTCCGCCATCCATCAGAGGTCGTCTTGTGGGTATCTTCGAGATCGCCTCACAGGGCGGTGGTATGCTTGGTTTCTGGATCAACTACGCTACTGACCGCACCATTGACGTTAATACCAAGACCCAGTGGATTGTTCCGCTGGCGGTACAGCTTCTGCCAGGTTTGGGCCTTGCGCTCGGTATGTTTTGGTGTCCTGAGTCGCCGCGCTGGCTAGCTCGTGGTGACCACTTCGAAGCAGCTGAGAAGATTCTCGCTCAGATCCGAGGCCTTCCAGCGGATCATGAGTATGTTCGTCGAGAGATGGGCGATATTCGTGCGCAGGTTGAGGAGCGCAGTACCAACAAGATGAGCAAGAAGCAGCAGTTCAAGAAGCTTTTCCAGAAGGGCGTGCGTAATCGCATGGGTATTGGAATGGCTCTTATGTTTCTGCAGAGTTTCACTGGTGTCAACATCATTACTTACTACGCGCCCCGTATCTTTGAGAGTCTTGGAATTCCCGGTACTTCATTAAAGCTCTTCTCTACTGGGTTTTATGGTATTTCCAAGACGCTCGGTATGGTTCTTTTCACTTTCTGGGTCGTTGAGAAGGTCGGTCGTCGCAAGGGTCTCATTTGGGGTGCTGCGCTCGGCTGTATTCCTATGTGGTATATCGGCGGGTACGTGATGGAAGCCGATCCCGCTGCTGCAGCTGCAGCTGGCGTTGTGAACCGCGATGGCTGGGGATACCTGGCGATCGTGTGCGTCTACATCAACGCCATCATCATCTGCGCGACATGGCAGGGTATCACGTGGACTTACGCGTCTGAGATCTTTCCTCTCGACATTCGCATGCTCTGCGTGGCCATCACCACAGCCGACACATGGTTGGGATCATTCATCATCGCGCGATCAACGCCATATATGATTTCTGATCTAGGATACGGCGCATACTTCTTCTTCAGCTCAATTCTCGTATGCATGGGAATCTGGGCGACATTCTTCGTCCCCGAAACAAAAGGTGGGTGACACCAACTCCTTCTAGACTTTTTCTACGCTGACATACATAATCACAGGTATCACCCTCGAAGACATGGACGCGCTATTCGCCAAACCCGTCTACAAAACGGTCTGGGCACAGATGCGAGGTAAACCGGTCCTGGAAGAAAATCGCCCCGAGTCTCCGTTCGAAGACGACGAGAAGGCCCATGAGCTAAGAATACCTTAGCTTCCTCGCTCAGCCGGGGTTCTTTGCAGCCTTAGATAACAAATGAGAGACTACCTGGGTTATCGGCTGCAACCACATGCGTTCCCCCCCTGTTCTCCTTGTGAAACTGCTGCGCCGTGAATGGGTGGTATGATTCTGACTGCCGTTCCAGAAGGGGACATTTTGTCCGAAAGGTAAAAAATCGTGCGGGTGTGAGATTTTTTTAAGTGATGACAGCAGGGACCTTCCATGTCTCCGATCCGCTGCGGCGATTTCTTATTTCGACCGCGACTCTTGAGATTGTTTTGTCCTTATTATTACCGTGTCACGTTCAAAGGCGAATGCTATTCTCACGGTGCTTTTTTACCCCGCAAAGCTTCCCCAGACTCTGACGTAGATTATTCCCAAGTTTGGGATTTCGGTTTGTCATAGCAACATGGCCCTTTTGCTAGTGTTATGTAAGTGGCTATCTATGTGCGGCCGACCTGCTGTTCGCCAAGAAGTGAGAGAATCACTGAGAGACAATGTCATTGGTTTGCGGTGGACTGGACAGTTGGGGATGATCGCGGGACATTCCCCATTGGGTTTCATTTTGGGCTTTTGTTCGTTTCTTGGTTTTTTATCACTGCCAAGACGACTCGGCCGTCTTGGCGCTGAGGAGAAGGTGTTGGCTGATGGGGTCAGCTTGTGAGAGATTGCGGTGCAATCTTACGGGTTTGGAGTTGGCCAAGAGATAAGGAGGTTTTGGGGGCGATTGGAGATTGGGAATGGAATGATCTTTTGTTTTCATCAGTTGCAATAAGAAGAATGCATGCAGGCGTGGTTGATGAACTGAGACTGTTTCGAGGGGAAATGCTAGCACTGACTCAACGACCCAGTTGCTCCGTTAACTTTAAAAATATTTAACGTAATAAATTCCACTTTCCCCGATCCCATCCCCGGATTTGCACGGCTCAATCTGACTAGGGACCCAATCTCAATGAGGATGGAGATAATGCATCTCAGCACAATTGGCTGACCTACCGAGGCGAAGCGACCCAAGCCAGGTACCCAAGAGCCAAGCCACCAACTGACCTTAGCTGATGATTGGGAATAACCTCCAAGTTTTATCTCCTTCCCTTTCAAGATGATACAGATTATCTTGGCGTCGGAGGCCCCAAGCGTTGGGGATTTTGACAGGTTCTCGGCAAAAGCTGGGCGTAGAAATTGTGTTTTGGAGGCGAGTTTTGGGGTAACAGTAACAGTAACAGTAACACTAACGGTCAACGGTCAACAGGATTTGTAACATTGCCAGAATGATTGCTCGCCACTCACTCAAACGATTTGAAGCAAACACAAGCCAGCGCGTCATACCCCCATACCATACCTCATGATAAACATTTTAAGCTTGTTGTTTAGCTCGACCCAACCCACTAGGCTGGGCGCCACCTGTGCATGAGTGAGAGCAGCAGAACCCTAAATCAGACCAAGACATGCGCCAAGCCGGACTCTAACCCGCCAATCCTCCAACCAGAAGATCGATCTTTACACCTTCCGTTCTCAGTATCATGTCCGTTGCATACAAGATTTGATCACGCGTTGGCGGTTATTACTCATGTCAACTCAATTTCATGAGCGGATGTCGGATAATGCACAGAGCCTGCCAAGTGCGGGGCGGTCATCACTGTAAATCAGTCCAATTGCAGATTAGGCATTCACTAATTGTCATAGCTTCAGCTAAAAACCTGGGGAACTGGAGTTGAAGCATGTGCTGAGAGGCGAGGCATGGTTTATTTACACGACACGACATTAACATGCGGTATCTACAGAATACAACCCAACAGCTGTAATTATATTGGAGAGATGCATTAATAGTGCTTAACCCTTGTTCAAGGGATGTTGCAGTCTCCCTCCATCTGGTGCTGTTGCCTCTCGTCTAGAACTACTTGGCAGCTTCTCTTCTCCCCATCTCGTCTCGTTCTCTGATGCTTATCATGTCTTGGCACGCTACACGAGTAACCCACCACCTTCTGAATTCCAAACCATCTCCTGCCCTTTTCGCCATCGCCTCTGTTTGTGTAGCTCCCTCCCTGTAACTGTAACACAAACCTTACGTCTCCGCTCCTCGGAGATAAAAACCACTCCATTCCCTTCCCATTTCCCTTCATCTGTGTCAGGTCTCATTCTCTCCCCCTCACCCAATTTACAACTCTTCACACAGCTTCGTTTAATTCGTCTTCTTCCCTCAACAATGACGTCTAAGGAGGAGAAGATCGACGTTGGCAGCGCTACGCCGCCTTCGCCTGGTCATGACCATGGGCATGTGCACACCAAGGATACCTTCACTGGTGATGTTGAGGGCGTTCGCGATGATTTCCGTGAGGAGGATTTCATGACCCGCAATGGTCTGAACCTCAAGTCTTTCCAGCGCCGTGAGTCGCATGCACTGTTCACCACTGCCAATTGATCGCTAACGTTTTTTTTTTCGCAGGTGATTATGGCACTGGCGTCGTCGAACTCGATCGCTCCATGAAGAAGCGCCATCTCCACATGATCGCCATTGGAGGTTCAATCGGTGCTGGTTTCTTCGTCGGTTCTGGTGGTGCTCTCACCAAGGGCGGTCCCGGCGCCGTCTTCCTCTGCTTCTCTATCGCTGGTATTATGATCTTCAACGTCGTCCACGCTCTCGGTGAGCTCGCTGTCATGTATCCCGTCTCTGGTGGTTTCTATACCTACTCTACCCGCTTCATCGACCCGTCCTGGGGTTTTGCCATGGGTTGGAACTACGTAAGTGTCGCTGATCCCGTGTCACGCAATTGAGATACTAACAACTCCAGGTCTTTCAATGGGTCATCGTCTTGCCACTCGAATTAACAGTCGTCTCTTTCACGGTACAATATTGGAATAAAGACATCAGCGAAGCTGTCTGGATCACTGTCTTCTGGATATTCATCATTGTCATCAACATCTTTGGTACTCTAGGCTACGCCGAAGAAGAGTTCTGGAGTTCTATCTTCAAGCTCGCTGCCATCGTCATCTTCATGATTGTCGCCATCGTTCTCATCTGCGGTGGCGGTCCCTCCTCCGGCGACTTCGACACGTATCAGGGGGCCAAGCTCTGGTATGATCCCGGCGCCTTCCAGAACGGCTCCCGAGGTTTCTGTGGTGTCTTCGTCACCGCCGCCTTCTCTTTCGCCGGTACTGAGTTGGTCGGTCTCGCTGCTGCCGAGTCTCGCAACCCCGCCAAGGCCCTTCCCGGTGCTATCAAGCAGGTCTTCTGGCGTATCACCCTGTGAGCACAACTGATGTCAATTCTCTTCCAATGTTCTAACATGCTATAGCTTCTACATCATCGGTCTCACCCTCGTCGGTATGCTCGTCAGCTCCACCGATGAGCGTCTTCTCAACAGCGCCAACCCTTACAAGGACGGTACCTCTCCTTTCGTGCTGGCAGCCAAGGACGCTGGTCTCAAGGGCTATGACGACTTCATGAACCTGGTCATTTGCATTTCCGTCGTCTCCATCGGTGTCTCTGCCGTCTATGGTGGCTCTCGTACTCTGACTGCTCTCGCTGAGCAAGATTACGCGCCCAAGATCTTCACCTACATTGATCGCTCTGGACGACCTCTCGTCTCTGTTGGCTTTAATCTCATCTGGGGTGCCCTCGCCTACATTGTCCTCGCCTCATCTGGTGGTCTTGTTTTTGACTGGCTCCTTGCTGTCTCCGCTCTTGCTGCCCTCTTCACCTGGGGCTCCATCTGCTACGTAAGTCTAAACCTCGCACCTTCCTTTTGATCCAGCTCACTGACCGACTTTCACAGGCTCACATTCGCTTCCGCTCCGCCTGGAAGAAGCAGGGCCGAAGCCTCGACCAAATTCCCTTCAAGGCTGCTGGTGGCGTCTGGGGCTCGTGGTTGGGTCTCGCTCTCTGCTTCGCTATTCTGGGCTGCCAGCTCTTCGTCGCCGTCTGCCCACCATTCAAGGAGGGCTACGGTACTGCTGAGGACTTCTTCATGGCCTGCCTTGCCATTCCTGTCGTCCTCGTCTTCTGGATCATTGGCTACTTCTGGAAGCGACCCCAGTGGCTCACAGTTGATAAGATCGACCTCGACACCGGCCTTCGTGAGCATGACTGGGACCAGATCAACGCTTACCGCGCTACTGTCGCTTCATGGCCTGCTTGGCGCCGATTCTTCCACAAGTTCATGTAAGGGCATAAAGTCTCGTGATACGTGGATATTGGGAACATAATCGTCAACTTTTATAGTTAGTCCCTCTTATTTGAGGATTATTAGTTTATACCCCGTCAATCTACTCGTTGTTAGCTTTTATACAACAACTGTCTTATCTAATTCTCATGGTGACTGCTATGTGATTTTACTACCTGCACTGGCTCTCGAGTCACCATTGCCGCCTGAGCTAACACCACTCAATAACAGCAACTCGGCCGATGATCCCAGGCATGGAACGTTTGCTAGCTATGCTACCCGGTAATCTCGGCCAACTTTCTCTGTAGATCCTCATTCTCAGAGCACGGTTTATACTTCTGAACCGCCAAAGTCAGGCCGCAACTTGATAAACCGGGCTGCAACAAGTAGTCAACGATGGCTTTAGAGGCGTTGTCTTCGGATGAAGCGGAACAGTTAAATTCAAAGCAAGTGTGCAGCATAAGTAAATAAAAACCATAAGTACGAAACCTTAACAACTAGTACTATACCGCTTGGGTAACTATCGGCAGTTATGAATTAAATTTAGAACTTGTTTGGATACTACGTAAGAGACTAGGATATTAAGTAATTGCTTTTTAATGCCTGATTCATAGACGGTAAATGTAAGTTTCAGCCACAGGTTTTATTTTTAATGCGTTGCTTGAATTCATGAAGGGTCCAAGCATCTTGGATACTTTGCTCTCGTGCTTTTTGCAAGGGTTGCTTTTATGCGGTAGACATAAGCTTTCAGCCACAGGTTATAGCTGTAAATAACACATTAAGCAACTCAATCATCTGTGTTCTGCCATTTAGCTTGTTAGCTTTTCATTTATAAATATTGCTCTATTCCCCGTCTTTACAACAGATCATCACTCACAGACATTCTCTTCAGTCTTCTGCAACATCTGCAATCAACTCACTCAAATCTACCTATCCAAACAACCCCCAACCAATTCTTCATCATGCGTTTCACCGGCCTAACCGCAGTTCTTCTCGCAGCTCTCGTCACTGATCACGCTCACGCTGCCGAGCGCTGCACCAATCAGCTCACCAACGACTGGTCCCGCCGCTACGAGGCTTGGTCCAACACCTGGGTCCCTAACGCCGATGCCGTCTGCGGCAATCTCTGGGCTAACCTTAACCGCTACCCTGAATGTGCTGGTGTGAGCGACCAGTACTGCGGTTACGACAATAGCGGTTCTTCGCTCGTCTGGGCGTTTACTACTGGAAGTGGCTGCGAAGCGCGATCGGTGATGGATTCGTGGTATTGGGCTACCAAGAACCAGTGGGGCAATATTGATTGCAGGCAGTGAATTTGAGGGGAAGTGGTAAGTAGCTACATGGTACTGAAGATCCACAGACTCTGACTTGAATGTTTAGGAGTCGAGATGGCACTGGGGCGAGGGGGGCAGAGGGGATGGTCAAGGTTGAGGTTGAGGTTGGTCTGTTAGAGGCATCTTGCATAACGACGGTTGAAGAATAGCGTTGGATCTTTAGTAACTTTTACCGTTTTAGCAGCAACACAATATGCCATTTAGTAGGCACAGATATGAATATATTATTAGAAAATCCATACCCTCGATGGTTGAACTTGTGATAATACTCAGACAGTGACGCGCCCGAGGGAACTTGATATAACCTTAACCAGACTAATTCGCTGGTATAATACATTAGCTTTGTCCGGATGATGGCATAATAAGTTCGGCATCCATTGTTAGGTTGAGGTGATAACGTGAATCTCTTGTACTCCCCTCAACTTCTTTGACCAAGCTGCCAAGCTGGACAATGAATTAACTGGCTAATTTGACCGTGCTCGATGTCTATATGTGAATCGGCGCTCAGCCCCAGTGTTGAAAGGCATGGCATCGGCAAATACGAAAAAGGGGGTTCCTGTAAATCTTGACACTGCCTGCCCTGAGTAAACCATGTGTTGACATCGAAGGACACCAGGTTTATAATCAAGTCGCACAATAACCCTTGTGACCTGCAGTGGCTGAAATTAAGACAGTCAGAGTCCCGCAACATTCGGCCTTCGCGTTATAAGGATAGTTGCGAGGCTAAGAGACATACCACGCGCCGGCCGTGGCTGCAGGCGTGCATTAGAGGCTGATTGTGAAACCATCCATCAGTCATAGTCTTGTCGGTGTATGACAGTCTTATTTCGGCGTTTGAGCGGGAGGGCATCGGGATCGGGTCTCAAAAGAACTGCCAGTCCTTCTCATTGCGTATGATCCAAGAACTTACTACCACTGATGCATTGTATAATAACAAACCCTGGAGAAAACCCGGGCGAGACTATATACCCGATAGGCGGCGGTTTCCCATTCCGAGAGCTCGGCAGGTTGATATGTGACGGAAAGATACTCATATCAGCATAAGCAAGCCATGATTACTGACAGCCTGACAAACCTGTGCCACTTAAAATCGATCATGATTGGCGTCTCTTCCTGCCTGAACGCAATGGCTGAGTGCGGGGCCACATTTCTCTTTGCCCTGAGATCATTCTCTACCCTCACGGCCGATGGCAACATGTCGAAGTGGACAACGTGCCACGCATTGACATGTTGATCGGGGACTGGGAGAGCCAGGTGAACGAATGCGACGATATCGAAATCACTCGCCGATTGATCGACCTTTTCTTCATATCGGTCCTTCTCGATGCTGGTGATACCTGGCGCTATACTGAGCCTACGACGGGTCAGGTCTACGAACGTAGCGAGGGTATCGCGGTTCTCGTGCTGATCTTCTCAGAAGCCTGGGAGAGTCACTACTTGACAACGCGCACGTCTTCGGAACACAGGGACGCCCTGGAAGACTTGCCGGTAAGTAATCACTGCCACACCCCCTTATACTGACGTCGACTAAAAGCTCCTCAGACTTTCTCTCCAAGACGGCTGTTGAGTCGTCGCACCTCGATACCCTGAAATTTTGGGACTTGCTTCCAACGCTTCTCATCCCAGTCTGGCCCAAAGGCCGAACCGTCGTCGATGATATACCCATTGGTGATGCGTGGCCCCTGAGCGCTTTGAGATACGGATCGACTTCCCAATACCTGGCCGACAGTGTCCAGCGATTCCATAAGCCCACTTAACGGCTGACGTACTTGCTGATGGTTCCTTTCCAGAGGATCCTTGGAAACTGATGGATCAACGTAGACCCAGTCAAGGCCTTGGCAGAGTGTCCCAACGGCGGCTTGTTTGCTGACATGGGCGTGCTCTCCTTGACTGAAGAGGCACTCGGTCGTGGACTCAAAGTCTGGCCGTGAAGTTGCTGCGCAGCGTCGACCCGAAATCAAGTCAAGCCCTATCTTGACCAAGAGCGATGGGACTGTCTTTCAAAGTAGCTTTCTTTCATCACATCACCTCAGAGCTAGCGGAAAATTGGCCTGATTGCCCATATCCTTTTGTATTCAATGTCATGCTATCTCCTATCGAGTAGTTCCTCGTGATGTCGTAAGCCTAAGCACTAAGCTAGCTGGGATGGAAGCACCCAAGCTTCATCTTCATCTTCGTCTTTCTCAATAGTGAGGCCCTGCATGTCTCCATCCTCCAAATTGACAATCTCATAATTTACCTCGTCAGCTTCCTCTTCCTCGATCTCAGGTCCATCATCAACTAGTACCGCCTTCCTGACCACTCTTTTCGCGGTAAGGGCGGGTGCACCAACAAGAAACGCTCTTTTGTGGTATATCTTCTGGACTTGAATGCCAAGAACAAAGTCGGCCGGTCCAGAAAAGGAAGAAACAAGCTCGGAGTCAGAGGATGCGCCAGCCATGACCTCAACTTGCAGGTCGACAGGCCCTGCGGGACTTTGAACGCTGGCCTCTGCATTGCCCTCCATCTGCCAGTCTCGGAAAGCAGCTCAGGTGATCTGGCTGCATGGAGAGCTGGGTAATAACAAGCAGTATTGCGTTAGTAAAGAGCGTCAATAGATTCGAGTCGGTAAACGAGCTTGCTTACCTGGACACCTCTTTCGAGGAAAACTTTATTGTCGATTAAATGCTCCAGGTCACGCAAAAGTGCGCACAGACGAGTTGCAAGGAACTCCCAATTCGGATCATCGCTTGATAGTTTGCCAACGTCAAAAGTTTGCTGTCTCGTTATGTTGTATTCAAATTCGGACCGAAGGGCCTGGATTACATACGCGAGGTGAATCTTATCAGGGTTGGCCAAGGTGCCAAAATGACCATGAGCTACATCGTCAGTGGTCGGGAGCGTATCGGCAGCATAGAACACTGGGTGGAGGGCCTTTAGGACTCGCCACCGCAAACGAACGGAAACGACATCCGACATAGCGATCCTTATAGATAAAGGTGCTCGGATAGAAGCAACAGACCAGATATATGGACGCACGCCGTTGTCTTGGGCTGCTGCGGGAGGACACGTTGGCGTTGTACGGGTATTATGCATCGAAGGTGCGAACGCTGATGCAGTCGATGATTCACATCGCACTCCATTGTCGTGGGCAGCTTCAAGAGGAAACGAAGATACCTTGCAGCTTCTCATCGATGCCAGTTCAGATATTAAGTCTGCAGACTCTCAATTTTTGAGAGCTCCACTCCACTGGGCAGCTTCCAGAAACAGGCCAGGTAACGTAAGACTACTTCTACAGCATGGAGCCCAAGTTGATGCTATTGATGGGTCGTCCAGAACGCCGTTGTCCTTAGCTTCGGAAGAGGGATACGCTAGTGTCGTCGAGATACTCCTCAAGAATGGGGCTAACATCGAGGCCTGTCATCCTGTGCATGAACAAGCTCCTTTATCAATGGCGTCTGAGTGTGGACATGAAGATGTGGTACGGTTGCTGTTAGCGCATGGGGCCAAGGTCGGCGCAACGGACTTCCAAGGCTTGACAGCACGGGACCGGGCTATTGATCAAGGGCACGATGAGATCACTAAAATGCTTGGAACCTATCAGGGGGAGCGGATTTCTTTGTCTTATAGATAGAATGTTTAAAGCATGTTCAGTAAGTTACTTGTTACAAAGAAAAGATTAAAATAGAAGAAAAAAATAGACATCATTTCCGTTTCTCGCACTCAGTTATCATAGATGAATCTAAGCATTCAGCGACAGGTCTCAACTGCAAATAACACATCTAGCTCACAATTTAATCGTCTCCAGCTGCAAATAACACATCTAGCTCACAATTTAAATCGTCTCCAGCTCGATAGTCGATATTTATATGATGCTTTATTGCCACCACTCGCTAATCATAGTCTATAAGTCTTCTTTCAAAGACTTTACATCAGCTCACCAAGCATAAACAATATCTTCAATAAACTTACCGGCACTGTAGGCACCTATTCAAGATCCAATACCCGATAGTAAGTATGCGAGGCTCAGTTGCACACCATTTATCTCATAAACAGCAATAATAAGAGTCGGCGTTGATTGATGAGGATTGGAGAGAGCTGAGATTCATGTAAAAGATTCCGAGTATCATAGTAATCACTGTATCCTTGGACTGCAGCAATATTTACAGAACAATAGAAGGTCATCGTAGAAAGATAAACCATTCGTCAGCCGATGTTATCCGCCAGGTCTCCAAGAATTGCTAGAGCGAGACGAGCTACAACGATGTACGATGGGATGGTGAGATTGATCCGTCCAATTGCCACGTGAAGTGCCTGGGACAAATCATATATGGTAGGGAAGAAGATGACGGATGATAATGGGGAGAATGAAGCGGCAAATAAGGTCAGACAAATGATCTGAAAACGTTGAGGCTTGGTGAAAATGCGTAAAAGGGCAAAGGAACTGGCGCTTCGGCCGATACATCGCAAAGCTCTGTGACAAGGTTTTGCTTCCTTTGTGGTGGCGACATGATTGAACTTGACAGAGAGATTCACCGGGGCTAGAGATGACTGTTCATGTTGAAATTGAACTGGTTTAAGTGCTTGATCTGGTCGACTCGACGCGGGGCGTTAGGACAAAGACGTAATTCAGTTGGTGGTTCGTCGAAGTTGGTGACGCTCTGTCCCATCGCTTGTAACCGCCGAGAATTTGAACCTTTGTTTGCACCCTTACTTCATCTTTTCAATGCACAAGAGTACAGAACAGGGTCACGGAGATGTCACCAAAGACTATCGCCGTCATCGGAGCTCTGGATGCTGACTTGATAATGGTTACGATCCGCATTCCTGACCGCGGTGAGAGCGTCTGCGCAAATCATTGCCAAGAAGCTCTTAGAGGTAAGGGAGCAAACTCGGTCATTGCAACCTACAGAACATGCCATCAGAGACCACGTTCAGCAGGAGAAACACTGCCAGATGACCCTCTCATCGTTGCAACAGAGCAGCTCACAGTTGGGGGTGAAGATGATGTCTAAGTAAAGATGATCAGGGCGGTTGGCGATGATAGATACGGGGAAAGGTTCATCGCCGAGCTGAATAAGAATGGCGTTAATGCTTCGGGGATCACCACAGTCCCTAATACCAGCTCAAGCATTTGCTTCGTCATGGTAGAAGACCAGACACGAGAAAACCGCTGTCTTTTCATGCCTAGTTCTACAGCCACTTGGAGAGAGGAGGACTTCATCGACGCACAGCAGCTTGGAGGCGGGACACGGCCAGACCTGGTATTAGCCCAGATGGAGATTCACAAGGAAGTTGTTGAAACCATGCTGATGGCTTCTGGCAAGGCTGGCATCGATTTCTGTCTCAAGGCTGCTCCTGCAATCCCAATCAGCAAGCGCCTTTATCGACACCTGACGCATTTGCTCGTAAATGAATCTGAAGCGGCCATTATGTCAGGGCGTGAAAGAGATGAAGTTAACCTGGAAACATGGCCAACTATTGCGCAGGAGTTCTTGAGTCGTGGCATCAGAAATGTGGTCATTACACTGGGAGCAAAAGGTGCATTCTATGCCAATGCTGAGGGAAGCGGCCATTGCCCTGCATTCGATGTTCAAGTTGAGGACACCACCGGAGCCGGGTACGTTTTCTCATCGCCTCTCTAAGCATGATCTGACGTTATTGAGTAGTGACGCCTTCGCCGGGGCATATGCTTCAGACTACATGAGGCAAAAGACCACAGGTGGATGGGATAACAGAAGTGCAGTTGTTGGTGCAAATAAGGTTGCTACCATTACGTTTACGAGTCTAGGGGTACAAGAGGGGATTCCTTGGTCAGACAACATTGATAATTTTGACGCGCCGGTGAAGAGGCTCGAATTTATACGGTCAAAATTGCCTGCTGGTCTGGGTGGTGGAGCTTGAATCCGAGACGTATCTGTCGTCGGAGTGGTTAATGTGACGGATGGATGACTTCAGTTACTAGTTTAGGTAGTGGAAGACGACGTTGTTTACATGCAAGATAGACAATATTTCTTAACCTTCGATAGTTTTGCTATAGTACATTGTCACAGTGACCTCTCTCAAACCATAGTTCGAAGTCCTCTCTCGAGGACGACGCCAGCCACACCAACACCCAACACTCCAAGCGTCCAGGTATTCTTAAACTCCTCCAACTTGGGCCAGAAGCTGTTCTTCTGCTGTCGGTACTCCTCAAACTCCTGCGCCTTTACAGCGTCGTGCTTTGAGTATCGCTCTGCTTGACTCTCCTCGTTCTCCTTGTCACCACCAAGGTAGCGCAGGAAGACGTAGTTGGCGATTGGGCCGAGAGCAGTAATGGGATGGAGGATACCGGCGCCGAGAAGAAGAATGGGGAATGAGGCGTGGATTAGGGCGTCGCCAAGATAGCTGATATTTGTTAGCTTGGGTGTGTTCGTCAGTATGAGGTGAACTTACTTGGGGTGTCGAACAATGCTCCAGACGCCCTCGCGGTTGATTCCCTGAGCAGTGTCGTCCTTCTTGAATGACTCAAGCTGGGCATCGGCCAAGGTCTCAAGAGCGAATCCGGTAGTGAACAAAAAGATGGCTAGTGAGTGGAAGACAGATCCGTTGGAAGTGAAAGGTGAGGCGACAGCGCTCTCCGCTACAGCGCGGAAAGGAATTGTAAAGGGAAGCGAGATGATAGTCTGCGCGACAGCCTCGGGCAGAAATGTGGTAAACAGCGCCATGTTCCAGAAACCGGGATCCTTTCTCTTAACGTCATAGCGAGGGTCATCCTTTCCGCGCTTCAAGCTTCGCGACACAACGCGGGAAGTAAGTCTCACTCCCCAAGCAGTAACACCAGCGAGGAGAAGCTTCTGCGAGTATCCAAGACCATTCCAAGCATCAAGAGGCGAAACATTATCGTAAACATAGCGAGAACCAATAGCGCTCCACCAAGCATTCAACGTCATTCCAGAAGCCCAAAGAAAGTCCTTCCCCTCAACTCTATCCGCATACCGCGAAACCCCGTACGCGACCGCCGACAAACCAGCATGCAGACTAAAAGACGGTAAGACTGCGGAGTGCAGTAGTCCTAGCGCACTAGTTCCAAAACCTTGATACGCGGTGCGATTGAAATGCGAGCCATAAACATCTTGTTCGGCCCCAGATGACCCGAAACTCGCCCGAGGCAGAGGTGGAGAATGCCCGGCAAACTTGCTGCCGTAGATATCCTGCTCGGCACCAGATCCAGCGAAAGAAGGTCTTGGTAGAGACGGGGAGTGGTCGGCGAATTTACTGCCGTAGACATCTTGTTCGGCTCCAGATCCGGTGAATGCCCCGTGGGGAAGAGAGGGCGTGTGACCGGCTAGTGTATTACCGTAAATGTCTTGTTCGGCGCCGGAGCCAGTAAAGGTGCCTCTTGGGAGGGACGGTGAATGATTGGCGAGTTTACCGCCGTAGATATCTTGTTCCGCCATGATTGAGATGTGTGAATTGTGTGAGAAATTGAGAATTAGTGATGGCAGAATGGTTGGAGATCATGATATACTGGTAAAGGTGGAGCTGGAACCATCGTAAATATTGCGTCATGGGTTATATCATCATTGCATCGTCGACGCGTTTCTGTGGAAAGTGATGACTAAGGTCATTCTCCATGTTTCAGTATTGTTATAATAACCAACATGGTTTTCCTTCTTGCCTGTCAGTAGCAGGTTGAAAGCAGATGTCAGCTCTACCGGCTTGGGACGGCGATGTTTGTCGGAGGTACATATTCCGACGAGTGAGAAATGGGGTCCGAAAATAGATCAGATTGAACTGCCACTAGCTTAACGGCCCATCTTCTGCCGGAACTGCCCCGACGTGCTGGCAAATGCGACCGCGTCAAGAGCAATGTGCCGTGAGACGCGCCATGCAAGTCGCGTATCGTACCGCATGATTGGGACAACAGCTACGACACAACAATCACAAACAACGAGAACATATTATGATAATCATGATTAAATATTCCTAGAAAGTCTGTAGGCAACAAGACAAGTTAAATTGCCTTACTACTGAATGACTACATAGGTCCACTTGTGATGTACAAAACCACGTTAGATAATCCAGCCGCTTAAATAAACAGAGCAACACGAGGGATCCAGCTTGGTCTTCCCCAGGAGAAACCACGCTGTTGTCCTCCTTGATAGTAGCAACATCTACTCGTCGTCGTGGACATCGATGACGGTCTTCTTCCACTTGCGGGCGGGGACCTTGCGCTTGAAGAGAATGTCGATCTCTCGGTAAGATCGGTTCTTCATCTCAGGGAGCCAGATGAATGCCAGGACCAAGCAGAAGAAACCGGTACCAGCCCAGACATAACCGCACTTGCCACCGAGGTTGGCGCCCTGTAAATTGTTAGTTGCTGCTTTAATTGAGATTAAGAAGATGGACTTACAGTGGGATTAAGCATCCATGAGGAGAGGAAGATACAGGGGATGTTGACGAGGTAGTAGCAACCACGGCCGACACCAGTGGTGAGAGGTCGAAGACGGATGGCAGAGGTCTCTCCGATGATGACCCAAGAAGCGGGAGCAGGTCCGAGGGTGAAGAGGACGGAGACAATGAGACCGAGAGCAGCCTGGGTGTTGGAGTTGACGGTGGACTTGACATCACCGACAGTGGCGGCAATACCAAGAGCGACCAGAAGAACAGTGTTTCCAAGAGAACCCCAAAGGTAGATGGATCGTCGACCGAAGTAACTGGTGAGAATCCAAGACAGCATGACGAAGACGGTCTGGAGGGCGGAGGTGATGAGACCCATAGCGAAAGCGGTCTTGTTAGGCATACCGGCCTCTGTAAATAAGTCAGTACAGTTCATCAAAGCTCACGGGGATCCACTTACGCTCGAAGAAGTAAACAGCCTGGTTAGCGATCAGGTTACCAGTAAGGTTCTGAGCGGCGTAGACGCAGCAAACGATGGCAGTACGGTAGGCATCAGTGCCCTGGAACAGCTCAATGAAGCTGGGCTCCTTGACGGTCTTCTCGAGATCAATGGTTCGCCTCATCATAGCAATAGCTTCTTGAGCGTTGTCGACGTGAGTAGAACGTCCGAGACGTCGAACGGCCTTGGCAGCTTCTTCAAGACGACCCTTTCGGACGAGCCACCAGGGAGACTCGGGGGAGAGGAAGATGAGGATGGCGAGGGGAGTGGGGAACATCCACTGAAGAGCGATAGGCACACTGAGACTTTGTTAGCGATTTGAGAGATTGGTGATAAGAATTGAGAGAACATACCGGAAAGCAGCCTGCTCATGAAGATCATTGTAGCGGTAAGCAACGGCACCGACGATAATAGCACCAATAGCCCAGAACATCTGAAGCATCTGCGTAGCAGGCGCACGAAGCTGGAGAGGCACAATCTCGGAACAGTAAGCAGGAGAGTTGGCGATGAAAATACCCCAAGGGATACCCTCAAGAAGCTGAGCGACAAGCATGACAGGGAGAGAGTCGGCAAAGTAGAAGATGAAGATGAAGGCGTTGAGGGTCATGAGACCGCCGATGGTTGCCCATCGGTATCCGATACGGCTGGTGATGGGACCGGCGATGGTGACACCGATAATGGCACCGATAGGACCACCGACTTGAAGAGCAGATTGCCACTTTGTCTCAATGACATATTTGCCCTTGGTGTCACTCCAGATACCGTATCTGTCGGCGAAAGCGGGGAGGGCGATGAAGTTACCGATGAGGAAAACACAGTAAGCCTCCATGATCTACGCCATTAAACTCAAATTAGCCATAATTCACCGGTGAGGGGTAATTCCTTGGGGGCGGCGCTGCATACAATTGTGCAAGACATGTTGAAGGCCCAGAGAGAAGCAGCGGGATAAGCTCTAACGGCCTCGAGAACGGTCATGTTATGCTCCTGGTTCTCGGCGTCAATGGCGCCCTGCTTGTCGGCGGCCATCTCCTTCTTTGCCTCGACATCGTAGGCATGGTCGATATGGGCCTCCTCGCCCTTGACCTCTGAGATGCCGCCAACGCCCTTGTTATCGTCGATGTTGCTCATGTTGACGTGTTATTGAAAATCAACAATGATTGAGGATGGAAACGAGAAAAAGCGAGAAATGCAACGGTGCCGAGCGTTGACATTTATAAGAAAATTGAAACGTCGCGTTGGAAAAGATGCCGATCGTATGGATCCCTGCTCTTAACCTAGCAAGGTATGGAGTAGTAGCATCGAAATTAAAAAAGTACCCTAAGCAACCGGGAAAACTGGCAAAAAAGGGCTTCGCGATGATACGTAGCGTGCGTCGGTGCCGGGGTGTGTTGATTTTAGGCATCTGGGGTATGGTTCCCTCGGGCATTAGACGCACGAATAGAAGCACAGTTGGAGACCAACAGCATTTCAAGGGCGGCCTATGAACGAGGAGTTCCCCGCGAGAAACCCCGCAGACTACCCCGGATCAATACACCACTACGGCGCGACTCCGGCGGGAGGAGTTCGGGGTCATGCCAGGATGGGACAAGGTTGCATCCTGATCGGTCTTAATTTCCCCGTTTTACTCCAACATCTCCACGCTTGCTTGTGACTCTCGTGGTATTTACTACCGAGCCGAGGTGAGGCTCTACAGAAACATGCCGATCCGAAGTTTACATGCCGAGAACCCAGTCTCAATCTCAAAAAAAGAAAGAAGTTAGACTGTGTCTCTATCTGGGGAAAGGCGGGTCTTATTCTCCAGTGTATACGGTTATCATCAAAAGTACTGGAGAAGCTGGGGAACCCCCCTCCTCAACACGCGAGCGAATCATCAAACACCCGGCTAAACGCACCACAAAAAACAAGAATTGGAGGGCTACAAGCTCCATCCCTGCTCCTCCTTGTCCTCCCATGCTACCCCATCTCCGTCCCCTGGAATCTCACGTGGGCCATACGAAAAGTCCAGAACCATAACCTGTAACAGTCGCACTTCCCGCACAGGCGCGCCAATTGTTCTTGACGCGCTTCTGCTAGCGTGTGGAATTAATGCACCTATCGGGTCACACTCCCGGTGGTGCCAAGAGCGGCATTCCTTGCCGTTGATCCTTCGAGAAGCAGTCAGGCAAATGCAGGGTAGTTTTGGTACATTTATTTCCAGGTGACACTTCCTGATTTGCGCGTGTAGATTTTTAAGAGTGGTAATTTAAACTTAATGTCTATGGCTTATTTCCTATAGGAGCGTTAAGCGTGAATCCCAACGGTCCGGGTAAAGTAACCTGGCGTATGTGAAAGCACAAGTGACAGCTGAGATGCAGAATAAAGGCTGAAACCAGCTGGTGATGGACGGCTGGGCTAGGTTGCCCCAGACTTGCATCCGTCAAATTCGGATTCCACGTGGTTTGTGTTGCATTAGTTGAGGTCTCCTCTTTAATCTGTCATCTGGAGTCGTATTCAGAGTCTAGGTTAGGTTGCGTTCAAGATGGACTGGTGCTGCAATGAGACATGTCGGGAATGTTGCCGATTGACGCGAGAAGGTTGAAACCAGGTGAGAACTGGAATTGTAAAAACGACAAGACATATTTGGTCCTTGATCTATGAATTACGCCCTGACTCGCAATAAAAGAATGAATAATCGTTATTGCACATCTAGTTGCTCAAGACGGTCACTGGCGACGCAACCAAAAACACCGATCTATTCAAGCCACCTGAGAAACGTGACGTCTGATCACAGAGTTCCGGCACAGGGTAAGCTGCCCCTAAGCGAAATGCATCTTAATCGTATACCCATCAGGGCGCGCCGCTACTGGTTCGCATCCCAGTCTGGCATGCCTTGGAGAATCTCCACTCCCAAGCCGTGGAGTCTTTGTAGATTCAGGTGGGCAGGGACAGATGATCGCCTCGATCTGAATTTAAGCTGTGAGACAGTTGAAGTTTATCCAAGATTAAGAATCAGCGCGTATGACAAAGAGTTGCGTGAATGGAATGATTATAAGCTAGCTGCGTCAACTAACGTCTCCACCTTATAGAAAGTTACTGTTATCTCCTTTCCCGAAATGTCTTGTTCTTTCGTATAGTTCTCGGTCGTGGAGAGGTGCAGGTTGCAGACAGGATGGTGACATTTAATTCACCTTTGACGGCAAGTACCTCTTGTCTTGACGCCCTGAACCTTCCTCCAGATTGGGTTACTTCGTTGCTAGTCGGATTCGACAACCGTCCTCTACAGTTCATGTGGCGAAGAAGGCTACCAGTTCCACCATGAGGAAGAGCGCATGCCTCGATGCCTGCGCTACTACATACAACACGCGGAGGTTCAGCGAAGTACGACCATTGGCTCGAGAATATCTAGGCTAAAGCGATATGTACTGTGGAAAGAGATGGTGTGTGATGAAAATCCTCTTACTCGAAGATCTTCGACATGCTAGCTACATCAGACGCAAGCCCAGCGTTGAGAGTTGGTTTTCGTAAGAAAGACATACACCTCTGCTGTTACTACTAAGTGAACTCTCTCATGATTGCGTCTGAAAATCACCTCTAGTACATGAAATATGTGAGCTCGTTACTATCAGCTGTACTTTTGAAGCAATCTTAACGGGCTTTGGTGAAGCTGTGATAGGAAGCTCTTCTGTGCCATCGCTTCCATGAGCTGAATGAGCCATCTACAAGCTCCAAAGTAGTTTGGAAGGATGTTCTGATGAGTAAGTGATTGGTTGCCGGCTGAGTGCTGATGCTGCGAAGAACCAATCCCAATTGGTTCGCATAAGACTGTATCCCCAAGACTCTCCCTTGAACTAGCAGGGGCATAATCAGCGTTAACGGCTGATGAGGTGTAGTTCTCCAATTCTTTTGGGGGAGGCCTAGGCTTTCATCCAATATTATACCCAACCGTGGTCCTCAATCTATTCAATGGCTTTCACCAACTGCTCCCTCCCTGACACGCCGGGGATCTTGTTGTCGGACCCGGCGGGTACGTACCGCCGACCAAGGCACCCACCCCATTCATAGAACACGGTCCCTTCCCAGTTCCCGATTTTCTGCCTGGTTCCATCTTTCCCCTTCTCAACTTCCAAAATCCACGGCACCGGAACGATCCTTGAATTGCTCTCATTCAGCAGCGTAGTGGCTAATACTCGAATAATTCCTTCACCGGTCCTGCTATATACAGGCAGTACGCCAATTGCGCGATGAATGAAGGAAAACCAGCATGTAAAGTGCCGAATGCCCATTGTAGTTCATACGATAATATATTCTTCCGCGCTCTGGGACCCAGTTCCGTCACGTTCATAACGAGCTAACGGACATGCCACGGTATATAAGCCAAATAATAACAAAGTGGTTTGTTCATATCTATGCATCATATCAACACTAAAACGTCAGATAGTGTTAAATCCAATTGAATCCATGATATTCAGTGCTTCTCGTAACATTTCGTTCCTTGCAAAGTCTCGCACCTTTCTCCGATCGGCATCAGTTGACTTGGCTTGATATTCCACCAGGACTCGTTGCACTTCGGAACATGTAAGTAAGAACTTGGCTGAGTTGGTTGAGCTTTGTAGACTGTAAGAGTCAAGAAAATGGCGTTCTGAAAGTTTCATCGCGTAATGAAGTGGCGTGAGTGCCTCTTTGGACTCATCTGACGTCCATGCAAGTCTCGGGTCTGCCCCAAAGAGATACGCGAGAGCCTCCATATTCACAACGACAATGCCATCGATTGATGCAGAAAACACGGTTTGTCCTTTGTTGTTTCTACAGAATAGGTCGACAGACTTGTTCTCCAGCAGCACGCGAAGCCAGTGAGCAGATATTACCTCATGTAATGGACTTTGCCCCGAATTGTCCCTGTGGTTGATATCTACGGTGTTGTCAAGAACAGCTTGCAAAACAGCTTCCGAGGTAGCCCATCTCGTTGCTACATGTGCCGGCAGTTCGCCATCATTATCCGGAATATTGGCGAGTTTGCCACCATCATATTGAGTGAGGCGCCGAACCAAGGACATACAGCTACTGCAATCCCCTCGGCATAGCCCTCTTATGCAGCAATGTAACGGGGTTTCCCCCTCCTTATTTCGGATTTGTAAGTAATCTGTATTGCCGATATCCATCGCAAATGTGGCAAGAGAATGGCATCTCGCACGAAGCGCCCTGTGGAAGTGTTCGAGATCTCGAAAAAAAAGGTCTCCCCAGATCTTGTATTCCGTACAATTGGATTGTGCAATGAATACCCCCTTCTCATCGTAGAACTCTGGTTTGGCATATCGAAACCAGGCATGTATCAGCGTGGCGTCTAATGAGTGATAACCCCTTCGGACTGATCTCAAATCGGTCTGGGATATTATCTGATCTGTAACCTGAGCCATCATTTCCGCAGGGTCCTGAGGCTGTTTTGCGGTCAAAAGCATGTCCAAGGCGGCTGGGCGGTTCGCGTGTATCGCCCGGGCAATGTGTTCTGCCAAGTTGGAATCGCTTGGGCCATTGCTGCTATGCAGAAAGAATTCCAAGATCTCGAGATGCTCTCGGTAAATTGCCGTAGCAACTGCAGTTGGTGTAGTGCTCCTCGTAATTATTGAACGAAAAGGGCCAACTCCGTTATCGACGAGGTACTTGCAGATATGACCATGTCCAGCCTCGACAGCAGCACACAGCGGTGGGACAGTCTTTGGACGAGTGCCGTAAAGATTAGCTCCCTCACGGTGGAATCTCTTAACTTCGTCGAGATTTCCAGCTTTACAAGCCTCGTAAAGGTTCCATTCGCCAGTCTCAAGGTCAGCAGGAAAGACAGCTTTGGCTCTGGATATGCTGTGGTGAAAGGCCTCATTATGACTTTCCAGTCGCTTTGAGGAAGCGTAGCCAACTGTATGGGCAAAGCAATCAACATGAGGGCACCTGTACGGTCTCTCATGTACTGCTAGGTGGTCTTTGAGTGCAGCTTCGTTCGAGCATCCCATGGCAAACTTCGAGCATTGAATCTTGTGACACTTGTGCCTCAGTGGTCCCTCGGTTGCGTCCAAAACAGCAGATTCGGACTTCTCTCGCTGTAAGCCTATAAGGGTTCGTACAACAAGGACATTATCTTGAATGGCCAAGTTCAAGTCTGGAGCGGTCTCATCGCCCTCCTCTGCCTCAGCTGAAGTTTTCCTGCAATTGGCTTTTGTCAAATCCACTGCTGCTGCTTTGACAGCTTCCGCTTTCAAGGCTGAGTCTGTCGAGGCCTCTACCGTTTCGATGTGGAGTGCATAATGAGCAGCAGAATAGTCCAAGAAACCAAAGTATCCCGAATGGATATCATCACTGATGTTTTGGCTCTTGGATTCGGTAAAAGGCTTAGAGGATAAGTAGCGACAACAAAAAAGGGCCATGTCGATATGCTCCTGTAGGAGATTGATCGTGCCGTTGCGGACCAGATATCTATTTTCATGTTAGCTCATATTTATACGTTGAGGATAGTATATGATCATACTTGGTTGCTGTTTCATGAACCATGCTGATGACCTGCTCAGATTCAATGTTGGGAAACAGATCGCAATTCGTTACGTCAACGAGAGAGCTGCATATGCTCTTGCAGCTGTCTCGACGCAGGTTCCTCATGTTGCAAGTCTCCTTATTTGCATTGATACAGAATCTCGACTGTATCTCGCGCCATCGAAGTGGTCTTGTCGCGCAAATCACCCAGCCCAGTATGCTCGTCACGGTCTTGTGACGCGAGGGTCCATGTTTCTTCAAAATCCGTTGAGCAATACGATCATAGCTGACTATGTTAGTGATCCCACTCCATGCTTGGCGTCTTTTGCTTACTCACGCTTGGTCCAAGTCTTCTGGGAACGTATCGCCTTCTAGTTCATCTTCGAATTCCTGTATTGAGTCCATTGCCGCAAGGTTTTCGAGCACCACTCGTGCATATAGAAACATGCCTAATCCTGGTAAATATTTATGAATCATAGACGGAAATACCATATATACCTTGAGATGCGCTTGATATCTTTGAAATCAAGTTTGCTTCTTCCTGTTGTGTCAATAAAAACCTAGCGCGTATCTTCGCAGTTTGTCCTTTGGTGAACTGCTCGATGTCGTGCTGGTGAGCATCAACCATGTCAAGTCGGATCTGAGGGTGAGACGATAATAACACATCAAGTCGTCCGTCCCTCTGTCCACAAATCAGTATCTTCAGGTCACAGCCACATGATGCTGCAGTTGGTAAAAGTCCATTTAGACACCAATTGATAGAAACCTCGTACTCGTTGTCCATTGCCTCGTCTAGTCCATCAAGGACAAGCGTTGCCGTTGGCCGAGACGTCAGCGAGTCATTTGCGAGTGTCTTTAGATCGACAAGCTCGTTGGACTCCATGGTGGACAGCTTTTCATAGGCGAATCTCATTATAGTTTCGTCTGCATTGACAAGTTGCATGATAACGTGTTGGAGCATGGACCGAGTCGTTCTCCGGTCCGCTGCATCGTGCTTGAAAAAGAAATACGCCAAGAAGCTCCGTCCAAGAGACTCAGAAGCTTGCCTACGCTTCTGATGACGAATGATTGTCTTTGCTAAGGTGGACTTTCCTATACATCCGATAATGAGTCAGTTGACAGATAATCCCAGAATCGGAAATGTGTCGATGACTTACCGGAACCAGGGGAGCCATTGAGGAACAAGACCCTATTCGCTGCAGACTTTCCTCCTTCCCAGCACTTGAAAGTTGGATTAGAAAATATCCAATTGCCAGAATCCTGAACTATGGGATCCCGCGGTTCCAATTGAAGGTCAGTTCGAGATTTTGAAACGTCCAATCTACTTTCTAAGTAGGTCTTCATTTCTTGTGCTTGCAGTGCCTTGCTCTGTAACTGCTCAGAAGCCAAGGTAGATTTTATATCTTCGAGACTGGTTTGCAAATTACTGAACTGGTCTTTGGCGTACTGGTCGGAGTCTTGGACCTCCTTGAGGATAGCGTGGGATTGTAGCTTGTCGTCTGATAGCAGAGCCTGTTTGCGTTTGAGACTTTCGAGAATAGGCTTGACTTCACGCCGAAAGCTTCCCCAAGCCCATTTAAAGAGTCTTTTCCATTCTAAGCCAAACAATCAGCAGGGATAAGAGATATAGAGGGGCGGGTATACCAACCTGGACGAGAAAAAACATCTAGAACGCATCGATGGAAGCGAAGTATATCGGAGAAATAATCCTCCAAAACCAATTTCAGGTGATCTCTACTCTGAATGAGGTTATGGAAGAAGGCGAGGTTACCGAGTGCTTCTGCAATCTCTTCGTAAGCATCAATTAGTTGCCTGACAGCGTCTGTCCAGGTGGTGGCAATCATAAGTGCCAGCTTGATCGGACCCTAAAGTACATCGTCAATACCAAAATGGCGGCAATCAACAACTTGTCTTACCCAAATGAAAGCCACGAAGTCACTGGCGTTGAGGAATATTGCGACAAGTTTCTCAACATGCTCCATTGCGTGGAGAAATCTCTGGACTCGGGTCAATTTGCAAAGGTCATTCCTGCGCCCCAGTATGTTCTGAGTTGCCTGGATCGTGTCGTTCAGAGTTTTCTGATTGACTCCCTCCATCTTCTTGATCTGATCATCAGAAAGCTCTCGACGAAAGAGGTCTAAAGACCTTTCAAAGCTAGTTTGTTGGTTCGATGCCATCTTTCGTGATAATGTGAGGGTTGCTGAATATTGTGGAATGAAGCTGAAGGGAATGGGTCCGAGAATCAGGCTTAATATTAGCCACATGTCTGCCGCCTCACTTTCAACCTAAGGCAGACCGACTTGTGTTTTGTGGCTGAAAATCACAACCAACAAGAGCGAAGAATCACCAATTAGTTGGGGTAGGACCAGCGGGGCAGTGCTGTATTTTCCGACGCATATCCTTGCACAGCCTGATTGAAGAGGTTGTCTGACGCCTCAAATTCTGGTAAGGCTTTTTCAGCTTGACCGCCATCACAGGTTTGTCACATAATTCCACCAGAAGGCCCTAAACTTTCTCCTTCCCTAGTCATTGATCAACCAGGTGCCGAACTTGGCTAATTCGATATGACACCATCTCTCAAGCGACGAAGAGATTGCGACAATGACACCGAGAATGGTACTTCAAACAAGTATTCCCAAAGACAAGCTGTCTGTTCCGATGGAGAATCTTCCCCTCATTATTTTGACCCCGGCATGGAGTTAGACTGGCCAAGTGACACAAGTGGCATTGGAGATGACATATCAGTTGCAGAAGGGGGGTTCGGAGAGGAAAGAATATGCTACGGAGCGGTAAGCTATTCGAGAAACTCCGAATCTTCAAATACTAACACTGGGCGTGATGATCCATAGATCCGCGGAGCCCAGGTTCTGCTGAATCCTCAGACTCAGATGCCCCAGGAGACGCAGCCATGGGCCAGGTATTGTTTATTTAAGATTGAGCCTGATGGAAGAACTCACTACTTGGTCGGTGGCGGGGAACCCAATTCAAAGAAGAGATCCGTCCTTGACTGCGATACAGCCGCGGTTCTGATGCTCACAGCCGAAAAGGTCAGAAGCGTATCATTCACAGCCGTCCTCGGCGTTGATATGTTTCGTGGCAAGCGTAAGAAATCTGGCAAGGGTTTGCCAGTAGAAGTGTCAGTCAACATCTACGGTCCCAGAAGTTCGATGAGCGAAGTTGATGGAGTTCTGTCTGAGATTGGCACTTATCGCACTTATTTACAACATCCTGCATTTATGGAACCTGGTATCCCATACATCAACCCGCAGTTCTTTTACCCGACTTCTCAGAAGACCGATCTCAGACATTTGGTTGGCTCAAGCTCCCAGGAGAGCGGCACCAAATCCAAGATTTCTGAAGAAGTCGAAGTTGTTATGGAATCCTTGGACGGTTGGTCCGAGGATATCACAGCAGCCAGGAGTAGAATTGACGATCTGCAACAAATTCTGGATCAGTTCCTGCTTACCACGAGATTGAAAGAGTATGCGATCCAGCAGTCCAGATTGCTTACTGTTGTTACAATGAGGCTGATACTGGGCACCAATAGGCATCAGCTCAAAGGCGTTGAGTTCATTCTTGGCCGTGAGGACGACGAGGTAGCCACGCAAATGCACAGACACATGCTCATGTCGATCCATCATAGGTACTCTTTCTTGTTATCTTCGTGACATGCCTACGGGTAGCTGACCTTAGTCGATTATTTGCAGCTTGCTATCTCACTCGGACCACCCAGGTCGTGGCGGAATACTTGCAGATGTGATGGGCCTCGGCAAAACATTAACTATGCTGAGTGCCATTCTTTGCTCAAAACAACTCTGCCAGTTATCCGTCAGGGACAGCATGAGCAATAGTGACGCTCGTGAGAACTCACTACTGAACATCACCCTTGTTGTTCTCCCATCTCGACGTGTGTTCTGATATCCAAATTCCTCCGTTGCCTTCTGTTATGTGCTGACAAACTGAAGAGGTGCTCGATGTTTGGCAAAATGAAATCGATAGGTAAATATTCTTGAACACATACCATTTTTAGGAGACTAATCACATGTAGGCGATTTCAACCTAACACATTCAAAACTGTTACTTTCCACGGAGATGCACGACCGAAGAAGCGAGAACTTCTTCTCGGCCATGATCTCGTCCTCACAACATATCACACGTTAGAGAAAGACCATAGGGGCAGGGGAATTTTGTGCTCTATCAAGTGGTCGAGGATTGTGCTCGATGAAGGCAAGTCTCGCGACATGTGACGAAAGCCGCAAGGATTGTATTTGTAGTTTCTCTGACTAACCCTTTACAGCCCATCAAATACGAAACTCTTCGATAAAACTGCATAAAGCCGCAGCTGCCCTTGAAAGCGATACCCGGTGGTGTCTTACCGGAACACCCATCCAGAATAGCTTTGACGACCTCAGATCACTGTTAAAGTTCCTGCGATTTGAGCCATTCTGCCAGAGCAACTTGTTTGAACAACATATAGTGAAGCCATTCAGGGAGGACCCGCCAAACGGATCCGAAGAGTCCCGAAATCTGAAGATCATGCTCAAAGTGTGTTGCCTAAGAAGAACGCAAGCGAAGCTAGACCTTCCAGCCAGTACCATACACAAGATCGGTGTAACGCCCACCGAGACTGAGAATTCCATGTTTACAAGCATTCTAGATCAATGCAGGGAAGACTTTGACAAGATGGCTGGTAAGGAAGGGAGCTCAAAGAAGTCTAACATCTTGTTCTCAGCAATCATGAAGCTCAGGAGGGTTTGTAACCATGGAGCTATCCCAATCAGCAGCTCCAGCTCAAGACAAACAAATCAGCTGGCTGTTCCCAAGACAAAAGTAAAGGCCTCACGATCGCCGAGTGCAGAGCCGGCGTGCGAGTTTTGTGACGAAAGGACTGGTGATTTTGATCTTGGTGGCTTCGACAGCTGTCCTATTTGCGGCCGGCTTCAGTTTGAGATCAACGACGAAGCCTCATCCCTGGCGCTCTCGCCTTGGCCTACACCATCTCCAACACCATCCATGATGGATCTAGATATACCGGAGCCTACTACCAGAGAGCTTTCTAGACAATCAGGCAGCGACTTGAAACAACAATCTTCGAAAATGTCAGCACTTGTCAACAATATCAAGACGTCATGTTTGGACGCGGGTTCCAAGAGGTATGTCTTCAAGAAGCTCATCACATATAGTCATATTCACGTTTGGATAGTGTTGTGTTCTCGAGTTGGAGAGATACTCTTGATGTCCTGGCCACGATATTAGGTGCTGAAGGCATTGACTTTGTTCAAGTTGATGGGCGCAACCCGCTGGCGGGCCGAACAGAGCTACTCTCAAGATTCTGCCAGGATCCAGAAATCCGAGTCCTTCTGATATCCATCAACACTGGCGCAGTGGGGTAAGTTTGTGTTCAAGGTCCAGATAGTTGATTGCTTACATCAGTTTAGTCTCACTCTCACACAAGCAAATATGGTTCATATCGTTGAGCCGCAGTGGAACCCAGCCATAGAAGAACAAGCGATCGCAAGAGTCATCAGAATGGGCCAGACTAGGCCAGTGACCATCTTCAAGTACATCACGGCTGGCTCCATTGAGAACGTAAGTCTTCCTATTTCAGCATGATAATGGCGACTGACTGGCTATAGACGGTTGTTAAAATGCAAGAAAAGAAGACACGGATCATAAAACTATCGATGCAAGACAAGGACGGCGCTGACGCTGATGCGAACTTGGATGTAAGCTGTTTTACTCTCCTTTTGAGCACTTCCTGACCTTAAGCAGAGTTTCAAGTTTGCAATTGATCCCAACGAATGGGGAGTTGTTTCATGAAAACTTCACGACCGACACACCATTCGTGGGATAGTGATTATTAGATCTATGTCTCCTACCCTCTCCTGTCACTAGGTATATGTTTTCGCAAGTCTGGAGCCAACCCGGTGACCATATGTTTCCGCTTAGCTTGCGCCCAATTGTATTCCAGCTTGCTCCAGAGTGCCCATAGCCAGCATGAACTGTCCCGAGTAGTAGAGAATCCAAACAGCATAGTCCATCCAGACTTGATGCGAAGATGATGCAGGCACAAGAAACTTGCCAGAGGCCAAGATGGCATCAGATACCGTAAACACAACAGCACCCAGTGCGATCTTATCATTTTCGATCGTCAATGCCGAAAAGACCATGCCCATAATTGCGCCAGTGTACAGCAATATGGGGAAGCGCAGTTCGCTGTTAACCCTTGGGATCAGCAACGTTAACATCGTGGGCCCAAGCAGAATAGCTGAGATAGCTATAGCGACGCGCGATGAGTCTTCTAGAACCAGCCTCTGTGCCCCTGTTTTCATGAAAAGGGCGATGTAGAAGAGGTGCGATGTCAAGAAGCTTCCGAGGCCTGCTAGAAATGCCGGTTCCGCGTCCCAAGCAAGAAACGCATCGCCCAAGGCTCCAAAGCTCAATGCAGCTAAAAGGTATGCCGGTCCATCAAGAATCTTGACGAGGATCGCGAGTAGAGAAACTGCGAGGGTTTTGGTGATCATGCGCGAGTAGCTCGGACTAGCACGAACTTTGACGCCATACAGGATGGCTGCGGTCAACGAACTGGCGAGAAGATAATTTTCGGGCACCATATTGTTTTGTTGATACGAGTATGGTTTACAAAGGCGTTCTCTCAAATGCGAAGTCGTGAATTTATGGTCATGGCTGGAGTCGACCTCGGTACTCATTAGACTCACACGTGACAACCCCATTGGCCGACCTGCCTGTCTAGGCTACTTCTTTCACTCTAAGTGTTCTTTTTCAGATAAATGCAGCATTTTATGAGTACTTGAGCAATTGAGAAAATGACCGAGGATGATTTGACCAGTTGCTTTGCAGACTCTAGCCCGATTGGATCTATCCTCATGATCTCGGTTGGTTCACGCATGAAATCTCACCATCTCAGATCGAAGCCTATGCTGGTCTTCAAGTGACCATATCTCATATACAAACACAAGAAGTGCCACAATTCTCACTCGAGGAAGCAGAATCCACCGGCGATCCTAGCATCTTAGCCTCTCGGCCTTCGCCAGTAAGGCATTCTGCTAGGCAGTGCAGGGTGGGGTACCAACAACAAAATTGCTATCTTGTCGTCGTTGGCAGTCCGGCGAAGCGAAACTGGAAATTGCGAAAGATTAAAAGGTAGAAATTCAGGCTAGGTCTTGCTCCATACGTCATACTCCGTAGTTTTCGGGAACAAATTCAGCTTGTAATGCGGCTGTGCGAGTTGCGATTCGATCTGGCAGTAAGTGTAACAAGACTCGTTCCAGCTGAAAGCACCCTGTCTCAGATCATCCAATCACATCAGCCTCTCAACCAACTCAGCCCTCATTAGACTCAATCGAAGGCGTTTTCCCTTCTTCAGACACTGAAACTCCGACTACTAATATCACGCGCTGGTAAATAAGCTGGACGACATGTTTCTGCAAACCCGAAAACGACCATCATGTTTTCACATAGAGGCCAGCTTTTAAGAGGCATCCGAGACATCACCCGTGCTCGGCCTCAATCACTACACCGTCCGCATCATCATCTGTCTCATCAATGGCATTCAACCCAGGCTTCCAGTCAAAAGAGGAATAAGGTCCCGCGCTCAAAAACGACTTTTGGGAAGATAATATGGGTATCTATCGGCGTTTTGGCCTGGGGCCAGGTCTTCATCTCATATGTATACGAGCCTCTCAGAGATAACGGTCTCTTCACCAACATTGCTCAATCAACCGTCTTCCGTGCAATACCACCTAAACTATCACAGCCATCCGAAATAGTGGAGAATGGGCTATACCAACCCATCACTGGCGATAAAGAGATCCGACTACTCGTCCTGGAGCCAGGAGCACGCGGGGACGCATTGGAATGCAAGTTGGTCAACGCTGAACTGTCCTGGAGGACCAGATTCGAGGCTCTATCGTACGCCTGGGGAGACGACACAACTAAATACCAGCTAAATTGTTCTGGGCACATTATCGACGTGAGGGCTAATCTCCATGACGCCTTGTTGGATTTACGGCATCCAACACAAAGGCGCGTTTTGTGGATCGACGCACTTTGTATCAACCAAGCCGACAACGATGAAAAGTCTAAACAGATAAGACTTATGCATGAAATCTACTCCCAAGCCCAAGAAGTACTCATCTATCTCGGAAAGTCAGATCCCTCGGTCCAAGGTGCGATTGGATCAATGCGTTGGCTTGACTGGAAGTTCATGCCTCTATATACTAGGCAATTCCTTCTAAGTTCGAATATTGGCATGGCAAGCTTCTCTGTTGACAAGTGGACGAACATGAACCCTATCACCCGAGAGGGCTTCTCTTGGGATCCCATTATTAACTTGTTGTGTCGTCCATGGTTCCAACGTACTTGGGTTATCCAGGAAGCCGTTATACCGAAGCATGCGCAGGTCATATGCGGCGACCAATCCATCTCTTGGGCAAAGTTTCTCAGAGTTGTGGATGCAATCAAACACTATCAATCCTCGGTAAAGACGGTGCCTGGGTACCACTCGATCTATGACACGATCTCCAGTCTGGACTTGATGCGGTCAGCTCGCCGCAATCGACATCCCAGGATTTATATACTTGGTCAGTGGTGGTATCGTCCTCTCTTGACTGGGCGCCCAATTGAAGGACAGGAAGATTCTAAACTACTCGGCCTCATCTTGATGAGTCGCAGGTACAAGTGCACATATCCTCATGATAAGATCTTCGGGATGCTCGGTGTTACAAGCGAGGACACGAGTAGCGAGCTCTTGAAGCCAGATTACGAAATCTCACCAATGGATGCATACAGAAAATTTGTAGTCTGGGAAGTCAACCATAATAGATGCTTTCGTGTCCTTGGCACGAGTTCACAAAAGACCAGCCGACACAGCTCGTCTCCATCGTGGGTCCCAGACTTCAACAAGCTTGATCCAATCGAAAGCTTAACTGGGCCTCTCTTCAGTAACTCTGGATTCGATGCCAGTGCAGGACTGCTAATAGAGGTACGAGAATTGAATGATGGTACTACGCTGCACATTATGGGAAGTGTAGTGGACACAATACACACTGTTGGCAAGAAGTCGTTCACCGACAGATCCACCAGATTCAGCAAAGGTGACCAACGGGACAAAAGAATCTCAGTTTACGACCAGCTTCAAGTGAACAGAGGGATGATTGAAGAAGCAAGAGACATTTGGCTGGAAGCGACGAAAGGACTAGCCCGAGGCCTTGGACCTGCCCCTAAGACTCGTATCTTCGCAGCCTCGACGACAGATGGTAGAGCCTTGCCTGATGGGCCGATTTCTCCAGGATGGGAGCCATTCTTGCGTGTTCTGTTCGGTGATATTTCTGTTGGGAGCAAGTATTCTCTGTTCCTAAAGGAAATCTCTACGTCTTTTCTACGTCTGACCCTTACGGATGACGTGTTTCCCAAGGAACATGGGCAGGGAGAAGAAGTTTTTGCCATAAAAGCGCTTGGCTTCTTTGCAGCAATAGCGCAGTCGCGACGTTTTGCGCGGACAGACATGGGGCTAGTTGGTTATGTTCCAATGAGGGCCAAGAGGGGAGACTTGGTAGTGGTTCTGTATGGATCTAAAGTTCCTTTCGTGGTCAGGGAGCAAGAACATGGTAGATATTCGTTGGTTGGGGAGTGCTATATGGATGGGATAATGCGTGGTGAGGGGATCAGGTTTGCGAAGCAGGAGAATAGAGACATAGAATTGACTTTAGTGTAGATATACCATAAATCACTGTTATCGGGCCGTGAGTTCAGTAGGCTTTCTGTCTCACTTAACCTTATCCTGCTTTATGAACCGGGAACAATAGCTATATCTGTCCATAACATATGAAGCCATTAACCATTACCGGCACAGATTTGATTCAACAACTGCGCCATGTGCGGCAGTCTCGCAAAATGACATGATAATTCACCCTCGAGTCTAGGCTTTGAGCGATGATGGTGTCTTGCAAGACCCTCCACGTTTTATCGGCCGCTAACATAGCGCCCATAATTTCCACCATTTAACAGACACCGGTGACACCCGATTGCCTTTCGTCGGTTATCACAAAGGATCTCACATCAAGATCGAGATTGTCCCAGTAAAAAATAAAACGTCACTCTCTAATCCTTGTGACCAACGCATTCAACAAAAACAAGTTCATAAGCACGTATCCCAAATATTCGGATCAGTGGATGTTTTGAAGTGGATAATGGGTCTCCATGAAGATCTTCATAACGCTAAACGAATACCAAAGCTCAGTGTCAAAGCTGACGCGGAACTCCTGACGCTTATGCAAGCCCTTGCTCACGGGATTGAATTAAGTTTTCTGAGCTCAGACTCAACGAGCGGAATTGCGTGAGATTTGAGACGGCTTGTAATTACATCTTACGATGATTGTGATTCGACCTGCAGGAGACCATGGTCTTGAACAAGGGAACAAAGCGGAATGTCGACGCCACGTAGGCTGCTACGGACGAGACCGCAGGCTAGATCGTCCACTAATCCGAGCTGGAATTGGGGTCACATGCCCTGTAATTTGTCCCGCTGTGGCTTTCGCGGGCACGGGCGGGAGGGGCCGGTACATGCCATTCCTTCATTTCAAGCTACAGCAGATGAACACGTTCACTTTAATCCAAGATGCTAATGAGTCGGAGGAAAGGCAATGTAATGTTGAGCAAGGAGAAGAATGACTGATGATGCAGTCGCGTTGATTCATTAATAAATACATAGAATATCAAAGAAGCCTTCCCAATAAAGAGTGAAAGATGACGAGGGAATCACTTGTAATCACCAAACTCCCATTCCATAAATAAATCCGTAAATCCAGTAAAGGTACCAATCAATCATTTAGCCATGTGGATTCCGTTTCCTGCCTCGAGGGTATCATTGGAGTCAATTGAGCATCGTCGGTCTTTGACAAACTTGGGCCATGTGTTGGTGAGCACCAAGTACTTGATGTGCTGCTCTGAATCGTCGAAAATAGTAGCATCAAAGCCTTCGGGGATGTCGCCCCAGTACATAGCCTTGTCGCTCATGTAGCCAGTGTCAGCGACAGAGTCAGCTGTCATGATGCCTGTTTCGGAACCGTGTGATGATGCTGCTGACGACTTGACTTTGGTGGGTGATGTTGTCATCTGGAATGTCTCGAATGGCAACGCTGGGTCAACCTGCTTCTTGTCGCCGTAGAGGATGCGCGCAGAGCTCTCAAAGACGCCTTCCAATCTTCGTTGTTGTTGCGATGACAAGTTAATCTGGAACTCTGCGTCGCGAGAGCTGACAAAGCCGGTGTAAATGCGAAGAGCGCTGTTAAATCTCTCGCGGACGAGTTCTTGCACTGACGGCTCCTTGATCTTCTCGGGGTCGCGCACAGCAGGCGGTAATGAGGACTTCCACTCAGCGACAGCTCTCAAGAAAGCAATATTCTCTCCCGAAAAGTCGCGAAGAGCTGAGAATTGCTGAAGAGGTTCAGGGTTTCGCTCAAGAACATACTCAAGAGCTTCCATTGTGAGAATACTCTCACCGGAGGCGCTGCTCTTGACAGAACCGTCCTTGGACCAAGAAGTCAGAGCAGAGGGAGCAACAGTCGTAGATCCAGTAGCGACAGATCGAGCACCATGGGTACCAGCCTTTTTGTTGAGCTGCCATTGAGCGATGGAGTCGAGGGTCTCTTGGCGGAGATTCTGGTGCTGGATGACTTCCCAGCAGGGCCAGAAGATAGTAAAGATCTCAATGGCCATGATGGAGATGGCAAGCCTATTGTGCGACAGTGAGCGGGTGTTAATAGGGGCTTGCTGAGGTAGGTGGCTTACCATTGAGGAGGAATCCAGTAGTAATTGACGGGTGCCATTGCAGGGACATACAAGGCGATGAGCCACATAGGAGTGGCATGAAGGCTATGTCTCGGTCAGTGTGGAGTTCGTTGTTGGCCCTGATCAAGGGATACTCACTTAGCAATGCAGCATGCGATGGTTTGGATTCTCCATCCCTGCGTGTCGTTGACACCGCGAGCCTGCCAGAGGATGTAAGGGGCGACGATCCATGCCCAAAGGAACTGCCAGAACACAGAGGGCCACCTTTGAAGAGAGTCAGTACATATCGCGATGAGATCAGATCTCGGGGGAGTATGTTTACCATTCCCAGCCCTTTCCGACCTGAGACTTTCGGTACTCTTCGGAGCCGGGATGAACCTCTGTACCGGCAACACCCCAGGAGGGATGGAATTTCTTAGATAAGCACCACATGATGATGGTGAGGATGAACTGCATACGTTAGCATCACCGTATGTATGTGTGTTACGGCTCATACCTGGACTACCATTCCCAATCCAACTGTAACGAGAATCTTCTTCGAGTAATCCATCGCCTGAAAGCGTCCGAGTAGCGACCCAGGCCGAACGCGACTCTTGGAAGGCGACTTCTCATCAGAAGCGAACAGTTCCTTCTGCTGCTTGGCGACATGTAGGAAACGGCTGTTGGAAGCGTGGAACAAAGCGATACCGAAAGGGAAATACAAGCTCATGATCCAGAACTCGCCCTCAGGTGTAAATAGCGGGAAGTAAACATATCCGGTCTGAATAGCTCCCCAGTAGATATGGAGAAGGATGATGGCGGCGAAGGAAATCGGGAGGTCTCGAATTCTGAGCATGGGCATATCGCGACGTCTCCAGAGGAAGAACATGCCGCCCGCGACGATGAATGTCCAGATGAAGGTCCAGACGATCCAGAAGATGCCGAGGCCATCGAGTCTGGCCTCGGGTTTGTCGGTTTCGGCCATTGTAGAAAAGTGTAATGTCGATGTTTTTTCGAGGTTTAATTGAGGAATAATAGGGAAATCTTATTGTAATTGTAAGGAACGTGGTTTGGAAGGAATGTGCGGTCTCCGCAACACAACGGTTCAAAAGAGCAGAGGCAAATTCAGATTGAACGACAAGCGGAGATGACGACGTATTATAGTAATACGTTAATCGGCTGTGATTCCCAAGCGTCCAGACGCTAGATAAGGGGATTAAAAGGCTCTTGCAGTGAACGAGAGCAAGCGAGAGAGTGAAAATGGGAAGGAGATCGAGAGATTAAAGTCCAAGTGATCCAACAAGACACGCCCCCCAGATAATGCATATCCCTTGCGCACACACACACACCCAGTAACTGAGCTTGACTTGGACTTGCTCGGGAAGCCAATTTAGTGCTGTCTAAGCTGCCGACCTCCGTTGATCTTGGCCCATCTGAGGGTAGGGCTGCCCCCCTGCAAGATCCAACCCGCAGCTCGGGATAAATTCACGAGAAAGAGATTCCCACATCGCTCAGACTGACAGGACAATTTGATACGGGGGTCGTGTACAGACCGGTTCCCAAGATAAAATACAGATCTACACCTACGGTCGACGTCTGTCTGATGTTATGTTCTGTTTCGCCAGGCGTTTGTGAAAGGGTCCTAGGGTATTTCCTCTTTGCTTCTTTGCGTAAGGGCGATTTGAGACAGTTACAACAAGGCAAGGATCATCCTGTGTGGCCAACCTGTGATCATCATTCAGCGCCGCGAGGACGAGCAAACGCCCTTGCATCAAGAGGTCAGGTCTGTTCAGCCACGGCAACGATGTTTCTTTTTCTTTCTCTTTTTCACTGGTATCACCTGTCCACGTTATGTCTCTCTTTCTTTTTCTTGATTGACTGCGATATTATCTCGGAGCGCCATGAATGCTGACCGAGTACGCCACAGTCAAAGAAAACTCCAGTAAAGTTTGTTAGTGAAACGCAGCGCAGAAAGCTTGTGCCCCCTAAAGGCTCGTACTGTATGTACAAACGGCCGCACCATGTAACGGCTGGGTTTGGATCAAAATGTCTTGTATTTCTTAATCGCGGAGGCGGGCCATGCAAAAGAATTGAAACGGTTGGTGATGACAGGAGAAGTTCGTCCACCGCCGTTTTCTATCTCCGTCTCCCTTGCGTCTGATGTTGTGCTCGCTGCTCTGTTGTCTCCCTTGCAGTGATGAGCATGTGCTGGAGGTAGGGAAACACAAGACACACTGAGCTGCATGCTTTACTGGGGCTGTATCCACTGTGGTTTAGGTTACCGTTGGTTCCTGGCGCTTCCGTTTGAGCTTATGACGGTGCTGAGTTTCTTTTTTTTTTACTGGGTGCAATCACTGTATTTTCCATCGCGTGTTTGTTGGGGAAAGAATCGAGAGGATTTCTTGCGCGATGGTGTTGCATTGTAATCAGGGAGTATCCCCGGCGTCCCCCACTCAAGCGCGATAAACGAAGAGCTGAAGTCGATCTTCTGTGCCATCCCATCACATCACATCGCGTCCTGCCATCACGTTGCATTGCATCAGTTGCATTGGGCTGGCTGCATTGTTGGAGGAGGTTAGTCCAGCCAGCCTCAATTGCAAGAGACCCGGTGACTTCCGTCCAATGTCTTCAAAAACCGTTCTCATAATACGTGACATTATTGAAAGAGCCGTATGTCTGTCATGTTTAGCGCCCAGCGTAGAAAAGCCCAAGAGACACACTGAGAGGGCAGACCATCAATCAGACCAGTGAGGCCTCAAATCTGATCGGTTGTAGATCTTAATAACCCGAGCAAGATGCAATCGCGGGCCCTGCAGAGTGGTCACTGTCAAGGTAAATGACGGCCCAGAACCTGGCCCAACGAGAATAGGCTGGGCATCAAAAAAGAAATGATCAGCCCAATCTTGTCGTCATGGCAAAAAAAGCGACGCTGCATCGTTTACCAGTTGTTCGGGTTGGCGTCAAACTCTCTCCACCTCCTTTGCGCAAGCCAACACCGTAGTCTAGGGCAGCAGTGCAGATAACCGTCAGCACCGAGCCACGAGATAATCGTGCGACAAGACTCGGTATTTGTGAGTGAGCACAAGTTTTAGGAGAAATACACGGCAGTATCGCGTGGCAAGGACAGACTTTACTTCAATTGTCCTGGTTTGAGTGGCACAGCTAGCTCTCGATATTCCCGTAGATGCCGTCCCGCTCGACACCTTGTGAGCTGTCAGGAGATTGCGCGGTGGGGGAGATCGGCATTGATGTGAAAGAATGACAGGGGTTTCCAGTGATTGTGCCGTCCCTCTTCCGCACCTCGCACCAGTAAAACCCCCGAGTCCTCAAAAATGTTTGCTCTTCAGCTGCGGCAAAGTGAAATCCAAGGTAACTTTCACCTTATCGCAATCAATTTGCCTGTTGGTAAGACGAACAAACATGCAGAGGCACAAACAAGGATCTTGAACAAAACTTCCGAAGATCAAAAGATCCACTCTTTCTCTCAAAAGGTCACTTCTGACACGATCTTGCCGACTACGACCCTTATCCTTGCACCAGTTGGTCAAGGGCATTAAACAATCCATTTCAATAGCGGAAAAGATCAGCACTTCAGTGCCGAAACATATCGGATTCACTTGGCGGATTCAACATCGGTAATAAAAGCAGTGGTCAATTTACGCCTTCACGGGAAAAAACAGTTCCGCGCCTGAAGGGTTTCATTGATACGGTGAAATGGAAGATTAGACCATGATACTGCCGCCGCCAAGAAATTGAATGCCGGTACTAACTCATTGAATAGTAATCTTTTCATTGAAGCTGCCCAATTGTACTCATTCAAACATTTTAGACAGGTTCTGGACTGGCCACGCCCTCGCATCTCTAAACTTATCAACAACACCCCTCAACGCCCGCCGCTCATAATGATCCGTGAAAAAGTCCCCGTACAGCTCCATCCCAAACGCAGCATGCACAAGAGCTGGCGGACATGCTGGATGGCAGAGACTTATCCCACATAGATCCAGAATCATCTGCCGTACCTGATTCTCGATTTCTCTCCACTGCGCACGTGTCGATGAATTTCCCCTGATTTGACGTCAGTGGATCAAACAAGATACTCTAGTTAAATTACTACGACCTACCCGAGGAAGGGGTTCTCTGCCATTAGCACCATTTTCGCTATGATGCTGAGCTGCATGGTTGTCACCTCCAGAGCGGAGGAGTACCAGATTATCGGGAAGATTTCTCCATTCGACCTGTCAGCTGGTCGTACGTAGAACGGTTGATACTCTTTTAGCGCTTCTTCCTCGAGAACTTCGCCCTGCTTCTGGAGTCGTACTGAACGTGTTAGTTTCGCCGCCAATTTTTCCAAGGTAGTACATACACCATTCTTGTTCTGAACCATCAGCCCATCGCCATTTCGCAACTTGTGCCGTATGAAGGACAATTTTATTCGCCTTCGACGCGCCGTGTCCATACTCCGGGTCTAGAATCATCTTTGGCGGATGACGCTTTGTGAACGAGTGGTACAGCTCTTGGCGAACGGCCATCCAATATGCCGCTTGGATAAGTGATCGTCGGCCAAAGAGGGTCCTTGACGGTGGACTTCTCAAAACAGCGTCTATGATCGCTAGGAAATTAACCTGAGGTTTTGCGTTCCGCCTTTGGTTCCGCTCTTGATCTTGGTCTTCTTCATCGTCGATCTCTTCTAACTGCCGAAGAATAACTGTAACCTTTCAGCGTGAACTATCGTTAGTGGTTTTGGTGAGTCTTACCGGCTGTGGCGATGATGCTCTCGAGTTTTTCGTCGTCTTGGATGAGGTGGAAATCTCGTAGGGCAGGGATGCATTTTAATGTGTATTCTACTGCGTCGTGAGGTGTGAGTTTGGGGAGTAACTGGCCTTGGTAGAGAATTCCTTGTGGTGTTTTGTATTTTGGGAGACGGCTTAGATGGCGGGCTGAAAGTGCAAAGATGGCGTAGAGAAGTGGTGGATGATGCCGAGCTCGAAGAGGTACAACGAGTTGAAAGTGCCGTCTCTCATCGCACAGGTCAAGCTGATCACGTTAGCACATATCATCCACTTCCACCGGATCTTCGGTACCCAATGCGATAGCTCCTCGACAAAGTATCGGAGCAAACACGCCTCTTGAGGATCTTCAAGCGGAAATTTCGTTGATTCTCCAGAACTGTACGGCTGGTGTGATCGGGGAGAAGGAACATGATCTCTGCTTTGATCTTGCGGTGGACCGTACGGAGATGAATGGTCGTGAGTTACGGTGTATGCGCTCGAGTTGCTCGGCAAGTCCGTAGGTGATCGACCTGTTGCCTGCTGCCATGGCGAAGAAGGGTAGCTTGGTGAGTTTCCAGCTGATTGCGATTTGTTTGCCACTGGGAATACTGGGTTGTTTCTTAGGGTTTCATTGTAAGTTGGCTCTCTTGGAGTCTCTGATAGGTCGTTGAAATTTGCTGGGGCTGTTGAACCTGATCCTGAGCCTCCTTCCAATTGACTTTGTGGGTTGGTGTTGACTATCAAATTATTAACCATCTTTCTTCAATGCAATAATATCCATAGTCATTGACTTACAGTCTCTAATCTCACTGTTGACCCAAGTTTGGTTCGTCAAAGGTCCTGTTGATGAATTCCGGAAGACAGTTTTCTTCGCAGGCCGAGCACAAGGTAAGCTCTTAATGATGCAACGATGACACCTTGGTTGTCCTTCATCGCCTGCATCTCATTAGCCATCATCCATTATCCATATCTGCCCTTTTTTCGGTGGGAAGACCTACACTTGACATGTTTTTCTGCAACTCGGTCAGCACCCCGCATCCAGCCACCGACTCGACCATCTCACCTTTACATTGAAGACATGGCCTTTTTACAACTGGCATCGTTCTCAAAACACTTCTAACGGCCTTGAAAGATGCTGAAACGTCGTAATCAAGAGTTTCTCACTGGGTATCCACCTCTGAAGGGTTGATTGCGTTGCTTTTCCCATCACGTGCGGTGAAATCGCTGTTCTCTCCGAGACGGGATGAACGCGTCTTGAGCTACCCTACACATTTCTGCATTACACTCTTGCACGTTGTCGATGGAGCATTAAGAGGCGAAAAGATATTATTGTTTGCGGTATTTAACATTTTGATCCTATAGAAAATGTTTTGCAGGTTAGAGCAATTGAACATGAAAGGTGCCAGGCATTCAATATTTGGTTTCGGCTTAGCGTGATCCTTCTGTTGTTGTCTTTTGTCAGCCTCATCCCTACTTCGACTGTCAACATTCATGCTCTCACAAACACTGACAATGTCACGAACAACAAGATCCGCCGCCAAAAGACTCTTACGTCTCCAAACCTCATCCCCATCACTCACAACACCCCCTACAGCCACTCTAGAAACTAAACTCTTCGCAACCCCATCAGCATTCGAATCCTACCTCTCAACCAATCATTCCACAAACACCACCGGTCTCTGGCTCAAAATTGCAAAGAAGAACTCCCCAATCCCCTCAATAACATACGATCAAGCCCTCGACATAGCGCTCTGCTACGGCTGGATCGATGGCCAGCGAAAATCCCACGATGATTCACACTTCATACAGCGCTTCACGCCTCGTCGGAAGGGAAGTCTCTGGTCTCAGCGAAACGTGAACAAAGTCGCGACGTTAACTGAAGCGGGGCGCATAACACCTGCTGGCCAGGCGGAGATTGACGCAGCGAAGGATGATGGACGGTGGGAGAGGGCGTATTCATCGTCGAGTAATGCAGTCATTCCAGAGGATTTTCAAAGAGCGTTGGATGGGAATGAAGCTGCGGGGGAGTTCTGGACGGGGTTGAATAGAACGAAGAGATATGGTTTTATACAAAGATTGGAAACGGCGAAGAGGCCGGAGACGAGGAGGAAGAGGATAGAGCAGTTTGTTGAACTTCTTGCTGCTGGGAAGACTGTTTAATTCATTGATGGGGGTATTTTATATTATTAAGAATCTATTCAAATACGATAAAAGAAGCAAGAATGTTAGGGAATTAATAATCATCTTCGTCGTAGCCATCTTCGCCTTCTCCATCTGACTCATCCGCCATGCCCATCATGAAAGGATTTCGCTCCTCATCTCCATCTTCGCTCTCCTCGTCAGCAGTCCTGCTGCTTGCATCGTCAGAATCGTTGTCCACCGGGTTTTCTTGTCGATGGAGTCGTAGCCTCTCAGCAAGAGATAGTTTCTTGGGCGGCGCATCTTCATCGTCTGATTCGTCACTTTCTTCTTCGCTTTCTTCGCTTGAGGAGTCGCTTGCATGAGGCTCTTTCGACACGCCGCCATCGTCCTCATCCTCATCATCTGATATAATCGCCCTTGAACGTTGCCGTGTATGTTCTTGCGGTACGTCTGGCCCATCGTCTTCATCCTCCGACTCAACAACACGAGTCCTGGCGCGTTTCGCTGTGGGTTCCACGTCCTCCTCATCTTCATCATCGGAGTCTGAGACTACTCGTCGTTTGCGTCCGCGCTGTACAGGCGCTGACTCTGGCTCGGGTTCAGGACTGGAGAAGTTTGCGCCGGCGCCGTCGTCATCCTCATCGTCGGAGATTTCTTGCGGGGCGGGCGGAGGGGAGCCGCTTGCTAATGAAATACCCTCTTCGTCTGAAGGATCGTATGTCTCGACAATCTCATCGTCGTCAATGCCATCGCTCTCGTATTGATCAAGGTCGGGACCATTGTTGCCGTCATCATCATCATCTTCTTCATCCTCATCTGAGCTGTCATCGCCGAGGTCCGGACCGAGCGTTTGCAGTAACTCAAATCGTCGAAGGCCGCGCTCATACTCAAAAGCGACCATGGGCCATGCCTTGAGACCCCTTGCCTCCAATTCGCTTCCTAGTGGATCCGGTAAGTTGTCCCATGTATCCCTGTCGATCTGAAATCTCGCAAAGTCGGGGTGTCTCTGTAAATCGGGCCAGCACCATAAGAACTGCAAGTCTTCTCCGAGTCCAGGCTGCTTTTCGTATGTCTGTGTTTGGTAGCGGTTGATGAGATCCGACGTGCACCATGCCAAAGTCGACTTCTTGCAATCCGTACTCGAGACGTTCACGTAGAAGCACTCCAGCTGGGTGAACTGCCTCAAAAGGCCTGGCACGTCAGGACCGCTGAGATCGTCAAGGATGTTAGGCCCGCCAAGTGCAAAGTGTTTGATTTCGCTAGCAAAGCCTGGTAGGTGGAAAAGCATCTTCCCATGCGAGTAAATGAGACCGTTCATCAGAACAACATCGGAATTTCGGTTGAAGCGAACAGTGGCGTCTCCAGATCCAGCATCCATGCTGAGAGAATCGGGGAAGGCGTTGGTGGCCAGAGCGCGCGATTCTTTGTGAACGGCAAACACAGTGCGGAGGTTCTTTGTTTGATCACCGAGAGCAATACCGTCGCGTACAGTCCATACGAAGGAACTTGCTGAGTCGGGATGTCGGGCGGTTCCATATGAGATTTGGAAGTCGAGCACGCGATACCGAGCGCAAAGTTCAGGACAGAAGAACTCCCAGATGGTGTTGCGCAACTCACTAGGCAGGCGACCAAACTGGGGGAACGATTCGAGATACGAGTCTTGCGTCAAGTCGTTGCGGTGATAAATTTCGTCATCTTCGTCGCTTGACTCTTCTTCGCTGCCATCAGCGGCCATGGTATCGAGCAAGCCTCCACCGTCGGAATCGTCATCAGACTCGGAGGATTCATCGCCGGATTCATTTTCGCTGGAATCTTCTTGTTCGCTGTGAGCGCGATCATCATGAATCTCATTGTCGCTTTGGTCTGATTGAGATTCGGCCATGTTTGACATGTTGCGCGCGCGCTTTGAGTGAGGGAAGTGGCCTTGACGCGCCCTGCCTGAAAGCTTTGGTGAGAGCTGCTGCAGGATGAGATGTGTGCACGTGATTTGAATTTTTTTATCTCCACGTGATCACAGTATCTGCCATCGGTTTGCGGCTAACCACCACGCGATAAGCCATGGCCGTGAACCATCGTCGACATTGACGAAATAATGGAGAAGCCGGAAATGGTATTCTTGAAATATCCGAATTACAGATGCCAAGCCTGCATTTTCCGCCCGGTATTCGTATCGTTTCCCGAGCCCCTCGTCACTTTTAACGCGCGGGGCTTTTGAGAGATGTTACTAATCTTAGTGCATCTTCACTACTGCACAACTCTCGCTTTGTCATGATCCATCTCCATATTTCCCATCACTAACAATTAATCTCACCAATGATGTTGTTACAAACCTTCCCTGCTCAGTTAGGGCTGCATCTCGATGTCTTGGCGTTTACCGACATGCCGACTCTGGTATACGGCTTACTTGTTGATTATACCAATCGTTGGTACGGACTCGCGAAAAGCTCCGCTGCTGTACGAGGTTGCGTTTGGTACCTTATTCATCTGTTCCAAATAGACAAGGTTTGGATTGCTAAGGATTTCTGTGCCATTATGCATGCAGCTTTGTGGCTGGATACACCATCATGGTTGTGTCATGGACCTATAAAGACAACTCTTCGCCTTCAATAACAATCTCATTATCAACTCAGTCTCAATTCAATTCACCCAGTCAACATACTCTCATACTCTCAAACTCTCAATAACTTAAAATGTCCAAGATTCTTACCGTCTTTGGCGCCACTGGCAACCAGGGCGGCTCTGTCGTCCGCGCCATCCTCAACGACCCCGCTCTCTCCAAAGAGTTCAAGATTCGTGGCATCACCCGTGATGTCTCCAAGCCTGCTGCCCAGGCCCTCGCCTCAAAGGGCGTCGAGGTCGTTGCTGTAAGTTAAATCATACCCTCAAACAAAAACTCAATCTGACTTTTCCAGGCCGACATGAACACCGCTGAGCAAGTCGCCCCAGCTGTCAAGGACGCTCACACTGTCTTCCTCGTCACAAACTACTGGGAGACCAACAGCGGCAACGGCGAGATCGCTCAAGGCAAGGCTGTCGCTGATGCTTGCAAGACTGCTGGCGTGAAGCAACTCATCTTCTCGTCTCTTCTTGACACTAAGAAGATCAGTAATGGTCGCCTTACTCATATTAAGCATTTTGAGGGCAAGGCCGAGATTGAGGAGTATATCCGACAAATCAACGTCCCCGCAACATTTGTTCTTCCTGGTTTCTTTGCTTCCAACCTCTTTACTTCGATCCGCAAGAATGAGGATGGTAGCTATGCCTGGGCTCTCCCTGCCAACGGCGACAAGGCCAAGGTTCCTCTCTTTGACGTGAACGCCGACATGGGTAAGTCTATTAACCTAATCGCATGAACAACTGCTAACTATTTCCAGGCAAGTTCGTCAAGGCCGCCATCAAGAACTTCCCCGGCACTCTTAACAAGCGCATCTTCGCTGCCACCGACTACTACTCCCCCAACAGAATCATCTCCGAGTTCAGCGAAGTCATTGGAAAGCCCGCCACTTTCAACCAAGTTCCCGCCGATGTCTTCGAGTCTTTCCTCCCTGCTCCTATTGCAAAGGAGTTGACTGAGAACATGATACTCTTGGAGGACCCTGGATACTACGGCGATGCTGATCTCAAGGAGAGCTTGGATCTTTTGGATGAGAAGCCTGTCACTTGGAAGGAGTTTGTCGAACAGAACAGATCTAAGTGGGAATAAAGCAACAAAGTGAAGGATGAACTGTATCAGTAATAAGAAAAATATTTAATTGTTATAACTCTCGCGTCTGGAAATTCTCGTGGTATTCTTCACGATTGCATAACATCACTACCAATACCTGAATGCACTGAAGCTTTGTAACAAGTGCCTAATGGAGCACCTTTTAACGCAAAGCAGACTTAAATCTTGAGAGTGATATCACACCATAATTCCATACGGATGCCCTTCAAACCACTCAAGTCGAGGTCACTCGCCTGCAATCCGCCAGTACCAACCGACAATTCCCATTCAGTCAAAGAACTGTGCCGCGTATAATCCAGGCTTTGCCCATACTCACCATCGCAGACGATTGACTGATCACCTACATTGTACTCGAAGAGAAGAGTCCGAGCATCTCCGACAAATGCATTGAAAGGGGCCGCGTCGCCTTTTCGCCCTGGAAGACTAATGTCATAGAATCTCCCAGAGGTCTTTAAGAAGAGTCGAATACCAGCGTTCTCGCCTGTCGCGTCCAGATTCGGAGTCATAGAAACCCCTTCAAGATAACATCTGTTGATAAGATATTAGTATGGATGTCAAAGTCCTGGTGATGCCATAACTTACCGGGCCCTAGAAACCCGAATGCGAGCGAAGCCCGCAAACATGGCATCGCCTGGATTGAAAGATACACAAACAGGCTCGTTCTTGAGCAGCCTATCTCTCAAGCCCGAAGTGTTGACAGCATCACCGCAAGTCAAGACGCTGAACTTTCGCTGCTGCACCATGACCCGTGATCCGAAGGCTGCAACATTACCTTGGAACCTAGCAGCGTCTTCCAGGTAATCAAGCACAGGTTTGACAGGTGAAATATTAACGGGAGGTTTGTCAGTCAATGTATGGAACATGTAAGCTTCCGAGTACATGTAAAAGTCAAGGAAGACAAGTGATCTAATGGAAAGAAGACGATCAAACATGGCTCGCTTGAGAAGATCCAAAACAGCGCCTTGTTGCTCTGTAGCAGTCGCTGATAATGTCAACCGCTGTTTGTCCTTGTGCTGGAGCTTGACTTTGAGCAGAACGAGCGCCAGCTCATTACCTCGCTGGCAGAGATTTTCCTGCGTCTGCAAGTATGTCTTGCCGTTGATGACCAGCGTACGCAGAGCAAAGAAATACTTCTCCTTAGCTGCGAAGTCAATGGAAGCCACTGTAGTCTCGATCTGATCAACCTTTTCCCGAAAGATGTCCCACAGAGCTGTAGCATTATAAATGTCCAAGTTCATATCAGGCCGTTGAAGCGCAGTGTTTTCCTCCAGGGTTTTAGATGCGTTGAGAGCTGCGACCACAGCCTGGATTGCCTCGGAAAGCTTTTTCAGCTTTTCCAAGATTGGCTTCAGCTTCTCATATATCTTCTTGATTTTTTCGACCACCTCCTTGATGGTGTTGATGATCTTGGCAACTTTGCCGACAGTGTCCACAGCTTTCCCTGCGGCAGCAGGAATAATGGGAGCGGCAAGACCGCCAGAGGCCACAGTCGCAGTAATGGCCCCTATTGTGCCAATGCAAGCAGAGAATACAGATTTGGCAGCTTCGATCTTCTGCTTTGTGCACCAATCTTCAAGTCCTTTGCTGAACTCCTTCTGGAGAGGAACCAAGTCTGTGTTGTTCTGATCATACCGTTTGAATGCAACTTCTCTGGCTGATTGGGCTGAAGAGTAGGCTTTCTGAGCGAGATCCTCGAGGAATGCATACTCTGACATGGCGTCCTCACTCTTGGCGATGAGATTCACTGTTTGTCCAAGAACAGCAGCTGAAGCTCGATCCTGTGCCGCGAAATTCTGGAAAGCTTGCTCAAAGGCTGTACTAGCTGCCAGTCGCGATTCGAGAACTTGCTTGCTTGCGTAAATGTTAACCGAAGGCACGTTGAAGACCTTTCGTTCCTGCGAAAGAACGAGACTGTTTCGTAGAGAACAAGCTTGTATGTTCAAGGCGGCACTGCTCTCATGGGCACTCAAATTGCAAACCCAATTCAGAATTTCTAATGCAAGCTTGGGATTGATCTTCATGATTGTGGCGGCGACAAGAAATTGGTACATAACGAGCCTGGGTAAATTGTCGTTGTTTTCGATGAAGTTACCTCTTTCCAAGGTTCCGTCGCTCATGATCCTGTTCAAGTAATTTGCTGTCGTCATGTCCAAAGCAGTTGAGTCATGGTGCACAAAAAGAAACTTCTCACCAGTCCAGTTGACAGTAATACCCCAGCTTTCGGGGGCAATGGACAGTGGAAGCTGTCTGATGGAACCATCACCGAACTCAAGGTGCGCGGTGAAGCCCTTTTTGAGCTCGTATGTGTAGAACTCGAGCTGGCAGTCTTCTGAGAAATGCATATGAAGGGCTTGACTGGCATCCCGACATTCGACCTTGCGGGCAAAGACTCGTAGGTCAAGGCTTTTCTCCGAGTCTTTATACCCAACTACGAGACCTTCGGTAAGATTTATAGTGTCGCAGTAGAGAACCAGTCTTCGAAGATCCTCTTTGGTGTGAGTTTGAACATAGGATTGCGCTTCGTTCAAGACCTCGGCTAGTTGGACGAATGGCCGACGAATATAGACCTAGAATCATTAGGACCGCTCAGAAGTGTATTGGTTAATGACAAAACTGACAGCTCGAGGAAGCTCATCGAGGTAAAATGACTCGGATAAATCCTTGGCTAGTTGTTTCTCACCGAGAGTGAAAGAGTTGTGCATGTGATCAGCTGCGAGTTGGAACTCCATGTTGATTCAACCGTTGACGTATTTCAGGAGCGAAAGGAGTAATAAGTATTGGTATCGGAAGAGAACCAAATAAGGTCACTGCAATGAATTGGGGCGATGGGATCTATTAGATGGAGTTCCTCCGAGATGTCGCTGCGAGATTATTATAGTATAACTTCATAGCTTTTCGTATTAAGGGCTTCTTCCAATGATTCGTTTATCTCCGTGCTTACCACATATCATAACTACGTCGCCATTCAAAACGAGAAAAGGGCTGCCGGAGAGTCCTGTCCTTAACGGGGCCAGAAAATCAATAGCGCGGCCAACTACCCTGTCGAAGCCAATTGAGTCATCACACAAGTGGGAATAACGCCTGACAGTTGCGTGGGTTATTGTCTCGTTTAGAACAACTATCAACCAGTCGCATCGCGCTATGCCGTTTCTGTTGAACAGGCAGGGCTGTGCTCCGGTTCAGCTCTATACTTGTGATCTTGGCGACATTCAGGGTGCCTCAACATATCACAAGGTCCACGAATGCTTTCCTAAGAGAGCGAGAAGCAGGAGTCTCGACCATAAAAAGCCAATACCTGAAGTTCTGGTGACGCCGAGCTGAACAAAAACCCTTGAAGAAGTGGTTTAGAAAGTTCCTCTTCAGCTTGCCATTGGCCCTATTGCTTACCATCCTCACTTGAACAGACCTCGTCAGACATCCTCCTGGTTATAGTCCTTAAATACCTGCTGTTGCCACGGAATATTTATAGTTGTTTGGCAGGAAGTTTATGATCTCCAGTAAGCTACCAAGAAATACATTATTCTCTCAATTGAGCCTTCATATCCTCATACCGACCAAGCACCTCTTGTTCTCTTTCTTGCACCAAATCTTTCACCATGACTGCCGTAGTCGCCATCAATCCGAACCAAATCTTTGAAGATTTCACCAACGGAACTAAAACATTCATCAGAGAGGTCCCTGTAGCATTCAAGACCACCACTGAACAGAAGCCTGCCCCCGCTTTCGTCCTCAATGATGTGATGTTTGTAGGCCTTCAGTCCTATGTCAAGTCTGCGTTAAAGATACCCAAGACAGTTGAGCTATTCAAAGCGACTTATCCATTCAAAGGCCTTGACCTTTGGATCCAAGCTCAGTCGGAATATGATGTCAGTGACATTCATTTATGTTAACTGTATTGGAATTGCTAACATGGCGACCAGCAACTATACATGAGCCTTATTCCCATCCATCAGCACTGTGAGACCTTCCTTAATGATGGAATCAACCCTATGATAGGTCTTGGTAAGTACTCACATGCTATGCAGAACCTTTGGATTATAGCTAACAATTCTCTTTTAATTGAAGCTCATGCTGTTGCTAACTATGCTGAGAACGCAACTGTATTTCTCGAGGAGCTGAAAAAGCAGATGGATATAATCTGTGATAGGAAGATACCTACTCGAAGCGATGAAGCAATGGAAGCAAAGATGATGGCGAAAGAGATTCTCGCCGCTTTGCAAGAAGAAGCTAAAGATACTAATGAGAAAATATTGAAGATTACCGAAGCGATAAACTTAGTGCGTACATGTCGAATGCTCTTCCTGCAAGGAATTGCCGTTAGGATCTTGACTAACAATTCGGCTTTAGTTCAAATCACAGACGGAAAGCGATGCGGCAGCGTTGAAAGCCTTGAAACCTATACTTGATGAGAAATTTAGCGAAAAGCACCTCGACAATTCTATGAAAAAGCATATCGAGGAGATGCGCACATGTATTCGCAAGTTGATTCAGAACCAACAAAAGATAGTAGCGAGCCAGGAGTATGTGAACAGCTACAAGTGGCTATGTATGCTTTCCGTCATTTCCCTCTAACCGTGGAGCTCACTACTGACATACAACTTGCAGGGGATTTCCCTGGTCTGGGAGGCCTTCTTATTCCCTGGGCTTCTGAGGACATGAAGGAAGCCCTGAGAAACTACGCAGCCAAAAATGATAAGTGTAAGATAATGGTAGCCCAGGGCGATGAAGAGAGAGCTCGTCTTCTGAAGTCAATTGGTGAGTTGTTAGTCTGATGACGTCGACAAGAGCTGACCTGTTCCATAAAGATACCGCCAGAGGACTGATCGAGAATATCGATGGTGTCATGAAACACCTTGACGAGGCGAAAAACTCCCTAGACAATATCTTCAGTTGGTCTTTCCGATTAGCTCTTGAGATAGGAATTGGTTAACTTGGTTTTAGACGGCATGACAATGATGAACATGTCATGTTCAACCCTCCGAAAAAAGCTCGAGAGTATTGATGGGAATGTGAAGACCGAAGCGCACGGTTCTTCCATGAGCAAGATTTATATCAACATGGCTGTGGCATCGTGGAACAACGTGAGTGAAGGATTGTCAAAGCATCACATACTACAACCTCCGGCTGACTAGGATGGATTATAGGTACTAGAAGTGGCACGCTCCTTTGCTAAGCACGGCATCATTGAGGAAGCCACCAACACCAACACCCCTAAGCCCAAAGGTCAAGCAGTCATCCTCGCCGCTTCTTACGGCGGACAAACAGTGACGGATCTTGCCAAGATGCAGCTCAACTACGGCTCCAAAATCGTCATCTCCACAAATGACCTCATCTTCCCCGACAACATGCCCGGAAAACCAAAGTCTCTTAGCATTCTGTATCGATTCCAAGACGATGCGGATTCCTGGCGTGTTTTTACCTGTGACACAGGAACTGGACAAGTCCACACCCTCACTGCACAGAGTAACCCTGGGGCTGAGGCGGCTTTCGGCTTCAGAAGGGATTCGACAAGTCGATATAAGTTCCATTCGGCGGTTTTTGGTCTGCGACAAATCACCGAGAAGGCAGCCTTGGACTATATAATAAGTTCAGCTGAAACAATGGGTATGATGCCAGTTAGCACCCTGGCCACTTTGCTAAACTCGAGTAATGATTCTTGGCCTGGAAAAATCAAGAGCGTGGCAATCTTCTATACTGTAGATGGGGTTCTTGCTTGCGGATCTGCGGTTCAGGATGGCGGTATATTTTTCTAAGCGGCTGATACTGTTTCGCATTAGTGAGAGATATTAGTATCGCGAAGCAGCAGACGAAGATTGAGTATTTGAGTCTAGCATTAACATTATTGAACTCAAACAATACATGTTCCCTTTTGTATGCCATCAATTTAAGTGATTGAATGGAAGGTTGCTCAAACAGCAAGTCACGGAATATTCTTCAAGTTTGGTCAGCTCTGTGCTTTATGGAACTACGATATATACTGCATAAAAACAGGGAAATGTCCCAGGATACTTCTCACTACCAGACAAATCTTAATTAAGCTATAGATCACCCCGTAGATAGCTGATAAACACTACTTCCTTCGAAGTAAAACCGAATATAACGTCGGATACGGGGAAAACGACCACCCCCAGAAACCGGCCACCTAGGGTTTTAAGATGGGAAAAGACCATGTAGGCCTCAGGCATCAACTGACTTTTGCTCTGATGGCCGGTTTCCCCGTATCCGACGTTAATCACACGTCCATATGCCAATCATCCATCAAGCCTCTATCTTTCATCTGCTTCAGGAACTTCTTTATTGTATATTCGCCCCGACACCGAAATCTTCCTCTAGCCGGGAGTCCGACACTCATCGCGACAGCGGTAATGACTATTTGGGCTCCATGGTCTCCGTATTCTCTGGCAAGCTCCTGAAGCTTCTCTTCATTACCAGGTGTAGTTTTGATTCTGGTAAACTTGGTGACTTTAACCTCTTTCGCCTTCGGCATTGCGAAGCTGGAAGTGCTGGTAACTTGATCGTATCTGTGCAGCGATCGTTTGAGGTCCGATGTAATGGCAAGGCTGGTTGATTGATGATTGGAGTTGCGGAACAGCCGCAGAACAGTGGTCTATATACCTGCAATCAGATCCTTGTGTGGAGGGCATTGCTATGGTCACTGACCATAACTCGCAGTGGTACTCGTGTAAAATCTGCACATCATTCACGGAATTAAGGAAGATATCAGTGAGACACTCATCTGACTCAAACCATGCTATTCTGAAAGGCAGTGGTAACATGCGAGCATTTTGAATCACTTTACAGCTCAATAAAAATGGCTTGCCAAGTTGCTTCACGTGTTATCAAGGGCCAATTCAATCAAGGTAAGTTCTTATTTCAACGATACACGTCATTTATGAAGGTTGATGAAGTAAAATGGGAGCTCCTTGCCTTAATCCTACGTATCCGTGTCTCCACGACGAGCATCGATTCGAGGGACTGGGATCTGACGCTCCTCTATCTTTCAATCTTTCATCAACCCTTCTCCATTCTTTCCCTGATGACCTCCAGGTTACATCCGTTTTCGCCTGGCCTCATCTTACTAGCTGGGAATTCGATTGTGATTTTATCATCTGTAATATAAAAATTGGCTCCACGAAGTTTAAATTCCTCCTCAATTCCATCGAGCTTCTCATTATTACCGGGTGTAGTGTTGATTCTTGTGAAATCAGGGTTCGGTACCCAGCTAGTTCTCGCTGTTTGTGTTCAGTTCTCCATTGTAATGTTATGGGAGTTTATAGTTTGGTTATAGTTGTGCGGTAGTGCAGTACTCTTTGTTGTAGTGGTAGAATTGCTTGTTCCATGAATAAACCTGTCGAAAGACCAGTGGCCAGTGTAACTATATACCCAAACCAAGGCAACTACGTAGAGAGCTTTACCTTGGTCGCTGACCTTAACCCACAGTGATACTCACGGACTTACAACGACTCACTCTTGACGTAAAGGTCAGTGATGCCAGAGTCAGATACTCACCTGATTCCAAGTCCGTCAACTTCGAGGGCAGTAAGTCCATGTGAGCCGCTTGTGCCGAGCTTTCCGCAGTTGCTGGCTTTCATAAAAAGAGGATGCTTCGACATACCAATCTTTACTCCGAGTCCTTGGTGGAATTCACGTTCAAATCTTCCAATGAAGTGGTTTCATGGCTAATAAAATCTTGTACTATCACTGTGAAGAAAGACCACTCGTATCTTGGACAACAAGAACTGTGACAGTGTTATAGGACGGCCGTGACTTTCTATACTAACTCCCATATAGACTAGCTACTTCGAGGCCAAGTTCTGAGTAGAGCTCAACTCCTAATCTAGCAAGCACGTGCCTTCCTTTTATCCTCATCAGTGATGTATGTAGCATCCGGCTTCACTACATGGTGAGATAGTGTCCAGTCCCCTGAAGCTCCAAGGCTCCTCAACAGATCCACCGAGTCGACAAGTGAGCCATCAACATCAAATCGAATTCGGTGTTTCATTTGAAGGATGGATCCATCTTCGTGTAGTTCATAGTACCAATCGTACTCGCTCGCCTCTCTGAGTCTTGATAACTTCGCTTCCGGGTTTGTGACATTGTCCTTCCTGTGGAGGAAGACGTGTATCCACTGTCCTTCCGCGTTGCTCATTTTGTTTATGTAGAAGAATTTAGTAGTAAAGGTGTTTGTTTATGTGGGTTTTTGGGGGAGAGGTTTGTTGGAAGAAAATGATGAATTTATACTTGTGCCCTTCCTTGTGATTCAGCGGCTCAATAGGAGTTAACCACGGCTGTGCAATGGCTCGAGACGTGAATCTGTGAACTAAATCAAGGAATTTGATCACTGAATGCCAACGTGAGCAGTGACTGTAGGAGAGTCTGACTACGCATGGAACATGAACCAGCCAAGCTTGAGACTGTGTATTATTCAGCATGGTGTCTTGTGAATATCGCAGAAATTCCGAGTAAATAACTTACACTAACCCTCTTTCTGGGCAGCAACTTTGTCATGTGACTTGGCCCATTTACAAAGGCCAGATGTATTCTCAATTTGCAGCTAGCAACCACTTCAAGGTAATTACTAAAAAGATAAACGATGGCAAGAGCGGCAAAGCTAAAGCACCATGTCATCAACTTCAAAGATCATGCCGGAAAATCCACAAAGTTGATATGGACATAACTGCCAGAAGTTGTTCTCCCACCGGCTACCTGGCCTTGTCGCTTCCCAGAAAAGCGACTATATCTGGTATCATGGCCTCATCTTCATGTTCAAGGATCAGTGCTAGGATCCGAACAATCCGGATAAGATGTGTGATATCGTCACATTTGATCCAGCGATGGGATCTGAGGACTATGATCCGGATGAGGACATGAAAGTGTAACCCCTTCTTGGGACCAACAGATAAGGGCTTTAACAAAGCCCAGGCAAAGGGACTGGGATAAGATGATAGAGCATTATGAGGAAGGGGTTATGTCCTGGTTCGTGGAGCGCAGGTCTTATCGATGGTGGGTGCCAACATTGGAAGCGACCTTTGTAGCATGGGAAATGGGGTGGACATCTTGGTAGGAAAGTACCTATGTTGACGTGTATCTCAGTACGGAGAAAGGTGACTCTTATCGCGTACCTTATCTCGTAAGGGCGAGCGAGGCTTCAAAGAATTGACTGGCCGTAACAGGGGATCATTCCTAGAGCGAAGAGGCTACGGGCCACAAGTAGTATCTGGAAATTAGGCAGAAAGCGACCCATGCTATCGAACGAAGAGGGGCACAAAGGCTTTCTAACACACCTTCACATAGGAGGGACATTCGTGACACTAAATAGTCATACAAGTAAATAGTGAATAGGAAAACTCACTGTCTCTCTGTTAATGTTACAAAGATGGCCTGTGAAACTCACTATATTCACTGTGCCACGATTTTATTTCACCTACCTGAGCCATAGGGAGAATCTTGCCCTTCCAAAATCAAAGCTCAGCACATTTCCTTTCCACCAATGATCACAGATCTTGACCTCTGTCCACCTGTCTTTTCTGGACATCATAGGGCCTTGACGTCCAATCATTTAGCAACCTTCCAATCGCTCCACAAGCCATCCTTTTCCATACGGGCTCGAAAGTTCTTCACCGAGTAATCACTTGCGCGCTGACCTCCAGGTGGCGTGATGAAAGTGATCTTGTTGGGACCGGTCTCAATCTTGATCCCCTTTCCCTTCCACTCATCAGCGAGCTTCTGGACACTCTCTTGGACGCCGGCAGTGTTACCCGTTCGGGTGAAAACAGTGGTCTCAGAAGAATTCGGCATTTTGAGGATGTGTCTGTTTGTCGTGTTGATGGGTATGTTTTTTGTAAAGTGATGAGCTTTATAGTGGTGACTGATCTGTATGTTGTAAGGACTGACCTTGAAGTTCTTGAAGAGGAGAGAAATCTTCCACCCACATACCCGGGTCCAGAGACCTGTTGCACGAACACCATTGAGTGAGCTAATGTTCATAGACAGTGACTACTCATGGGCAAGATGTGATTCGCTCACTGGACAGCACGTTGTAATACAGACACCTGTAGCACTGGCCTGATCAGAGGACATGTCACTGGGGAAGGCGGTGAGAGACTGAACCAGAACGGCGTGAGCAATTTGTCACTTCTCCCACTGGCATTATCATCGCCCACTTGTAATTCAGTGCTTGGAGCTTTGACAAACCTGGATTTCTTGTCACATGATTCACAAGGAACAATGCCAGATTCTTGGATCAATGACAATGACAATACTGAGAAGGTCTAGCGCTGTTCCTCAAACGCATTGCTGCGAAAGAGCCAGAAGAGAAGTATGGCTAAGCTGTATAGAACAACCCCACGATTGTCCTGCGACTAATGTTACCTACGATCGTTCACGTAATAGTTTCAATAAACAGTGGTTATAATATCTCAAATGATCCCTAAACTAGCACTTCTTGACCCTCTCCATATCCTCTTTAGACATATATGTCGGGTATCTATTCAATAAATAGTGAGACTGCTTCCAATGTCTCGAGAGCTTGTATTCATGCATCAAACCTGTCAGACTTTCCACTGCACATTCCTTGTGTGGGTGAGCGCAACGAACTGTCATTTGAAGAATGGTATCCCTCTCTCGCAATTCAAAGGTCCATTCGTCGACGGCCTCCTTATCCTTCAGAAGTCTTAATAGCTTTGGCATAGGGTCTGATGTGACCTTGTCTTTGATGTGGAAAATGACATGTAACCAATGCCTATCTTTGGGTTCGCTCATGTTGAAAGGCTTGGTGTCTTTCAAGCGATTTAGAGGCTGATGCTTTCACGTTACACAAGAATAGGTTCTCATTCTCTTGGTAGGTATTTATACATGCACCATCTGTGACTTAGACCTTTTCACTGGGAGCAGGCTGATAGTGATCTTGAGCCTCTGAACAAGTACCATTGCAAGATGTTCGTTTCGGCTAAAAGATGCACTGAGTCACAGATTCACGCGAACAGTTACTCAGGCTACGTTTGATCACATCGGAAAGGAGGCCAGGGTAACTGGTCAGCGAATTAGCTAAAAGAGAGTACTTAATTCAAGTAGAACCGGGGTTTACACTTGAGGTTGGAAAAACTGTATCACTAGATCTCTGCAAGATAAATCAAGAGATGTTAAATCAGTGTTAAGACTGACCTATAGACTAGGCGAATGTCTTGTTCTCTCAATCTACACATTGTTCCTTAAATCTCATTTATACGACTTTCATCGAAGTCTAGAATCGTAACTGGCCATCATCCTGGGCGATAACCACGCGGTTTCCAACTGCCGTACGCTTCTCTTCATCATACCTCCTAATATCCGACATAATACAAATGGCTTGTCCCCTCCAGTTGATCGTATCAGCCCCATCAGGCGTCCAACCGAAATAAACACTGCCGGATATGTTCTGATTAGCCGAATTCAACAAGTCAATATTGCGTGATGCTAGATCCCAGGTCAGAACTTCAACCCCCCCGTTAGTATCCGATACGCTAAAAAGAACAGATCTGCCAGTCTCAGAAAATGAGATATGCACTATCTCAGCACTCCATCGATCAAGAGTTTCCAGGACATAAGACCACCAGTCGACTCTTGTTCTGCTGTCTCCTGTGCTCGTGTCTACCAAAAAGGCTCCCTTATGCGATAAAGCGACCAAGACCTTTCCATTAGGGAATAGTTTTAATTTGGTAGCGTAGAGGCTGGAGTCCTCATGAAACCATTGTCGCTCACCAGTGACAACGTTCCATAGGCTTATGCTTCGACGATCGCTGATTGCTAAGCTTTTAGAATCTGTGGTGAACTCCATGGATCCTATACACTGAGAGGGGCCAAGGGAGAAGTCGCTTGGGGCAGCCGGATTAGTTTTGAGATTCCATATATTCACCGGTCCGCGTTCTGCTGCAAGAGCGAGAATGCTTCCGTTGGAGGAAATCGCCCAGTGACAAATATTCCAGGAGCTAGGAGGTGAGAGGTCTGATGGAATCTCGTGCTACAAAATCCCCGTGGTAATGTCCCACATCAGCGTGGGGTGAGTCTCAGAAGCCGTCACAAGAGTTCGCTTGTTGGCTGCCAGCTTCAGGCGCATAACCTTACCCGGGCTTGATATACTCGTACACTAAGCGTGTGAGATACTGGACTTGTCGAATAGAGTTGACGAAGCTATTCGGTAAGTTGGAGACGGTGTCTCTGTTCTACCTGCCCTTGCATCGTTGTGGACTTGGGGGAACTCTCCTGATATTGGAAAAACAGATATATGTTCACATGCAACTGCAATAGTTTTGCCATTGGGAAATAATGCCATGCTGCTTGGCACAAAGAAATCGTGGTAAGAGATTGTATCGATGTGGGTGCCTTTTTTCCCATCCCATTCCCAAAGCTGGATTTCATGGCGATCACTAGATGCGATGATGGATCCGCATTACTGATATTGCGACTTGATAGAAACCTTGTCTAATCTGGTGTGCCTCGATGTAAGATAATTCGCTTGTAACCTTTTGAGATCCGAACCAAACGAAGATCGCTCCACGCTCATCGATTAATGCAACTGTCCAATCGGTAGGGCCTTTCACAGAAAGGGAAACGTTAGCTATGCTGTTGAATACCTTTCCTCCGATCATTTCAGTCTTCTTAAGCAATTGCCTGCTTTTGATGATAGAGTGACTGCCATTTTGGAAATCCCAATGTATAACATGTTGCCGCTTAAACCAGCAGCCATAGAAAACTCCTGTTGCTACATCAGCAACTATTATTTGCCCATGACTACATGCTGCAAGGGTTTTGCCATCCGGGGAGATTGCAACGGCACGTGGTTCGTATATCCTTGTTTTATCCCAGGAATCTGGCCGTAAGGTCAACCCACCATAGATACCGGCGATACTTGCTAGTAGTGTGGCTCGAGATTGAGCAAAGAGTTGTTTCGCTTTGCTTTCTGGGTAAACCGTAGACTTGAAGAGGGTACTTCTGAACTATGGGGCCATGCACTTTCAAGAAAAACTCTGCGTCCTTGACGATCTCCGGCGCAGGAAAGGCCTGAGAGACTAGACGTGAGAGGAGAAATTACAACGTAGGTTTGACATGCAATTATGCGACATGTCTGTCTCAAAGTAAGGAGACTTCTGATGGCTGATCCTGCGTCCACTAGAGTGCGTCTTCCTAATATAGAGAGGGCCTCGAACCAATGTAACAGATGGCTCTCCAGACACGGCATTACCAGGTCAACAGCATTACGGCCTCGTTCTGTATGGTATACCCAGTACATGCAAGCATACGCAAGGTCAGGGGGAACAGATCTTGCAACGGTCTCTTGGTCGAACTCGTGTGACATGATTAACGGAGCGCCGACATTGCAAATGTTCTTGCGCAGTCCTCGCGGCATTCGGTTGATGCATCGTTCTGCTACTATATCGTGTGTTTTTGACTGGTCGATGTTGAAGGTTCCTGGGGTCTCATTTCCAAGAACATAGTCTGCAAATGATTTGTGTATCAATTCAACGGGACATTCATCGTCAGGTACGCGAACGACTGCATGTAGAGCGTCTAGGATGGTGTTGAATCTATCCTCGTCCACGGAGAGGAGGCTCTGCAGGGCTCTGGTTGGGAGGGGGGTGAGTAGAAGAACAAGGGACCCTACAATAAGTTGGAGATCGAGAAGTTCATCCTCGTCTAATGGCTCTGGGATGTCATCATCTCCTTCTCCTGCCAAGATAGAGCTCATGATCAGCTCGTATATCTGGTCTAGCTGCGAAACACTCCTTGTGGAGCTTTCAAGCCATCTCTCAAGCCTTTTAGACGGATTTCGACCGTTGATGTGACGCAGGAACGTTGACCTATATATAAACAGTGGAGAAGGATTGGTGGCGTAGCTAAGTACCGTATTGAAGTCTTGTAAACTTGGCCACGGGTCCTCTTTTGAGATTCCGTTTTACCTTGATATCTGCCAAACCATCTGTGAGAACTATCCTCGTCTCTAGTCGAGTGACTTCCAGAAACTCCTCGTGCAGTGCCATATCTCGACCGGTGGCAGCATTTACAAAGGGGGTGAAGGCATTGGTGAGTGGACGAGTCTGTCGGCTGGTGAGAAGCACACGGAGTCGAATGCCATTCACATCCCTCAAACTGGCAAATAGCTTCAGCATCAATGGAATATCGTTAGGTCTCGTGCACTCGTCAAGTCCATCAATAATGATGAGCATACTCCTCAGACCGCATTGAATAGAACTCAGCGGCTTGTAGATAAGTGTGTCGAACTGGTCTCGGAGAGAGATCTTCTCTATAGTTTCAAAATTTGAGTTCCCCAGTGATTGATGAAGTCTACGTGTATACTAGGGGACTGTCTTGATAAGCTGGCTTGCGATTGTCGGGAATACACGACAAGAATCGTTTCGGAACTCATTGCCTCGTTTGAGGAAATATCCAGCTGCCAACTTGCTTTGTCTTCGCAGGTCGTCGACTAGAGTCCGTGCCAGAGTCGACTTTCCCACTCCTGCAGGAGCATGCAACCAAAATAGTGTCTCACCATTGGCATCATCAACACACTGCTGAATCTCATTCCGCACGTCCGGTCTAGTCTTTTCGTGACACTTGGGGCTCTCCTCGAGATCTTTGCTGTCAAAACGTGCCTCGGGTACTATAGGAAGTGGAATTGGTGGTTGATGTTGATCCTGGAGCCTGATCATAGATATTTAGTGTCTGATTCGATATTCCTTCGATGATCGGATATGCACTTACCCCAGCTTGTCCTTAATCGTATCCCAAAGGGCCTATCCTTCAATTTCAAAGGGTTTAAGGTCTGCAAGTGCCTTAAAAAGGAAGTCTACCAAAGCTGAGTCTTGTGAGATAGACGGCATATCGGGTGTGGCATTAACCACTGCGTCTAGGTTCGTTGTCGTTGCATCATGTCCAGCCAAGTGCCTGACGGGTTGGGGAAATATGCTCTTCTGCGCTGTTCCGTCCGCATTGTTTTCGAGTCTTTCTTCCATTCAGGCGACACTTATCCAATACAGCAGAGCAGCCCCATGTCCCATGTCGATGATCCTCTCTTCATTGGGCGATAGTGTACCCTGGGATGCTTTGTAGAGCAGTGGGTGAGCGAACTTATTGTATAAGCTTCCGGCCATGGTGGCAACTTGAATCTCAAAGAGCACTCCGGCATAAATAGCAAGTCCCGTGCTACAGCCAGAGCCCAACCAGACTAGATAGTTTCTGGATTCATAAGCCCCAAATCTTGACGTCCAATGCCGACCGACCGCTCTGTTTGCGGAAAAGCTGTTATAGTTTTCCGTCTGGAACGTTGCCTCGACCAAATCAGACGACCTTTCTAGACCGGATGGATACCCTACCACGATTCTGAAACCGGTAGATCGTGTGTATCATTGAATACCTGTGAAGGAGACTGGTACTGCTGTCCGTCGGGCCTGGAATCCTCACGCCGTTTGATAGACTTGGAAATAGACTCAGCAGCTTTCGTGCGACTGGCCACGGTTACGCGTACGCCCTTCTCGTCAAGAAGACAGGATAGGTATTGATGAACTACCTGTCGCATGCTTTCGTAATCTGTTTTTACATCATGCCAAATTTTGATGAGAGCGACATTCGGAGGATTATCTGCCCATGCACTCTGGATTTCACTGTCGATCTTGTCGCGCAGGCTCACTAGCTCGGTTGGCAAATATACCCTCATCTTCAACTGGCTATTGAATAGAAAATAGGACATGTCCTTTAAAATGGATAGAGAATACAGGACGATGATACCTAGAATTAAGCAAAGTAGGGTGACCTTTGGCTGATTAAAGTGGAAAGAAATATTGTAAGGATAAACTCGGAAAGACTCCCAGAGTCAAGTGAGTGGTAAATGACTAAGAATCCATATCAGGCATTATCTTGCGAATTCTGTGAAACATCTAGGTCCCTGATAGACTACCTTGCGGCAGCCACATGTATTACCACTCACTGATGCTTAATTAGGCAGTATTTCACATTACGTAACTTCCATGATTAGATCACCTTACAAATTCGCTGTGTCCCTGGCGTACTGAAATAGGAGTTACTCCGAGCAGCCAAACCTCAGAAGTCTCTCACCGTTGGTACATTACACCGCCCAACTTCCGTCACTGCTATTCCCAGGTTCAGGGGCTCCAACCAACTTATTACCCCCGAAGCTCAGCCAGTGTGATGGTAAAGACATAATGCTCGAGTTTTGCCGTTCTTGCCATTGTTTATCTATTTAGCAATTAACTTAAAGTTATTAAGTCCTAAATAATTATATAAATATATTTATTAGCACTTTTATAGACTTAACTTATTAGCTATTAATAAAACGTCTTTTTAATAATAAGCCTTATATATATTACTTATTTATTAAGAGATATAACACTTTACTATTATTTAATTTATATTAAATAAATATATAAATATATACTTATAATAAATTATTTTATCTCTTAAGAAATATAAGTATTATACTTTATTAGTACTAAAAATATAAAGTATTTTTATTTTTTAATTATATAATTATAGTTTTATAATTTAAAAACATATAAATCTAATAATACTAAGATATATAAGTTATTTTTTATAATTAACTTATTTAATAATAAATATCTTAATTATATACTAAGGAAGATAATTAAGTTAGCCTATATTGTTATAATATTACTTATAAGATAGGTAGTAACTATAATAAGTTAAAAATAATATATACTTAGCATATCTTAAGTGTAATAATATCTATTAACTTAGGCAAGCGTTAAAATGCTGAGCAGCAACAGCATCCGGCTGTGAGTTTTGTGCACGTCAGTCGCACCATCTGATTGGAGATACATTTCCAGGTTTCTAAAGTTGAGATTAATTAGACTTTGACTAGTCCCTTGGGCCAACTGAGGGTTGGTCACTCCAGTTGACGCGGGATAGCTACAAAGCTAAGCCGTAATGATATGTTTTCGCCTTCATCGTTATAGCCACCCCTTTGATAACCATTTTTAGAGTAGACCAAGCACCCAGGTGCTGAGAGACGCTAGCAACCGTGAAATGGCACTCAACGTACACATCTCTTCTGTGTATGTGCTAGTTCCGGAACTGCGTATTACCAATTCATGGTGTTCTCTCTGAAGTATGCAGCCACGCCGGTAAATGCACCAGACGTTTAATATCCTCGTGTTTGGGTTGATATAAAACCCTCAAAGACAATGGGGAGGTGAATTGGGGGAGTATCGAGGCAGGTCGTCACATAACAATTCTTAAGAGGAATAGGGAACTCGGCAGGACCTACTAAAGTCTTCCAAAAGATCCAAAACTAGTCTTGATCCAGATTACTACTTAAAACACAGATGTGCATAGAGACTTACGAATTAGTGCGTTTTTACCGGTGGATAATCGTAGTTATTGGTATTAATCCCAAACCAGTATGGCGCAGATGGCGAGAGCCTGATGCCGACAGCAAATAATTACTGGGTAGTCTGTCACATAGGCGCTCAATACGTGCCAGACAGATATATAGACAGTGTACAGAGTTTATTCTATTGGTCTATGCTTTTAAGTTATTAGTAGAGAATCCAGGAAATAAAGCCAAAAACGGCTGTATAACTGCCTAGTTTCGAGATTAGAGCTGTACTCTCCTCTTGCACCCTGCAGGAGACATTTAGAACCCGTCTTGGCATAAAAGCTTGGCATCAACTAAGCGTCGAGAGCATGGACTCCACCAAGGCACAGAGTGCCGAAATTAAAAAGATTGGCAAATGGACCATTACGTGTCCCACGGCTCTTACCGCCAGACTAGTTACATGCGGCTTAAATGTATCTCACATTGGCTGCTGCGTATAGCAGTGATGGACCAAATGAGACAGTGGCTTTGCAATGGTCGTTGTCATTAGTTCAAGATGTCAGTATGTCACACCAGTAATATGGCATGTGGTCATGGCGGGGGGATATCCGCCGCCAGGTAGGTCTAGACTCTGTAAGACTGGTTTTCTGGTATGGCGCTAAATGATGTGCCACGCGTCACGCAAAAGCTGTACTCGGGTAGGGTCTAGAGACCGACCCCCCGTGCTTTCCTTTCCACCGTAGGTGCCCGTGCGTCAAGCACGGGGGGTAGGCTGACTAGGGAAAGGGGCGGGTGACTGGGGAATAAATTAGATACCTCATTTTTGTATGTAGCCCCACCAAAAAAATAAGTCACTCCTTTAGTTGAATTGTCCCTCTTTACTGCACTGATGATGCCCGCGATATGTCATTACCCCTCACAAACATCGCAACGAAATCACCACTCAACGTCCTCAACACCAACAAGGTAATTACTTTATTCAGTCATGATAATTGCAATTTCTATTCAATTGAGACGATGGATACATCAATCAAAAGCCCTGAACCGGCTCTTACTGCAGTACAAAAATATATCAATTCTGACACCGGAAACCCTAATGTCTTGCGATATACAGCTCATAACCTTGAGACGCGTACTGTCGCGGCTGTCGAGCTTCTAAGGGAAGGATATTACTCCTCAGCTGTTAAAGCTGCTAAGGCATGGAGGGTACCATATAAAAGGTTGCTTTCTCGACAAAAAGGAAAACATCCTGTCTCTCAAAATGGCGGCAACTTCACGCTTTTTTCGCCGGAAGAAGAGAAGGCGATCCTCGCTTGGTGCTGGCGCCGCGTCACTCAGGGACATCATATACAGATGCGTACTCTTCGACAGTATGCTAATTCAATTCTAAAAGCAACTGACCGACTTCCAACGGCTTCTAGATACTGGGCAAGACGTTTTCTAAGAAGATATTCCTCTATTCTTCATAGAAAGAAGAGTTCAACCATCGCAGTGCAAAGAAAGGCGATGGCAGACCGAGCCAACGTCGAAGAGTGGTTTCGCAAGTGGCATGATTACGCGGAAAAAGGCATAGATTACGAGGATGTGTGGAACATCGATGAGACAGGCTTCCAGATCGGTTATCTTAAAAATGGGATGTTCCTGTGGACTTTTGGGGAAATCGACAAGCCTATCTTGACTGATGCACACGAGACAATAAGCGTCACGATCATTGAGTCTATATCAGCAAAAGGACGGGTTATTCCATCGTTTATCATCATGCCGGGCGTACAGCTGCCGTCTCGGTGGGTTGACAACCGCCTTGAACCGGGCACAACGATCGTTACAACACCAAACGGCTATATCGATGATATCTCCGCGCTAGAATTCTTCGACCACTTTGAACGGCTTTCCCGGACTTCTTTGAGTCCGGGAAAAAGAACACTATTACTAGACGGTTGTGAGAATCATTTTACCAAAGAGCTTTTCCAAAAAGCCCAAGATGCAGGCGTGGTGTTGTTCCCTTTCCCGCCTCACTTGACACATATCCTTCAACCGCTAGATGTAGGGCTATTCTGTGTATACAAGCATTGGCATCAGGAAATCCTTCTTCGTGAGATTGCAGATGGCGCTACAGACTTCAATAAAGCTGACTTTTTGTTCCATTTACAGGAGGTACGCGCCCGTACTACTAAGAGAAGCACTATCATCTCATCTTGGCAAAAGACCGGCATCTATCCCTTCGATCCTGAGGTTGTACTAGCCCGTATGATAAATCCCTTATCATCACTATCTTTGGAGGTAGCTGAAGAGTCGTTACCCGGCTATATCTCACGAGGGTCCTCTTCCACCCACAGCAGCGATAGCAACTCCGAAATGAGTGAGGAAGACGGCGTTACGCCGCCTCATGAGATACACCATTCGAATCGTCACGACCAGGAGATTCGATTGATGTCAACGCCACCCCCGTGCGTCAACTGGATCGAAATGAACACGCCGGAGCTCAAGTTACGGCAGATCCGTCAGTACGAGGAATATGTGGCCCTCAGGATCGAATGCTCAATAACCTCGGGCACGCCTCTGACTCCCTCAGTGTCACATGTCAATGAGAAGCTGCAGAAAGCACATACAACTCTCGCAGTCAATGGGATTACTGCGACTCAGGAAATGCGCCGTCTCAAGGAGAAGAACCTTAGAAGGTCTGCCCGGGATCAGGGGACCACCATACTGGCAAATTACGGGCCAATTACTATATATGATGCCAGACTTCGCGTCGCAAAGGATCAGCACAACCGGCTGGCCGGTCAGGCGGCCGAGGAAGCTCGTATGCACACTAAAGAAGTTAGGGTTGAAGTCGGGTATTTACGACGATGGATTGCAGCGGTCAGGAAGATGCTCAGGGCTTCTTTAAAGGATCTACGGGTTGCTGATCTATACAGCAGCCAGCCGACTTATTCTCAGAAAAGGAAGCTATTCACAGCGGCCGAATTTTATATAAAAAAACAACACCAAGATTGTATACGGTCGACGGCGGTGATAGGGTCAAGATACCGGCTTCACCGCGAGCTTCTGGCTAAAAGCAAAGATTCCAAGGTGAAAGCGACTAATGCAAAGAAATCAGAAAGTCGGGAAGCCCCTAGAGTATTTATCTTTCACTGGAATCCCCAATTCCTTCTTCCATTTGACTATGACTTCAATATCGTGAAGGAGGCGTTGGAATTTATTGTCAGTGACGAGGAAAAACGCCGCTCTAATCGGAAGAAGATGTCGTTGGAAGCTGACGGCTTAGAAATCGTTGAAGATGATGAGGAAATGGATGAAGATGATGAATATGATGATGATAATGAAGAAATAGTCATTGGGGATACTATTGAAGTCAGTTAGGGCGAGTTCGTTATCCCAAAGGATGAAGAAAATACCGAATAGTCGTGATGGTTGCTTGGTGTTTTGGCAATATGCATTTTTGGTGGGGGTTGCAAATGGAGGGGTTGGTCCGGTCACAATCATGTAGTTATCCGTGGCAAAGGAAGTACATCTAATTTGGTGGGGCGCACATATAAAAATGAGGTAGCTTAATTTCCCTAGTCAACCGACCCTTTTCCTAGTCACCGTACCCCCCGTGCCTGACCCTCAGGCTCCACGTGTGGAATGGGTTAGGCTAAGGGGGGCCGGTCTCAAGGCCCTACCCGAGTAGTAGGGACGATGATCACTAGCTGTTACTCTGGTCACACAGTTGCTTCATAATGCATTTAGATATATCTTTAAAGAATTAGTTATATAATATAAAAATCTCTTTATAGATATAAAGGAGGTAATAAAGAGTAAAAATAAAAGTATTAATATACTTATTTTATATATTATAACTTAACTTTTTATATTTATTAATGCTTAAGCTTAATTATTACTTTTTAATTATTATAAATTTATTTATAAGTTAATTATAATTATATTAAAACTATTTATTACTTAATATTTTATAGCCCTTTTTATTTTATATAAATAATTACTAAAACTTTACTTTTTTTATAAAACTATTATTTAATATTATATTTACCTTTATATTTATAAAGATTTATAATTTAATTATTAAGTATAATACCTTATTAGTATAATAGGTTATAATTACTAATATTATAAAGCTTTTATAGTTTATATAAAATAAATATAATAAAGTCTAAAAATAAATTTATTAAAAGTACTTTATATAAAAGTTTTTTAACTTTATAAGTAAGTTAAGTTATTTAGCTATTAATAAATTATTAAATTTATAGACTTAGTTATTACTTTTTATTTATAATTCTTATTTTATTTTATATATATATTAAAAGTTTTTATAATTGCTTTTTTTTAAAAATAAAGTATTTATTAAAAAAACTTAAATATAATTAAAAGGTAATTCAGGGTATATAGGAGAATTATTTAATTAAATAATATAGGGCTAAAAGTTGCAATATCTACTAAGGTCTCTTCTTTTATAAAAGTCTTAGTGTAGTCAGCCTATTAGTTTAAGAAGTTACTAGTCTTGTAATAAAACTCCATACTCTATAACGCTTTCTTGTTTATTTATAAGTGTGTAGAAAAGAGGGAGTTAGGAGGGGTTAGTAGCTCCTCAACCCTCTGCTGTAAACACTTAATACGTTTCATAATTGTATTAAATATTTTCAATTTGCCATCTTGCGGCATATGTATAACTCAAGTTTCGTCACAATATAGTAAATACGATGAATGGGTGCTCTAACATAGTCTACACAGCTTCCAAAAGTAAATAATAAAAAAAGTATTGGATGAAAGGATATGTTCGTGGGTAGTGACTGCCTTCATGCTTCTACCTATCTCATGGAAACGTATCGGACTACCAATCGCCTCGTATAATAGATCAGCCCGATGGTGTAGAAAAACAGATAGGATATACTTACACCCATCCATGCGGTTTCCCTTATATAGCCTGACTCTCAATGCTTATCGCTGCACTGGCGATATCATCTGCATTCAATAAATCAATTCCCTCTCGCATAAGTATTTTCCATACGTAGTCTCTATGGGATATCGGCCAATCAGGTAATCCCCATAGTCTTGACTTCAGGTTTCGATGCTTTGCAATTTGAAGCTGGTTTCGCAGAGTTTCCATCTGCTGGTTGCTGAAGCCCGTCCGAACACTTCCAATGGCCTTGTTGAGAGGGGCCGAGGCAGTATAGAATTCATTTTCCAATTCATAGGGACCGTAAAACTCGTCACTTTGACTGAATCCTGTTTCAGTAAGCAAATGTAAAGGAGCGTCAAGAAAAGAATCGTGGCGCTGCTGCCATTCTTCAAGGCTTGTGCCTATATTTATGTCGCGCCGGTTAACGATGTTTCCTGTGCCCACTATGGTTATGGGCCCAGGCCAGAATGTCTGATTTGTGGCCATGGTTCTGTCGTGTCGAGATAAGTATCTCATATCACGCAAAGGCCCTAGCTGCTGAAGAACCAAAGGCCATGTCTTCACCGGATCGTCCTTCACATCAATGAACAGTATTAATGTTTTATCCGGCTCCGTGACAAAGACACCACAGGCTTGGGCTGTGGAACTGAAGGCCTCGTGCGGCGCTGGCCGATTCATTGAGTTTAAGATCTGTAATAGCGGGTCGATATAAAGTGATCGTAGTGTCCAGCTTGAGGAAAGTGATAGTTTGTCATGGCCGACAAGAAGGTCTTCTCCATCTGGACTAAGCCATACATCTGCCTCGACACTTGCGCAGCCTACAGCAAGCGCTGAAAAGAGAGGATGAGGTCTCCAATAATCGTTGTGAGAGTGACACATTACTGGAAAGACAAGGCGCGATAATCCTGTGCTCCATACCGCAGCATTGTATGTTGAATTTCCATGTCTGTCGAATCGGTCGTGAAACGTAAAGCGCGTCGTCTCATAGGTATCAAGGGCGTTTGGCAAAAAGACAGAAACTATTAAGAAAAATTGCGCTCTGTCTCAAGTATTAGCCGCTGTAGGTATCCTTTACCTAAAATGAGCTTGAATCGATGGAACGTACATGATTATTATTGTACAACAGATGGCAGTAGACCAAAATTTGACGCGCCTTTGCCGCGCTCTAGATATGGGTTGTTTGTGATGTGGCAGACAGCGTTCAACTTGGCACAAATCGCTACCTGTCTGTGAGGGAAGTAGCCTATATTCGCCAAGCCGGGCTAAATGTTTAACATAGAAGTAAGTCGAATGTTTCATGGTATGTTGTGTTTAACGCGTATCAACAGAGACTGGTGCAGCGCGAGTGTGAAAGGATATGGGAGCAACTAGCCAGGACACCAATGGGAAAGCACAGGAATAGCTTTTCCTCTCCTATCTATCGAACTTTTTAAGAGGCACTTTTGGTTGAAGTGATTCGCAAGCTGGACTGTCCATTTTCTGACGAAGCAAAGATCTAAAACAATTCATTTCAGTAAGCCAGTAGATCAGATGTTTCACAAGAGCCCTTCTCCTGATGACGCGTACTCATTTTGCGTATCCAACACTGTATCTTGGATTTGTGGCTGCTCTTTTGTGCTAGTCAAGCGGAACTAGAAACCTTGGCGTTATTTAGACTGAAAAAGTGCATGTACGATCAGCCTCGCTCCTGCATGGTGGTTGGCCTAGCGGTCGAGGCCCGTGTGGAGCACCAAGTTCATGAGTAATTGAGCGGTGGACACGCGTAGCCTGAGCACCTCCAGGCTCAATGTGAATATGGTGTGGGTAAACCTCAGTTACAATGTGATAGAGGTGCTCTGACGAAACATCACTCAGTGACTTTCCTTCGTCGGAGAGCTTCCATGGCTCAACGGAGTTCGGCACACCATCACAAGACATTTATTTGTTCCCCCGCTCCTGCTGCCGCACTAAGCTAAAAGTCGCAAAGCGAAGAAGAGACTTTTAGGACAGCAAGATACTGCATCATTGAGGGGCTTTACGGAAAGTTCCAATAAGTCTCCCTCCAGCTTGACGTCGCTTGCGTTATAATGTATAACATGCCGCAAGAAACTAGTTTAGTCACAAGCACGTATAGCACACATTGGGAAATCTTTGGAGTGGTAGGAAATGTCCTCATTTCACCATTGCATAAGAGGATACCATTAGGCGCGCAAAATAGGAATGAAACTGTGAGGTCATATATAAGTGCACGTAAATAGCGCAATGGTGTTTTCAGCCTTCAATTAGAAAACCATTTGCATTCTCATTCTCTCTTATAGTTAAACCGGGAAACCTCCTCTGGAATCGCTGCAGTCAATAAGCAGAAGCCAAAGAGTCAATAAGATGAACCTTGCCAGCATTGCTCATGATTTGTCAAGTTTGGCGCTCTTGGGTCCTCTGAAAGCCCATGCTCTCTCCAGGATGCGCGGTTCATGCCAAGCTTTTATGCCACGACGGGCTCTACATGCATTAGCTGCGGCATACTTTCCGCTACTGTAGCTTCACCAGAGGGGGTTTAAGAGGCGTGGACTCCGCCACCAGGCCATTAAAACAATAAAAGATTTAAGGAAAATATAATTTATTTATTAAAAAGCAATAGAACCCCCGATTTGGGTCACGAGACTGGTAGAATAACTATGCCTTAAGGCGCATGAATTCCAACAATGTAACCCTTTTAGATAGGAATTTTCGGAAGGAGGGAGCGAATATAGAATTCGCTTTACCAGGCCTTCTGTGAGGTGATCTGATCATATTCCACTCCCTGTATATAAGCTAACTCGATGAGGCTAATAAACGTTAGCTGGGGGCTCAGCTGGCCCTGATAGCAACCCATGCATTACAATACATTGCACAGACATAAGGGGGTAAAAAAGCCACTCAAGCCTTGAAGTCGTCGTAATCGTAGGTGCCGAAGTCCAGGAAGTGTCCCCCTGTAGCAGCGAGGTTCTCAATCTCCAATGATGCTACTTGTCTCTTTGGAATCTAGCGTATAACCTAGGCGGTCAAAGAGGCTGCAGAGAACCTTTATGGTTCCTAAAGGGTACGCTCAAATACATTAGGGGGCTGTTACATTTATCTCTTGGTATATCAAGATGTTAACCCTCTGGGTCAAAAGGCAAAGCAATAAATTATTCCCTGCGGCCTTCTACACAATCTGTTTACTTTTTAATCGCTTTTCCCCTTCTTTCTATTGCCTTAGTTTCTACTATGACTTGCAAATATGTTATGCATAGCGTCTTTCTTCGCCCACCACGTCGCATACGACTTTTCGCCTTCATGTTATTCTTTGTTGCAGCAATATGGCCCTTTACAATCAAATTACCTTCACCTTACTCTCTCAAAAAGGATATCGCGGGGGACTATCCATTAATTTATAGGTATGTTCATTCGTTCAACGGCACGGGAGGTGGTAAGTCGGACATTCCAGGATCGTACGCCGTAAGAAATGCTCATAATGCTAACACTGGAATTAAGCATGGCATATCCCTCCATATTGGGCTGATGTGCACGGTAAACAACCGCAAAACATCCTCGATGCTGCTCGAATAGCCTCCCAGAGCGCTTTATCAACGCGAGAGAGACAAATACCCTTCTCCAATATTCCATTACTCGTCCACCAAACTTGGAAAACGACGGCGGCCGATGGTTGGAATCCCAAAATACTGCCTTGGGTTGAATTGTGGCTGGAGGACTCAATTGAAGTTGAACGCGGACCGGCGATGGCATACTTCTTCTGGGATGATACAGGGATGCGTGCGTTAGTGAAAGAATTTGAGAAAGACTTCCTTGAGCGCTATGACTCGCTCCTAACACCAGTTGAGCAAAGCGATGTATTTCGCATTTTAGTATGTAAACACTTTGGTGGAATAGTAAGTATACCCTGAAAATAGTCTAAAGTCCTTTCTAACCAATGTAGTATGGGGATCTCGATACTGAGCTTATACGGCATCCCGCTACCTGGATAAGCCGATCAGATGTGGCTACCTGGACAGACCTGAAAACAGGAAAAGCTTATGGTTACTATAACGATTCGGTAACGCCAGACTATGAAACGCAAGTGGTTAACCTCCTCTGGGGCCTAGAAGCCGATAATAACCCGGAGTCTGATGCATACTGGCGCCAAAGCTATACATATCCTCAACAACTATCACAATGGGCTTTCGCTGCTGCCCCTCAACATCCGGTATTTTTACGATACATGGATAACCTACGCAATTATACCAAAGACAACGAAACAACGGCTCAAAATAGTGACCCGCTTAAGCGAACTGGCCCTGCAGCTGTTACTCTTGCCACAAAGTCCTGGCTAGAGGACCGCGTGGGATTTCGATGGACCAGCTTAACAGGTGTAAAGGATGGGGGTAAATCCAAGTTGGTTGATGATATCCTTATTCTTCCTATAACTGGCTTTCAGTAAGTTCATTTCGCCCTCAGATTAATCTACATTTCGTGGATTGCTGATGTTATAAAGTCCAAATCACGGAAATCGTAACGGCGTTATGGGCAGAAAACCGATAACAGACCCTGAGGCGAGATTATGTCATCACGGCACGGGATTGTGGAAACATTTCAATGTAGTAGGGGAGTATGGAAAGGTTTGTCGAAGACTTTTTGGTCTTTGTAGGGATTGGCCAAGAATGACAGGATAAAGGAGTTTTAACCCTAGTTTATATAACTGTTATTTCACCGATTTTACTATTAATTTCAGATATAAAGTTTAGGCAGGTTATATACCCTATTACGTTGTCCTCTTCCAAGTGAAAGAGAAAGACAGGGTAATGGCCCAATCAAGACGTGTAAAAGCCCTTTTTCATTTGAATCTAGAGCTGCAATAATTATGTAGTGAGTTTTAGTAAACGATAGTAATGAATGTTGTTAAGGTCTAGGGTGGTCAAGTTGTTGAACTCGACAAGGGTCAGCTGACGGAAACGCGACGCATTTCGCGTTTTAAGTTTTCTGATTTCATGAGTGCGGTATGAGAAATGACGCAGTGCATTTCCATCGTAGAAAATATAGGGCAAAAATGCTAGATGGTGATTAGTCAAGAACAGGAAACGCGATGCGTCTCTGATGTTAATGCTTAAGTAGATATGCCTCTTACAACAGTTACAGTTGCTTTAATCAGCGGGGAAAAAAGGGAGTATAAACAATATCTTTTTCAGCTCTGGCTTGAAATAACATATCCCATTCACTATCACAAGACCCATCCATGCCATTAGCTATTTTTATCGAGGCTGATTACATATGTAACTCTGTAGCCAGTAAGAGGTCTTCAAATAAGCCAACGGCAATTTTAGTTCCGTGCAAGTAAGACAACCTTTTCAGCTGAATTAAAACCCCTCGCAGCTGATTATCATCAAGAGGCAGCCAAAACCTCAACTCAAACGTGAGTACAACGGCAGAACTAAAATGGCCGAAGTCCTCGGTATCGCATCCGGCGCCGCGGGCCTCCTAAGTCTTGCGATAGAAGTGACCAAGCTCAGTTATACCTACATCGCCAGTGTTCGAGGCGCGCCTAAATCATTAACCTCTTACATTGGGGAGCTTGCAACGCTCACCTCGGTTCTTTTACAGCTCGACGACCTCATCCAGTCTAAAAAGATCAACAGCCAGAATAGCCAGATTCTCAGCAAGGCTTTAAACGACTGCAAACAGGAAGTAGAATACCTGAGGGCAAAGCTGGAGAGAAAAGTGTCATATGGCAGAATCAAAGCCAAGGTGGCCGCTCTGGCTTGGCCCTTATCAGAATCGGAGTTGCAGGACAAAGTAAACATGCTGCATCGCTACAACGGCATCTTCTCATCTGCCTTACAAGCCGATAGTTTATAGGTCGCTCGACTGGTGTATGTATCTTAGCTAATCATTTGCAAAGAACCATTGCAATTGCCACGAACAAAGAACTGCAAGACTTCAGGCACAGTAAGTCTTTTCAACAAATTCCTCTTTCTATCTAGTGGACAAGGTACCATAATGTGTATCCATAGGTACCGAAACAAAGGAAATCATTGCCTGGTATAAGTCGGATGTCGCAATTGAGGTTTCAACCTCTCACCTGGAGGATTACTGTCCCTCTACATGGCAAACATTTCTATCAGGCCACGTCTATCATTCTTGGCGCAGTGGCTCAACACCTGTCGTTTGGGCATATAGACAACGTCAGTTTCTCTTCCTCTCTTGACATTCTGGATACTGAATAAATTCTAGCTGGTGCTGGGAAAACAGTATTGGCGTAAGAATTCCACCCAATGGTAATGCATGAGTTAGCGACTCGGTGATACTAACTCCATTGATAACAGTGCACTCGTTCTCCAAGATATCAAGTCTGGTAATTTACCTGGTACAGCCATCGCCTCACACTTTTTCAGCAGCAACAGACCCAAGGAGTCTGTGGGCAATGTCCTCCGCAACCTGATCGCCCAAGCACTCCGCGGCTGCCCTGTCATCCCTCAAGAGGCATTGGCCCTGTATGAGAAGGGGTCCCAGAATCTAATGATGACCGATCTGATCAATGTTCTTGAGGCGATTGCTAAATCAATGACCATTTGTATCATCCTTAATGGACTTGACGAGTGTCCATTTCTTCCTAAGCTTTTCAACATCCTGTCGACATTGCAGGAGCTAGGAGTCAGACTTTTCGCAACAGCTCGCGATCTGCCAAAGATTAGAAAACATTTTAAGAAGAAGCCAAGCGTGGAAGTTTCTGCCACAAGTCAAGACTTAGATCTTTACGTTAATCACCGATTAAAGCATGGAGAAGTTGATGTCGAGTTAATCGGAACAATATTGAAATCAGATCTTGTGTCTGCGATTGAGAAGAAGACAGCCGGGTCGTAAGTTCAATCAGGAGACATCTGGTATACCGATAGACTGACAGGTTTGATAGGTTCCTTCTTGCTCGGCTCATCATGGATCACATCACTAGCCTGCTCACTATCAAGGACATACGAAAAGCCTTGATATCGTTACCCGCTAATTACGATGAGGCTTACCTAGGCACATTTGACCGTATAGTCAAGCAAGCCCCTGGTCTAAGGGACCTCGCCTTGCGATCATTAAATTTCATTTGTTATGTCAAGGAGCCTTTACGAATAGTTGAACTGCAGCATTGCCTCGCTATCGAGGAAGGCATGCTCGAAATCGATCCTGAGGATCTTCAAACTCCTAAAACTATCATCTCATCTTGCCTTGGACTACTTGTCGTTTCAGGATCAGAAAGAATTGTGGAATTCGTACACTCGACTGCGCGAAGGTTCCTCCAGAGTCGACCAGAAGGAATGGATAAGCGCCCCCATCTGACAATTGTTCGCAGTTGCATCTCGTACATGTCAACAAATGAGATGCGCCAGGGCCGCTGTACATCCCACGAGGAGATCACCCAACGTTGTCAGAAGCAGCCGTTCCTACATTATGCAGCGAACTTCTACGGCTACCATGCTCAAGAAGTTGAAGGAGAATGCTTCGACCAGCTTTCGGAGTTTTTAGAGGACGATGTCCTTCGGGAGAGCTCTTGGCAACTTTTGAACTTCAAAGCTCATCTCGATACTTCCGTCTCCGAATCTGTGTTCGACTCTAGTCCCAGAAATGTACTTGCTCTACACGTTGCCGCATTCTGGGCTTTTTATAAGTATGTTGTCAATAGCTTGGACGACACACAGCCGGGAACTCCGAGCACTAAGATGCAGAATCTAAATAAGGCTGACTCTCATGGATGGACACCTTTGCACTGGGCCGTGTCCATGGGTCACAACAGCATGGTTGAAATTCTTCTCATATCAGGAGCCAGTCCTGATCTTCCGGATCTTGCAGGATGGACGCCAACATTCTGGGCAGCCTTTAAGGGCCATGCGGATATTATTGAAATGCTGTGGCGGTATGACATAGCTCCATTTCGGTGCGATATCAAAGGACTTACTCCACTTCACTGGGCAATATGCGCGGGTCGAACCGAAATCGTCAACCGGCTTTTAAAAGTCAAAACACGTTTTGGACAGTACCAAAAGTCGGTAGTAACCTCACTCCCCTCATTGGAAGACTTGACAATTTCAAGAGCTCGTGCCATGACAACTAAGGCAAATCAAAGTCCTTTCAAATTCTATTCAGAAGGTACAGACATCGAAATGTTTTCCGCCATCTTCAACGCCCTAAAGCAGAGCTTTCGTGAGAAAACAAACAAACCTCGCGAAAGAAGCAGCGGCTATTACACAATTGATCCGTTTCTTTATGGACCCTTTGGACGAAGCCTCAAGGCTGATAATGGCAGAAGAGCAAGACCAGACCGTGACTACCAGTGGGGTAAGCCGGATGTTGATTTTCTTCAGTTTGTGGATCAACTGATGATTCACGCTACGCGGTCACAGAACCTGCCTATCATCAAACTGGTGTTTGATCTGAAACTTGTGAAAGCTTCTGGTATTGATAGCCTTGCTCTTCTTCACGAAGCGGCAGCATCTGGTTGGGTCGAGGGTATGTCTGCCTTGATCGACCTTGGGGCAGATGTCAATAATGGGCGAAGAAAGGATGGGAAAACACCTCTTCACGGAGCATGCCTAAACCAACGCGAAGAATCAATCAATCTGTTGTTGGATATTGACAAAGTTGACGTTAATGCTCGAGACAAAGATCGACAAACACCAATCATGGATCTCATGACCGTTTCCTACGAAGAGAAAGGACTCGATCTGTACAGGCTACTGATAGCAAGAGGAGCATCAACATCCATCAAAGACGCGGGAGGGAACTCCCTCATGCATTTCGCTGTGCGGACATGTAATGCTCCGATCGTCCAAATGCTGTGTACGGCCGGGTTAAGCATAGAATCTCCAAACAAAAGTGGCCAATTACCGTTGCACTGGATGGCTCACTGGAAGTACTTTGAACTGCGGAAGGCTGTCACGCCTGATGAAGCCCAATCCCTGAAGCAAAAGCGACACGATTGCATGAAGCTTGTCTTTAAACTCTCGAGCCCAAGCTCCCTGGATTCTATCTGCGATTGGAAAGATGGAGCAATGCCGTCTAAGCAAACGCCTTTGTCATTAGCTTTATCAAGAGAGAATTGGGATCTTGCAGCCGAGCTACTGAGATATATCAAGCAGCCCGGGAATATGAGTTACTTGCTGGGTAAGGATGATTAATTTCGGCTACAGTCAGTAAGATACTAATGACGTGGATAGATGCCAAGACTCACATTATACACGAACTTTGTACGGTGTCGAAAAGACGTGCCTCAGTCTCAACGCCCAGAAGCCATGATCGAACGATGCTGTATTATGAATTCCAGCCGCTTTCCCTGTATGATTGGACTTGTCTGCTTCAATCTTTTCTTGACGCCGGAGCTGATATCAATGGAGTTAATTGGAAAGGGGAAACGCCCCTGCAGCTTTGCGTACAGAGGGCAGCTAGCATACAAGTCATTGATACCCTGCTCAAACTAGGAGCCAATCCCTACCAGGCAACGGAAGATGGGCTAGATTGCTTCCAGCTTGCATTGCTGTGTTGCGACGCAGCAGGTAGTTGGGAGATAATGCGCTGTCTTCGAACTTACGCGAACACTCATCCAGAGCCAGCACATTATTTCTGCCAAGGAGGTTTCCTGATTGCCTCCGATATTCCCATAGATAATGAGGAAACTCGCTACCTTCAAGTCCTCCGCCAGACTAATGCCATCAACTTTAAGACGCGGTCAGGTCGTACGCTTATCTACGAAGCCGCTAGTCGGGGTAACACACACTTGGTAGAAAGGTTACTGGACCATGATGCTTATGCGCATTATATCGATGACTTTGGTAGTTCCGCACTGCATGCAGCTGCGAAGAAGCAAGCTCCAACAACGGTAGCTGCCCTACTTCAGGCTGGAGCAGACGTCCATCAAGTTTCTTTCAACGAGTTTGGCTCAACAGTTAGAGGTACACCGTTACATGTTTGTCTCGAGGCCTGCAGTGGAAGCCAAGTAACGAGTGAGACAATCGAAGTTGTCCGCATCTTGCTGGGTTATGGTGCTGACCCTAATTATGCGGTGGTCAGGGACGATTACACAGAGACGAGCCTCTCACTCCTTCTAAAGGCACTACGCCGGTCAATAGACTACCCCGATCTCGACACGATCACTCCTGAACATTTAGATCAATTGGCACTAGACGTACTGAAACTACTGGTTGATGCGGGAGCACGAGTCGCTGATAGCGCTGATGATATTACAATTGGTGTTGTTGCGAAAATGGAGGGTTATGAATCGCTATGGGAGGAAATGAGATCGCAATTAATGCCTAACCAGGTCATAGACCCTTAGGTCTGGGTACTGAGTGATGGGAGCCTGGGCGACTGCCCGGGGAGGTTGGGCGTGATTACCAGTGATAATGAGAGGATTGGTGATGATACCTGCAGGAATATCAGAGACTACTATAGCACCACCATGGAGCTAACTGGACCAAAACACTGTGCATTACCGGCCGTTTCGAGTCAGGGGGCGTTATTCCATCCTTGATGCCTGATGGCTTTTGGCATTGTGAATGGCTATGGCGGGGCTTTGATTGCAGCAGTAAAAAGATCAGCAACCCCCAATTGTCAAACCAAAAGGGCAGGTACACAAGGATAAATGGCAGCATTGTGCTGATCGTATTGTTTCTAGTGCGGGCTACGCCAGCATCTTTCTTGAAGCATACGGCTGACTTAGCAGGTAAAGCTATTTCCTACCGCTCGTTAATCACAACCATGCCTGATATAGGGTTAGGGTGATCACTTGCATAATTTGTCCCTTGGCATGGAACCTGAATTCTACGAAATTGTGAACACGTAGGAGAATTCGGGTCGCGGATATCGAAATCGAATGGAACGGTATGGTCCATCGTCGTTTTGCTGAAGATTGTCCTCTTTAGAGTGGGGTATACATGCAAAGCCTCCAAATACAGGAGGTCATAGAGATCAAGACAGCCTATCAAACATAGGAACTGCTACTGGCAATAGGGAAAGCGATGATAATGCTTTAAGAGGAGGGAAGACATTGGTCAACAAACATGTCAAAGATTGGAAGATGGGAATATCCGAAAGCTTTGAAAAGGAGCGGGGTAGTCAAGTTTGACGTGTTCCAACCACGCCAATTCTATGACATATATACACCAACTCAAATGAGACCACTCTATTATTCAGCACAATAAGCAGAAGAACCCTTTCAGTAAACAGCCTGCCACTTTTCTTTTTCATTTATCCAAAACATTATGCATTTAAAACACAGTAAGCAGGTTTCTGTAAAGAAGTTCTTATAGACGAGAGGAGAGTATGGAACTAAGCGTTATAAAGTATTGACAGTTTCACAGTTCAATGCATTCATTTGTTAGACCTCTTGCATAGTCAAGATGGTCAATATTAATGCAAATTCTCCTCGGACTGCTAGCCCAGTTTTGTCCTGTCATTACTAATGCAGTTGCGCAACGTCCACCCCAATAAACCAAGGACAAGCTTAAGCCGACTTTCAGAGTCATAAGAAGCAGGATCTGCAGCATCTAGTGCCTCTTTGGCAGTCTCCGGAAGTATAATCACTTTCTGGTTGACGTATCTTTTCACCTGCTTTGCGACCTGCCCGGTGACTGTGACCTCCCTGTCCCAGCCATTAGCTACCATCGCACCCCATGGCCCAAGGTCGAGACATGTACCGTATCCAGGCTGGGAATACGGAAGAGTTGGCTCGCCGAGGAGGTCTGCTGCTGCGTTGTGTCCTGAGAAACGGCCCAAGACAACGGCGTGTTGGCATGACGGCATGGTAACATTGCCTTTTGTATCAGTAGCGGCATGGGCGGCGTCACCGGTAGCAAAGACGTGATAACAACCGGGAACACGGAGATCTTGGTCGACGTAAAGTCTGAAGAGCATGTCCTTCTTCCCAGGAATTTGCTGAGTCAGGGACGTTGCTCGCACGCCAGCGGTCCAGATGACAGTCATTGCTTCAATCCGCTCTGCAGACGAAAGATTGACTCCATTTGAGTCAACTAAAGTAACGGAAGCATTGAGCTTGAGTTCAACACCGAGACTTTCTAGAGCTTTCATGATGGTAGGACGAGGACCCTCTCCAAGCTCGGGACCAACATCTGGAGCACTTTCAACAAGAACAATGCGGGGGTTCTCAATGTGCTTGAGCATGTTTGGTAGCTCTGTTGCAATTTCAATGCCCGAGAAGCCACCGCCGCACACAACCACGGTGTTGCGGGCTTTGCTGACGGGAAGGGACTCCAGATTCTTGATATGAGACTCAAGCTTAGTGGCAGCTGCGATTGAATCAATATCAAAGGCATACTTTTCAAGACCAGTGACACTCTTGGGTCGCGCCACTGCGCTTCCGGCTGCAAGAACAAGCCGATCGTAACGAACATCAGATTCGTCACCAGACGGAGATTTGACATGGACCGTCTGCGAGTTCGTGTCGATTGTCTCGACGGTGCCTTGGAAGAACCCGATACCAGCAGATGTAAAAAGCGGTGCGAGGGGTTGTTTCATCTTTGAGGGATTAGGCTCGTATAGACGTGGGCGGAGAGTCAGCGATGGTTCGGGGGCGATGACGAGAACCTCAATGTCTTGCTCTTTGTTCTTGAGAGTGATGAGACGTTTGGCTGAGAGGGCGCTCCAAACTCCGGCGAAACCGGCCCCTATAATGACAATCTTGCTTGGCATGTTTGTCTTGGATCTGGTGTATTGGAGTGGTTTCAAGACTGGTACACTCTGGGTACATATGTTAAGAAAGGCTGGTCTTGGGCTCTACTGTAAAGTTGATTGTATCATTATATTCACCATGGCAGCCTCTCTGGCCTCTTTATACCAAGCGGAATTATATCTTATATGTCAATCGGTAAGAGTAATCCCCCCCAGCTGTCACTGATTACCCTCGCCGTTCCCTTGGACATCTGTCGCTGGCTTTCAGGATAGCGGATACCCGGCCTCCGAAACTATTACCCGAATACCCGAGAGCTACTCCACCCGGACCTCCGGTACATGGACGTACATTAGAGTTAATTTGTATAAGACTTGAAGGTTCTTATTCTCGATCGCCTTGGTTAGTTCAAGGAGGCTGTCGGAGCGCGAGCCCTGTGAGACCAATCTTTCGCTCATGTTGAAGAGTCTGGTGTTTTTGAATGGCTTAGCGGTTGGTGATTTAGACGTTACACAAAACTGAATCCTCCATGTATTGGCTGGTATTTATGCCCGTGTGCTATCAATCATTTACACCTTTCAACTACGGCCTGGCTCTACGGAGAGGGATGTTGAGTCTTCATACTAAGACTTAATAGATTTTGCAAGGTGAATACAGAAGATATCCGGGCGAACAGGTGTACGTGAAAATTCCTCATATCACGTCTGATCACGACGGAAAGAATGTTCGAGGGACTTAAAATGCTATTGTGCTTGGGTCTGAGGTAACAATGAAACGCACGCGATAATCATTATCTATCGATCTACCCTCCTTTGCACCTAATAGTATCGCATTTTGAGTGCCAATGATGAGGGAACAAACCCCTGTTCTGTAAATTGAGGACATGGATGCCAGTAAAAATCATTCATTCACGTAATACATATTACAGTAGTACCTAGAATCATATAGTCATATTATAGAGAATAGCCTATCTGAATCTGTTCATAGCATCCCTCATTCTGTGTTGTCAATGCAGGTACTCGCAGCCATAAACACAAGCCGCCAGTCCCTGAAAATCTCCATCTCGTGGCAAATATCCATAATTTCTTTTCTGTGCGCGGTCCAATCATGTCCTGCCGCGAATACATACAATGAAAGCAATTCTTCTACTTCAGTGTAAAGGACCTGGGTGTTCTCTAGGTCGTAGCTCCGAATTACTTCGTCGAATGTTGGTACCACAGAGGAAGTTTCCGGCTTACGTGTGAAGTGGAAAGTCATGCGACTTTCGCCTGGGCCTGGGTCTCGAACTGATAAAATGCTGCATAGACTCATTGTATCCATGGTTGAATGCGGTGGAGGAATTGTTTTGCTTGAGTTGAGTTGATAGTGCGTTGAAGCTTGATTGGGATTGCTAGTCTGGAATGAAGTGCAATGAGCGGTGTGTTTATATGCTAGTCTTCACACAGCGCCATTCAAATTGATCTCTGATTGAACCACAGTTGTGCCCAAAATGCGTCTTATTCACATGGGGGAACTGTTAGTGACACAATAGATGTACTCTCTGCTTCGTGATAAGCACTAGCCATTCATGCCTGCATGTCAGTGACCCAATGAGGTAATCGCGGGGTTGATTTCGTGATCAACCACTCACTCACGAACGTCGTCAGCAGCAGACCGTCAATCATACAAACACTTTTACACATCGCATCACAGGACTTTTCGGATAGGCAGCGGTGATATTTCAGTCCAGTTTGACACTAAGATACATTCTTGCCCATCCCCGAGAGTCCAGATTCGTCATGCACGACATCCCTGAGTTCAAGCTTGATCAAGTTGGTGAGTAAATTGTCAGCCTCAATTTGCAATTCGAATGGTAACTCACAAATCTGGGTAGCTCGCAGCTATGGTGTAAGGACTCACCCATGAACTTGAAGTTCTGAGCATGATGCAGACTAACATACCTTCGGTATAGCCAAGAGCAAAGATTGCTCTGCATGGTATGCTTGCCCCAAACTTGTACTTCTTGTCTTTAACGCAACGCAGGCTCGGCTCCATACGCTCTGTCTATAGACAACCTTCGAGATCTCTCAGACAGCAAACGCAGTCCCATCGATACCGAGCTTCCGCTGTCATACGCGCCATCGCTCGGCACAACCGAGCTACGCAAACGTTTAGCAGAGATATATGCAACCGAAGAAGCGCCATTGACAGAGGACAATGTCATCATTACACCTGGGTCGATCATGGCAAACTATCTCGTGTTGACTACGACGTGCACCGAAGGCGATCATGTAATTTGCCAATTCCCGACTTATGGTCCGCTGTATCTGTTGCCCAAGTATCTAGGTGCTGAGATGGACTACTGGGTTATGAAAGAGAAGAATGCGTGGTATCCTGATATAAAAGAGCTTAAAGCACTGATCAGGCCAAACACCAAGGCGATCATTCTTACGTGGGTTGTGTCTGTATCTATATCTCTCCAGTAACTAATCTCATCAAGCAACCCCGGCAATCCGACAGGAACCGTTCTCAGTAAGGAGACGTTGGACCAAGTCCGAGACTTGGCCGCAAAGCACAATATCACCATCTTCGGCGATGAAGTCTTCCGCCCCCTCTTCCACGACGACACTGCAACCCCTCCATCCGTTATCTCCTTGGGCTATAGCAACACTGTGTCTACTGGATCAGTCTCTAAAGCGTACTCCCTCCCAGGTATCCGCATCGGCTGGATAATCTCGCCGAATAACGATATTCTCCAGCGTATCATAGCAGCTCGAGACTACACTACTCTGAACGTGTCGCGGGTGGATGATGCCATCGCGCTCTTCGCTTTATCTCCCGAGATTCTACCCAAGATTGTTGCGCAGAACTTGGCAACTCAAGCGAAGAATATTGATCAGTTTGATCAGTTTGTGAAGGGAAACTCGGATCGGTGTCGATGGGTTCGTCCGAGAGGTGGCGGAACGGCTTTCATACACTTTTCTGGGTCAGATGGAAAGTCAATCGATGAGGTTGCTTTTGCCGATAGACTCGTAGATGAGTTTGGCGTCGCCGTAATTCCGGCTGGTGCAGGTTTCAGTGAGGAGGAAATAGCCGATTACAGAGGATATCTTCGTCTCAACCTGGGACAGCGAGTGGGAGTAGTTGCTGAAGGACTCAGAATTATCGAGACAGCTATGCAAGGTAAGGCTGAGGACTAACCCGTTCCTTGTGTGGCTAAGTTTCAAATTAGTATTGGAAGTTCGGCCATTTTTAACTCCAGACTGACTTCCATGGAGCTGGAAAATGATCAATAGCGCGACGGATAGCCCAATACCTGGGCGTTAGTCTAACCTTCTCTCTGCCGGCATGAGATAGACTTTATCAAAGCTCGATCGAGTTGTCCAGTGGGCCCTGCGGACCATTTGGAGCGACCTTAGATGCAATATATCGATGACTTTATCAACCATTCATGGCACCTTTCTGGCCAATGAGGGTCCGAAATGACGTGGCCCAAGACTCTGTTGAATGCCATCCATCGCAGCTGAGATACTAGATAGTATCTTCACTGCTATGCCGGTAGATGGTTTTGATGTAACGTAACGCAACTTTGGTGGACCTTGTTTCACAACCATGCATACTGTTTAGCATTTGGTCATGAGTTCAGGTCAAGTAAAACCCCAATTGTTTTAAGATACTAAGAATTCTGAGAACTTGGTTTCTGTCTGCAATTATAAAGTTTAATGCTTTCGCAATTTTTTCTCCATATAGTTAGTCCACCTGAAGAATTGGAGCCGTTGAAGCTATTGACGTTGTTATGGAGAATTAATAGTCGGAGTTAGTTTGTCCGCCTTATGTTTATCTTGGGTAAAGGTTTAATGGAGCGTCTCTTGTCTGTGTGGTTTATCTTATCAGATAATCGTAGAGCGACAATGACGAACTATGAGTAACAACCCCAGGCCAACCGTGGAGACAGTGAACCACGGTGTTCTTGGCAACAGCGGGTCTCAGCAACTGCTTCTTACTGATAAAAACGTTGTAATTCTCAGCAACACGAGGAATTCTGATAGTAACGTCGGTGGCGGTATACTTCAGGCCGACGGGTAAGCCATCAGACAACTCTTTATAAGCAGACTCTAGACCTCGTGGCCAAGCCGAAAGACTATCTTCACGCTTCATTTTAGCCCATGATCAACCTTGGCTTTACGGATCTACAGCCCTTACTGGACGTATGAGTTACAGAATCAATAACTGCAAACTTTATTCTCAGCCCCTGAGCAAGTAGAAAGACCGAGGTCGGATGGCGCTATTACGATTATCAACAGGGGTTTCCAAACCAGCTAAAACAAGCCACCAATCACAAGACCACATTCTCTTGGAAGAGCTTCCTGTTTCATCAATACACCTCTGCCGATCTCTTTAGCGCAGAGTGTAAAACACAACCAACGGCAATAATTCTGTCATGTGCGTGGAAAGCGGAAGGTGGTACTTGTTATGTTGAGAAGATGTCGGCCTGTCGATCGACTTAGCGCAGTTTCATCGATTTTGACATTCCAAGGTTGGTCTAGTTTTGGGCTCAGGCCCCTTTCAGGTGTGTTATAACAATGCAAACTCTTCAGCTGTTGATGTCTCGCATGGTTTGGAAAAAGCAAATGCCTCACTTTCCTCAACGACCCCAGCCATAATGGCCAATATTCCGGCCAACCTCTCTATTTCAATCCCTACATTAACCGGGTCGTTGCTATCCTGTGTTGCGAGCTTTTTTGCTCTCTGTCTTCATGTCATTGTTCCTCCGCCACGACGACACTTCCGCCATGCATTGATTGTGAACCTCCTCGTTGCAGGTAGGTCAACCAATCTCATCAGACACCTGCGTGAACCTAACTCGATATAAAGACTTCATCAACAGTCTCAACAATACAGTGTCTGGAATTCTCGCCATTAAGAATGGTTACGCGGACCCGAAAGCGTCCCCTAGTACTGGCTGCGTTGCCAATGCTTGGGTTGGTCAATTCTCGGTACAAGCGATCGACTTCAACATTCTTATTATCTCTGTATCGGTACTGCTAGCCGTTCAGCGACAACAGATCCTCGATGACTCGTCGAGACTGATGACTGCAATTGTCTGCCTTGTACCTTGGATTCCCGGTACAATCACCAGTAAGTCACAAGAACTCAATGACTGACCTTGATGCTGAGTTGTTTTCCAGGCTTCGTCGGACTCGGTCTCCATGTCTATGGCCCAGTGAGCGGCAACTGGTGCTGGATTCAAACTCAACATCTCGGCCTCCGCTACGGCCTCACCCACGCTTGGCGCATCGCCATTTTCCTTGCAACAGTGGCTATATACACTTATATATACATCAAACTCCGTCGACTTTTCAGTTTCGTCAAATATGGTCTTTCTTCCTCTACCACGAAAGGTTACACTACGAACGCGCAGTCGAGAATCGATCGAGAGAACGCCGAGCAGTCTGATACTCAACGAATATGGGTTACGACCACGGTAGAGGCTTCGTATGAACTTGAGTCAAGGGGTGTAGTAAAGGGAGACCAGAGTGAAGGAGAGGATGGATCAACTGGCGGAAAAGTTCAGTGGTCGGCATCTGCGGCGCCTGAACCGGAGCCACCTACAGCTGAAGACCATGGAACGAACAACACAAAAAATATCTCCACTGGCAATGGACCCAACCATCGCGTACCGAAATCACCCAACTTGAGGAGAATGCTTCTTCTGAACGGGTACCCGATTGCATATATTATCCTATGGCTGCCTGGTATGGCCAACCGCTTGGCTGAGTCAGTTGGCACATCACCAAAGTGGCTCACTGGCCTGCAAGCTTCAACACAGTTCATAGGGCTAGTCAACGCCTTGACATACGGCTTGACAGAACAGATGCAGCGTGCAGTCCAGATGTGGATGAAGAGGCGCAGCTTCAGAACGCTTGATCCATAGATTAGAAAGCTCTGTTTTATTCTAGAGTTGACATTTGGGCGTCTCGCGGGTTGGGCGTCAGCTGGAGTGAATTGCATATGCCTCGACCCGTCGACCGCAGTTACTACTTTATCTAAAATTAATATTTAAAGACTACTTGACCGTTGATAGAATACTACAGATGTTGGCACAGTGACACTCGAGATCTTGTCAAATTCTCAGCAATTAGGAACGTTTACAACTTCGGATCCTTTTCCTTATTCCATTAAAGTGAGTGACTAATACTACTGTTTGATCGAGCGACTTGATGTTCTTGTTTAAAGCGAGTGACATAGATCTGTAACCCCCCCTTCCCTCTTCTTCCTCCAAACCCTCCGCTTTCTCCTGCTTGAAGTTCTGAACATAGGCCAGTCGTTTAGCAGTTACCGGGGTCAGCACTACCCAGCAGGTCAGCATACAAACTCAATACAATCCCACAATAATTTACTCACCGGAATCGCCATTTGGAAACAGTAGACTCTCCACCACGGTCACATCCATAAATTTCATTCTTGAGGCGGGTATAACAGTCGTCATTACCCAAGTCAACGATCTCATTCCAGTTGTTCTGAACTTCGAAGAGAAGGCCAACATTGCCGATTCGAGGACACATCCACCTGGTCTGACCAGCCGTGAATTGTCCGTAGAACATGCCCTGTGAGCCGTAGCAGGCGTCCCAGACGAATCGAGCGGCCTGGTCTTTGTCAGGCCAGCGGTCGCCGGAACCGTAGCACTTGGCATCAGCGGTCTGGACGCTGAAGGTGAGCATGCTTGCAACAGCGGTGAGGATGGCGGTGGTCTTCATTTTGACGGTTGGTTTGTAAAAGATGCAGTAGGTGGTTGTTCGGTGAGCGAGGTTTGATTTGAAGCTGAGATGGTTTCTAGACACGGGAAAAGGCTCCTTTTATATCCCTCTTGACTGTCTTCTGTGCGTTCCAACAGCTGCCCCAGTGTATCCGGGGATTACCAGATGCAGTTTGCTCTATCCTTTCAACGGAGAACTTCTTCTTTCGCCCTCAGAGTTACTGTTCTAGTAACCCTTTAACAAGCCCATTCCCAACGCTTGTGGCCCGTCGGCCGCTATACTCCTCTATTCCCAACCCAGTTCTAATAGAGCATAAGTTCCGCTCCAGTAGACTGTCCCCATGTACTCTGGAATGCGTGTAAGATTGCTTATGAGCGGGACCCTGGAACTCAATCTTGACAGGTGATTTGTCCATGATGTTGAGGCAAATATCTTAATGTCTAAGCGACCAGTCCTTTTGTCATGGCCTCAAATGAAGGCTGACAGTGTTACGCACATGCACTGTGGATACAGCCGTGGATAGTGGCAAGCTATTCGGGAGTTCAACAGGACGGTCTGTAGATCTACCAGAGAGATTCTAGCTTACGGATGGTCGGGCCCTTTTCAAATGAACTGCAGCAACTGTTAGGGTATGGTTCAATAACCAATTTTAAGCTACGTTTGCTGTTGGTGCCCGGATCTGGTAGCCGAAAGCTGTCCTGATGACTTTCATAGGCTTGGACTTATTCCGCTATGGTAAGATGTACGCAGTTAGTTGCTCGAGCTGAACCAAATGCCAAGTGAAATATGTCACTGGATAACGACAACCCGTGCGGAGCATCAATCAGCCCAATCCCTGCACCACATACAACCTTCCTCATCAGAACATCACTTCTGTGTCGAATCCTTTTCAAGAATGGAACCTACATGCAATAAGTCGAAGTAGCTTTCCAGCTGGCATGAGATTGACCCCTGTGTTGTCGAGCCGTGCCGTGTCAGCCCCACGTATAAAATAGGACGAGCTTCCATCCGAGCATTGCCAAGAACCCGCTCATGATCATTGCAACCTACCAGTGCTGGTTATCATGCATAGCCGTGAGCCTTCCTCTCTGTTCGTCTCTATGTTATTGGCCAGCTCGTTTAAGCGTCTAGATTATTGGTTGGCTTGCTTGATACGGCTTATAATATCCGCTGAGTCAGGGTCGTATCTCGGTTAAGATATAACGGCAGTTTGGAAGTACCGCCATTAATCGCTGTCGTCGAAAATAGACAAATATCTACCCATCTACTCCGAGTATTTGTAAAAGAGGTACAACTGGCTTGCTCAGTATGGAAGCTACCAGGGAGCCCTAAGACAGGATAATGACCGAATGACAAATGTAAAGAGTAATATAAACCAAATTCCTAAGATTAATTGGCTCTATCACAGGTACATAATGCTTTTTTGTACAGTGCTCAATGCTTAGAACAGTTAATTTTGTTAATTCATCCAGCCTTGAAGAGACCTTTGCACCTAAATAAGCCACTCGCGTGTTGAATTATAGCTTCCGGATTGATTCTGAGCACCTGTAACAGGTACTTTGCCTGTGATGCGTCTTGAGATTCTCAATTCTCCTCCGTATTCCAGCCTTCACTCTCACTGACATACTCATACGCCCTCCGCCATGTGACCTTCCCCTCCTTCGGATCCATGATGACAGCATAATGCGTCTCCTCATTCACAATCATATCATTCTGCAAGAACTTGACCACATCAGAGCTCGTCACAACATCATTCCGTTGCTTGTACCTTCTTTTACAAGCTCGAACACGCTTTCTCCATAGATCATCCAGATCGTGCTTTCTTTCAAGTGAGTAAGCCACCAGGTCAGCCATGCCTATTGCATCGTCACCTTCGGCAAGTTCTGCTGCGGCTTGTTGGAGATGCGCAGGGTTGTCTTCGTCTTTGACGTCGTGGTTGTAGGCCGTGAGGAATGTGTCGGATTCGCGAATTGATGCACTTCGGTGGTCTTTCTCGATCACGAATACGCGGTCTGGTTGGCAGAGGATGAGATATGCGGCAGTTGAGTTCGATGTGGATAGTTCTGTCAGGACTTTTTGTACATATTGGTTCTGCGAATCAGGACTGACATTGTCCATCTCGTTTACTTCGCCGGACTGTCTCTCCTGTATCGTAGAATCATCTAATAGAATGTGTCTCAAACTGCTTGAGATAGACTTCCTGTATCCAAGAACCACCATCGCCTGGTTGCATCTATAGGAAAGTCTTTGTCGAAGAGTCTCTGTGGCATGATACGGTCTGAAGTTCAAACTCAAACTCAGGCCTTGTCGCACTCCTGTCAATACTCCAACGTATCCAAGATATCCAACTGTTGTCGCAATGACAGGACCTCCAGGAGTACGAACAAAGTCGAGCTCGACGATAATCTGTCTTAATTGATCCATTCCCCAGTCGAGAGTCCGAAAATGGAGCATCCGTGTTGCTTTCCCACCAGAATCTGGATCAAGCGTTCTTACCCCGCCGCTCGTGCATCCCAGCAGAAGATCCAAGAGAACATTAAAGGCCACGAGGATATGCATGGGAATGTCGATCGCTTTCGAGATACCGGTCAATTCTGCCTTTTCTTCTTGAGAATGGACGCGTCGCATGATGAGCGGCGAGACAGCAGCTAGTATTTTCCCGGCGAATCTGCCAGCAAGTTCATTCAGCAAGTCATAGAATAGGGAGGGTAGATCGCATGAGTCCACGGCGGTCTTGAAGTGCGGAATGATATGGTCATAGCGGGTCTTGGGAGCTTGGGATAGATCGACGGTAAATTTTGGTATTTCTCGAGATTCCGACATGTTGAAACAATGATGATGGAGGATTCATGTTGGAGGGGGAGCTTGAGAGGTTGAAAAGGGCGAGAGCTACATGTGCAACTCTAATAGAGGCGCGGATGCCTAAAGCTGTCATCGCAGCTGGCGCACATGACGTAAGCCGTCATTGGCATGAGGATTGACACTGGAGGAACCACGAGAGATACGGTTAAGCTTTGAGGCATAGTTTGTCCCCTCGTGCCATGATGACCAGTTTGTTGTGATTGGAGGTTTTTGGTATGTAGTGAGGAAAACATGATCATGGTTTGGCTAGAATGTTGATCCAGAGACTCTGCTCCACGTGATATTTCCGAGGTGGCTCTCTGGTTATTTCCAGCATCTGGGCCGGGCCGTTCAGCTCCGTGATAGCTTCTATTCATAGCCTGTCCAACCAAAGGGCGGTTTGAATTTGGGACGTTTTGAAGTGGATCTTAGGGGTGTGTCCTGTCCAATAAAAACGAGGTAAATTTTGGTCAATGTCAAAGTGGATACTGGCCCAGTTCAAGTGGAGTCAATCCTTTCTCTTCAATTGGCCTTGGTTGATCTACCCTAGAGGCTGATGGCATTTCCATTTCACTACTTTCACCTGTATAAGCTGATTAAATGGCAAAAGAAGGATAATATTATGCTAGTCATGCTGTGGGCTCTCGAACAATCAGTTTTCCATTAACACAACTTACGTAGATGTCCAAAACGGCTGGTGCCACCGTACTGAACGATCTTCAGTCAAAGTTAACAGACAACTCAACAACATCTAAATATTACTTGGTGTCTTCACCACTACATTCCGTGCATACAACATGCTTGATTGCCAAACATGCTCTGTAACACAAAGGATCAATCCGAAAATACACATACACGCTCTCATGCCACTTGATAAACACTCTTCTCAGGGCGTGGTTATGCACAATGCAGCGATTGCTCAGTGCGTAATGGAACGTTGCTTCATAAGGAACGTGACGCGAGAATTTAAGTGAGTTATTTAACTTCAAGCATAATAGCTAAGTAAAGAATTCTCCGCAAGTCCCATATCTCCCAGTACCTTTGCCGAAGTCAGGTGATGCGTCCCGAGCTGATGGACGCCAAGACCGGCTATACCAGCCTCACTGCCGCGGATTTACGTCTGCGCTGATGATTTGATTTGCAATTTTTTGTGCAAGTCAGGTGCTCTTTTACTTCTCGGATGATCACAAAATATTGCATCACAACGAAGACATCAGAGGTTATGTAGTGTAACGAGCAAACAAGCGGTGCAGAACAGGCAGCAGCAAACCCATCACGTCTCTCATGACGCCCCAATCACCCCAACTTTTCCCATCCCACAACCCGCAAAATCCCATTTCTCCTATCATGGGGAAGTCCAGCGGTGACCCCACGACGTGATTCTCCACAAAAACACTTCCCACGGAGAATAAACATCACCAGGCTAGCCATGCTCACCGGTCCGGCGCTCTTCGGCCCAATAAACCCCTGAAATCGGCCCTTCTGAGCTGGTTATATCCGGGGAGCCTCACCTAGACGGTTAAAGGTGAAGGTTGTATTTAGCCTTGTTCCCCGATAGGGCAAAGGTGAGACTTATTGATCCGCTGAGAAGAATTGGAGTTGGGAGTATCGCGTTGTCGTGGTTTCGAAAGGCATCATGGGACTTGGGATGTACTGTAGCTAGGACTCCTTTTTTAAGGGATCCGCTGAAAATGGAAGAAATAAAAAGACGGTTGAGACCGCGTTGATGAATTGAATCACATCAATTAGTTTTGGGTTTACAAGACATTGACTGATAATATGCTTGGGGACAAGTACGTTTCTTACCTTCTACCATGCAGTACCCACCTGCCGGTCATACCCACCTACCGGTCAGCGAAAAAAAAAATCCCCCATACATAATGCACTTTTTTAACCTCATGGGAAAACCGTAATAAAAATAGTAAAAATAAGTTTATCTCTAGAATTCAGATCAAAATTGAATCTATTTTAATATTTTCTAGGCCTTTTAACCTCTCGGCCTGTGCGGGTGCGTACGACACCTAATTCTTCCTTCCCTGAATTTGACCTCTCATCTTCTTCCATCCCTCCCACCTCGATCACATCCTCAATAACATCCACCTCTTCAATTGCTTCGTTTGGCTCTGAAATGGTGTCACTAGTCGCTAGAGCCTCTGCTAGCGTCATAAATTTCTTAATGGGGTTCGGTATCGCCTTTCTCTTCTTGCCTCTACTCAACCGGCCGACTTCCTCCTCTAAACTGGCCACTCTTGAGCTTAGGGACGCGATCTTTGACTCTTGTGCTTCAAATCCTTTTGATATCACAGAATACCTCCTTCTGGTAGAGGGGCTCTTGTTCTTCCCCAGGTCTCTGATGTGACGGCTGGTCTTTGGCGTATTATCAGAGTCGACTTGCCCGTCTCTGTGGCCGTCTGATCCAGGCGTCGTTTCCTTCTTGTCTGGTTGGATTTCGGCATGTATGAGCGCTTTCCGTCGTGAAATCGGCCAGTTCCCAGTTACTCTCCAGCCTGAAAGGATGTTTTTCTTCGTCATACCCACTTCCCTGGCTTTGGCATAGGCCTTAATGAAGTTGACCTTATCCACGGGCGCAGAATCCGTCAGGCTTGCCAGTTTTTGGAGCTCTTTTCGATATGCAGCCTTGGATGCGTTGAAAACACCATTATCCAGTGGCTGTAGGCCATGAGAGCAATGTGCAGGCAGGTAACAGCAATACACGTTATTCAAAAAACACGTGGCCATCCACTCATCCTGGATTTTCAGTCAGCGGTATTTCTGATCGAGAACAGGTAGACACCCACAGATACATGGCTCCCATGGCCATCTAATATGATGAGCCTTGCATCAGACTCATCTGCTGGCTGGGTTTGGGGCAGATAAACCTCTTTGAGCCACTCGAGCGCGATATGGTTGTCTGTCCAGCCGTTATCGGACGTGATATAATACCAGTCGGCGATCTTGTTAAACTCATCAATGAACCACTGCTTCTGAAGTTCTTTGCCCTTGAAGATAATTCCCGGCTTTAGAAGACGGCCATCTGCAGTGACGGCTTCGATAAAACTAGTCCAAGTGCGGGACTGCGAGCCTTTGAGGAAGGCCTTCCTCCTGGAATCGCTACTGCCAATTACCAAGGAATCCAAACCTAGATTTGCAATTTATCGGTAAGTCTTGTATCAGAAGTGGTCAGTACTCACCAAATCCAGCCATGATACCGCCCTCGTCAACATTAACCGTGTTCTCAGGCTTGATCCAGCCATATTCGCTCTCCCGGATATCAAAGTACCAATTGACGGCCATCGGGGTAAAAGAATTAAACCTTGCAGCTTCCTGGCGTTTTCCTACCTTCGTATTGATCTCTGGATGGCGTTTAATAAACCTGGCTAGCCAGTGTACACCGATAGGCCTTTCCCGGCCCTGCTGTCTCAACAGGGCAGCTACCGTGGCGCGAACTTGACTGTGGGAAGGAGCATAGCCCAATGCCTCTTGTCGAAGTATCCATGTAACTAATCTAGCCTCTTGGGATTTGTATAACAACTGGGCAGGTTGGGTGGCCTCGGACTTTGACGGTAGGCCTCTTAGTCGGTCAGACAGAGTGGTTTGGGGCATTCCATGCTTCTGGGCGGCCTGGTGCTGCGAGAGGTGATTATCTGTAACATCCAGTATAGCTTCAATGACATCATTCTCTGTATAAGGCTGTTGAGGCATTTTCAAGGCGATTAAAGGAAGCTGCTATAGATAAAAGTTTGATGAAATTTTGGGGAGGCTGGGTGATGAAGGAGACATTTGAGAAATTTTACACTAGTGTCATGCGACCAAACTGCTTGTGTAAAATACAAATGAATATGCCAATATGAAACAGCATGAAACTCTCAGTAAGACACAATCTGTTCCATGTAAATAACTTCAATTTTGGCCAAGGACTGTGCAAGTGAAGTTTGACATTTTGTATGGGGAATTCTTTTTTTCGCTGACCGGTAGGTGGGTATGACCGGCAGGTGGGTACTGCATGGTACAACTTTGAGGTAGCAAAACAAAGCTGATGCGATATCCAGATCTTTCACTGTCAACGGGGCAGCTTGCGGAGCTGAGGCTCTAGTGTTGGCCCTCATCACCTCTCTTGGAGGCTTCCTGTTTGGATATGACACTGGTGAGCTACCATGAACCCCTCACATCAATGGCTCTGACGTGAAACAGGTCAAATCTCGGCTATGCTTTTATTCAGAGACTACGTCGATCGCTTCGCTCAAACAGATGATGACGGTACCAAATACTGGGTACCCGCCATTCAAGGTATCCTCGTGTCTCTTATGAGCATCGGATGTCTTATTGGAGCCCTATCAGGATCCTAGTGAGTCCTCCCGTCACAATGCACTCACTCACCTCCTAAAATCACGATTCAGCACTGCAGACTGGTACGGTAGAAGATGGAGTCTCACCATTTTCGTCGTAATCTTCCTCCTCGGCAATGTCATCCAAATCACAGCCATGTACTCATGGGTCCACATGATGATAGGCCGTCTAATCGCGGGTCTTGGTGTCGGCGCCCTCTCAATCGGCGTACCCATGTTTCAAAGCGAGTGTGCACCACGAGAAATCCGCGGCGCTGTCGTGTCATCATATCAGCTCATGATCTGCTTCGGCATTCTCATCTCAAATATCGTCAACTATGGCGTTCGAGAGATTGAGGATAATGATGCGTCGTGGCGAATTGTTATCGCTATTGAGATGGCGTTCTCGATTCCCCTTGGTCTGGGAGTCTTGGCTTGTCCTGAGTCCCCCAGATGGCTTGCTATGAGGGAGGATTGGGATGGTGTGAGGACGTCGCTAGCGAGATTGAGGGGCATGATGAGTGATGTCAAGAACCCTCTCGTTGAGGATAATATCCAGGAGATGAGGGTCCTGCTTGAGGAGGAACGAAAGGTTGGGCAGGGAAGCTGGATGGAATGCTTTGGCGTGCATAACAAAGCGCCAAAGGTGCTGTACCGGACTCTGCTTGGAATGGCTGTTCAGTTCTTCCAGCAGTGGACTGGCGCCAACTACTTCTTCGTAAGTCAAACACTATCATTTACAGACACCGGCTAACTTTACTTCAGTACTACGGAGCCACCATCTTCGAGTCCGCTGGTATCGATGACCCTATCCTGGTTCAACTCATCCTCGGCGCCATCAACGTCGGAATGACCTTCTTCGGCATCTACTCCGCTGAAAAGTTCGGTCGACGCTGGCCTCTAATCATTGGTGGTTTGTGGCAGACGGCTTGGCTTCTCATTTTTGCATCTGTGGGAACAGCCATCGATCCCGAAGGCAGCAGCACGAGTGGAATAGTCATGATTGTTTCTGCTTGCATGTTCATCGCCTCTTTTGCTGTCAGTTGGGGTCCCCTCGGTTGGGTCGTTGTCGGAGAAGTCTTTCCCTTGCGCACTCGTGCAAAACAGGCTTCGTTGGCTACTGCAAGCAATTGGCTTGCGAACTGTAGGTACCTCATTATAACCTTAGCATGCCAATGCTAACATGCATCAGTCCTCATCAGCTTCCTGACTCCCTTCGCCGACGCCGGTATCTCTTACGCCTTTGGCTACGTGTTCGCTGGGATGAACCTGATTGGTACTATTATCGTATACTTCTTCCTATACGAGTCCAAGACTCTCAGTCTCGAGCACATCGACATGATGTACTGTCTGCCTGACCTCAAGGCATGGGAAAGCGCGAAGTGGACACCGCCAGGATATGTCAGCCGTGAGAAGAAGGATGAGTCGTACTTCGAGGAGATGGCAGCTGGAAAGGATGCAGAGAAGGTCGTTGTTCATAGCGACAGCGGGGTTGAGTGAGATGGAACGACGATGGGAGATCTTCCTGGGGGAGGAATGGTAGATGCACGACAACTGTACAATCGTATAGATGGATAGGCTGCGATGCCTTGTATATATAAACTTTCTTCTCTATTCAGGCCCTGTTCTAAATTTGTAACCTTTCGCAAGTGTTACGGTTACTTCATCCTGAAGCGGCCTTTTTCCCTCGAGCGAGGAACTCCCGAATAACATTCTCAGTCACCTGCGCAATATCATTCTGATACCCATCCCAAGCCAGAGAATTGTTCCAGTTAATACTACCAACACTGAACACCGAACCGCCTCCGTTGGTCTCATAGTATACCATGTCGCTCCTCACAAGAGGTGAAGTTGAGCCGAGTGTCCCGATCATGGGGAAGATGAGCTCTTCATTGAACAGCATGAAATGATCATCATGACGCTCACTTCGAGCAAGCAAGATGGCATTGGTGGGGCTTCCGATCGCAACGTCAAGCCGATCGAGCTCATCGCCACTTGCACCGCCGGCAAGACCCTTTGTGCCCAGAAGCTTTCTGGACTCTTCGGTGAGGCCCTTCCAAAGCCACTCCAGTGAAGAATTGTTGAGGGCTTCGTCGGTTGGAATGAAAGGTCGACCGGGGCCTTTGCCAGAAGCACAGCTACCGATGCCCCAGAGCTCGTTAGGTGGCCGGCCGATTGAGCGCCAGAGACCACCGAGTTGACCATTGAGTGCGTGGTGGCGCTCGCCTGGAGGATTCTCATGGGTTCGCGCGCCGACATCAGCGCGCCGCACTTCCATGCGGTGAGGCCGCTTGGGATCTGTGACCGATTTCCACTGAAAATATTGTTAGCTTCGCTTCACTTGCAGGTATTAAAATACGCACATAAAAGCCGTTTCCGCCGGCATAAATGAGAGACCCTCCATTCCTAGCATGTCCTTCATAAGCATCCAGAGATTCGGCCGAAGGATATTCTGGATGAGAGCCAGAGATGACAACATCATACTGAGATAGAGCGGCGCGACCGCGGAGATGTAGATCATGGTCCGTGAGAATGTCGTAACCGTCACCGAAATGCTTCTCAAGAAATCCGACCATCAGAAGGTCAGCTGAGAACTCTCGTGGTCGCTGAAAGCCCCAGTGGATGTAATCCGGACGCACATTCAGAATCGGCCGCTTGGTGGTACTGTACACAACACCTGAACCATCGCTGTGAAGGTCATAAATCGCAAGACCAAGATCATGTCTTCGTACCATCTTGTAGTAGTTATCAGATGCAACAAGTTGAACGCCTTCAGGGAATGAGATATGTGTTGACTTGGTCTCGTCATACATATGCTCATTCGCATACGCGAGGTATGTAAATGTCGAAAAGACAAAGGCAATCTTTGCTTGCGGTCGGACTTCTTTGGGACGGACGAAGAAGACGATTGCGTCTTTGAGATCTGACTCTGTATCTTGAACTTCGATCGCATAAGCACCAGAGCGAAGATGAGAAGGAACAGTGAACTCAAAATCAGTGTCCCACGCAGCATCATCAAGATCATCGTCATGGAAGTGAACGGCACCGAATCCATAAGTTGCCTCTTTCCAGCCAAGACCGATGAGCTTATGATCCCAGTCATGCCCACGAATAGCTCGAGTGGGCGCATTGACAAGAACACCATCAAGGCCAGAGCCAGAGACATCGAAGATCTCGTCTGTATCAATACCAACGGAGAAGTCATATCTTGCGATGTCCCAGCTCTTCCGACCCAAGGCTTTGAAGCGGGGAGCTTCGATGCGGCCGTTGAAGAAGTGGACTGGGAGATCTGCGGCGGATGTTGGGCTGGCGGCCTTCGTTGCTGCGAAGTACATGGGGCTACCAGAGTCAAGACGGGGAGTGTTGGAAAACGAGGTATGGACAGTGGTTGAAGAGGGCGCAATTTCGTTTCCAGAAGCAATGTGGGTGATCTGCAACTGGAAGTCTCTGCCCTTGATAATGATGCGAACATGGAACCATCGGCGCTCACGAGCAGATGAAGCTACCTTCTTGACCTCAACGCCATTGGAGGTACCTACCCACACAACGAGTTGGTTGTCCCGATCAAGAAGGATAGCGATACCAGCGCTTTTTGCTGAATCAAGGCTCGACAAGATGGCTTGAGGGTGAGGAGCATTGAGCATCCAAGGCTGAGCATAAAAGTCAATCTCAACACCTTCTGACTTGCCCAACAGAGGTTCTCTCTTCCATGCATCGACGACAGCGTAAGAACCAGGATGAGAGGCTTGAAAGCGACCATCCAACTCGCCTTTGGGACCATGCTCGATGATTTCTTTGGCAGGGGTTGGAGCATGGGGCATATCAAGGCCTTGGAGTAGTCTGACGAGTTGGTATCTGAGCTTGTGCTTTGTGGAAGAGATCTAAGATGGTCAGTAGGGAGTTTCCAGGGAGTGAGAGGGGACTAGAGTACCTTGACGTGGGCTGTTTCACCTGGGGATACTACCCATGGGTCCACGTAGCCAGTGATTTCTTCTTCATCGTGACGAAGCGCAGGGCGAACGGGATATTGTGAAGCTACCATATTGGCGTTATCGATGCAATGCGAAAGAGAGTTGGGTCAGGTCTTCAGTCAGAATATTATGTCTTTTGTCTTTTGCTCTCTTACTGATCCATTCTATTTGTGACCGAGTCCATTGATGCATTCTATATAGCAGTTTGGCTGGCAGTATAATTCCCGGCAATCCGTATCATGGAGCTCTTATTTCCCGATTTAGTAGTCGCGCACTAGCGGCTGTCTTGATAAGCTAAGGGTTTGATGTGCGGAGAAGTATTCCGAGCCTCTCGGAAAACTCATGTGATCTGGTTGGACAAGAGTATTGGTGAGTTTATCAACGAAATTGCTCTAACTCGAGTGGGACATATGCTCATCTCCTGGAGACTCATCGGGTTCAATTCCCCTCCCTTGTCACCGAGCCAAGAGATTGGATTTATTACATGCCAAGACGCCTGTTCAAAGGAGATGATTACGGATGATGATATCCCCAGATGCCAAGTGGTTGGACTGTGAAAGTGATAAGGACGGCTCCGCCCCCGCATTGCATCGCGCTTTAACTTCTGGAGCTATTGTCCTATTCGGGGCATTTCAAGATGGACTAACCCATGACCCCAGAAACAATTGTCCGGATGAACGGCTTGGGACAGAGAAGTGACGTCAATGCTGATAAGGCAAAGGGCTTAGACCCCAGGGACATGGCGCCGATAATAATGAAGCTACGCGTTGGAACTACGAGAGGTAGTCAAGATAGAGCAATCCAGGATACTAGTTAGACTTTACTGACAGATATAAAAGGAGAAACGATCCCGTCGCTGACACCGATCAGTCAAAACCTCCACAACAGATAATCACGGATTACTTTCTCCCATCTCTCGGTTCATACCCACAATGCCCACTCAAAGTCAGACCACTGCCAACATGGCAGACCAGATCGAGGCGATCCCCGGAACGGTCCACCTGGTTGACGCTCAGGGAAGTATGGACTCGCAGCACGCCAAAGGAGCGGAGCATGATATCGTTCTTGTCCCAGCTCCATCAGCTCACCCGGATGATCCGCTGAACTGGTCGCCGAGGAGGAAATACCTCTCTGCTTTTTGCATGGCAGCGTATGTATAACCTCGTTTTGGTATCGTGTTGAGGTTCACTGACATGTTGGTAGATACGTGCTTGTCATTGGTATTTGCTCGTCGGCGCTGTACTCTACCTTGGGACCTCTTTCGGAGTCGACGGGGCTGAGCTACAGTGATCTCAATTCTGGAACCGGATACATGGTAAATCTATCTCCATCCGATGACTTGAGGGACATCCTGATGTGTTATTAGTTCCTCTTCTTCGGCTGGGGATGTATCATCTGGCAGGCCATCGCCATCCAGTACGGCAAGCGACCCGTTTATCTGTTGACGACATTGGGCACTTTGGTAACTATTCAAGTCTGACTGGTGGTATCGAAGCTCACAAATTCAGGGCGTAATGGTCTGGCAGCCGCATGTACGATCAAACGGCGAGTGGATCGCCACCAAGATTTTGCAGGGAGTCTTTGGTGCACCCATTGAGTCATTGGCAGAGATCACGGTTTCAGACGTCGTAAGGCTTTATTCCCAAAGCACAATAACGCGCAAGAGACTGATAGTTGCTTCGCAGTTCTTCACGCACGAACGAGGCAAGTTCATCGCTCTGTATGCCCTCGCCCTTGGCTACAGCAACGGTATCGCGCCTCTCATTATGGGCTTCATCAATGACGGCCAAGGATACCAATGGGTATTTGTGAGTACTAGACTCCCGCTTGACCAGCGGTGGAACTAACAGGGTCAAAGTACTGGTGTGCCATCTTCTGTGCAGTCCTGCTTCTCATTATCTTCTTCTTCATGGAGGAGACCAAGTTCGATCGAGCGAAATACATGACCCGCAACCATATCGATGGTCAGGCTGTTGCTAGCGAGAACCAAACATCGACTGAACCTGATACCAAAGACGACATCGATACGAAGCACGACGTTGAACAAGACCAAGTCGCGACTACCACTCTAACCAACGTCAGCGCACCTAATGAGACCTTTGATATCGACAACACTCAGCTCAGCAAGAAATCTCGAATGTCTCGCCTGAAGCCCATCGAGCGCAAGAATTTGAAGGGCGAGAACAGACTCATCAAGCTCATCAGCCGGCCGATCCTCCTCCTTGCGTTCCCAATCATCTCATACGCTGGTTTCATCTATGGTTGTAACATCGTCTGGCTTTCCGTATTGAACGCGACTGAGTCAATGGTTCTGTCAAACAAGCCTTACAATATGCCCACTTCGACCGTTGGATTGACTTTCATCGCTCCTCTTATTGGCACAACCCTTGCGTAAGTCGGTGATGCCCGCGAATGGTTGAGAAGCTGACAGAAAGTAGCTGTATCTACACTGGAATTTTTGGCGACAGATTCATCATCAAAATGGCGCGTCGCAATGGGGGTTTCATGGAGGCTGAGCACCGTCTGTGGCTTTTCCTCCCCTCTCTCATCCTCATCCCCTTTGGATGCATCTTGTTTGGTGTCGGAGCTTACTACGAGGCGCATTGGTTCTCAATCGTCTTTGCAATGGGCGTCATCTCCTTCACTACCACTGCCGGTTCACAAATCTCCATTGCGTACTGCATCGATTGTTATCGAGATCTCGCTAGCGAGGCTTTGGCTACCGCTATCATCATCCGAAATACGATGGCCTTCGGCATTGGTTATGGGTAAGCACACAAGAGTCTTCAACATGAGGCTTTCGCTAACAGTACCAGTGTCACACCCTGGGTTGTCAACCTGGGCTATCAGAATGCCTTTATTCTGGGTGCGTTCGCGGGTCTGGCACATAACTTGACCATATTCCCTGTTATGAAATGGGGACGGGCTCTGCGCCAGCGAAGTGCAGAGAAGTATTGGAACACTGTCAAGGAGGGAGCAGATCTTGACCTCAACCACTGAGGCTCCGCGTCGCACAATAAAGAGCTACCGATGCATTTGTAGAGTCATTACGGAGCAGGTCTGGATGATGTAGCGATCGCGTTTATAGCTGTATCCTTCGAAAGCGTTTAGCTATTGCTCCATCTGTTACACTGCGAGTTCACGCGCAGATGCTTCAACAATACTAGTCAATCATGTGTTTATCAATTAAACATTGTTTCGATTATAACTAAAGCATAGCAATAGTCTATATTGCGTTGGAGACAAAGGAAAAAAGCGAGTGAAAGTTGGGTATCGCTGCCTCAAGCCAGAGACAAACGCCACCCTCAATAGCCAAAGTACAAAGCATCGCAGCCCATCATCACAAGCGTAAGCCCATGATACATTAAACTTCCTACTCTTCAAACTTGTCCCCTTCCTTCTTTCCATCAGCCTCCGCCTCCGCCTCCTCCTTCGCCAATTGCTCCTCAAGCTTCTTCTTCCGCTCCAGGTTCTTCTCCCGTTTCTTCTTCTCAGCCTCCTGTCTCCTCTTATCGCGCCTCTCACCCAGTAGGTATCTTGAGTTCTTCAGTGCTGGGAATACTCCCTTCAAAGCAAGCCAGAGGTGCGAAAAGGCCTCTTTGAAGTGTGTCTTGGTCTCGTTGTAGTTGGCGCGGGCGAGAGCAGCTCGCTTCTTGGTGCGGTAGGCTTTTTCGGCTTTGGCTGCTTTGGCGTATTGCTCTGAAGCTTGGCGACGGGTTGTCATGAGAAGATGCTCGCTGCCGCAGGTGCTTACGGGACGGGGAGTGGGTTCTGAGGGTGCGGCATCGGTCTCGGGTGAGGCCTCTGTCTTGGATTTGGATTTGGCCATTGCGGAGAACATTGAACGGATGAAATTATGTATGTGATTATTTGCTGTACTAGCACGATGATCGGCTATTGTCTGTCGTGGTATAACGAATGGCTGATGGGCGCGAAGCAAAACCGCATGAGTGAAAAGCAAGGAGAACAAATATCAGGGATTACAGTCCTTTAAGAATTGTGACAGATGCCCACGAGGTACTGTCTCTGTCCATTAACGAGGTAACTACTTTATCTTTTCGTCTAACTATCCTTTTTAGGCCAACATTTATGCGAAGAGCTCCATGTCTATAGATGCAATACCGGTAGCATCATCTAAGAGCTAAGAGTTTTTGATCCTTGTAATTTAATGCATAGGTTAGCCGAGCTGCTGTGCATAAAGGGCTAATTAAACTCACTGTTAGCATGTCGTTCCACTGGGCTATAGTGCATGAGTTTGATGCGCACGGATGCAATGCCATTGGCAGCTCATCGATGGAGTCAATGCTGATAAACGAAACAAAAAGATATGCTAGCTAAAGACTAAAGCTGTAACATTAGAGAAAGTCTATATCCGTAGTTAAGGCCTATATGATGTGACGAAGGCTTTAATAGAAAGCGGTAATAAGACACCATGTTTCAAGGCCTCGTCGGGAGAAAGATCAATGCATTGGAATCGAGACCGCTCGCTTAACTATTTTAGAGCAAGAGGCGAGTTTTATGGCATATATTCTTAGGTCTAGCAAAGACATGGCTCGCCAATTGCAAGCTGCTGTCTCGTCGCTTGTCATCCAACCATCCCACTCTTGTTATTTCCTGATTAGGCAGTACTGAGGCTTCACACCAAGACGTCACAGAGAGGAAATATCTTGTTAGAATGCAGATATGTCAAGTCCTGCATCGTGAATCACAGTGATTCATTCAAGATAGACTCTCAAGTCATCAAATTCAGAGATAATGTGCTAGGCTTTATGGCCTCGTTTCTTGCCAAAACCTACTCCTCGTGATGCTTAGGCCAGATGCGTCGACGAGCCCACTCACGAACCCTCTTTCCAATGAAGTACATGATAATTCCCATACCGCTTAGAACACCACAGATAATAGCAAGAATGTTCATAGCACCGTCATATCCAAGCGACTGAATCGAAGGCACAGTCGCATAGCTCAAGCCGAATGAGACGAAACCTCTACCAGCACAAACAACGAGAAGAAGAGGTCCAGACTTATTGGGGTAGCTATCCATGACGAAAGTGATTCCGACCAAGTTCGCACCGAGGAAAGCGAAGAAGCCGAGATGATATGGAGCGACGATGGCGATCCAGTGATAATCGTTGGGAGAGGCGGCTGCGTGACCGTAGACAATGGCTGAGATAATAGCAGAAGCCGCTGGGATAATCAGGACGAGAAGTCGGTATTCGGGCTGTAGGAGTCAGTACTACTCTGTAAAGCTTTCCAGAAGGTTACCCACCTCGAAGACACCCTTGTTTCGTCGGCTCATAAACTTGCAGATAATATCCGAACCATATCCAAGGAGCGGAACAGCAAGCAGACAATCAATGATCTGGACAAGCTGCACGTAACCAAGAAGTTTAGCATCGAAGTTGTACGGCGGCTGCACCAGAATAACAGCGAAAGTCGAAGCCTGGTAGATGTAAAGACCCAAGAAAGCACCATTGAGGATAAAGATCCAGAAGATAGGTGGCAGGATGAGAGATAGCCCGACGTCCTTGTAGAATGAGACAAGACTCTTCCAGTCAGCCTTGCCGTGGAACAACTTCATATCATCGCGCCATGTTCTCTCGCCGAACTTCTCAGGCTGAAGAACAACGCCTTGGCGGGTTGTGACTTGGTATAGAACCTCATTTGTTCCTTCACGGGCTACATTGCCGTTCTTGTCGAGCTTTAGATGGACTGCACCCTCTGTTTAAGGTTAGTACTAAGTAGTGAAGGGAGCTGAAAAAGCTTACCAGTCGCGTCCTCGGGTCGGTCGTAGCGAGTCTCGACAAGGAAGAAGATAGACATGATCATTGTGAAACCATTGATGATGGTCATGATACCATACCACCACGGCAGTCCAAGCGATGGGACGATATATGTAGTCGCAGTGAACAGAGCCGCAGTGAGTGTGTTCTGAACCCCGACAAAGTACGACAACTTGACGCCATGTTGATGAAGGAAGTGAATCTCCTGCACGATCAAAGGTGCAAGAGCCTCGCTCTGCCCAGCGGCCAGACTGAAGATGTTACGTCCCGCAATATGGCTTGTAAGCGACTTTGAGCACGCACACCAGATTCCAGAAACTGTCAGAAGAAGAATGGAGAAGAGAAAGACAGGTCGACGGCCGATAGCGTTGGCGAGAGGCATGGACAGCAAATTACCGATTCCCATGAAGAGAGTGGGATAGGTAAGCAAATCACTGATGCGCTTGGGGTTGTCGTTGTGATAAAGCGCGTAGAGCTCTGGGGCCACGGAGCCGAGACCGGAGGTTCCCAGGACTGAGATGCCGGAGTAGAAGCCGACGAGGAGGATGATCATGTACTTGCGCCAGACGGGCAAGTTGAGAGGATCTATCATAAAATGTAAGTGGGCGACGATATAAGATGATGGGGTGTTTACCCTTGGGATCAGGACTGGGCGTCGGGACTAGAACAACAGTTCCATCCTGATACAGATTGACTGTACCAGACGCATCGTGGGATTCATGATGAGGCGTCTTGACGATATCCTCAACAGCATCGACATCAGGTTTCATACCGAAAGAATCGCGTCGCTCAGCCATGACTACACCTTGTCAACTGAATGAGTTTGATGCCCATATCTAAATTAGCGACGAAACGAGGTTTATATCAATCCATCGCCACCCTTGTTTATCGGATCGGAGTCGTGGTCTAGGCCTTGTACTAAGTTAGTCTGATAGCGTAACGAATAGATTCCGATTGGTTCTTGCACAATGGATCTAACATCGTGACCTTGGGTTGCGGGGGTGGAGCCGAGTCTCCGAGGGGAAAGAAGGCGGGGAAGTAGAAAGGTTTACCGATCTCTTATTAAAATACGCTCCCTGCGCCTCCGTCGGCTCGGTATCTCACCATCCAAACACAGCAGTACCTATCAACTCCAGATCTTCAATCTCTCTCAAACCCTTGTTCACCGGAATCCGCGTTCATCTACCGGCATCGCATCAACCCAATCATTACATCAAATTATTCCTCCACATTGTCTCCCCCCACGTTTCCGACCCCATGCCCTCTCCAATGGATACCGAGGATAGCCCCGGGATCTCCAAGTCCAGCAAACGGCGACGCCTCAATTTCGCATGTAATTACTGTCGGGGTCGTAAGACGCGCTGTGACGAGCAGCAACCTTCTTGTCAAGCTTGTATCCTTGCGGGAGTTACTTGCGTCACCGAAGATAGGCGCAGACCGGGGAAGTTGATCAAGAGACGAGAGGCGGGGAAGTCAACTGATGGAGGGTCTGTTACGTCTGCGAGTCCGTCGGAGTATGGGTTGCAGGCTGTGGGTGATGGGGCAGTGGAGAGGCGACATTCTGTTGCTGAGCCGAGAACGATTTCTGTGGTTACTGGGCCGATTCGCGCGAGATCACAGAGTCCGAGGCCGTCGCAGAGTAGAGACTCTTCCCATACAGACACGATTAGCAATCCTTTACCGATCTGGCGACAAAGTGCCGGGACAACGTCTTTCCAGGTATTGACCGAATGGCTTGACCTGGCTTGTTTCCGGCTGAGCATTCCCTACCATTTTGGCTCATATCCTCCCTCCACTCTCAACCCGCAGTCGACATCTCAACCCCAGCATGGAATCCCAATTACGCCGGAGACATGGGTGCCCCAGACCCTTTTTGATGCATATGCGAGGGAGATACATACGTTTTACCCTGTTGTGAGGCTTGATCAAGCCCGTGCTGATGTCGTGCAATCTCACCCCCGGCACCCAAGAAGTCTGCCGCTACACGATGTCGACATTGCTGCCCTGAGAAGTCATCTGCTCTTCGCTGCGGGAGGATGCATTCTTCAACATGCGGAGCGAAAAGCCTACATGACTGAAACACTTTCACTGGCACGCAATGCGCTGGGCTATCTTATCGGCAATGTTTCCTACGACACGATCGAGGTCCTCTTCCTATTCTCGGTCTGTCTGCGCCTCAACGATGAGATAATATCAGCTTGGACAACACTCGGCGTCTGCTTATCAATAGCTCACTCTCTGGGCCTCAACAAACCCGGAAGGAACAGAAAGAAGCCTCTAGATCTTGACGCCTGGAATCCAGCGTGGTGGGCTTTATACAGTTATGAGAAGCTATTCTCGTTCCAGCTTGGATATGTGTCTACTATCTCAGATGATGCATTCGACACTCTGGACCTAGATGTTCTTAGAGCTGATGCTGTCGAGCCCTCGCGTATTGCGCTATCGATGGCGAACGTCTTTAGTAAGATGAGTCGTCGGTGTGCTACGGCGAGACAGCTTGAGGAGAGAGCTAGTAGGCGGGCTGTTGAAGTGGTGATCAAGGAGAAGGTTAATAGTACTGGAGAGGCATTTTTGATGTTGACGAACTGGGCCAATAGTGTTCCCGCCGGTATAAGGTAGGCCATCTGATCGAAAGAGTTATCTCGTTGCTAATATGCTGATAGACCTACGTCGGACTTTATGCGTGTGCCAGAAGATTTAGGCCTCGCGTCATTCGTGTCTCTACACTATCACAACGCGTAGGCCCTCCAGATGCAACCAATACCATGTAAAGCTAATCCTGTGTCAGCCTCATCATGCTGAACCGCAACGTCCTTCTAATCAGCAAAGACGCCCTCCATAAAGCTGTAGAGATAATTGCCAAGGATACACCATGGGAATACCAGATTCGCAACGGTCAATCCATGGTTGCCAATTCCGCACGAAAGATCATCCATCTCCTTGCTGATAGTGACGACTCAGCGTCACATCTGTTCTCACCAGCTTACTTTCCGCTACTTCATGCTATGTATGTTCTGGCGGTTCATATTTTGAAACAGCCTCATTCCCGCGTCTCGAAGATTGACCAAAGTGTGAGTCCAATATTACGCCATGAGAGGTATAATGCTAATTGGGATAGCTTCTCGTAACTGCCGCTGATTTGGTCCGCTGCTACTGTATTGGACTCAGTGAAGAAGACCGCTTGAATACCATTCTAAATGGGCTTCTTCGTGTCGTCCAGGAAGCCATGAGACCTATCTCAGTACCAAAAGACAGCGATCGGGACACCCCAGCGCTCAACTCATCAACAAGCTTATTGGATCAAAATGTGACACCCTTGACCGATCAACAGACCTTCACAGAGACTCTTGGTCAATCGGATCCTACGATATCAAGCCATCCTCATTTTTCAATGGATGAGGGTATACTCGATCCGTTCTCGGGCCAACCCTTCAACATGCCGATACTGCCAGATGAAATCGGATGCGACTGGGCGGACTTTGAGAACTTGTTGCAGAGACTTGAGAGTGAAGGGTCTTTGTATCCAGGAGACGAAGGAATGGTTATTGATATTTAGTTCAACAATCTGACAATGTTTTCTATCTTCGTACTTAAATTTTCTCCACTTCCGATCTTTTGCGCATTTTGACAAACAAGCCCGTTTGGCGAGGAAACCATGCAGAAATAATCTTCATCCTGACATTCGGATCCGCAAGTTGAATCTCATATCGCGCATATCGCGATAACAATGTTGCTACGGCTTATAGATCTGGATGAGATCAATGTATCTTCCAATGGAGATTTGAGAACCTCCGCCGAAAGTTAGATCGGCCCATTCATCTTTCGCAAACGCCGCTGGTCTTCCTCTCCTTTTGTCTTCTGCTCTGAGCCATCGCTCGAGAGGAAACTGATTAGCGTCTTCGCCCCAGACCCTTTCATTTCAGCCGATTATATATGGATTTTAAGTCGACGGCAACCCCAGGAAGCATAAAGCTACCGTTAGATAACGTCAATCCAGTTTTTGGAATGTAGCAGTACGGATGACCGTATGAAGATAAGGCAACGTGTGAGCATTACTATAGAAAGTCGATTGGAGATTGTTTCGAAAATGAGTTTACAGTAAGCATTTTGCTGTGTTATTTCAAGTTGAAACCTGTGATTGAGAGCTTATAATCACCACACAGAACTTAGCAACTGAAATATACTTGGGCGATGATAGGGAGTACCCAGATACAAGAATCCACGAGAAACTTGAGCTTGCTCATCTTGTCAGATCGCTATAGGTGTATCAATATGCTTGTTTCTTGGATAGTGACGCTTCCCCTACCGGCTTCCGTCGCCTCAAGACCCAGATGGAGTGTCAACCCAACCAGAAATCTGCCACCGAAAAGCGGTGCTATCCGCATCAAACTTCTTCTCCCACCTCAATTCAACGTCCCCCTCCTCAGTCGTCGCAAGAGCACTATCTCCGTTCGATTGAATCGTCTTGGCAACCAAAAAGTTGCTGTATCCTTGAAACCGACTCTGGAACTGAAGGGAGTACCTATCCGATCCTGGTGCGATGGGCTTGATGGACCAGACATTCGCGTCATTCTTATCATTGTCCGGAATCTCAACAGCCTCCCACTGCGACCCGGTCATTGCCAGGCGCATATTTGTGGCATTTTCCTTGACATGCAGTGTGTAATTACCACTTGGCTCATAGTCAAAGAGTGAACCAGCTGGTGATTCAAGCCACCATAGCGTCGGACCAACTGCAGCGCCGTCTAGTGACGTGGGCGTTTTTGGGCACCCCACGAATATCTCTGTATTCCACTGGGGCCACAGTGCTACCCGATAGCCGGCGTTGCTGGAGAAGGAGATGGGGACGAGGCATGGCTGTTCCGCATTGAGAACAGTCTCGGCAAGATTGATGGTGTTCTGGCCAATTGTTGTTTCAAAAGCTTGATCTTGTTGGCTCAAATTGTCTTTCTGCGTTTGAATTGCATCGGCCCCTTCAACAAAGCCAACGCCAGGGGTATCGAAGGCCATTTGAAGAAGAGCAATGCCCTTGGCCACCACGACCCAGTATCCGATAATCTACTTGTCGATCAGTCATGTTCTAGTCGGGCGTGTCGATGTCTTGTACAATTGCCTTTGTCCTTCCGTAGTAGCCAAGAAAGTCCGTAGAATCGTCGAGGCACTTCTGGGCAATTTGTTGAAGAAGTGGGCATCCCGTCTGGTCTCCAGTTGTCGTTTCCGTCAGGAAGCTATTGATCTTGGTGAGATACTTGGGAACATCATTAGCGCAATCTTTAAGACGGGACTCCAGACGATTCTGTGCGTCCTGTACTTGAGTCGCGCGATCAGTGGTGGGCAGTGTGGCAGGTAGAGTTAAGACAGTATTGATGATCTGACTTATATCGATGTAGAGTGCATTGATGTCATCCATGGGCTGTTGCAGCTCATCTGTTCGCAGTGTCAAAACATCATCAAGAAGTGCCTGCGAGAGATTCTGCACTGCTTTATTGATCTTGTCCACTTCTTTAAGGACTTCATTAATGCCTTGATTGATTTTGTCGCTCTCACTGCCGCCTTCTAGTGCGTTCAGACCCTGAGTGAACAGCCAGCTTCCAGCTGCCCCGGCAATGCTGGTGCCAAACTTTGTTAGAATTGTGGTTGAAGATTGTGTCACAACGCCTGCCATGATTCTTTCAATATTCTAAAAAGCATCAAAGTATTTGGGGAATATGAAAAGCAGAGAATAAGGTTTCTGAATGGAGAACTGAATAATAAGTGCGAATGCCATTAAATACATCAAATGTTTCTCCTCAAATACGGCTATGCCGCGCGCTATTGCCAATAGCGTTGAAATCAGCTAGCCTCTGTGGCAATAGCGTCGCACCTGTCTCAGAATGTATCTCGAGAGTGGTCAGCTGTGCGGTATGGAAAGGCCTGGAACTCAGCTCAGATAGAAGGAAAATTTCAATAGCGGCGTTACTGATAGTTACCGACAACAAATCCACACAGCCAGTTCTAATTTTTGTCTGTATGTTTGACTCCGACAGCATCATCTCAGGGATTGGCCATGAGAATCAGCCGTATTTCACTATGCCTAACAATGAAGGCCAGTCAAAAGCTCGATAGGGAGTACAGGTTTTTGAACCAGTCGCCCAGTCACTCAAGATCCGCTAGAGACTCAACAATCTCAATAGACTTGTGATCCACAATTGCAGCACCATAACGCCCGCACATCGGAAACACGCATTCCTTTTTTTGCAAGGCATATGGAGTTAGTATCCAACCCATGCCAGCCATTGTCGCCTTCGAATATTCCTTCATAACATCTTCATCCTTAGTCGACAGAGACGGACCGCCGAATCTCGCGAGAGCTTCAAGATAATGGTCGATGATTGCTACCTCGTTTGCCCTCCGGTCCTCCACTGACAAAGCACCTACTATGAAGTAGGATAGGTCGTGGAACGGAGATCCGATATGGAAGGTCTGCCAGTCGAGAAATCGTGGGTTGCCAGCTTTATTGAGATATGTATTACCCGTGTGCGGGTCGCCATGAATCAATGACATGAACTTTGGGTTCTTGGTGGCAAAGTGCTTCTTGATGGCATTTACAGTGCGCTCTCGGGAACCCTTGATGATATCAGGACATGGCGGTCGATCCGCACCATGGATCTGGTCATCCCACATATTAGTGAGAGCCATCATCATACCCTCATATGAAGCCGTGATCCAAGGATAATCTTCGTACGAATACCCCCAGGTACTAGCGTGTAGCGCTGCTAGCTGTTCGACGCCAGCCTTGACTTGATCGACCGACCAGACATCTTGAGGGTTTCCAAATGTGTATCCCGCCTCGTTCAAATCCTCCATCACTAGAATGCCCTGCTCATCCCCAACTCCTGCCCACCACACTTTCGTGAGAGATATGTGATTCAGGGTTGGTGCAACGAGACTAAAGAACTTCGCTTCATTGGTGTATGCGGCTATAAGGAGGTCTCTGAAGCCTTCTGCCGCCAGCATGGCAGGATTAAACCCTCCTTTGATGCACACGTGTTTCGGCCGATCTTCGTTGTTGTCATTGTCCTCATATTCAATAGTAAAGAAGAGTTTGCTAGCCGTAGCATTCAGAAGACTGTGAGTGAGATCCAGAGACTTGACTTTCTGTCCGAGAACCTTGCCAAGCCAATTGGCAGTAACTTGTTCCGGGACAGTTGGAAGTGGGGAAATATCAGATGCAGTCATATTGTAGAAATGAAAGTAGAATGGAGGAAGAAACGCGAGCAATTTCTGCGACAGCCAGTGCTGGGCCCTTTGCCCAATTGTTATACAATAGTCAAGCCCACTTGACATGGGAGGGCATTCTTGTCCCCTGAGATTTCCCGTCCACATGCAAGCACGGTGGATTGGAGACCAGGGTCGGGGAATAGTCCGCCGAGTATCCTGGGCAAGTAGAAAGATAACTACGGGTAACGTAGCTGTTATTTGCCTTGTGCAGACTTCTATGTCTATTTCATCTAATGTCCCTCGTTGCGATCCACTCTGGGCCCTTGTGTGTGTTGGTCGAGGTGCTGTATGTTGGTCCTTAAATCCCTCAAGACAAATTTTCGTATGTTGGCAGATCAGCGATCCACCTGCCTTTATCGTCCGTCCTTAATCTCTCTTGTCCCGTCGAGTAAGGTATCATCTTATTACACATAGAATTCTAAGCTCAATCGTGATTCAAATCATGTGATGAATCAGGCATGTGCGTCAATTAGGGATGGAAGCCTTGGGGGCGGCAGGCTTGTCTTTACCAGAGTGCATCTGGCAATAGCAACATCTTTAGACTTGTTGGTTCCCCTGGCATAGCCTAGTTGGGATAGTCCTTGCAATTGGGACCAAGTGTCCTTGCAACGCAGCGTGTCATACATGTTATCTCGCCTCTGGAAAAAGAAAGCGATAAGAGCTCAAGCCTTGAGATGAAAATCGTGGCCCCTTGTTGTCAGGAGCTTCCCTTGCCCAGTAGAATATGAATCCGTTCTTGAAGTGGATTAACCGTCAGCGCCCAAATTGCTGGTCTCGGAAGCTGAAAGTTGCCTTGATCTCTTTCGTTCCACCTTCTCTTCCATCTTCATCTCGTCTTTCCTGCCAAAATGGGCCTAAGGGATACTTACTATCCATTAGTCATCTCTTCTTTGGTGATTGATGGCGTTGCCGTTGGCTTAAGGCTATGGGCACGAAGCATCAAGAAGGCCATCGGTTTCGACGATATAGCTATGATATTTTCTCTAGTAAGTGAACTTAGCTATCTTCATTACCCTGGCAGGTAACCTGATACAGTGCTAGGTCGGCTTCATTATCTTCTGCGCAATGGAGCTTCAGGCAATAAGATACGGTATTGGAGCAACAACGATCGAACCCGACTTCGACCTTATAAAAGCAGCCATGGTATTATATCTTCCACCTCCATGTAGACGAAGTTGCGCTGACATGGACAAAGTTCTTCACAACTGCGCAAATCGTCTACATTCTCACCACCGGCATCTCGAAACTTGCCATTGGACTAGTCCTATTCCGACTCGCGAGCGGCGCCAATATGAGGATAGTTCGAATAGCTTTGGCGGTCTCAATGATTGCCGTGACGCTATGGTGCTTAGTTACGGCCTTGATATTTGGCCTGCAATGCCGTCCACTGTCTGTGGCCTGGGGCGTCGGGGAGGGCTCATGCCTTCCTACAGCGGTTCTAGGAACCACTGGACTTGCACTATCTGGTATGGATGTCACTATCAGCTGGTTCTATGCGGTATGTAAGACCTCATTTCACGATGCGTATGTGCTATACACTGACTAGCCGACAACGGCCTGCAGCTTTTGCCTATTTATATGCTATACAAGACTCAGCTTCGCCTGAGGCTCAAGATCATAGTGATGGTTCTACTCGGACTGGGTGCCGTGTACATTCGTCCCTTTCGATTTATCGCGATGCGGGTTGTCTAATATTGGTTCAGGAGCTCCATCGCAATTATCGTTCGTCTAAAATATCTCCTTGACTTGAGCCAGCTGTCATTAGCCTCTGGTGGTCTCGCAACCCAGGATGCTGTTGAAACAACACTTGAAGGAACCATCTAGTAAGTGGTCCCGCAGGTAATGAACTGTATTCCCATCGCTAAAAGTCTTTTACAGTTCTATACTCGAAATCGGCTTAAGCATCCTGGCTGCCTCATTGACTGCCCTCCGGCCATTGTTGATGAGGATCCCTTGCTTCAGCGACGTTTCTTCCAATGATACTCCTCGACCTAGTGCCTTTGGCTCAGGAAATACGTTTGGGGACGACAACTACACTCGAGGACCCGCTTATCGACTCGAAGACATGTATATCTCGGACGCCGACAGCCAAGAAATCATTATGCCTTCCCGGTTGACAGATGTTAGAAAGCCAACAGAGCTTAAAATTACCTGCTCTCCAGCAGAATCTCGAACATATAGAGCCTGGGACAGAGAGACCTGGTAGGAGAGCCTGGACCTGTATATTGGCATCACCTCTGGAAACCATTTAGTTCAGGGTTAATGAAGCATCACCACATTTCGTGCATTTAATCCTGGCATTCAAGTCAGCAGATTTTATTCACATATTGGAAAGAAGTGGGGATATTTAAATTATGGGCAAGGATAAGCGGAAAAGAAAAAGCCCATACTTCCCCGTGCACAACCAACACAAGTGGTAGGGAACTTTTGAATTCTGCACCAGGGTAATTCGGCCAACACAGCGTTGTGCTCAATTTCCCCACATACGTGGAACATCAATTACTACTACTCTCTACCCCCTCAGGCATACTTTGGGCTTGAATAGGTAGATTCGGTAATTGCTCGCGTGTATCAACTTTCAAAAAGAGACCAATGTTCATGACACGAAGGCCGTGGAAGACGGAGCATCGCAGCTTAATCCAAGTGAACTGATTACGAGGTAAATAAATATTGGAGCCATACATGATTGACTCAGACTAGCTAGAAGTGTCGCGACTTATGCAGTAATATACGGAATACCAATCAACTGGAATCCCCGGTTCGTCAACTGAGGTGCCTCCCTCGGCTTGTTGGTATTATAAGGACAAGGCTCTCCATTTCTCAAAACAGGAATTCCTCCAACATGCATAGCATTAGGCCAATGCGTCGTTCCCTGCAGATTCTCAAAGGCAGCCTTCTTCCTCTTCAAATCCTCCTGCGTAGCATCCGCAGCAGGCATGTAGCACGTATAAGTGCAGAATCGCGGCTGAGTACCCTCAGGGCTAACATTGTAATGAGGAGTGCGAGAGTCCCAGACGATAAGATCGCCGGGGCCGGCATTGACCTTTTGCCATTCGCAGCCCTTGTTCTTCAACCACTCCATGCCCTCTGCTGTGAAACCGTACCACTCGTGAGTCCAAGCCCAGATCTTGTTTGGCTCATCCTTGAAGTCCTTGTGGAACTCTTCACTGAGGAGATGTGCGCCCTTGCAAACGATGAGACCACCGTCTTTGTCACCGTTAGGGAAGATGTTGACAAGGCCCTGAAGACAGCGGAAACCGGGGTTCTCAGGGTCTTGGTCTTGGTGAGGCCAGGGTTTGTTGACCTTGACGTCTTTGCGGTTGGGGAAAGAAGTGTTGACAGCGTCAAAAGAGACAATCAGGTCCTTTGTGTCGTAGACGCGCTCGAAGGCTTCGATGACGCCAGGTTCTTGGCGGATAGCCCAAGCGAAGGATTCGTGAGCGACGCCGTAGCCTGTGATCATTCCTTTTTCGGTGATGACGGGGAGGGTCTCGGCTTTGATGGTGCTAGGATCATCGCGCTTGAAGCCCATGCCGCCGTTGCTAACTCTTCGTTAGTAGACGCCTTTGTGAAATGAATTGGCTGACTTACAAGTTCTCGAGGTATGAAAGCATCTCATCGCCATACTTCTCAGCTCTCTCATGGGGAATGGCGCCCTTGATGACAGCGTAACCGTCTCGGTAGAGGTCATCTCGCCAGTCGCCAAAGGTAGTTCCAGGCTTAGCGAAGAGCTTGTTTGGGCCTGAAGGCTTGGCTTGGATGGTCTTGTTTGAAGTGGGTTCGGTGAACTTCAAAGCGGAGCTGGCTTGGTAACCAGCGGGCTCAGTGTTGGCGACCATTTTGTAGACGTAAGAGTAAAAAGCAGAAGTCGAATATTGAGTTGCCGGATGTGAATAGAAGTGTCAGTCTCAGAGACTGTCTTTGTTGTTATGAGCTGTTTGATGATTTGAGTTTGAGAAAGTTCAATCCGCTCTTCTTATTCTTCTCTTCATCAGTACAGACAGTTGCCTGCCACCAGAGTTGCCATAAGTGATTCCGAACTGTAAGCGTCGCTTCGGCTCGGAATCCCGGTAATTTTGGCTTACCCTCCTCTCAGACTCCGATGCCGAGCCGCGCCATGTGTAGTGGGGCCGACAAGTCCACCGGTTCGCTACCTCGAAATCCACTTTGGTATCTCGAATATCGACTATGAATAGCTTCGCCGATTCTCGCAAGTTAATGTTACAGAATCACCAATTAAATACTTGTCATTGCAAACATCATGCCTCTCACAAATCTCCCCTTCACAGTTCCCGTTGATCCTATCAGCGCTCCAAGAGCTGGTCATGGTGGTTATGTCGGACTGAATCCTCACTCAGAGGTCCTTCCAGCGGGTTGGAAACACGACAGTCCTCAAGCTCGGCCTTTACCTTCAGCTGTTCTCGTTGAACATGATGTTGCGTTCAAAATGCGCGATGGCGTCACGCTTTATGCTGATGTGTATCGACCACCCAACACTGATGAGCCTGTTCCTGCGATTATCTGCTGGTCTCCCTTTGGAAAGAAATTCAATGGCATTTTGTCTCTAGAACTCATGGTTCCTTGGAATCTGGGTATCCCGTCACATACCCTTTCTGGACTTGAGAAGTTTGAGGCGCCTGACCCCGCTGATTGGGTTCCCCGCGGTTACGCTGTTGTGAACATCGATTCTCGTGGATCTGGAGATAGTGAAGGAACCTTGGTCATTATGGGAACTCAAGAAGCCGAAGATGGATATGACACCATCGAAAGCATCTCCAAACTCCCTTGGTGTAACGGGTCTGTTGGTCTAGCAGGCAATTCTCATCTCGCTATTGTACAATGGTTCATCGCAGCATTGAATCCACCCAGTCTCAAAGCCATTGCTCCTTGGGAGGGTTGTGGCGATTTATATCGCGAGCAATTCGCCCGAGGCGGAATTTACGCAGGCGACTTATTTGACAAACTTATCGTCAAGTACATGATGCAAGGCCATCACGGCATCGAGAGCTTCCGAGAAATGTTCAAACAGCATCCTCTAGCTAATGAATGGTGGAATGACAAGCGCCCAGATATGAAGAAGATCAACATCCCTACATATATCACCGGTACATGGACCAACACTATGCACGGTATGGGCGCAATTCGAGGCTGGCTTGAAGTCAACACTCCTCATAAATGGCTTCGCTTTCACCCTTGGCAAGAGTGGTACGATATTTGGGGTAACGAGCAAGCGAGAATTGAGCTACTTGATTTCTTTGATTACTTCCTCAAGGGCAAGGATAATGGCTGGGACAAGGTACCAAAGGTTCGCACAGCTGTCTTGCGATTTGGTAAGAAGGAGCCTCAATCGTATGAGAATATCGTCGAGGAGAACTTTCCTATCCCAAGGACAGACTACAAGAAGCTCTACTTCACAAAGGACAGCAAACTCGCGCCCGAGAAGCCTGTTGACGCCTCGTCGGTCAGCTACAACTCTGAGACAGATGATCAGGTCAGCTTCACTTACCGTTTCGATCAAACAACGAGATTAGTCGGTCTTCCCAAGGCAGTACTTTACATGTCCTGCCCCGACTACGACGACATGGACGTCTACGTCACCCTCGAGAAGCTCGACTCCAACGGCCAAGTCATGATGAACCTTAACATCCCGTGGAAGGGCATCCCCAAGCAATCATTCGAAGAGATGGACCCCAAAGAAAAGACAGAGGTAGTAGTCTACCGCGGTCCAATGGGTGTACTCCGTGCATCGCATCGTGAGATCGATGAGAGCAAGAGTATGCATCCACACTGGCCTTTCCATCCTCATGAAAAGGTTGAGAAGATCAAACCCGGTGATGTTGTTAGACTTGATATTGGCATTTGGGCTATGGGTATTGAGTATGAGGCTGGGGAGTCAATTAGGGCTGTTGTTTGTGGAAGGAATATTGGCGTGAGCAATTTTGGAAGTTTAGAGCATTTGGATAATCATGGGAAGCATGAGGTTCATGTTGGTGGCGAGCAAGCTAGTCATGTTATTCTTCCGTTTGTTTAAAGTATTTATACAGCCTATATTTTAGGATTTTGGAGGCGTCTAGTGCAATAGCTTCAAAACTTCAACGAGAATTCTGATGCATTGCAGAGTCAAGTACCACGTTTCTCAGCCTAGGTCAGTCCAGTTACTAGGAACAGATCATGAGACTGGGTATGATAGCTCAATAATGGCATGGTCAACATGTAAGTGGCTGCTGTGTCGATACATCTTACTATTGCATGAAGGCGAAGACAAAATCGACTATTCTAAGAAAGCAGAAGATTCCAAGAATTGCAGAACAAAAAAGACATTAGACTCAACCTTAAAACCTCGCCACCTTCTCAAGTGAGTAGCCAACACTTATGGACTCTTGAAATTCGAAAGATCTGGAAGGGCAGTCGTTTGTCTGAGAGCACAGGGGGAAAAGGTTACTAAGATTGAGTAGCTGACTGAGTGTATCCTGAACTTCCGATCCCATGGTGAACTGAGGGTAAATGGTTTGCGGTAGAAGATGCATCAAATGTCTTTTGTGACTTCATGGCACCTGAATAAAGCAATGGAGTGCGCGAGACTAGCTGAAGCCCCGAGTATGGGAGAAGAGAGGGATAGTATAGCTGCTTTGGGTCCATCAAGCTCCGCGTGGCAATTAAGGTAAGTTAGTCTTCCAGTAAGGCACTTAAATTCTGTAGGCCATTATCTTCCGTGTCAAAAGACCAAGGGATACTCGTAGATTGCTGCGAGGTCTGGAAGACGCGAGAGGACGATGTCGAGATCCCCAGCGGAACTTTTCCAACTCAAAGGAACCATCAAGCTGATAAAAGTAACATACAGTTAATTCGTAGATCATTGGTTATAAGGAACGTTTCCTGCAGATATATTGGTCTTATTAAGAGTTGAGTGCACAAAACTGAGAGAAAAGGGCAGATATTACTAGACAGTTCGCCCTGCTCAAGGAAGCTCGATAGATTGAGAAAACAAAGTCTCGACATGCCCAACACTTGAGATGTTAAGAGACCTCGCCTTCCCGTCAAGTAAGAGCATTACAACTGATTCGCTGTTTTTCAAGCAAGGATAATTTGTTCAGAGATGGAATTCAGAGTGGGTTCGGATCAAACGTGCCGAACGAGATTCGGGAGGGAGGGCAGGAGATTAGGAAAGGCTAAAGGTTTTTGAAAAATTGCCCATTTGTCATTGCTTCGACCTACCTACAGTCATCTTGAGTAAGGATCGTCATCAAGACCGTTACCAACTTGAGCGTGCCGTTGAGGTTAGAAGATTGAAGGGCACCGAATGTTGAGTCACATTGAACAGTTCAGATGAGCCTTCCGCCGCACTCAATGGCAATATAATAAGATAAACTATGAAGAGTCTCATGGCTTGCGAGACAGCAACGCGATAACACGATATGAATGTTTGATTTGTACACCGGTTGGCTCCAAGTCCTGATGCAATATCAGCATATGCCGGAGTGAAGTTCTCGCTTGGAATGTGAAATTGCTCTTGATGGTTGGATGGGGCCGGTACATCCGCCAAGTGGCTATTTTTAGTACACTTTCATGGGTCGGCTAGAGGCACATATGACAGAGGACCACTGACCTTCTGGAATGCGAACAACAGTTGAATGTCCTGAAACAAGGTCTCAACGGCACAGAAGCCGCTTCGCACTACTATGACTAAATGTAGTATCGAACGATTTGGATTTGTGCATCTGGCCAAGCATGCATCATACGGCGAAGGAAACTTCTGAATACGACATCTAATCCTCCAAGTTATAATTTTCAATAACATGTGCCAATGTAAAGATTTATCAGAGGATACTCCATAAGGAGGCTCACGATGATGAGCTTAGTCCAACTGAGCTCATGGCAGTAGACATGGTTTTTCACGGACGATTGACAAGAAATATGGGTGATATATGTCAATTAAGTACCAATCTCAACTCATGAAGAGACGAGAAGGTAAGGCTCGCTTGAATCGATGCTAATCTAGGAATGCAAATACAGTGATCCAAACCCAACAAGAGACTATGAACCGTCGAAGTGTACAGTAGGGAATGTGCGTTTAGATAGCCATGGCAACGGCAATACCAGCAATGCCAGCCATTCCGAGGATATCAGCACCCATGGTAGGAGCAGCAGCGCCCTTGGACTTGGAGGTGGAGTGAGCAGAGGTCTGGCTGGCCTTGGCAGTGTCGGTCTTGGTGGTGGTCGAGTGATGCTCAGTCCTGTTTTTTGTTAGTGAGGCTCATATTGGTGAGATGCGCAGAACATACTTGGTGCTGGTCTCAGTGGTGCTGGAAGCAGCCATGGCGCAGGTGGCCAGAGCAGCAGCGAGGAGGAAGTTCAGCTTCATGTTGAAGGATTAAGGTATTAACTTAAAGTTGAAAGATTGTAGTAAGTAAAGAGTGAATGAGATGTGATGGTCGATGCAGTTTAAACTTTCAGAATGAGGCTGCCAGCTCAGCCCTTTTGTACTCGAAACGTCCATGGTGTTTACTGTTGCTGGCTTGTAATTGAGTTATACGATGTTCATTATTGGCTAATGCGTAAACCGGCATTTCGGTGCCGCGGTCAGCCAGACTAGTACTAATTAGCTCGCCTACAAGCCTCAACGCGGGCCGAAGGAGGGGGATCCAATAGGTGTGGCGTACAAATGGCAACGTCTTTCTGGAGCAGAAGAATACGAGACCTCCAACCGTTGCGTTAAGCGTCAGTCATGCCATAATATTAGAGGATGACGCGGCGTTTTTCCCTACAGCGAAGGAGTCGAGAGAAAGGCTGACTGCGCCCCGTCATCCGCGGATCGCCGTTGGTTCGACCGGAAACTAGGTGATGCCGTATTATCCAGGGAGTTTAGAGTTGATCAATTTATGGAAATTGCCGAGGTCTAGAACGCACTAACTATGGCTCAGATCCAATTGTTTGATCCTGTGCAACGACTTATTGGTGCTGACGTTTAGATGTTTCGGCAATTTGGTACCGAGTGATCGCCCCTCTGAACGACGTGGATTGCTTGATTGGATTACTTTGGCATTGCCCCGGAAAACATCTGATGTGCTAATTTAGTTCATCCCTGATGACATGCAGGAACATGATGTCACAGCGGTGTGCTAAGAGGAGAGTTGGATAGCTTCAGGGTAGTAAGCTCCCTGGGAACGAGTAACAAGCACGAGATACTGCTTCACGATTAGATCTGTACAGATACTCAATATTCAAGCTTAAAGAAGGCCAACGGGTATGCGAGGCACAATCGTCTCCTCAAAACAATATTCCGAGACCATAGGATCTATGCTTAACGTTAAAGTTGAAACCGTTGGAAAACAAAATGCAGATTAGTCAACAAAGCTCTCGTTTTAGATCTAAATGTCCGTAAAGACAAGTTATGGCTTATGCCCGGACTCTGAGTCTTTGCCGAAGGAAAATCAGTGGTGTCTCTTGGTCTCTTGCTTCTATCTAAACGCAGCAGGCGTATCATGAAGTTGGAAATATTCTCATGGATCCAAGACCATGACAAAAGTTCTGGAAGAGCTGACGTATGCAGTCGAATGTGTCGTGATACTTGTCATCCAGCCTTAGAGTCTTTGCAGTCGCAGTCGTCCTTCTCCGCGGGCCCCGTTTGGAGGACACGCGTCGCATACATTGTGATCTGGTAGGCTGGTGAGCACAAGGTAGAGAGTTATTACCTGACGCAACAAGAAGGTCGTAAAAGTGAGGTCTAACTGATGGAGAAGATGGGTATGTATGGTCGCTGCCGTATTGTTTACGAGCCTAGCTTGGGTTTATCCAACCACAATGGGGCCTGTGTTACTTGACCAGGTACTTTGGACTCCACTCCATAAACAGCTCCTACGCTATTCCACAAGCCCTCTCACCCTTGTTTCGAACCTTGCTAGAGAGTACCCAAACGAGTCTGAGTCTATACTAGATATGCTGTAGGAGTGATGGATCCCAAGCGAATCGGAGCATCTGTGTCGTCACTGTGCATGTAATGTCCCCGACCCAATACTCCGGCCGTCGTTCGTCCACTATCATAAGCACCTTCCGCTTGGAACAGGTCAAGCTCTCGGCGATATATTCTCGAATACTCTAAGCAACAATGCATGTATTAGCCAATTCCATGGACGATCCTCTTGTAGGCTTAGCGGCGACTCACCGTAATACGTACGCGTTGCCTGAAGAAATGGACCCCCAGTATCAGGAGCGACAGCAGCTGACTAACTCCTTCAATGTCGCTTTCTGATTCCATTCCCTCCCATGCACCGAGTACATATATTCTCTCCGCCTGAATCCACCAAACCCCGAGACCAAACCACAGTACTCCATCAAAAAGGAGAACCCCCAATGCTTCCGAGTTGAATGCGTAATACAAAGACATAAATATCAACCTCCAGCCCCGGTAATGAAGGTGCAGTACAATAACAACGCCGCTAGTATAAGCATACGACATATCATATCTGCCCCCAAGGGCGAGACTAACGCAGCTTTTTCCAGACAAGACCTGTCTGATTGGTCGTGAACAGGCTTGATCCACGGAGGGTGCTGTTTCAACCCCCCATTTGTTTCAACGCGTATGGCGTAGAGTGTCAGTATATGTACGCCACTCGTAAGCCATGCAAGATTAGTAGCCGTAACAAAATGATAGACCGATATTTTATCTCTGTGTAACTGAATGATGGGTTGAAATCTGTCGCCAACGTTAATTCTCTTCCCGCTTTGTCATCAACATCTTGCTAGCAATGACGTACGACAAGTACATGGAAGAGGATTTGTTGTTTCAGGCCAAGGTGGGGTTAGTAAGGCGAGTCCGTTATCGGAGTCGACAAGCAGTCCAAGATTGAGTCTTTGGCAGCTGAGCAAGCGGGGAGGATAGCTCATATGCTCATTCCTGCTCCAGAGGAAGATATCAATAGCCAAGCAGGGCCCTGCCACTTCAAGGCTACGCTACTTGAAGCTTGTACAAGTCTCAGAGGAGGCATTGGAGTATCACGCGGCGCCGAGACAGCCATTGTGGCGGCAAGTGAGATAGGAGCTTTTCGACATCTGGAGGACTATGTCTGTGATGGAGGTCAGGTCATTTGCCTAGGGTAAGCTGATATCAATTCCTGACTGTGCACAAAGAAGAGGTCCACACGTTGAAATATTCCGGCTTACCAAGAGTTGTTTAGTGTTCCGCGCGACGAAAATACTCTCGCCATTCCTCTACCAGCTCTTGTTGAGCGGAGCTTACGAATCTCGGGAAGCCTGATGGGTGGGCGCCAGGAAGCTCTCGAAGTGATGGAGCTAATCAAATCGGACCGAGGCGAGCCTCTGCTAACTGAGATCAGTCTCAGCGATGTACCCGAGTACATGGATAGGCTTCAACATGGTACGGTCGTAGGTACAATTGTTGTGCGAATATCCGGATGAAGGGAGATTTAGTATTCGTCGTTCTGTACCCTTGATTTCAGCTAGATGGAAAATCCCATGGCAATGAAGATCCAAACCAATCCAGATCAAACTGTTCCCACGACGTATTGCTTCCCGACTGAAATGGCAGTGACTCTGTCGTCGCTGAAAACTCTCCCATACTTGGGTTACCCCCTATTGTCGACATCCACGATGGCCAACTCACTTCTTCGATCAATGGGCCAGGCCACATCCCATTTTCAGGTTGTATCAAGTGACTTGCTTCAGAAGTGGGATTTAAACTGTCATCATGGTGATCTGTCAAAGCATCAGAAGTGGTTGCCATCCCTTGCTGGTCTGCTGTGTCTTGTATCATCTTTAAAATGTTGCAGTGAAATTTACCAGGGGGCGTCCAAGCAGTCGAAAGCTCTTTTAATGTTTGGATGCAGGATTTGATGTTTGCATTATCGGACTGATTGAGTCGAGCCCTGTATTGGTTTTGAGGATTGAGTAGAGCCAACGCCGCCGAAAGATTTGCATAAGTTGCCGTGATCGGACTTCTCCGAAAGCTACCAAAGACTTGGCGATATTGGTCACCTAGAAGTGATATGTTCCGTGCAGCCTCAAGAAGGATACCGGTGGCCTTTTGCACCAGTGGATCAGGGGCTGAGTTTGCAAGTCCTTGACTTTGGATGTATGGCCGTGCGAGAAGGATAACAGCTGTGTGATAGACCATACAGAGAGTGTACGCTTGAGGGAACTGATTAGGCGCTCCATTTTGAACAGGTTTGAGTTCTGTGGGAAGGCCATATAACCAGCTCTTCAACCACAGCAGGCATGAGTCGAAGAAATCCCTTCGCTGGTCACCAAGAGATAGCTTTTTTGGAGCATACCTGCGACCTGTTAGACGAGAATTGGTCAAGTCGTATGTGCGACTTACAGGTTTAGAAGAATCTTTTCCAAAACCTGACACAATTTGATCAAGCCTTTATGGAGCGTCACCAGGAGTTCTGGTCGCACAGAATACGATACATGTCGGGGATCGTGCTTCTGCGACTGGGCTGATACCGTTGGCATACCGACGGCCCCTGGAAATCCTGTGGATAATTGTCAGTATCGTGATGAGAGCGAGAGTTGGCAAGTCTCACGAGCATGCTACAGACACGTCCTGTGTAGCTCGCTGCTAGCTTATCGGCGCAGTATAACGACCAGTAGATTTTCCTCCGAAGCTCTGCCTCCTCTATCGTCATGCGGCCTGAAGCAACCAACGAGCTTGGGTCAAGATTAAGTCCCATGTCCAAAACAAGTCGGTTTGCCATGCCTGAGTGTAACCAGCCTGCGGCGTCCTGTCCAAAGGCCTGTGAATGTCAAAAAAGTTTATTGCCTGCACGAATATTATCAACTAACGTGGTAAACGGTGCCCAATACGGCTAGTGATTGAATGGTTGTGATGCTCGGTCGCTTTAGATCGAAATAGAGAAGAACTTCGGCCGTCTCAAGGAAGGGACGTCCAGCCGTATTGGGATCGTTTGAATCAGAACGAACCTCGATTCGATCAGAGAAGCGGGAGCCACTGGCCAATATGCAGTTTAATAGTAAGGGAGTAAAATATCGCCCATTATTATTCCTACTTTCACGAAAAAGAGCCTCGTCAACGACTTGTAACCATGGCTGTTCCCAGGTGAAATATTGCTCAAGGAGATGAGTTTCAAGCTCTTCGTCGATGCCATTTTGATTACCTAGAGCTTGGGAGTAGATGTCTGCAGTTGGCGAGGAGTACTCTTTTGGAGAGTTACCTGGCTCTGTGGAACAGCATTAGCGGTGTCATCAAGTGCTTGATAGGAAAAAGATAAAAAGCTACCATTGCACGTCTTGAAATCAAGTCGGCCGCTGGTCGGGCCAAAGTAGCGTGCCTGTCCATCCTGATCGAAGTTTTGCGACTCATCAAGAGAAAGAGTGCCCTCAAAGGCATCACAGAGTTGGTCAAAGGCGGCAGTTGAGCCGCCAGCAGCTAAAGACGTGGTTGTAGCCGGCACAGTATTCTGCTGCATCAACTGGGCCGCAGAAGCGCCGACATCGATAGAATGTAACCACAGGATCTTTTCCAGGAGGTCAATGCGAGCCTGTAAGAGTCGCACGTATGACTTGGGGGCGGTTCCCCGGCCGTCATCTTCGGTGGTGTAGACACATGGTAACTGGCGACCAATGCATCGGGAGCATGCTGGCTTTGCACCGTCACACTGGGATTCGGTTAGATAAGCATCCTACAGACAAGGCCAGCCCACCTTTGCACGGCGTCGGCGACACTCCTGACAGGCCTTGGGAGCATACTTGCTCCGTACTCCCGCCTTGCCGGAAGGCGTTAATGGATTCGGCCGCGTGCTGGATGGCGCAGCGGCTGTCGAGCTGCCTCCTTGGGTAACAGGGGCCGGATCAGTCATCTTGAGACACAAGTGTTGTGAGATGCACGCCAGAACGAAGCGGGACTCCTGGTCGAGTCTCCGGATGATGATGCTTTACTTACGTGCCGGGGGGGTGGACCCGCTTCTGCGGAATCCACATTCCGGGAGGCCCACAAGATCATGCCTACCCTGCAACAGATTTTAAGTTTACTCAGCAAACTTTATAAGTCGCGGAATTTGACTTCCGCATGTCGATACGTCTGGTATAAAAGTTCAAAGCTCAACTAGATACATACTTGCATCCTTTGCTTTTTTCACCCAACTCGCCCATATACAAACTTTGCAGCAGCGGAATACCTTGACAACGAACCATTATGGCTCATCTCCAGTATTACAGCTACCCTGGAGTGGGCGCCAGCAATAGAGAACGATTTTCATACAGCCAGGCTGTTAGAGTTGGAGACACTATCCAGTGCTCTGGGCAGGGTATGTTGGTTGTCCTCTAATGAACCCCTCTTCGCAATGCTTCGCTATAGATCCGGAGCTAAGTTTACTAGGAGGATGGGATCCTGAGGGAAAAGTTGACCGAATTCCTACCGAGATCAACGAGCAGATCGACCAAGCATTCAAGAACGTGGAGCACAACCTGAAGCATGCTGGTGGAAAAGGATGGTCCCAAGTCTTTCGAGTGAACTCTTACCATGTGCCGATCAATAACGAAGCTATTGCGGCAATGTCTAGAAACTTTAAGAGGTGGATGCCGGATCATCAGCCTATCTGGACTTGTGTAGGAGTTTCAAGGTTAGGGGAAGACGATATGAGAGTGGAAATTGAAGTCGTGGCATATGATCCGGATGGTGCAAAGAACGCCGGGGCTTAGCAGTGATTGGGTGGAAGGAGAAGCAAGCTTGTAGCTGAGGCAGTAATCCACCATTGGTCGTCCCATTTACTTGCACAATCATGTTTGTGGTGGCAATGTAGTATGTGCTGAGTGAGACCACCCCACTGCACCGTCAAGTTCCTTGGAATTAGTCTATTGAAGATCATGACACTTCTCTTCTCAATACAACAAAGTATCAGCCACCATGTCAAACGACCATCATAACACGGTAACGACATCAAAACACAACGCTGTAAGACACCGTAGTTTCTTTGTACGAGCTTTCCGTATCGGCCATACCCACGTAACAAAGGGTGTCTCGGCTTCCCCCCCCTTCTCTTCTCCTCCTCAGAGTATATGAAGTCAAACTTAGGAATCTACATTCCGCCTGGCCCTAGAAATGTACCAAAAGAAAGGCTTTTCATTCTTCTCTTCACAAATCTTTCGCTACCAGCTTCTCATTATCAATGAAAAACCGGCTCATCATTACTAAGCAAATCCGAGCCTCATTTCAAGTCTGTTTTCAAACTCTTCTTGGTTTTGCGTCTTGGTTCGGACTCGGGACAAGCTGACGACGGTTTTATACCAAAGGTGCACCACCTTGTCGTATGCACCATCATCCGTCTACTGAGCGATTCTTCCTGGCGCCTCGATTGTGCTCCCACCTTTCTACGAACTTCGAATCGAATTGTCCCTCGACCATTGCCAGTCGTGCGAACCTACACTGTCAGAACCCCGAGATCAACACCCCAATGGCTACTGCGTTCCGTGACACGCCTATCTGGGTCTTTCTGCGCTGGGCTTTGGGTCCTTCGCGTCTACGATACCCTGAGGAGGAAGACAGTGCCATCAGTCGCATTCAAGCTGCCGTCGAGAAATGGGAGCACCGTTCGGTGGATGCGAACACAGACGTGGAACAAGAAGAGACTTCCCAGAATGCGGGCGAGAAGTCTTGTGAATCCAGTAACGACCATCGGGCTTCCGTGAGAGAGCCGGACTGTTCGACGTCACATCCTCTCATCATTGTTGACTGGCACGTTTATTTTGTTATAGTTAAATAAAATAAGGCAGATCAGTGTTTATTTTATATTATAAAGTAGGCTGGTTAGAGGAGATTCTTTATATAGTAAGTAGATTTCCTTAGCTAGACTGGAAAGGGTATTCTTAAGTAGTTAGGGTCTAAACTTAGCTTTGTTAAATTGTAATATATACGTAAAATATCGTCAATCCTTAAGGGTTATAGGTTTAGCCTTAGCTCAGGTAGCTAAATTAAGTCTATTTAAGAAACATAAATGCAAATAGTGCCTCTTTTAATAGGCTAAGAACGGAGATCTTGATGTTATTGGTGTATTGGTATATGCTATATGATGTAGGTATTGTATTCCTTTAACTGCTGTTATAATGCTGAGTGAAGTCGTATTCGATACTGGACACTTTCTGTAGAAGGTCAGTCTCATGTCAGTTGCCAAAATCATGAATGAATTCTAGAAGGCTTACCAGCAAAAACGCCCTCATGTCATTTTTATCCTTTTGCAGATATTTCAAGATACCAAAGAACTTGTCTGTCTCCAGCACAGTCTGAGGATCAGATGTTGCCACGCGGTTGAGATTCTTGATCGATCTTGGATCCACGTATTTGACAAAGATATCCCGTCTGACTTCTGCATACTTATCGAGGATATCCTCGTCCGCTAGTCCGTGGTAGTATCCGATGAAGCAATCTGCTAGACCACCGACATCCAAGACAGCAGTCATGCAGCCATATCCTCCCATCGGGTTGCAGACATGCGCAGCATCGCCCGCCAGAATAACACGCCCGACCTTGAAGCTTTCAACACAGCGATTGTGAATGTTGTATAGATTAGTTTGTTCGATTCGATACTGTTCAGGATCGGGATGTCCTGGCAGCATTGCTTTCATGTGTGCAGGTCGACGGGCCAGGTACTCTTCGTCTGTCAAGCCAGTGACTGGATCTCCATAAGTGACGCGCCATAGACCTCCTTTCCCTCGGCGGGCGATGAGGCCCCAGTGATCATTATCGACCATATAATTTCCCCCATCCCAGTTATGCTTCTGGAAGCCGTCATAGTAGACCTATTGTTCATCAGTACTTGGAACGCCAGTGTAAGTGTGAGAAACGAACATTCTGAACGACGAATCGGTACGGCAGTGTCTGACCAGGCCAGTTTCTTCCAAACAGAGACCTCCTTACAGCACTGGATGCTCCATCGCACCCGACGACGTAGTCAGCAGTGAGTCTCGCTTTCTCTATCTTCCCTTCGCCCTTGACGTTGACATCAACATAGGCCGATTTGTCATCCTGACTGACATTTATGACTTCGTGATTGAACTTGACGTCGATCAATCCCTGCCCTTTCCCAAGACAGTGTCGGTATAAAATCTGAATAATCTCGCCAAGAGGTAAGATGGTCATGCGATCGGGATCATCTTCAACGAGTGAGAGATCAAGACTGATAAGTTTCTCATGATCTGACACGCGTCTCCAACAGATGCTGGGGAACCTTGCAATGCTGGCTTTGCGAATGTCGTCCAAAATGCCTGCGCGACGGAAGACACGGGTTGCGGGTACTCCGTATTGGGTTGCCCGGAGACGAGTGTCGAGATGCGGCCATGACTCCAGAACAATGGAGGGAATGTTTTTTTGAGCAAGAAGAAGAGCGAGTAAGAGTCCAGAGGGACCTGCACCCACGATGATGATCTGTATTATGTCAGAGAAGTCTTCGAGGGCTAGTCAGTTGGTGTATCTTGCCTTTTCGAAAGGGCGACCGGATGGAGGTGAATCCATGATTCGAACTGTCTTCCAGGATCTTGGAATGAATGCTTGATATCAGTGCACGTCACTACTTGCTTGGTAAATCAATCTCGAAGGGAAATAAGAAACAAGAGGAGAATGAGCAAGTGAATAAGATATTGGCAATAGTCGGCGGAGCCTACCTTGTTGGCGATCCCCGCCCCCAGCGCGGGGTTACAGAACCAGATCTCACAACATCGGCATCTGTAACCGGTAATAACAAGGAAACACCGCTAACTAGAAATGGATAAGACTTGGCCACCGACACCCAAGAGTTGACAGTAAACTTCGATCACAGTTCATAAATGTAGTGTGCGTTAAGTTCTCAATTAATATAATCACTATTATAAAGCCAATTTGACTTTCGGCAGCAATTGCCACGAACAGAATGAACCATGCTCCCAGATATTCCTCTCAACATTAACTTAAATCTCCGAACCAAAAGGTGGATAAGTGGGTGCAGTAATGCCATCGCAAGAGTTGCGCACGATGTATGGACTGGCGGTCACATCATTACCGACGAGGACCTGCCCATTGGGAGCTGTGACCGTGAAAGTGAAGCCACCGCCATACTGAGCCTGACCATAGACGAACCGAATGGGAATGTATACACCAGCAGGGAGGTTGATCTCAAAGTGTGCACTACCAGCAATGTGATCAGGCTGGTTATACAGAGCCTTGGCATCAGCGTTGCCCGAACTCCAACCACTGTACGCCCTTGCGCCAATCCAGAGGTATACAGCGTCGTTAGCGTAGGGAATGTCAAACTTGTAGGTACCAGCGTCGCAAGAATACAGATAACCGTGGTGGTTCAGGGCGAAGTAGTCAAGGCTGAGGTCTTGTGTTGAGCCGTAGATGGGACCTGAAGCGGCATTGTTGCTGGATTGGTAGAGGCCGCCGACTTGACGGGTTGTGCCAACGTAGAGGGGGTTGACCCGCTTGAAGGATTGGGGGACGAAGCTGGAGTAGGTCGTGTCGGTGTTTTGAGCAGGATTGTTGTAGTATGCCCAGTCAAAGCCGAGGTTGTCGCAGGCCGGGGGGGTAGGACATTGCGCTGGACCGGTTGTCGTTGTTGATGCTTCCTCAGTAGTCGTGGTTGGTGCCTCTGAGGTGGTGTCGGCAGCGGTAGTCGTCGTTGAGATCTCAGTGGTGGAGTCTTCGGTTGTCTGAGAGCTCAGCTCAGCTGTAGAAGTGGCATCAGATGCCGTGATCGTGGTGGTCAGGTCAATTGATGTCGACAATTCCGTCGTTGCGGAGGTGACCTGGGTGGCTTGAGAAGTGATCGGCTTGCAAGGTCCAGCAGAAACCCCAACACTGAGACACACCAAGAAATTAACGAGGGTCTTTGAGTTCATCATGATTGACGCGTTGTCCAAAAAATTAACGAAAGACTTGAAACCACTGAAAGAGTGAGTGGGTAAGACAATGATAGAACTCTGACCGCACTATTGGGCTTGGGAGGATCGTTGATAAATACCGTCCCCTGGCAGTTAATTCTGCAGAGGCCGTCTGCGACAGCTGGCTGACTAGACCTGTTCCAGCGCAGTTACTTACTCGATTGGTAGTCTAATTTCACGGAGGCTGTTGCGATTGGCGAGTCCCTGCATGAAAATCGATAGTTTGGCCGCTAAGGTAATTCTCATTGACGCTATTGAAATGGACCCCTGAAGCGGCTGAAGGAGCAAGGATAAAGGGACATTGACTAGAAACTCGCCAAATCATCATCGTTTCGTTCTTTCAGCAACGGCAGGAGTCATCCCATATACCAACTTTTTGCATTCGCCTGTGCCGCGATTCGATCAGCAGTTCTAACCTGTCTATCCCAGGGTGCATTTCGTTCTGATAACCTCGGAAGCACGTTGGCCACGTCAGCGATGGATTGCTCTTTTCTTTCTCTAAACGTTGATCGACGGTTGAGGGGAAGTGTCCGGAGAAAAAGCAGTATCATGCTTGAAGTCTCGAAAGTCTTTGGATTTAGCTAACTAATCTGCCAACCATTTGATGCACTACTATACTATATACACTGTGTACATTGTCGCGACCGCGATTCTAGCACCGAACCCTTCTGATATCAAGTCAGATCGATAGCCCACCTAATCTATATGCCAACAGTATGCGAAATCCTACTAGAAGCAAAGTTTGAGGAGAGACAAATGAAACAGAGAAAATTCTGAGACAAAGGAGGGAAAATTCCGGGGAAACCCGAATCCAGTATAAAGGACGCGCACCTTCTTCCATACTTGTATAGGTGTATACCCTGACAGATACCAACCTAAAACTTCGTCTTGGGGTTGAAGCCAGCGGCCGAGAATAGATCCAACGACGCACATGACTCCGGCGAAAACCTTTACGCCCCAATAGCTACCATTGTCTGAAGACACAATAGCTCCACCGATAGGACTCGTGGTCAGAGCACCAACAGACGTCATGCCGAAAAGCAAACCCTGTCGCATGCCGATCTTATGAATGGGGGAGATCTGAGCGATAAGCACAGGACCCAAAGAAATGAAGGCGCCAGAGGAGAATCCGAAGAGCGCAGCAAAGGTGGTAATGGCAGCATTGCTGGATGCTGGAATCCATAGGGCCAGGATGAGAATTGCGGTAAGAAATGAAACTAGGATAAATACGTTGAATCGTCCCAATTTGTCTGAGAGGATAATAGTAGGGATGATGCGTCCAAATAAGCTAGAAAGCACGGGCATAAGCATACTTTCAAGCTTTTTTTTAAGTCCACCGTAGATATGAACATCCCACTTTGGGAGAAAGATATACCCCTCGCGGCGTTCAGTATGGGGACTACGTAGTTGGCCAAGTTCGTCGACATGCCCCCACCAATGGCCTGTGTGATGATGTAGTTGATGGAAATCAATAAGCCAAATGTAAATAGGAAGTTGCCCCCAGCTGTGAGGACGTAGGGCTTTTCCCTGAGGGGTGCGTTGAACTCTTGAGGGTGATGGGTGACTGCGGATGAGGTGAAGTGCGCGTTTTGACCGTCAAGTTTGCAATGATGAGCAGCCCGAGGATCATGAAGGATGCGATTCTCATAGACCATCCAAACCCGACCTTAGGAGTCTGGTGGTTAATCATGATAGGAACGATGATTCCGCCTGTGTTCGAACCGCTCATTTTTATCCCGAAGGCGTGACCACGTTTGAGGTGAAACCATGTTGCAGCAGCACTGAGAGCATGAAAGCGCGATATAAGTCAGCCGTCAGGTCCTTGTTCCATGAACGTCACTCATCGGCAGATAATTCGAGCAAGACTTACAGGGCGTAAAGACGGCGGATGCCCCTATGGCACTAACCACTCCCTGTGACAGAAGGAATTGGTAATATTTATGCGAGATTAATGCCATCCATCACGCCGAAAACATGGAACAAGGACCCACCGAGCAAGACATATCGAGGTCCATAACTGTCACAGAGCTTACCCATTATAGGTCCCTAGGGAGGTAATCAGACTTAGTACATCTTCAATTAACTGGTACCGGAGAGCAGACATAGAAAATTACAAGCCAGGAACAGCATGAAGAACACTTCCAGGGATGTGACCCAAGATATGGTGCTTAAGGAATAGTTCTTCAACTGATGGGTTCCATAGTAGGCCTGGAATATCCCAATACCTGTATTTGCGGACGCAACAGCCAGCCGGTGATTAAAACAGGTGGCGCTGGACCGGGTAAGCCACTCACTACCAACGTTGCGAAAAGAACGCAACCAGTTTCTGCGGTACAAACATGTGAATGAACCATTGTCCTTCTGGTCCTACCAGCTATGCAGAGAGACAAGAAATACATGCATACAATCTAACACACAATCCAACTCTCGACGGGAACGACTTCCATTCTCGTCCATGTACCTAAGCCGTTGCTTCCCTATTATATTAAACTAGAAGTATATTTACTAACCTTATAACTAACTTATAAACTTAATACTACTATAACCTTTTAATTACCTTAAACCTTTATTTTAACTCTCCCTCTTATATAATATTAATATATATATTATCGTAAAATCTTTATTAAGTTAACCTTTTCTTATATATTAATATTTCTTAATAAATTTAATAGCTATATACCTTACTTTAAAGCTAAATATATATTATTTATATAGCCTTTAATTAATTTATATATTAAGCTAGGTAGACGTTTTCTTATAACTTATTATTAATTTATTAATAGATTTCTATTTACAATGTAATTAATAACTTAATCTAAGATATATTTTTCTAATTAATTATATAGCCTCTTTCTTCTTCTTTATATTTAACTTATTAAGGTTATTTAAGGCCTTTCTTTCTTACTAGGTAACTTTAAGGACCTCTAGATAGAATATTCTTCTATTAGCTATATAAGTAAGGGCATTATAACTAAGAGCTGCTAGTTTTAATATAGTGATTAACATGGGTTTAGTCTAGATAACCTCAATAAAAGTCTTCTCTTATTAGAGCTGCTATCTTATATTATTATTATCTTATAGGATTCAAGGTTTTTATAATATTAAGTTAGTTTATCTTAGCTAAGTAATTAGAGCTTCTTATAGCCTCTAGAGGAAAATATAAAAGTTATATTATAAGTTTTATTCTTATTAGTATTTTATTATAATAATTAGTTAAATATTATATTATAATATCTAAGTTATAAGCTAGATATATTATTTATAGTTAAGACCTGTGGCTAAGAGCTTATATATACTACATAGAACTTAGCCGTCGCTTTGTTAGCCGGAGGCGAGCCGGCAGTGCCGATTTACTTTTCCATCTGTGGCCTCGGCTCCGAGCTAAATCGCCAGATAATAACCATATCACCAGTCTCCATTTCCACGGCCAAACTGAAGCGCAATGACGCCGTCAAAGAAAAAAGATTAGACCAAACCTCACGGTCTTTTCGGTCTTTTCGGTCTTTTCATCAATTTTGCCTGCTGAATCAGTCATCAGATTCATGCGCTCGGCCCACCTACCGGTCTTCTCGTCCCATGGAGTCAAGAAAAAGCCGAGTCTTGCGTAGATGCGGCTGACCAATCTAGTTTCCATTCACTCCATCATTGAACTGGGCCTAACCAAGATCCCGTTTCCGAACCCGAGGCCAGGTAGTTCGCTTGAGCCCGATGATTGCGTCTGGACTGCACGGCGATCTGGGCGGTGAGATGGCCCAAGGATTTGGGCTCTTTACATTTCCAAGGTCTGCCACTACCGAGACTGACTCTGTTCCCGGTTAGACGTTCTTGTCTTAGGGTGGTAATTATTCTCTTTTGGCCACCGTGGATGACACAAACACAGCCTTATAGCTATACGTTCCGCTGTAGGATCTGCAGTTCGCTTCCCAATTTAAGCCTTGTGCTTGAACTATCTGATCTTTGGCCGATTGAAGCTTTTGTGTCTTCTCCATCTTGTTTCAGCCCCATTGAACTTTAAAGGATCTCGACTCGATATTCCGTACCGTTCAAATTAGTGATGCAGCTACTGGTGCCCCAAACGAGTAAGGAGAACTACTAGCCAGCCCCTAGACACTGTCGTATAAAACACAGCTTCTGATAAACTTGAAATCTCTTGACTCATTTGCTCGACCTACGGAAGCTCGGCATGAAACTGTTCCCACATTTCGGCTGCGCCGACATCCTCGTCAGCCTTCTCCTTCATTACCTCCAGCAACTCGTAGTTGCCAGTTTGCAGGCACATGATGTGGTTATGCTAGCTGTCGTATGTGGGCGAACTGGCCGCGAAATATAGACGTCATACATACCTCTCCCATAGTAAGTTGTAAAGCCCCTTCAAATGGCAAGGGCACATAGTTCTCCACGCCTTGTTGGTTTTTGATCAGGTGGAGGATGTTGTTCAAAACTACCTCCCCCTGTACCATGCCGGCACGGCCTTGTTTCGGGCCGCCAGTCTAGGCGACGTCGCCGACAGCGAAGATGTTCCCCTAGAAGAGGGCAAATGGTCTACCGGGTTGTAATTGTCCATGGTTCTTAGGCGGTGTGGCTACGGGATATTGAATTCACCGACTGCTTCAATTCGCCGAGCGGACTTCTTGGGCCAAGGGATTAATAAGATGGAAGAATTCACCGAATGCTTAATAAGGTGCTTAACTAAAGGCCACTTTAAAGAAGAGCTTTTATGTAATTAATATACCGAACTGACTTCATTGTATTACGTATCTGCTTGATTGTTCTGACCTTACTTGGCTGCCTGTTTGACAAGCTTGCTCAAAGGTCGGAAGTTCCCGGCAGCAGGGGTATCAGCAGGCTTTCTAACCATACGCGTATGGTTTAGTTAAAACATATATTACTCATATATTGCCCATATACCTAAACCATGCGGCCTAAGACGTATAACCATATATGATCATATGCGGGATAAAGTTGCTCCGAGTCAAAAATAGTCAGGTAAGGATATCGGCGGCACTAGAATACCTTAACCATCCTCCTGATCATGAATGGCCTCCCTTTCTAATAGGTCCATAAGGTAGAAAGGATACCTAAATGGCAAATTGGTTGCTTAAGTTATGCGTGGGCAACTTAGACTACCATGTAATATCTCTGTAGCTCCAATCCTAAGGCAACTATTAAGATCACTTTAAGTCATATTATCAGGCTTTATATCAAGATTAAGTCGCTTACTTGTAGTAAATAGGTAGTATAATCCTGCCTGCTAGGCAATAGCTGCTGCCCTGCAGGTAGTAATAGTATTCTAGATTATATACTATCTAGGACTACCTAATAGATAACCCCACCTAATAGATCCCGGTACTAATTATTTCAACTTACAAAGTGCATAATATAATTTGGTTAAAAGCAAGAACTTAATAGTTTAATTAATTTAATTAGGGTAATTAATTAATTAAGTTTATTTATATCTATATAGTGTTTAATGTTATTTATATTATATAATACTACTAGGTAAAGTATATTTTTATAAAACTTAATTATTTATTATTAAATTAAAAGTTCTTTTTTAGGTTTATATGTTTATTTCTAGGATTTTTAAATTAATAATTTAAATCCTAAAGGTAAGAGGAATCCTTAGTTTTCTAACAGTTTATTATACAAGCTTATTATATATATTATTATAATTTACCTTAGCAGTTATAGTACCTCTATAATATGAGAACAATACCACAACCCTAGCTACTAAGTTATATATATATATATACATATACAAAAGGCTTCTCTTTATTAATACTGCTCCCCGGCTTTCTTAGCAATGGCAGCATCAGGGTTAGTATAGTACTGTCTCAGGTCCGTTAAAAGATTCATAGTCCAGAAGCTCTGCACAGAGTTAGTGAGGAAACACTCCTACGTAAGAGGGACGGGCTCAAGGGCAGGTGGGAGTGGGATAAGGAGTGGGACTCACCTCCCCCATCACGTTCGGGTCCATCGCCTTCCACATCTCAACCATTTCATCCACATCCGCCTCGTATGTGCCTGTGAAGTTCCTGGAAGAGTTAGAGTTAACAACTTCATGCCACACCTTGCGCCGAAGCTCATCGTATTTGTCGAGAATGGACTTTTCTGCCTGCCCAGTATGAATACCAACCAGGCAGTCCGCAAGGGCACCGACATCACAAATTGCACCTGAAAGCCCGAATCAACCACTAATGCTCCAAAGTATCAGCAAAAACCATTCAAAGCCGCATCATGGACATATTGGAAGCGCATCAACGCACATTAAATTTGTCAAATGCCCGGCGTCTCCAACCAAGATGATCTCTCCAACCCTCAGCTTATCCACAATTCTCTGGTGGACTTTGCACGGGCTGAAATTCTCGAGCACCCATGCGTCGGGTTTGGGGTTGTTCGGGAGCATGTTTTCATACTTCCATTCGAGCCTGGCCCGGAGCTGTTCAGGGGTGAAATCATCTCTTTCCGCGTAAGTCACGCGGTACAACCCAGGCTCCTTGGAAATGCGCACAAAGTTGTGGGGGTGTTCTTCGTGAAGCACGGCGTTGATATCATCGTAATCAAACCCAGCCATGTCGTACCTAACCTGTTAGGAGATTTGTTAGCCGGCTAACTCATGGATGGCTAGTGATATAGTAGCCTTGCAATGGGGCTACATGAGGCTCACGTTGGTTGCCACAAGCTTCTGTTTCCAGGTGAAACCCGGGAAGTCGTCCCCATAAAGACTCTTCCTCACTGCGCTACCCCCTCCGTCGCAGCCAATGACAAAGCTGGCGTGGTAGCGCTCTACCTTATCGCTGCCTTCTTTCGTCACGTCTACCCAGGCCTGAGTCTCATCTTGCCCAGGCCCGATAACTTTGACTCTAAATCTAACAGAAGGTGCGTTAACACTGGCAAGTTTCTCCAGCAGGATCTGGCCGACTTGAGGCTGGGGCAAGCATGTCATGCCGAGTACGTTGGGATCGTCATTATGGAGACGGTACTTGACGATCCTCTCCCCCTTCACAGGCCCCCGCCTCCGCCACGCAATGGTCTTGGGGAGGAACCCTCGAGATATGATTTCATGAAGTACACCAGCCCTCTACAGTTCGTGGCATGCCGGTCTGAGATAATGAGTTGCTCGGGGGCTTTGGTTGAGGCCATACCCACGTTCAAGTATCTCAAAGGGTATGCCTGCCTGACTCAGAAAAAGGCCAAGCAACAGACCGCTAGGTCCTGCACCGATAATAAGGACCTTATTAATAGCCATGATTCAGATTGCAACGAAGTACGATGTGATTGGGGAGTGGTAGTGATGATGAGATTGAGTGAGCAATGAGGCCGAGTGAACAGTGAGGTTGAGTGAGCAGTGAGAAGCGAGCAGTGAGGCCCACACGTGAGTGTGAATGACCAGCACAAATTTATAGAAACATGCGAATCATGAAATCATTTTACAAACGACACCCCCCTACGAAAGTGCAACAGATTATGTTGTAGATTCACCCTACATAGTCAGCGATAGCGGAAACCCTCCCACCCCGAGGGCCACTGACTCACCAGCCCAGTTGAACTAGTTGCTAATACCCCAGAAAACAACTAGAGAACACGCTAAGCAACGACGTCGTCGTGCTCGATGCCAATGGTTTCTTCTCGAACCCACTTATGTGTATGTTAGTTGCGGATGTGGTTGGAGTGTTGCTTGCACCGACATTCACCGTCTCAGCAAGCCCCTCGCCGCGACAGTTCCGTTCCGAAATTCAAACTTCACAATATTGCATGGTGATAATTCTTTAGAACCACGTAGTACGACTCCACACAACTTATGCAGTAATTGTCAGCATTACTAATTACTTTGAGCGGTGATATCGGGGGGTTGTTCAACCCGATATCTGCGTAGGCACAAAGCAATTTATCCAGCCGAGTGTTGTCTCCCAGATATTGAAGACATATGCCCTATATGCCCTTGCCACACCACGAACAGGCCATCCACCAAACACTCGATCATCATCCCAATCTTAGCTTCCACTGTTCCTAAACCTACTCAACTTCCTCCCTGCTTCACTTATCAACGGTCAACCATGACTCCTGCGACTACACACACCAATCCTCTCGCTGGCAGCCGCGTGCTGGTGCTCGGCGGTACTGGCGGTATCGGCTACGGAGTGGCCCTCGCTTCCCTCGCCAATGGCACGAGCGTTTTCATCACTGGCTCCACGGCAGATAAAGTCGCCAGTACCGTGACCCAGCTACGTGAAGCACACCCTCAGGTGCTCGCAGACAACATCAACGATGCTCCAGTTGACCTGGCCAACCTTGACATGGTGGAGAAGAATCTGACAGAGCTTCGTGACAAAGTCAAGGCCGGAGGCCCTATCAACCACATGGTCCACGTGGCTGGCGATCTGCACATGATGCCGCATGTGAGCAAAATCACCACAGACGATTTGAAATAGGGCTTGTCAGTCAGGTTCGCTGCTGCTGTTATACTTGGGAAGCTCGCCCTGAAGTACCTGGATATCTCTTCTAAGAACTCCATCGTGTTGACGAGCGGCACCGCCAGCGCCTAGCCATACCCTGGGCGGGCTATCATGACCGCCTACGCGACATTGCAGGAGGACCTGGGGAAAGGCTTGGCAGTCGATCTTCATCCGTTGAGAGTCAATGTTGTGTCTCCGGGTGCCGTGAAAACACCTGTATTGAACATCTTTGTACCGCCCGAGAAGATAGAGGCATTCTTGAAGAATCTCGCGGATCAGACAGTTACGAAGGAGGTTGGACTACCGGAATGGGTGGCTGAGGCTTACATTTATGCCATGAAGGATCGGTACTGTACGGGAACGACCATTCTTAGTGATGGTGGAAGGTCTATCGCACCAGCCCCTTACTTGGGTCAGCCCTCGTAGATGGAAGACAGGGCTGAGTGACTCTCAATATATATATTCTCGGCAATAATTGAAACTGAGAACCCAAATATTGATTACGCCCCTCCAAAAGTGAAGAGAATCAGAGACCTAATTCTTCTATGTAAGAGCTGTTGTAAGGATGAATATTTCTACAAAAATAATTGCGATGCACAAATGGTAGTGTAGTATGACCATGTCCCGTTTCCCCGCCTCCTAAATACCTAGGTATTGGAGTGAATTACGGATGAGTACGTAACGAAATCATCACTCTCGTGATCCGTAGAGAAGTCAAGAACATGGCACAAGAAAAGGAGCTGGGGGGTCGCGACAGACCGAGGATTTTAAAGTGGAGCTCTTTGCCATTTCTATATCTCCTCAATCAACTGCCGGTCTAAACCCGTCAGGGTTCCCGGCTCGCTACCTACTAGCGTACGCAACTAGCAACTCTACAAGACTCCAGCGAGGTCACGACAAGGGTTTAGGACTAATTCAAAAAACTAAAACTAAAGGTACTTCCTTACATATACTAATTTATGTAGTAATAGAAGTCCTAGCAGTTCTGATTATTTCAGATTGCTATATTGTATACTTGGCATAGGTATCGGGTCTGCCCCCACCTTCTTCACCTGTCTCAAAACATCGGAGAATAAACATGGCACCCTTAAGTATTATACCCGAGCCCCTCTCACCATCTTTCTATTACCCATCGTCAAACTTCTCCAATAGCGGAGGAATTTCACCTAGTAAGCTCCTGCACAAGATTCACTTCACATGCTAATACGTAACCTGTTAATTCCCCCACTGGTTCGCCAAAATTTAGCTATGTGCATGACTGGCGAGATTATAGATAAGAGATTCCTCCCTTCCACAAGGAGCAGGGAATACTCTTGGCGGTTGTTTAAGATGAGGAGAAGCTTTCAATGCGGAACTTACTTCCCATCTTTCTAATCTTGTTATGGTTGGTCACCGTAATAGCGCTTAGTTATCCCTTTAAGCGGTACAGCCCTTCAGCGGGGTCACGATAGGGATATAAGACTAATTAAAATAAATAAAACTAATAATACTTCTCCTTATATACTAATTTATATAATAATAAAAGTCTTAGTAATTTTAATTATTATAAAAAGCTACCTTATAGACTTAATAGCTATATTAAGTCTGCCTATTTAAGCCTCCTTAATACTAACTTTATATATTAGCTATTATTAATTATAAGAAAGTATTTTTTATTTTCTTTTTCTTAAAAGGTTAAGATTGCCTTTACTTAAAGCCTTTATAAATAAGGCAATTTAAGAATATCCCCTTATTAATATAATTAATATCTCTTTATAGGTAATTTTACTATAACTAAGTATTATTTATATCTTCCTTTTTCCTTACTTAAGATCTCTTTTTTATATTACTTTCTTAAGTAAATTTAATAAATAAGGTATTAAAAATATATCTTTTTTAGCTCTTAAGGGTCTTATAAGGCAGCTATTATAGCTATAAGGTCTTAAGCTATAAAATAAAGCTATTTATAAGTATTATATTAAAAAAAAAGGATTAAAAGAAAGCCTGCTATAGGCTATAGTAAAATTAATACTTATAGCTTATATAAGACCTTATTTAATTTCCTTAATTTATATAATTTATTTTATTATTATAAAAAGTAAATATAGTTAATATAGAAATAACCTTTATTATAGTATTATTAAAGGTCTTTTATATTAGCTTAAATTATACTTCTTTATTAATAGGCTTTTTCTTTCTTTTTAAGATATATTAATTATTAATATTATTATATATAATAAAAAGAAATAATATAAGGCTATTATCCTTTTAAGTAATTTAAGTAACTTAAGAAAGATAAATTAATAAAGGAAATATATATAAATAAGTCTTTTAGGTATATAAAGCTATTAATTATAAGGATTAACTTTACTTTATTATATTTAAAGCTTAAGATACCTATTTTATCCTTTCCTTTTATAAGCTTAAGCTCTTTAATAATATTATAATTAAGGCAGGCTATATCTATAGCCTTATAACTAGCTTTTTAAAAGGCATAAAAGAGATTAAGTAAGAAAAAGAGGTTATTTATAAAGATATAATATATTTACTTTAGTAATATATTAACTAAGTAAATAATAATTCTTATTATATTACTAAGGGTTATAATCTCCTTAAGCCTTCTTTTTCTCTTCTTCTCTTATTATAGCTTAATAACTAGCTTTATCTTTAGTAGCTTAATAATAATAGTAATATATAGTAATGCCTTTATATATTATAGCTATTAAATAAAGAGGCTATTTTAGGCAATAACCTAGACTTTAAACCTTATAGGTATAGGCTTATTCTTAATTAGGGTTATATCCTTACTCCTGCTTATAAAAGGGATTATATACTTATTTATAGTAATATTATTTCTTAATATATAAAGCTAGGCTAATACCTTTTATATTAAGTTAAATTATAATTTAATAGCTTAAAATGCCTTTAAAAGGTCTTTTTTATTACTTAAGTTAAGTAAGGTATAATTAAAAGTCTATATATAATATAAAATTATCTTAAATCTTTATAAAAATATAAATTTAATAACTAAATATAAAGAGGACTAAATACTTAAGAAAGGGGAGCTTTAATAGCTTTTAATTATATTTTCTTTATAAATTCCTAAGTAAATTAGTAACCTAAGTTATATATATATTTATATAATTAAAAGCCTATCTTACTTATTAATTTATAAGTAATTAGAAATAGCTAAGTTATAGCTATTAATAATATTATTTTATATAAAATAAAAGACCTAGCTTTTATTATAATAAACTTATAATTATATAAGGGATATAAGTATAAAAAGCTAAAATAGCTTAAGTAATATTAAAGGCAGTATATTAATATAAAAGTTATAATCTTTTATATTAAAAGAAATAAAGCTATAGTTACTAGCTTTTTTAAGTAAGTTAATTATTATTTTAATAAGATTTAGGCTCCTTTATTATATATATATATAAAAGCTATAATTATTAAAGTTATATTTTTTTACTTATATTTTATTAAAATTTAATAAGGAATTTATTATTTTAATAAATATTAATTAATATAAGTTTTTAGTAGTATTTTATAAAAATTAAATATCTTATAAACTTCTTATATCTTATATATATTAACCTTATAATTAAGTAAAGTATGGCAAGTAACCTCCTAAAGGGCTATACTACTTAAAGGAATAGTTTAAAAAATATAAATAAGTTTATAATTATTATTAATCTTTATCTCCTATCCTCTTAATACTATACTTAATTAATTATATAACTATACTAGCTAGGTAATACTACTTATATATAATATTTATATTATATAATTAATATATTCTTATTATGTTTAATAATTTAGATATTTGCAGTAAATAGTCTTTAGTAATTATAATTAAGTTATTTAGTCCAGGATGCTATTTATACTAAAGATAAAAAAGAAATAGGTTCTTAAGTGCCCCTAAGCTATATAAAGATGCCTTATCCTTAGTTATTAAATATACTATAATAAAATACTAAAGCTAGAACGCTTCTTGCCCTTTAAGCACTTTAAAATAACTTAAAAATTAAGTATTTAATGCGCTATATTAATATATAAAGTAAAAAAGCAAAGGCTATATTATTAATAGAATGGTGTTATAATTAATTATTATAATAGTATTATTAGGCTTTTATAAGTAGCTATAAGCATTACTATAATTACTATAATAGTAGTTATAGCCTAAGTATATGCCTTATAGTATAGTAGTTAGGTATAATTAGTATATTAATATAACTATTTTTTAAGTTAATTAAAGCTTTAAAATTAATTATTTTACTTTAATAAGTAAATTATTTATAAATAATATATATAAACATAACTAAATATATAAATAATAATAAAAACTATATTTATAAGATAATTATAATATAAGCTTATATAAAAAATCTTTTTTTTTAAACCTAAAGAAAATATCTTTAGCTAGGAAAATATAAAATAGTTATACTTAACTACTATACTATAAAGTAAAAGATTAAGCTATCCCTTTAAGTAGTATAGCCCTTTAGGAGGTTATTTGCCCTACTTTACTTAATTATAAGGTTAATATATATAAGGTATAAGAAGTTTATAAGATATTTAATTTTTATAAAATACTACTAAAAACTTATATTAATTAATATTTATTAAAATAATAAATTCCTTATTAAATTTTAATAAAATATAAGTAAAAAAATATAACTTTAATAATTATAGCTTTTATATATATATATAATAAAGGAGCCTAAATCTTATTAAAATAATAATTAACTTACTTAAAAAAGCTAGTAACTATAGCTTTATTTCTTTTAATATAAAAGATTATAACTTTTATATTAATATACTGCCTTTAATATTACTTAAGCTATTTTAGCTTTTTATACTTATATCCCTTATATAATTATAAGTTTATTATAATAAAAGCTAGGTCTTTTATTTTATATAAAATAATATTATTAATAGCTATAACTTAGCTATTTCTAATTACTTATAAATTAATAAGTAAGATAGGCTTTTAATTATATAAATATATATATAACTTAGGTTACTAATTTACTTAGGAATTTATAAAGAAAATATAATTAAAAGCTATTAAAGCTCCCCTTTCTTAAGTATTTAGTCCTCTTTATATTTAGTTATTAAATTTATATTTTTATAAAGATTTAAGATAATTTTATATTATATATAGACTTTTAATTATACCTTACTTAACTTAAGTAATAAAAAAGACCTTTTAAAGGCATTTTAAGCTATTAAATTATAATTTAACTTAATATAAAAGGTATTAGCCTAGCTTTATATATTAAGAAATAATATTACTATAAATAAGTATATAATCCCTTTTATAAGCAGGAGTAAGGATATAACCTTAATTAAGAATAAGCCTATACCTATAAGGTTTAAAGTTTAAGTTATTGCCTAAAATAGCCTTTTTATTTAGTAATTATAATATATAAAGGTATTACTATATATTATTATTATTATTAAGCTACTAAAGATAAAGCTAGTTATTAAGCTATAATAAGGGAAAAAGAGAAAGAGAAGGCCTAAGGAGATTATAGCCCTTAATAATATAATAAGAGTTAGTATTTACTTAATTAATATACTGCTAAAGTAAATATATTATATCTTTATAAATAACCTTTTTTCCTTACTTAATCTCTTTTATGCCCTTTAAGAAGCTAGTTATAAGGCTATAAGTATAGCCTACTTTAATTATAGTATTATTAAGGAGCTTAAGCTTATAAAAGGGAAAAATAAGGTAAGTACTTTAAGCTTTAAGTATAATAAAGTAAAGTTAATTCTTATAATTAATAGCCTTATATACTTAAAGGACTTATTTATATATATTTCCTTTATTAATTTATCCTTTTTAAGTTATTTAAATTACTTAAAAGGATAATAGCTTTATATTATTTCTCTTTATTATATATAGTAATATTAATAACTAATATACCTTAAAGAGAAGGAAGAAGCCTATTAATAAAGAGGTATAATTTAAGCTAATATAAAAGACCTTTAATAATATTATAATAAAGCTTATTTTTATATTAATTATATTTACTTCTTTTAATAATAAAATAAATTATATAAATTAAGGAAATTAAATAAAGTCTTATATAAGCTATAAGTATTAATTTTATTATAACTTATAATAGGCTTTCCTTTAGTCCTTCCTTTTTAATATAATACTTATAAATAGCTTTATTTTATAGCTTAAGACCTTATAGTTATAATAACTGCCTTATAAGACCCTTAAGAGCTAGAAAAGGTATATTTTTAATACCTTATTTATTAAATTTACTTAAGAAAGTAATATAAAAAAGAAATCTTAAGTAAGGAAAGAGGAAGATATAAATAATACCTAGTTATAGTAAAATTACTTATAAAGAGATATTAATTATATTAATAAGGGGATATTCTTAAATTACCTTACTTATTAAGGCTTTAAGTAAGAATAGCCTTAACCTTTTAAGAAAAAGAAAATAGAAAATACTTTCTTATAGCTAATAATAGCTAATATATAAAGTTAGTATTAAGGAGGCTTAAGTAGGCAGACTTAATATAGCTATTAAGTCTATAAGGTAGCTTTTTATAATAATTAAAACTACTAGGACTTTTATTATTATATAAATTAGTATATAAAGAGAAATATTATTAGTTTTATTTATTTTAATTAGTCTTATATCCCTGTTATAACCCTGCTAAAGGGCTGTACCGCTTAAAGGGATAGCGGAAAGGGGCAGGAAGTAAAGTCCTGCATGTTAATTCATTAATAAAATCTTTCCATGCTGGTAGATTCGCAGCCTCTATATTCCAGTCGTCCAAACCAGTGCCAGATATTTCCTCCATAACCGACTCGGACTCTTGCTCCGTTGATTCACCGTCCATTCTTCCGGGACTCTCCGAACTCATTGAACTTTCGGGGACAGTAACGCCTTCGCGTCTAGCAATGAGCATGGCCTTTTTTGTCAGGGTCTTGAGAAGCCCCCGTTTCCCTCGAGGCCCTGACAGCCCCTGACCACGAGCAGTCTCCGAATCCCAGTACTTGAAAGCGAGGTTGACGGCGTTCCACGCTAGTTCCACGCTAGGCCCCGAGCTCTTTAGGCAAAGATGCCATAGTACGTACAAGAGCATGTGGTACGGCGGATAAGCCTCACAGACCCACCGAAACTGCTTCAGAAGGTCGTCGGACCTGAATTGAACGTTGAGCCCGAGGATCTCGCATGCGTCGATGAGGTTTTCGTCCGTGGCGTGAGATTCCCGGCTATTGGAGCTTGTGAGGGCGAGCCACTACTGCCGGCTGATAAAGTTGAGCTTGCGGAGGAAGGCCCGACAAGAAAATAGCGTGGCCCGTTGCGCTGGAATGACTGAATTACAATGCTGGAGGTATTGCAGCACATCTGCCGTGGCTTTATCGACGACATCTCTTCGTATCGATTCGTTCAAAAGGTTGCTGAGTGCCCCAGAGGCTGCTAGGATTTGGTACAGCCGCTTGAGGTGATAGCTCATCTTCATAATGACGACGGCGTTTGTCATCTCAGTCCACTGGTACCGTTCCCGTGGCAGCTCAGCTATATTTGGCCAAATTTCATGGTCACTCCGATTGGAGGGAAACGCCATATCTACAGACGTGCCGAGGCCATTCAAGGAGATACCGTGGTCCTCAGCTGAGCGCGAGTCGTTGCAAACGATGGTGCACCACAGTCGACGCCGCATCTCGGATTCAAACGGGGAAAGCCCCAAGGCGTCTCCATTTCGGTGTATCCCGATTGACTGTGCGGCGCGGATAACGAGTCCATTCAAGATCCATATTGATCGGCCTGCATTGTACGCGCGAACTACTTGCTGAATAACACGGTCAATAGACGAAATTTTGAGCTTGGATATTTGGCCGAGTTCACTATACGTACGAGATATATGGCAAGAGCTTGGAGTGACATGAGGCTTGGATTCTCGAGAAAACATGTCTGTCCCAAGGACCTCTCGAATCCGTGCCTGATTGAACTCGTTCGTGCCATGGAAGACAGCCCCCTCTTCCTGGGATTGACCACGGCCACGCCCTTCATTCGATCCATGGGTCTCGGGAAGAAGATCCCGGGACCGCTCGGTACGCTCTTCCGCAGTTACCATTTCGCCAAGACAAAGGCGTTTGAGATGGTCGGCCATTTCCTGCAGCACTCCTCTTCATCCGAGAAGTACCTCCTCTCGCCCCTCGTCCAGGGAGGGGACACGTTCCTAGATCGGAAGCTGACGATTGAGGAACTTGCCGAGGAAGCCATGGGCTTGATGTTTGCAGGCGCCGGCACCACTGCGTCAACCCTTACTTACCTCCTCTTTGCTCTATCTCGGAACCTGGCGGTTCAGGCTAGGCTACGGCGGGAAGTTCTCTCGCTCCCAGACACCAGTGCCGCCGTTCGACAGAACCAATATATCAACGCCGTCATCAAGGGGGCGTTTCGGCGGTTCCCGACGATCATGGCAACGCTCCCCCGCGTGCTCCTCGAACCGCTCGCCACGGAGACGTATGTGCTGCCGGAGGGTACCGTCGTCCAAATGCTAATTGGGTCCATCATCGCGACGTTGAGGTGTTCCCAGAACCCGACCGGTTTAATCGAGACAGGTGGCTGGAGAGCATCGAGGCAATGGAGGCATCGCTGACGCCGTTTGGGAGCGGTAGAAGGAACTGTATTGGCAAAAAACTGGCCTGGGAGGAACTTTACCTGGCTGTCAATGCACTGATGTGGGCAGGGATTGAGTTTCGTGCCAGAGAGGAGACGGATGACGAAGATACCCAATTGTTAGGATTTATTGCTGCTTCGCCCAAGGCGAAGCGTCTAGTGTTGGAGATAGCTAGGGTGTAATAATTTGCCTAGACTTAGTGCTACTTCTTGGATTATATATAGTTTTGCCTTGTCTCTATAGATTACCTTAATAATATTAGCATTCCTAGCCTCTCTTATCACCGCTGCGCATCTCTATCTCTCATCCTTCTTTCTTATCCTTACAGCAGCTTTAATTGCCTGTTAAACCGGGTGGGGCATGTAACAGATCCCTATTCACCCCAATATCTAACACAATCACACCCTTAGTTATCACAACCAGGCTGACTCCTCCGTCTGACAGAATAACAGGTAATGCCACCGGAAGGTTACTATTGCCAATTGTCACTAGTTGAAATAGTGAGCAGGGGGTGTCGGCCCCTAAGCTAGCCTGAGAAGCAGCCTTAGAGTTAATTTCTGTTACGGACGGTCCAGGGTGTGTTCGGCACTTGACGGAGTTTGGAGCGTATCACAAGCATGTAAAAATGACTAAGCGGCAACACTTGTAACTCCGTCTCTCCTAGATGCATTAAATCAGTTAGTCAGGGCGTGTTAGACACTCCGACGCCCGCGCGATACATCATCCTAGTGCCATCATGTGAAGGACCTAATCCATCGTATTCTTATATAAACACCCATTTCCTCCCATACAACGGGAGTGTCACCCCAGTCTTTACACCATTATCAGCTCCATCTACTTAAACAATCCATTCCTCAACCATCAGAATTCTACACCGCCCAATCCACGTCCAGAAGATATTCTCCAGGGTGCCATTTGTCTACAGTCGACTAATATGGCTGTCCAGATCAAGAACGTTATTGTTGCTGGTGTATGTAGCAGCCTCAATTTCTTAGTTCCCTCGCCCCACCAGTGAGATGGTCTTGCATGTCGCAAGCGTAACCTACGCAAGTCATTGGCTCACCTACCTCTTCAGGCAACTGGAAACCTTGGTGGTCCTCTGGTGAACCACCTCGTCGAGGCTGGCTTTAACGTCTCTGGCCTGACACGACAGTCTGGTGTGTCGCTTCTGGATGGCGTTAAGGCGGTTCAGAGCGACTACTCGCCCGATTCTCTTGTCCAGGCGTTCGAGGGCCAAGATGCCGTCATTGCCGCCGTGGGTTTTGGCGCCCTTGGAGACCAGAAGAAGCTCATCGACGCCGCCATCAAGGCCTCTGTGAAGGTATTCCTGCCCGGTGAGTTTGGCAGCGATACCACAAACCCAGATATAAAAAGTGCCTTGCCCTTTGCTGGCGACAAGTCGTCTGTTGTGGACTACCTTAAGGATCACGAGAGCCAGATAAACTGGGTTGGTGTCATCTCGGGTCCCTTTTTTGATATGGTAAGTCCGTTTCTTGTCATTACCCCGCTCGTTCTAATATGCACCGCGAGTTGAAGTGGGCTCTCCGGTCTTGTCTACTCTAGATGAGGTCTTGATGGAAGGTTCTTAGCTAACGAATGCAACTCAAGGGATTAACCGCCGGTTTCCTGGGTGTCGATCTAAAGACAAAAAAGGCTACCCTCTACGATGGTGGCGATGTTCCTCTGACAGTCAGCACCCTGGGCCAAGTAGGCCGCGGAGTTGCCGCTTCTCTGCGGAACCTGGATCAGACTGCCAATAAATTTGTTTACATCTCTAGTACCACGATAACCCAGAACAGGCTCCTTGAAGCTGCCGAGAAAGTCACGGGCAAGAAATTCGAAGTCACCCATGTCTCAACCGCTGAGATTCGTGAGAAGGGTTACGAGAAGCTCAAGAACCATGATTACTCGGGCGTCTTGGATCTACTGCAGTCTATCTGGTTCGGAAAGGATAAGAACCTCGGCGACCATACCGGGCTGCTCTGGGACGAGAAGCTAGGACTTACGCCTGAGTCTGCAGATGATGTCTTGCACTCTGTCGTCGCTTCATTCTAGGGCAGGTCCCTAGGCTTTGTGATTTGATAGATAGCACTTCGTTTAGATTATGAAAAGAAACATCCTACTTAAGCAGATGGAGTTAATTAAACTAATGACTGCTTAGCATGCTGGACTGCCTTTTGGCACTAGGGCTCTGTTTTTAACTATTAAAAATGGTATTTAATAGTTAGATTTCTAAAGGGTGTTTTTACCAGTAATTTATATTAAAAACTCTCCCATTTAGGCTTAGAATCTAGGCATATCAGGATTCATTTATAAATAGAATAGGTTTATTGTCTCCGTGTCACCGACGCATAAAACAATTCCCTTCTTCACTGCTGGAAAGTCAAGGATATACAACTATCACGACAAGTACCAAAGGCGGTCGCCCTAAGACCCATAGTGTTTGTAAACACTTTGCAGCACCCATAATTCCTCTAGGAGGGGGGTAAATTCACTCAACTCCACGTTCGATGCAAATACTGTTCTAAAACCATAGCCAAGCACGTCTAACGGCAACTAAGTTCTGTGTGGTGAATATAAGCTCTCAGCCACAGGTCTCAACTGCAAATAACACATCTGTCCAACGGGAACAGAGTCGCCTTGCCAAAGAGTGTCTTGGTTTCCAGCAAGCTGCAGGCTATGTTGATCGCCAGCCTCAAATCACTACGGCTTTATCCATAATGGATCAAACCTCTAAAGATTAACTCAATCGAGCCGCAGCCCTCGCATGATGGCTTCAAATTGGAAGGAATATAAAGATAATTGATAGGCGCAAAGGAGAGCGGATTTTTCTTCTGTAGCAGAAAGACAGCATTTGCGCTGCCCTAAATGATGGACGAGAACAGGGCATAGGCAAGGTCTGAATGAAGCTGGGAGGTTTGATTAAGTCGCTTATTCTTCGTCCTCGGACTTTATACGACGTGGCTACCTAAGGGGCCGTTACATCGGAATCGACAGGTATTCATTAGACCCAGCTTCCTCTCGCACGACTGACTCGGACTCTTGCCCGAATTCGGCCGTTGACGGGCCCCGAAGGTCCACTTCATGCACTGTGATCTGGCTCTGGCAACGAATCGCGAAATAGCCAGGCTTTCCCCGCATAGTGAAGAACTATGAGGTAAACCTTGTGTGCTCGGCTTAAGTCAGTGCGAGGTGCGGGGTGACAAACGCAACGGGGAGTGTCATAGCGGACATTCATTATAAGAATGCCGTTTCCGCTCCTAGCAGGCATAGGGAGGAGAACCCATTGAATCAGAGCCAGTAACTATGATGACCTACAAGCATTCTGTCCTCCTTCTTGGAGCTGTTTCGAGCGTTTTCGCGGCTGGTATGAACCCGATTGAAATTGATCTCGGTTACGTGGGATATCGTAGGCAGCGAAAGACCACATCTGGGTGCGCAATCCACCTCTTTCTATATTAGGCTTCTGACCAACATCGATTAATATTCATTCATATATAGGATAAACCTTTCTACGGCATCAAATACGCTAAACCACCAGTCCAAGACCTTTGGTGGAGGGCGCCAGTACCCATAGACAAGGATCCCACTGAGACTCAGGGCACTCTCCTTAAGGCTACAGTCTGAGGTCCGTCTTGTATCCAGAGCATGCCACCTTGGAGCCCCACCTGTGGCAACTTAACTTCCCGGGTGGAGAAGAAGACTGTCTTTTGCTGGATGTTCTGGTGCCTATGAGACCGGTTGCTAAAAAATTGCCCGTCATGGTGCAGATACACGGTGGCGGTATGTTAACGCTCAGCTCTCAGATTGACACCGAACCCTATGGAAATACTTCAGGCGGAAGACTAGGCCGGAACGAAACGCTAATCAACATTGCAGGGTTTGTGAGTGGGAGCGCCTGGTCATATCCAGGAGACTCCATCGTCGCACGCTGCAATGGGACGCTGATCTACGTGTCTCTCTAGTACCACCTCGGCCCATTTGGTTTCCTAGCAGGGGACGAAGTAGCCTGAGATGAATCTTTCAACGCCGGTATACTAGACCAACGGGCGGCATTGGGTTGGGTCCACAAATACATTGCCCATTTTGATGGCGACCCAGATAGAATCGCCATGATCAGGGGCAGCGCTGGTAAATAATAAAAACTTTTAAAACTAATATTTAATTTTTTATACCCTCTTAAACCATTATATATTATATATTATTCTAAGATATTTTAATACTATTTCCTTTTTAACCTTCTTTAATATACCTTATTTATAGGTTTATATAAACTTTCGACCACTAAGCCTTATCTGCTTACCATAGTAAAGAAAGATCCAAGGCAAAGGAATAAAAGCTACTGCTAAAAAGCCAAGTAATGAATTACCCCAACCAAGGCCCAGTTTACTGTACATTTTAGGTCCCGCAAGTGGGAGGAACGCTCCTCCCAGCGAGCGCAGAAGGGTATTTGCCGCCAGGGCTGACGCAGTGTATTTGACATCAAAGGCGTCAACAAGATACATCATGACAGACATCTGTAAAGTGACATATTAGTATAAGAGCGTCAAAGGCTACTGAATCGAGAGGGGGCATACCAGAATGCAGATGAATCCGACACCCACAAAAACAGTTCCGAGGATAGGCACAATCCAGTGAACTTGTTTCTCGGTCGCCCAGCCATACCAGAAGAGCCCTATCGGCAGACTTGGCGCCATATAAGCCATCATGACCAAGCGGTCTTCCGGTCTTCGTTCGCCCCCTCTCGCCGCCTCACGGGATTTCATGATTCGGTCGCTGAGCCTTCCTTGGACTATGACACCACCCAACATACCGACACCGAGCCCAATATATGAGAGGCCAGAAATCCCAACCGAAAAGCCATACTGGTCACGAAAAACAGTGCTAAAGGTTGTAAAGAGGAGATACATCAGACCAAAGCTGAATGCGACATATAGGGAAAGAAAGAACACGATAGGCGAAAAGAAAAGAAGTTTCAAAGGCATCCCGATGCTCTTGCGAAGTCTAGTAAGAATAGGCTCGCCCTGAAAAGCACTGCCTTCATCTTTGCGGCCAAACTTGCGGCGTAGAATGACTGGTGAATATGTTTCCCGCATAAAAATGAGGGCTGGAACGAGGATGACTCCCCACTGCGTGATGATATTAGCTGACTAAAATCAAGGATTAGGGTTGGGATTGGGTATGGGGGAAGAGAAGAGAAGATGTGTAACTGGTAAATATAGACTCACCGTGATAGAAAGGGTATAGAAGACCCATCTCCATCCAATGTACTGGCTAACGAAGCCTCCGGCGATGGGACCAATAGTCGGTCCCATGATTGGGCCAAGAACAATCAATCCCATCCACTTTCCTCGTTCCTCCCTTGGGACGAGGTCAGCTAAGGTGCCTCCGCTTAGCGCCTGAGAGGCGGATCCGACAGCGCCATTTATGAAACGAAATACAATAAACATTGATAGGTTGGTGGCGAAGCCGCAAGCGAGTACAAAGGCAAGAAACATCACATTAGTGACAATATAGATCGGTAGTCTTCCAAATACTTCAGAAAGAGGGGCGAATAGTAGGGGTCCAAGAGCATAGCCAAGGACGTATATAGAAACAGACAAGCTAGTGACCGTATGTGAAGCCGAATCGAAATCCTTCATCAGTTTGGCTGCACCTGGGGCAAACATGGTAGAACCAAGATTGCTATAGACGATGTGAGCATCTTTTCGATCAGTTCCCAGCCGAGCTTGCTATCCATGGCCACCAAGGAAGTGCAGTCTTCAGGAGGAGAGACAGTATATATATGGAAATCTCTATTCGACTTACGACAAGAGCTGAACCACAGCAACCAAGACGATATTCCAATTGCGCTTATGTCGAGGCCAATTTGCTGGGTTGTCTGGGTCGTCGGGGCCGTCCCAGCCTCCATTTTCGTCTACATGATCGTCCACCTGGGAAATTTCATGCTCAGCGTTCGAGGACATGCGTGGTCCTGTCGTCATTCTCGTGTTCTCCGCCCGAGAGTTTGGGAACTGTTCTTTTGGGCCGGTGTGGTTCTGGAATAAATTCGGAGTTTTTATTCAACTTGGATCCAGAAAGGCGCGGCGCGGCGTTCGGGGCACGACTGTTCGGTGGCGTTTAGCGATGTCGGGGTATCTGATACCGGAATGGAGGGGAAGAAAGGACAAGCACCTAAAGAGGGCAGTAGGGGCATCTATAAAGCTGCGCTGTTCTTATGTGAAAGTATGCTTTGGTTTGTTATTTAGCTATTTGGGGTCTTTTAAATAGAGTGGTGAGCAGATATAAGGATTTTTTAACCACTAATACATCCCTACTCTCACCGGTGCCGATTCGGCGTTAAAAACCGTTAATTATGTTTAGTCTCGGCCTTGGAGGCCATGTGGGACTTCGGCCCTAGACGAAGAGGGGATTATCGGGAACCTTATCCTTTATCTCCGTATTCCTTGAGACACAACCTGTTGATCTAACTTCCGCTTTATTAGCAGAATTGCCCTACTAGTTATTAGGGTTAATTGCCAGGGTGTAAAGTACCCTCTAATACCGCCCAGGATAATAAAATACTTCAAGCTGGGATATAATAATAGCTATCCCATTATATAAATTAGCTGAGGGTAACTAAATGTTTATAAGTACCTTCTCCCTGGGTCCTTAATTGATAGTACCTATCTCACTAATATTAACTCGCAAGGAGCAATTTTTTCCCTACTTCTTCTATATATATCTGATGACAATGGAAAATCATCCTCTACAGACAACAATGAAAGCCGTTGTGCTCGAAGAAATTGGAAACCCGTCTCCGTGCAGGTTGGCCTTACCCCTCAACCTCTCCCCGGGCAGTGTCGTTGTTGTCAAGGTCCTCGCGTCGTCCATTGATGCCATTATGCCTCGAATTTTGAGCGGCGAGGAAGAGTTTACTCTACCCAACAAATCCATTCCTGGCGCCCGCGTTGTTGGTCGGGTTGCCGCTATAGGTCCCGATGCTGTCTCTCTCTTCGTTCGCCAGCTTATTATATATAAGCCGTTTACCTGCGCCTAGGATGACCTAAGAGTTT